TAAAACGAAAACACCATTAGGATATTCGTTTTTTTATAAAACATTTAATGTCTGCCTGTTCGTCTGTCACCAGATTATCTCATGAACCGTGATTGTTAGAATTTTCACAAATGATGTATTTCTGTTGCCGCTATAGCAACAAATATTAAAAAACAGAGTAAAAAAAGATTTAAATAGGGGTCCCATTTGGATTTCTCTTAAATATGATCTATTAAAGCTAACTTTTATAACGCATAATGAAAAGCATAATGATCGTGCGTCTATAAAATTTGAAACATCACTTTGAACTTACATCAAAAATTAACAATTTATTACGAGACGAAGGTTATCTCGGGTAAACCTCTAATACTTTAGGGTAGATAACGCTGGATTCCTTCTCAGAGCTTTTGATTTTGTCTGTTTTTAGGACATTACACATGAATTATATTTTATTTATTTATACTTTATTGCAATTACCATAAAGAAGTATTACAAAGTGCGAACTTTTACATTCTCGCCCTGTCAACCCGGGGCGTTGATATAAATTGTGGTATTACGTTCAATTTTTTATATTAATATATACACACGTTCAACTTTAAATAAATACATATATATATATATATTATAATAAAGATGTAAGTAATCAATTGTTGTAGAAATGGACAAAAACTTTCGGTGTTGCGGGACCAAACCTGCGTCTTCTCTTACATTTACACATACACATATAAAAAACGGTAGTGAAATAACGATACGTTCAGAAGCTAAGTGAAGGTAACGGACCGTGAGTGAATAACGCCTTGTTAGGCCCTACGTATGTTTTCAAACGTACGTATGTTTACATGTTTCCCAGGAGTTCCCAAATAGTGCAGCCAGAACGGTGATAGGGTTACCGAAGAAATCCGTGTTATACGGAGGAATAGTAAACTTAAGGTTAGATGAGGAACGGAGATCTGTACTTGTTTAGAGAGAGGTATTAAAATTTATCCTTGAGATAAACGGAGAAGCTGTATCGTTTAAGATCGAGAAAAGCACAAACAGTATTCTAGAGAAACGACTTTGTTTAACTGTAAGCCATTTAAGACGGGATTGATAGGCGATAACAAGATCAAATTTTCAATGGCGAAAAACTTATCTGATGCAATTGTTGAACAGGCGCTCTACCGGGCTAGAGATGATCTTTGTTCAAGTCTGGATAGCAAACATCCGCGTAATTGATTGTAGAATAACGCCCGGTTTCTGAAACACTGCTCATCGTAGAAATTAACTAATCAGCTGTCAAATGGCTTTTCAAATGATATTTAAGTGGTTAAACTCCCTGAATTGATCAGAATGATCAATTCAAAGAGTTAGTTAGACCATCCTTTTGGCAACTCAAATGAAATTTGAAAAGCTTTTAGTGCCATTTGATTTCCATCAATGCCATCCTTAATTAAAGTGCCTTTATTATTAACATACCCTGCAGCTTACTTTGGTCTGTATTATGAATTTGTATTGAGGTTCCATAATGAAAGAATTTTGAAAAATATGACAGTATAAAATCCAAGACAAATTTGAGTCTTCAATTTAAGTAAAGTAAATAAATTGAGTCAGCCTATAAACGTCCCACTTGTGGGCATACTTGTTTTTGTTATTCGAAAACGTCCACGTTTCTTCACGATGTTATTTTTTTCACTGCAGAGCACATGATAAGTCAGCACTTATTAACAATAATTACATCGGCACCGTCACCAGGTTTTGAACTCGGGTTGCTCGAGTATATTGAATTAAAGGCGAACGCACGGACAATATGCTATCCCAGATCTTCACCTTGGCTTTCCCCTGAACGTTATCTTTTTCGCGCGTTCTTGTCGTACGGGATCTTTTGCTGAGGTAGAGCCACGCAGAAGCCTCGGCTGTTGCACGAATGGGCAAGCTCGTCCGGGTAAGTACCACAACCTCACAGAAGACCGGCGTATAGTGGAAGTATAATACTGTGGTGTTTCGCCTGGTGAGTGAGGTTGTCGGAGCCCACTTTATTAAAAGGTGTCAACGCATCTGTATACCCACGGGTGTTGCAGATATCAATGGGCGGCGGTATTCACTTACCATCAGGTGAACCGCCTGCTCGCTTGGCAACGTGTCACATAAAAAAATCCAATGAGTACCTAAATGATTCACTAAGTTTCTTTCAGTGAGCTCGTGTGCTACTCAAATATCAAGCTTTTTTAACCGACTTCAAAAAGGAGGTTTCTCAATTGTAAAGTATTTTTTTTATGTGTGTTCGCTGATCACTTCGTCGTTTACGAACCGATTTTGATGATTCTATATTTGTTGGGATAGATGGATTGATATACATCGAAATACGAATTACTTTGTGCTAGGTAAATTTACATTTTACTGTTTAATTTCCCGTTTGGTGTCGGATTTTTTTGGCTAATAATTTTTTTAAATTGGTCGAAACCGTTTTGTGCGCAATCCCCAGTTATTCAGCTACGTCGTAAGTTTCGTCGTTACTTTATCCATAACAGGGCGTTTACAGCGAGCTACGTCTTTACATCAAAATTTCCGGACTGAAAAGGCTGAACCTTGAACCGACTTTTGCTACATTTCGCCTTTTTCTGTAATAAAACTTAATAATGTATCAAATTGTATTTGACGATTGGAAATGGCGAAATTACAACGATTGAGCAACGGGCGGCAATTGATTTTTACTTCTTATTTTTTTAAATGTCATATATTTGATGGTACTAAAACCAGTCGGATACAGAGAGTACAAAGAGATTTCACTAAAACTTAAAACGTTTAATATGAAAAATACTTTTTCCCCCGACTTTTCTGTAGCTACTATATCCATAAGGAAGGAAAACGATATGTGTGCTCCTGATTGTCCAGCAGAGTATCTAATTAGCCTAGTTAGCTGTATGCGAGTATAAGAGTAACTAAATTTAGTTACAGACTAGATTTGCAAGTTGGTTAAATAAACTACAGGAGTTAACGAACGTTTATAAACTTGTGAGCTTAATACCAATTCTCACATCGTTTCTAAAATTGTTGAACTTTAGCTATGCATACTTTAAACGATTTAGTGATTTTTCTTGTTACGTTACTAAGATTCCATCTTCCTCGCACGGTATAATTTAAGTCAAGTTACGGACACAAGGCTTATAAATAAATAAACATGTCCATATCTTAGGTAATGAATATGCTTAAAGGCGTTTAACACTAAAATATTAAACGGTGGAATTCGACCAGCGTGAAACGATAAACGATAATCCAGACGAGAATCCAGATAGTCATAGTACCAATTCTAAGGATATCTTTAATTTTGTTATTATTTTATTTTTATCTTCATCCGTAGAATGATTTTCACTTTTCGGCCCAAATTGAACTGTAAGTTGAGTGCAATTTTACTAAGCACTTTCCAAGGCTTCCATTGGCTTCGGTGTCGGGGGTCGTGGGTTCGATTGTCACACTGGACAGCTATTTGTGTGACCCACAGATAGTTGTTTTGCATCTGGATGTTTGGCCACGTGAGATTTATGTTTGTAAAACGTTCTTACATAATGTTATCCTAAAGTATTTTTTAAATAATACTAGGTAATGTTATTTTCTTAAATAATAAAAGATTGGTAGGGTAGGTAATTAATAAAATTTTAACGAGTGGCCTGGCCTAGTCTTCCACTTCCTATATTTCACATCATTTAAGATTTTGATCATACGATCGTAGCATACGCTATCATTTTTGTCGTAAATCGCTAACACCGAATTCGGTATCGTGTTGCTGCCTTGTCAATTGCAATAAGTGAAGTAACCGGTGCCCATTTTGTTGAAATGTTACTACGTATCTCAAACGACAACGACGTAGCTGATATAAAAGCAGCGGTAATCACTTAACATCAAGTGAACCGCCAATTATCTTGTTACCTGCTTACAAAAAAAGCCAAAGCGGCCGTACGTTAGATTTATTTCACGTAATACCACTTGTACATTTGTTTATTCATATAATATGTTTATACTCGGGGCAGAAAAATCAAATGATAAAATATTTGTAAGATTGTAGAAGAAGGTGGTAAGTGTGGGTGATTGTTCATACACATACACACTATAATAACATGACTACAGTATATGATTATTAATTTGTCCCGAGTGAGAATCAAACTGGCGCCGAAGCCAACAAATAAGCAACCGAGTCAAAAGCGCCATCAAATGTGTGCTCCGTCCGTGAAGCATAGTTTTAGCAAACCGAACAACTCTTTCCCTGTATGTTAATTATATCATGTAATGAATGTGAGGTTTATTTTTTCAACAAATTGAGCCGTGATAGCCCAGTGTCCGGGCGCTCGCAAATTCAATATACTCGGGCAACCTGCCTTTAAATCTCGGTGCCAACACCAACGAAATAGTCAACTTCAAACGCTGAACTATCACGTGGTCAGTGGTGAAGGAAAAAAAGTAAGGAAGCCAACATGTTTCCGAAATACTAAAAAAAGTATATTTTGAAAATACGTGGATTCTACCAATCCGCAGTGGGATCGCATGGTTGACTATGCCCTAATACCGTCTTTACATAGGAGGCCTTTGAGCAAAGGCTCAGCAGTAGGACTTGTATAGGCTGTTTTACTTTATTTTTCATGCACTCTCCCTAGAACAATACTTGTTCCGCGATATCTGTGTGTTAATAAGTGAAGCAAAATCTTTGTACCCTTTTTTTTACAAAAATCGCGCGGATGGAGGAGTATGAAATTTCTCACACTGATAGTTCATATAGAGGAGTGCAGAATGCTAATATTTTTTTCATAATTATGCATAAAAAATACATTAACGTCCGGTTTCTGAAGCACTGATCATCGTAGAAGTCGACGATTAGTAGACTTCTGCAAAACTGTCAAATGGCTTTTCAAATGTTATTTAAGTTGCCATTACTCACACTACCATGTATAATTATTTCAGGTCGAATTTCGACCACTAAGCGACCACCCCAAATATAAAATCACGGACTCAAAGTGCACTCAGATTTAACGGAATAATTATTCTTTCGTCAGGTGTGCGAGGTGTACAAACTGCACCGGGAGACCTTCCACCTGACCGTGGACTACGTTGACCGCTACCTGTCCAACACTGACGACGTGCAAAAGGGCCGTCTTCAACTCATTGGTGAGCGGCAATAATATTAAGCACCTTTAGAGCTAAAGGAACCTAATTAAGAAAAATCATGATTTTGACATTGCCAGAGAACGACCTAAACGGACAATTTTTATCGATTCTTATTAAAACAAGGGCCGATTTTAGAAAGCTACATAACGAATACTTCGGTCTCTTTCACCTCCTTCCAATCACCGCGTTTGTTCTTATTTATTTATTTATTTATTTATTAAGGCTTACCAACCATATTTGGTTGGTAAGCCTTAATAAATTAGGTGTATGTTAAGTAATATTATTTATTAATAATATTACTTAACATATAGAACATTGAATGCATATATGTTTAACTACGTTCTTAAGTGCGCAAATCTTTATTTTACGTTTCCCAAAAATTGATATTTTTAAATAGGTCACTGTAATTCTAAAGGTGCCATTTAATGTGTACTGTCCAGTAACAATATCGCTTGATACAACATCAATGTTGAGACAGCTAAATTATTCAGCCAAACTTTAGAGCATCTTTTAATTTTTGCGCACCCTATATTACCAGCCGACTGAGTTTTGCGCACCCTATATTTGTCCTTACAGCCGATTGAATTTTGACTTTTTTTTATGTGAGACGGTTAAGTGATCACCGCCGCTCATTTGCAACACCCATGCAACACCCTAGGGCTAGCACATGCTATGCCACCTTCTAGTAAAGTGGGCGCCGGCCACCTCACTCGCCAGACGAAACGCTGAGGTATAACTCTACCTAGTCCTACTCTAACTTCACGCTGGTCTTCTGTGCAGTCGTGGTACTTAACCGGACGGACAGTTGAACAGAAAAGAAAATATTTCTTTTCGTGACATATGATGTTTTAAATGTATTGCAGATAATAATAATACCATTAACTTCTTGTTTGTTAAATCTTAACCTTGTCGCCAAATTGTTGAGGATAAATATTTATATTTTGTTATTTATAAATACTAACGTACTAACTAATATACTAACGTCTGTACCATTTTTCTGCGTATTTTTAAGTTATAGCTTTGTCTACTTCATGCTAAGCGAACTTCGCTTCTTTTTGTCATCATTGTATTATAAGACGCGTCTGTTCAATTATGCACCCCTAAAGCCGAAAATGTTGATCCTATTTTGCAATTATAATACAACATACTATCGTCATAAGGGCTATGTGTGGCTATTTTATTTTAAGCAATTTTGCTTCTGAACTTAAAATGAAGGCGTTTTAATAAATATTGAATAACGACGAAAAAAAGCAAGGAAGAGTTTGAAAACGATCCTATGGTTCTATTTTTACCTTTTCGAGTTTATCCATACTAATATTATAAATGCGAAAGTAACTCTGTCTGTCTCTCTTTCACGCTAAAACTACTGATCCCATTTAAAGGAAATTTGATAGATAGTCTAGAGCCTGAGAAAGGACATAGGGGAAGGACGGGCAAAAAGGATATGTTAATTTAAAAATATGTATTATAATCATATTTATTCTTAGCTTTGGCTAATAATTCTTTGGGTCATTAAGTAAAAATAAAGAAATTCTTCTTCAAAATCGAAAAAAAAAGTCAACATTATCCGCTTTGCCCTACCAGGGCGGGCAAAACGAATACTGATTAGAAAACGCATTTTAATCAAAACAATCGTCGCAAAAATATGAACCACGTCCCGAATATGAAGAACAGGCTTCATGTGTCCACTCTTGGCAGGTCCCACATTGTATCCAATCTTCTCTCGGCGGGTCAACATATTTTTCTTTGCATACTGTGCACATGTAAGATGTCATAGATTTTCCCAAGGCTTTTTTTGTCTTTTGACACCGGATGGACCTGGAGCATCGATTGGAGCTTTTCTTTTTGCAGCTGCAGTATCTTTTTTTTGTTTTTGAGTGGTGATTACAGAAGAGCTAGTTAAGATTTCTGACTGTTGAGAGTTACCCGTTTTGCCCGTCTGGTAGTTTTATAACATAACCTTAAATTATTACAAACTACAGCGATAAAAAGAATAACTTGATTATTTCATGTTCATTAATTATATATTCCATTTAAAAAAAATTATTTGCATCGTCCTTAACAACATTAAAATAATCTCTGTATACTTACGGTTAAAAATTTTAATTTTTTTCCTAAATTTCAATATTTATAAAAAAAAATGCCACAAGTATGTGAGACCGATGCTTTGTCAACAATGGTGAGTGTAGTTATATAATGGAATGATAGATGGCAGTCTAAAGTTTTTTTACCGACCGACCAGCGATTTGAAACGATTATTCATTTTACCCGCCCTCCGTCTTGCCCGTCCGTCCCCTAGGCTATTTTTTAATTGGAAAAAAGTATTGTAAAGGGTTGAAAATACCTTTCTATATCTATATTTTAATAAAGAAATATGTTTATTTAATGGCTTCAATGAGAGCTTAGCCGCGGGCGAAAAGCTAGTTCACAATAATTATTTCGCGAGCTTTTTGAGATTTTTTTTTAATCGAACAATTACTCATCCCCCGCAACGTTGCAGGCATAACGTGTTTATTCATCGCGGCGAAGGTCGAAGAGGTCTACCCGCCGAAGATCGGCGAGTTCGCCTACGTGACGGACGGCGCGTGCACCACCGACGAGATCCTGCTCGAGGAGCTTCTCATACTGAAGATACTCTCCTGGAGCATAACGCCCATCACGATCAACAGCTGGCTGAATATATACATGCAGCTGGCCAGCGAAGCGCGCGGTGCGAAGAGGAGGCTGCTAGGGGAGAAGGATGTCGGTGCCAACGCTCTGAGGGGCTACACCTTCGTGTTCCCCCAATACTCGTCCCTCGAGTTCGTGATATGCGGCCAGCTGATCGATCTGGCGGTGCTGCACGTGGACGTGAACAAATTCGCCTACAGCACGGTGGCCGCGGCCGCGATGGCGCACGCCTTCAACAAGGAGCTCGCCCTCAGGGTGTCCGGTGGGTGGAGATATTGATAAAAAATTCTCTCTACTAATAATAGAGTTCGACAAGCTAGCAGTTATTTGACACTACCTTTAAAGGAAAATCCGCCCGATAAGGAGAGAATTCATTTGTAAAGTTGTGCCTTCGTTTTATATTTTTGGTAAAATTGTGTATATCTTTGTCAGTAGCTAGTTGATATCAAGCAAGAATCGAAGTCGTCATTAAAGTACTCATCGGGGTCCTCCATATATTGTTCCAAAAAGTTTCTTTTTGTTCAGCTTCTTAAAATTACGCTAACCGAGTTTTCTTGGGATACTTTTCATCTTGTATAAAAATAACTAACTTAATTTGTTACAATAGCTTCTGCTGTTGCATGAATGGGCGGGCTCGTCGGGGAGTCCGTACCGCGACCTCAAAGCAGATTGGCGTGAAGTGTGCCGTATTGAGCTTTCGTGTTTCGTCTGACGAGTGAGGTGACAGAGAGCAAACTTTTTTCAAGTTGGTAACGCACCTGCAACCATACAGGTGTTGCAGGTGCGTCGTCCATGGTCGGCGTTAGCTCGCTTGCCATCCTCTCACGTAAAACGAAACTTTCAGGGTACCTTGATTTGTCTACCGGTTTTTAGGGTTGCAGTGGCAACGCACCTGCAACCTTACAGCTGTCGCTCGCCACCCTCTCACTTAAAAGCACCTCGCAGGCTACAGCTGGGAGTCGCTGGCGGCGTGCCACCGCTGGCTGGGCGCGTTCGTGCGCGTGGTGAGGGAGCGGGGCGGCGTGAGCGTGGTGCGCGGCGGCGACGGCGAGTTCGTGCAGCGCGCCGCCGGCCTCGACCTCATCTGCCCCGACCTCAACCTCGACGAGAGCCACCGCATCCAGTCGCACAACGTCAGCCTCGACATGTTCGTGAGTGTCGCGCGATTTGTTCCTTTCAAACGCCGCCCCTGCTTGTGGGATACATTATCCTGTGTTGTAAACGTACAAACACCCGGATAAGGGACAACTAACTGTGGGTCACACAAATAGTCATCAATTGCTTTGTATCGTCGAAACGAGGCCTACTGACATATCACCAGGCTTGAAAGAAAGCGCTTTGGTGCAAAGTGCAACAATACTTCAGCACTGTGTGAAAGGATATCCCAAGAGACCACCTATTTCTACATGGTTTTGATGGCTTACTTTAGTGACACTCATTGCATCCAAAGAACCTTGATAATTACTCTATTCTCTGCCATTTTTGCAAGGTCAGAAAAGCTCATATTTCACATGACATTTGAAATTATAAAATGCATATAAGACAAATAGTATATTTTCTTCTTAGCAAATGGTGATTACATTGCTGTTTGTACAGCAAAATGAAAATTAACTAATGCCAATTCAAAGGGTTGTAAAAAATTTGGATAAAAAGGTCTAGAATTTGTTTAAATCAATCATTTTTGTCATTTTTGCTGTGGTACAATACATTCGATGGAACTCCTTTCGCAATACCAAACTGTAAATGCAATATAATATTACAAAAACTATTGTTCTAATAAATCCATGTCTTGGCAGGATAAAGTGTACCAGGGACTTTTAGAAGAGTCAGCATCAGACACAACAAGTATAGAGGTGTCGACGTCGCAAGAGACTGAACACATTTACCCACCGACACCGCCGCAGTCTGACCACAAGAGTCCCAAGACACCAGCGACCAAGACCCCGTCAACGAGACGTCTCTCACCCGTACCTGATATAAGGCTGCACACCGAAATTGAGTGAAGTGAAGTGAGAAGTGTAGCATATTTTGTAGCCTTTATGTTAAACTTAGTTCATTGTAAATAAAATGTTTGCCTGTCTGTACCGACAGAGTGGAAAATACCTCAAATAAGTAGAAAAAAATTCCTTTGTGTCACTAAGATCTGACAAATTAGTTAATGTACTGAAAATGAGTATAATTATATGTGAGAAGTGTTTTTAAATGTTGTCAGTATAAATTTATCAATCTAATGTCTGCAATGACCATATTTTTATATAATGTATACTCACATGTATTTGTTTTATCTTTGTCACCTTTAATGGTAAAAATTCCACTTAATTTCACAAATTGTTACATATTATAATTTTTTTTTTTAATTTACAAATTTCAAGTCTATGGAATTAGGCTAACAGTTTAATCAACTTGTGAAATTAAGAACATCTGCTACTTTTGTGTATGGATTAGAATGATCCAAGTTTGTTTGTTATAGCAGGAACATATTAAAAAATTTGTATACCTTGCCACATTCATCAAAACTGACATGAAAATGGAATGACATCATATTTTTATCACCACATAGAATTTGAAATATTGAAAACAATAGGTCAATCTTTCCTATTGATTTGATTCAAAAATGCTTATTTTACAACTTAAACTAGGTAACACTTGCTATCAAGAAATGTACTGTTGTTCTTCATCAGCAATATTTATTGCACTATTGTCCCATTTACAATCAACTTAGCAAATAGCAATATAGCTGGATTCCGAGAATTTTTAACAAAATGCATGCAACTAATGAGATTTTGGCTTCTACTAACACACTAAACTATTAATTGTGTGTCAAGAGTGCCACTAACATCACTTCTCGGAGTTGACAGCAAGATAATTGTTGTGTATGTTGGGATATACTTTTAAATTGCAGCTACAACACTTTCCAATAAGAGCATTACAAACTCAGCATTGTAATTTTTTATTTTTACAAATCGATTTTAGTTTGTCTCTTCATAAATATCATACAAATTCAACACAATATTTCGAAATTGTAATATTCAAAAATGTTCCTACTATAAAAAATAAAGATAGTTATGTTTAATAATAACCACACAGATGGGGTGTTCAATGTTTAAACATTCCAAAATTTGTTTTACATGAATATAATTTGACATTGACATTGTACTTTGTAGATTCTGAGTTGATGCGCAAATAACGCTTACTTTGGTGTAAAATATTTTGTTATTGTCTAGTTAATTATTATTATATAAGGTTTGTGTTAATGTACTACTATCCAATCATTTTCAATCGATATATTTCTGATTGATAGGATTTGCAGTTCCATTGTATAACTTCTGCATATTTATGAGTGCTGAATACAGAATATCAACTAAATTTTCTTCAATATTCTAAACCAATCAAACAAGTTATGAAAATAATCAAAACATTTTTATTTATTAAAAGTTTTACCTATTTAATGTGTATACTTAGAAATTACATTCAGTTTGTTCTCTATAAGTCAAATAAATCCATGTAAATAGTTAATAGAAATTATAATTTATTGCATGTCTATATATAACTAGCAGGTGATGTTCCTTCCTGAGACTGATGTTAAATCTGAATGAAAACTTTAAATTTGTTGATGGTACTTTCAAGTGAACATTCGAAAACATTTTGAAGCTCGTTTTAGCCAAAGACTGCTGCAAAACTGGACTGTATGAAAAAATTTTGCATGCTGCTTAAATTGTGCAAAAGAAAAAAAAATGTGAAGTACAATTGCATAAGTCCAGCTTAAAGAAAATAGGAAATCACAACTTATATTCATTTGTTTGTATTATTTATTATTTGCATGCCCAATAATTCATACTGAATTGTATGTGTCTACAAGAAATGACTTAATTCTTTCATTTGACGGTTATTGGTTATGGTAACTTGTGATTTATTATAAGTACATTGAGCCTGTATGGAGCTATCTATAAAGTATCATTTACTTTAAGAGCATTAACATTTACTTGTAATAACATAAGACATGAATTGTATAAATTCCTCTTGTGATAGAAAATGTCAAGTGGCCCCCAAAAAAGCAGATTTGACAAATCAAACCACTGCTTTAGATCTTTGGAATAATTTGTTATATTTATTATTGTTGTTATTTCCTTTCACTGTAGGTGTGATTTAGTTGGAAATTTGTAATTTATGTATGTTTAATTTAATGTATATATAAATGTATCGCAATGCATCCTTCATCATAAATACTCACGTTTTATAGTTCACCCTTACGGTTTTATATTCCAACTGTGCCTGTAATGTATCAGAAATTTATAAAATAAACTCGTGCCACCCCCATATGTGTAAAGTCTTACTAAACAAAGAAACTATACAATTAATATCTTTAATTAACTAAATCTGGGCAAAATGCATAGCTAGAATAAGAAAGCTTTTGAATCAATGTAAATGCATTATTGTCAAACAATAGTCAAATGAATGAACTTACATTTCCATTGGTATGAAGGTTGATGATAATCTTTATAAATATATCCACTTAAATCCTTAAAAACCTGGTTTCCATGTAATAAAAGCAAAATATTTCAGTTATCATGAAAACATACCATAAAACTGCGACATCCCTTATATACTTCATTGTACCATTTTTAATTTGCAAACATTTCCACATTACTTTAAATCTTTCAATAAACATTTATGAAAGATTCTTTTTCAATATATTCTGGGAATTCAAAATATTTTTTTTAATGTATTTAAAATATTTAAATTTCTAAATCACACCTGCAATATATAACTCAAACACCCAATATGTATATAAATAAAGACATAGTTTTGTTTAAAACAGTCAGGACATCTTTCATTACAGATGAAGGTCTATAAAAAATGTATATTATTAGTGCAAGTGTGTGCCGGTATCAGCTAGGCTTTTATAGGTTTCTTTCTTTATTTTAGTAAATTGAACATTATTTAAGTCGAATGATTACGCTTATCTCAAGGTGGACGGCCACCTTATAAATAAGACTTGGATGGATTTGTTACATTATATTATCAGAAAATAATTTAACCATTTTCTTAGTGATAGCTTGCTTATAGATTTAAGTTATTTTTATATCAATTTATTGGAAGCTAATATAAATACTAAATATTATATGTAGTAGATTTCATGTTTTTTTTTTTCTTTTCGATTGTATTCCGTATATTGAGGTGTGCGTGATCTCATTGAAAGTTTGAAGGAAGCCATACTAAGTACATCGTATTTGAACACTTGTGCAATAAATGCATCAACTCTGATAACATTTGAATGTGCGCGGCATTTAGTATTAATAAACCGTGTTGATGACTTATTTCGTGATTTTTATTACATAGAAAAATTGTACAGATTCATTCATATAAAAATTGTAAAACATTGAAAAAATAAAACATTGGATTATCATAAAATAATAATAGAATTACGGCCGAGGGTCTGCCATCCTGTAATGAAAATTTAAATATTCATTAGTATACCATACTTCAGAAATTATCACAATTCCAAATAAAATTAAAGCACTCGATGGAAACTTCTTTACTCACGAATTTTATAGGAGTTTATAATACTTTTTTTTTGGAAAATGGGTAATGGAGGCCTATGCTCAGCATTGGACTCAAACAGGCTGAAATTATGAGTCAAACCTACAACTGAGACTTGTCTATTTACACTTCTAAAAGTTGTAATGTGTAAGGTCTTCTCCAAAGAATTAGACAAAGGTGAACCAACATGAAGATGGTTGATTTTAGTAGGCTGCCTCATTCCCTTTTAAAAAGGTATTTGTTCAGCAATACATTAAACATTACATAAATAATAATGGTAATACATTGCCCTAAATTAATCCTATTATAAAACAACCAGATCTGAAATAAAGATTATGTACCCTAATGTAAACGGGTATACTCCACAGAGCAAGCCATTCCCCCCTTAATATCATTTCCCCGCTCAAAAGACATTCAAGGTTTCATTAATTCGCACAAAGCTGAAAATTTGCACGAATGTTGGGAACAAAACAATTTGTCAAAAATCCTAATTTATCCGATGTGTGGAAAGAAATTTTTCAAGGTCAAATGTTACACATTCGCTAAACGGCAAGCTCAATCATAAAAATAGAGACAAAAACTATTACTCTCGGTAATAATAATACTCACAGGTGTATGCTGATTTGAGGCGAGGCGCTGACGGCGGACACGTCGTGAGGCGTGAGGAACACGAACTGACGCGAGGTGTTCCTCAGGGCGTGGTCTTTCAGCAGCTCTATGACGACAGTGCGATTCACGTTGTCCTGGTACAGAAAATTTGCGAGTAGCGAAGGGTCCTCAACAACCGTATGTCGTATATATTTTACGGTGGTAGGGCCACGCAACACTTGCACGAATGGGCAGGTCCGTCCGGGTAAGTACCACGACCGCACAAAAGACCGGCGTAAAGTTGAAGTGTTACACTTCGGCGTTTCGTCTGGTGAATGAGGTAGCCGGGGCCCACTTCACTTAAAGGTGGCAACGCGTTTGCAACCCTACGGGAGTTGCAAATGTCCATGGGCGGCGGTTATCACTTAACATCAGGTGAACCGCCAGCTCGTTTGCCACTTTCTCACATAAAAAATGTAATAAATAAAAAGCCGTAAGTATAACGGAACTCAAGGACGTAAATAAATCCACCGCGACGCTTTATGTGAGAACGTTTTAAGTCCCTTATGCTGTTCGCAAGAGCAGTTGCTACATGACTTAGCCAAAACGCATGGGGCTATTTAATAGATAAAAGATTTGCCAATAGGTTTTAAATATTTAAAAAAATGACTGATACAAAATAGATATTATACTATAAATTACTTTTTAAACTCTTATTAGTTGACATAGTTAAATAGCATAGTTTACAAAATCCCACGAATATTATAATTAGAAACATATTTATCAAATTAGGATCTGGGTTCGAGTCAATCAATGGACATTCAATGCAATTCATCAACAATTCTTTTAATATTGTTATATATGATTGTAGTTCTGCGTTAAATATTTATAAAATTGAATTGATTATATTTGACATTAGTACAATATATTTACATTATACATGTATGGTATAGGTTATTATTGTTTGTTATATTTGATTATTAGGTTCTTTTGACGTACAATAAAATAGGTAGACAAATTATAAATATTGGTGGTTCTTCTTCTTTGGTTAATGTCCTCTCTTAAAAGAGTTCTGCCAATATCATGTCAGTCATGGGAGTCACACTTATTAATAAAGTAGAAAAAAAAACAGAGAAAAGAGAAAACCGGTTTGTGCGATACTTCCGAATCTAGAACGAGAACAAAAAAAACACATTTAATATTGGCGATTGATATTGTAACGCTTATGGTGTTGACGTCTTGAATGTTAATGTCCTGTCTTGACAGTTTTGAATGACTCACTTAAATTATCCTTTGTTAGTATAGAATAAAAGCATTTCGGAAAAAATTATATAAAAAGATCATAGACAGGCAGTTCTGGGAAGGAACTCAAAGTGGAAGCAAGAAAAAGAGGAAAAGTGTAGTCTATGCGGAGTGATGCGATAACAAGTGGACCACTGCGCTTGGCGACATGTTTGTTATAATTTAAGTATCTAAATTATAAATTTAAAATAAAAAAAAAATATTAGTATTAATTTATTATAAATTACTTTGATTTTTTTTGTTTTCAACCCGCGTGTAAAGTGCACACGCGATCGTTTTTGTAAACAAAGTGTAGGTGAGAACACCGGCGCTACCCGGCGCCATGTGTACATCTTTAAGTACCTATATAATGCTTTTATGAGTGCATGGAACAAAGTCGCAATCGTGCACCCACCATGAAGAGGTCGAACTCGTCCATGAAGTAGAAGGGCAGCTCGACGCACTCCCAGAGCGCCATGATGAAGGCGACCGTGGAGTAGGAGCGCTCGCCGCCCGACAGCGAGGAGGTGGAGGCGGCGCGGCGCGCCTCGGCGCTCTCGCGGCCGGTGCACACGATCTTCAGCCTGCCCGCCGCCTGGTCGATCTCCAGGCGGCCCTGCGCGGACCGCACCGCGTTATCGGGTGATGCTCCGGAGCGGGGGAGGGGGGAGGAGGGGGGGGGGGGGCAAACGCGCAATTTCTAAGCCGAGTGTGATCTTGACTCTACTCTTGATATAGAACACATGATGCCGAAGTCATATCTACCTCGTATTTGTATACAGCGTGTCTTTGCAATGGCGACAATAAATGCACACACATATAGAGGATAACTTTTTAAAATTGTATTAAAGATTTACATTCTTTAAACATCAATATTTACCGAGTTATCAAATTTTTCAAAACAAAGAATTTTAGAACAGACTTACGTATAAAAAAGTTCATTTCTAAAGGTCACATAGCATATGAATAGGTTGAATGAATTTAAAAGAGACAAAACATACTGTGAGAAGGAGAGGCTTGTAATGCGACGCTGTGGCGCGAGTTGTATAGGATGTTACAAATTTTGTTTCTTTTTTACTTAATTAGTTTGTTTAAAAAATGTTTTTTTTTTAATTATGGATTTTGTTTAAGGTTAATATTTTTTTATGATTATTGGCAAGTAGCGTTAGACGTGTGTTCATTTATTGTCGCGATGGTAACGACACGCTGTATAATATCATTATCATTATAGGCGATCCGAAGGGCGTAGTGGGTAGTGAACCTGCCTCTTGTGTCGGAGATAGAGATGTCGAAAATGAAGAAATACATCGATATTTATATATCGAAGAGAAAATATCGATACATCAGATATAGGTCCTAAAAAACCCCTTCAACTAAAAAAAGGTGTGTCCAGTATCAAATATTAATTGACACTCACAGACTCTATCCCAGATTCGAATTTGAACAAATGTCGTTTTTGATAAAATTTTCGATATTGAATATTTTGTATCTATATTTTTTTTTACTTTTTAAAAATAAACAAACATTGGTAAATATAGAATCAAAAATATCGATATTATATATATATATATATATATCTTTATTCTAGATAATTTCCTTAACAAAATAAATTGTTAGTAATTTATATGTTACGTATTTTAATGAAATGGAACAAATCATAATATATAAAGCTTAATAGAGCACAACATCCCTGTATCTAAAATTACGCTTATGGCTTACACACTCAATTAAATAGCTACTATTAGTAATAGGTGTTATGTCATTTGCAATTAAACTTCTAATAATTATTATTAAGACTCACCGAATATTCTCTCAATGTTAATATCGACTGGAAACAGTACTGCACCCTCCGAGCTATGTAAGTTTGGACTTTATGACAAAACTTCAAATGTTTATCTGTCGTCAGTTTAATCTAAAACAAAATGGCAAAAGTTAGTACATATATTGACAAATTCCTACAATATTATTATCATTATATTGTGAATGAGTGCCGGTAAATAAGCAAAAAGAGGATAATGTTAATAATTTGAATTTATAAATTATGGAATCAGAATGTTTCATACATTAATTAATTTGATAAGAAATAAAAAATAGTGGTAATAGACTGGCATTTTTTTTTTCAATTATAAAATATAAAAATCTTTGTTATATTCATATTCATTGTGATTAACTCACTGAGTTCTTTTTCAATGGGGCTTGAACAATACTAATATTGTATGAATATTGCTTCTTTCAAAGCTATTTCGAATGCGCTATGTTTGAATTACAAGTATATTATAAATTTTACATGGCATGTGTTAAATGAAATTCTATACACAGGCGTAAAATACACCTTTAAAAATGATTTTAAAACAATTTTCAGTCGCAAAACAGCTTATGTCTCACTGATAGAGTGCTACGCTCTCGTAGCAGTTCGGAGCTTGACTACGGCGGCTCTACGAAAGTAATTATTGCTATACAGTTAGCTACGCAAAGAGTTATCAATTTATCAATTTTATTATTCATTCTCTAAAAATTTCTCAAATACTTTGCAATATAATCTTCCGTGGAAGTGTTTCAAGGCTATAAAAACAGAAACTTTTTTTAACATTATTTTCGATAAGCAATCGACTATCTACATTTTATAAGTACGATTTTGAGGCGATAGATGGCGGTATTTTTTTGTCGTATTTTCTTAAACACGATGTTGAGATCTGCGCTGGTATAATATACACCTTTGTTGATTGATTTTCGAAATAAATTGCACACTAATGCCAATTGAATGTAAATTTTGTCTTTGAAATCCCAACCGTCGGACATTGTTCGGGATCGAGGTGTATAGAAAAAGGAGAGGATTAATTCAGACCACATACAAAGTTGCGAATCGACTCGAGTACCCATATAACATCACGATTCAACATCATTATATACTTACTTGACTTGATACTTCCTATCTAATTAGCCTCGAGTCGAGCTGACTCGTGCTCTCCGAATTGGCCGAGTCACCCCTTTGTCCCTACCGGAGATTTCGATTCGAGTCAGTAGCCAAATCAACTCGAGTAACTCGAGTCAAAAAAAATCCAACTCGTCACATCACTGTGCAGCATCGACTACTGATGCATGAATGGGCAGGCTAGTCGAAGGAAATACTAGTGGACTGGAGTGAAAATCAAGTCTTATCGCATGAAGTGGAAGTAAACTTAAGTGGTTCACGAAATCACCCCAAAACGCATCAACTTTTTTAAACAGTTCGAATATTTTTAATTGTTACTAGTAAAAGGGGTGTTGTTAAAAAGTCGACAGACACGTCAAACTTATGACACGACACTTGACATGAGTTTGGGCGTTACAAAGTGTCGCTCACGTCGTCAATGAGGGCGCGCAGGCGGTCGAGCGCCAGCTTGGTGCGGCGGAACTTGCGCTCGACGGCGAGCAGCCGCTCGGCCACCTCGGCGCGGCTCAGCCCGTCGCTGCGGATCGAGCTCAGCTTCAGCTGCGTCTTCTTCAGCTCGGAGGTCACAGCCGCCTTCGACCTGTGGCCGCGAAGAGTTTTTTTTTTTTTTTTTTTACGACCGCCTTCAAGAAGAGAGCATACTCTCTTGTAGTTGAGCCTCCTCCTCGTCTGCCCCTTCTTTCCATAAAAAATGGAATGATTTTGGTATGTTTTTTACTTGGGAACAACATGACAATATATATGATATGATAGATACAACTACGTTTATCACCTTGGATTTTCAACTCTTGGGCAGAGAGTTAAGGCCTCTTCGATCTTCTTCGCGACTACCGCTCGTTTCTCCTTCAAAGTGGCCTCAAGTTGAGCGAGCTTCGATTTCTCCTCCGCCGCCCGCAACTGGCAGGAGCGCCGCTCGGACACGCCCTGGTCCACTTTCATTTGCTCCCGTTCTATTTCCTCCTGTACGTGAAATTTGAAAGAGAATAAAAATATTTAGTTGGCGCATTACATTATAGGAGGAAAATAAATAACAAAAAATAACACTAGGATTGTAAGAATGTATGCACCAAAAGGTCTCCGCTCAGCTTACAGCCGTGCCAGACAATACTACGGCACTGGTTTTCTACATATACCTTGTAAGAAATTACATAGTGATTACACACTGTTGGAATGAAAAGGACTCTATGTTTCTTTCTCTATCTTATTTCATGTCCAGGCAGAATTCTATTAACATTTAGGTACAATTGGGTTGCCATTTGGTAATGGTACTGGTGTATATAGTTGTCCTTCGAGCCGGATTACAAGAAAATAGCGTTGAAGTAAACATCTATTGTTCATCGAAAGCTATTATTGTTTTATAATTTTTAAAATTCATAAATAAGTAGCAGACCCACCAGACCCAAGAAACACTTCGACTGTTTGACATAGACATAGACATAAACTTTATTTTGACAAGCAACAAACAGAACAAAAAATTCAAAAAATAAATGACATGAACATAACAAATTGATAAATAAAAACATAATATCGTTTCAACAAAAAAAGCAAGTTAAAAAAAGGAAAAAAAATAAGTACACAAAGTTACAAATATAAAAATTATTAATAAAGAAACAAAAAAGACATAGAAACCTTTGAAGGAAAAAAAAATGCATAGTGTATATGTAATAAGGAATGAATTGTGCTGTGAGTTTATGTCAAAAATGGTCTCCACTCAGCAAAAAATACGGAGAGATCCGCAATGCTGGTATTCTGTGGAGCCATTTCGATGTTAGGAATGTGAGGAATGTGCGGGTAGATACGCAAACTTGTGAGCATATTACCAGAATTAGATAAAAAAATTATACTAAAATAAAACTTAAATAATAATAAAAATAAATTTTGCAACACTGTTAGAATTTCTGGCAAATATTGACCAACAGAAAGAAAACAATGCAAGTAAAAATTATTTATAGTTTGATGCGTAAACTAAAGTAAAGGTGGTCGGTCACTCACGTTGAGGTTTCGGCATTCGGTGGCGCACTGCGTCAAATCGGGGCCGATCTCCCCCAATTTGGCCTCGCAGCTCTGCACGTCCGCTTGGAACTGGCGCTCCTTGGCGTCGTATGCCTCCATCTTCTCGCTGAGCGCGCGGACCTTCTCCTTCGACAGGTTCAGCTCTTCCACCTGCGTGAGAAAAGCAAAAAGGACACTTAGGCTATTTACACACTCATAAACGCCGATGAGAACGTTTGAAAGGGATCAAAATGAATAAACCGTCGGCAAATGTGACTTAACTTATTTTACATGAATTATTTACCACAAAACAAAATCGTGCACGCTATCAACCCTTACACCTGCCGTGCACGCGCACACGCACACGCACACGCACACGCACACGCAGACACAGAGACGGCCGCGCACGTCTCGGCACGCACACACACGCACCAGCACGGCGGCCTGCTGCGGCGCGTGGTGCGCGTCGAGCGCGGCGTCCGCCCTGCGCGCCGCCTCCTCCCGCTCGTGGAGCGCGGCGAGCAGCGCCCGCAGCGCGGCGGCGGCCGAGCGCTCGCGCTCCCTGGCGGCGCGCGCCTCCTGCGCCAGCGAGGCCGCCTCCGCCTCCAGCGCCGCCAGGCTCGCCTCCGCCTCCTGGATCTCCGCGCCGATCTGCCTGCCGAGGGCCACCACGATTATCTACTGCTAGCTGTGCCCGCGACTAACTTAAAATAAAAAAATAATCTAAAATAAAAGTAGCCCCAGTCACCCCTTATTACATCAGTTAACTGTCACTGAAAGTACTGTCCAAATCAGAACAGGAACAAACAGACAGACAGACCGACAAAAATTGTAAAAAATGTTATTTTGTTATATGTACCGTGTATACATCCATATGAATTTAGTAAAAAGCGGTTATTTTAATATTACAAACGGACACTCCAATTTTATTTATCTGTATAGATATTTACATGATTTATTCATACAATTAGTTACATAATATGTATTAATGTAATATACCCAATATCTGTACCCTAAGGTCGCCTGGAAGAAATTGCTACCTTAGCAATAAGGCCGCCTGTATGTGCACTATATTTGCTGTATCTTCTTTCTTTATATTTCCTTGTGTGCAACAAAGTATAAAAACAAACAAACAAAACAAATAACGATTACTATAAAATTGTCCCACAAGTTAGGTGCTCCAGACAAACTTAGGGCGAGGAAGATTACACTAATGAATTATATAACAAACGGTACGCAATATCAACTTGTTAATATTTACCTATAATTGCAAGTCATTCGATTGAGCAGTTAACGATTGTATTTAATGTAATTTTTTTCACAAACGAAGATAACTGGCATTCGGGATAAAATTTTTATTTATTTTTCATTTGTTACGCTAAAGAAGTTTAACTTCGTACGTGTGTACATAAATACGTTTTTTAATATAAATCAGTATATGTATACTTTTTTTTTTTTTGATATAACAACCGTCACTTACAACTTATACTTACTTTGATATGACAAAAGTCCATCATTTTGAAGTCGTTTGAAAATCGAAATGTAAAGTGTGAGAAGGAAGTCCTTTTTATATCGCACCACCGACACCTAAACCATTTCGAGTTTCTCACGCCGGCTACCGATGACGTTTCTCTTCCGACCCGGTAATAGTCTCTTGACAATGAATAAGCGAGTGCAACGTTTCTATATCGGACGAGGACAGCCGTGTCACCTCCTGCGGTCGGCGGTGCTGAGGTGCAGCAGCCTGGGCTCCCGCCTGGCGCCGCCGTAGCTGCGGTAGTTGGGCGCCGGGTAGTACTCCGACCCGTCCAGGGTCACGATCTTGGCGCAGCGCTCGGGCACGTTCTCCTCGGTGTCCGCCAGCCGCACCGCGTCCTCTGGTACCGAGCAGTTTTTTTTTTATTTATTTATCTAAACTTTATTGCCAACCTTCGGTAAAACAAGGTGTCAAAAGGTTTTTTTTTTTTATGGAAAAAAGGGGCAAACGAGCAGGAGGCTCGCCTGATGGTAAGTGATCACCGCCGACCATGAACACCTGCAACACCCGAGGGCTCACAAATGCGTTGCCGGCCTTTCAAGAAAGAGTATGCTCTCTTTTTGAAGGTTCCCAGGCCGTAACGGTTCGGAAAGACCGCCGGCGGCATTTGGTTCCACAGAGTGGTTGTGCGAGGCAGGAACTGCCTTTATTGGGTCCGCCCTTTAATGCCCAAAGGCCAGCAGTTCTATCGCGTATCGAGCTAACGATCGGCGGGATGTCAGTGGCGGGTCCACGCAGAAGACCGGCGTGAGGTGGAAGTGTTATACTTCCGCGTTTTGTATAGCGCGTGAGGTAACCAATGCCAATGCGGTTTATCACTTAACATCAGGTGAACTGCGAGCACGCTCGCTGCCATATCAGAATAAAAAAACATTGTTGAATAAAACGCAACCTGTGTGTGATCACCACTCACATCAGCTGAACCGTTTAATCGCTTGTCAACTTTTCACATTAAAAACTAGTCGTCGCCAAGTGGTCGAAATTCTAACCATAATTATTGGTGCATTCTGCACTCCTTCTCTAGATAAACTATAAGCGTGGGAAATTTCATACTCTTCTGTCCGCGCTATTCTCGTAAAAGGGGTACAAAGTTGCTTTTCGAGTTTTTATATTTACTTTTTTCATTTTTTTTCTTTTTTTATAAACATTGCCCTTACTTTGGGATAATATTATCTTGTTTGGACGTTTTACAAACATAAATTTCACGCGGACGAACATTCAGGTGCGAACCAACTATCTGTGGCTGGCACGAACAGTTCCCGTGTTGGAATCGAACCCATGACCCGCGACGCCAAGGCCAATACCTCGGGCAACTGCGCCATGGAGCCATCAATAGTATACAGAGTACATAGATAGAACGGTGGTAGGGCCACGCAGCAGCCTCGGCTGTTGCACGAATGGGAAGGCCCGTCCGGGTAAGTACCACGAGCTCACAGAAGACCAGCGTAAAGTGGAAGTATGACAAATACTTTCGCGTTTCGTCTGTTGAGTGAGGTAGCCGGAGTCCAATTATCAAAAGGTTGTCAACGCATCCGGAAGCCTCGGGTGTAGCAGATATCCACGGGCGGCGGTATTCACTTAACATGAGGTGAACCGTCTGCTCGTTTGGCAACTTTTCGCATAGAAAAAAAATAGATGACGCGTTCGCTAGAAAAGAGTAGCGGCGGCACCGTGGTCGGGCACGAGCAGGATCTTCTCGAGGCCGACGTTGTCGATGAGGAAGTTGGCCACCTCCGGGTCGGTGACCTGCAGCGCGTCCAGGGCGCACGCGTGGCCATTCGCGCGCACCCGGTGCCGCCGCACGTCGTGCGCGCGCCCCTGGAACGGGCTGCACGTCACGCCCGGCTTCGCTGAGCGCCCGTACACCTGCGAGTTTTTATTACTTTTATGTGCGAAAACATTATGATCGTGAGTGAATACCGCCGCCCGTGGACATCGGCTACGCCCGAGGGTTACAGGTGCGTTGGCGACCTTTTGAAAATTGCGCTCCGGTTACCTCACTCACCAGGCGAAACGCGAAAGTATTATACTTCCAATTTTCGCCGGTCTACTGTGAGATCGTGGTACTTACACGGACGGGCCTGCCCGTTCGTGCAACAGCCCAGGCTGCTGCGTGGCCCCACCACCGCAAGTGAGTAACACTTAACATCAGGTGATCCGTCTGCGTTAGTGTTGTTCGCTTAACATCAGGCGAACTGTCTGCTCGCTTGGCAACTTTTCACATATGAAAAGAAAGCCATAAAGGAGGCCCATGTGTTTGACCCTGTATGCATTTGATGCATCTTTAATGCACTAATATCACTAGGTTTTTTTCATTTTTATTTTTTTTTTGTAAAAAGTTGCCAAGCGAGCAGCCAGTCCACCTCATGTTAAGTTAATTAAATGAACGTTGGCAACCTTTTGAAAATTGCGCTCCGCCCACCTCGCTCACTGGACAAAACGCGAAATTGTTATACTTCCACTTTGCGCCGGTCTTCCATGGGGTCGTGGTACTTAACCGGACGGGCCTGCCCATTCGTGCAACAGCCGAGGCTGCTGCGTGGCCCTGCCATCGTTGAAGTCTCGATCCGTTCAGTCGTTCAACCGCTCACATTCAGTCGCTCGTCTTGACGACATAGTCATTGGTGAATGTCACTCGTCAAAGTTGTGGAATTCGCACCTTTCCCATTATCTCGAACAGCTTCCGAGAGTCCTCCGGTTTATTAACGCAGAACGTCTTCAGAGAACCACCGATGATACCCTCGATGGCACCGCCCCATTTCTTCTCCTTCAGCTTCAAGTAATGCCCTGTTAAGTTAGAAAAATGCCTTTTATTCCCGCAATATTGGTCAACCGCAATAAAACTGAGTACTTAAAGTTATTATCTTCGTTAAGTTGCTTATTAAAGTCGCTAACTTCTTTTGTATATTTTGTGCGCTGTCAGTATAAACACGATCGTCACTACGGGGTGTTGCCACCTCATAAAATATCGATATCGATTAGGTGAACTAAATGTCTTTGCCCCCAAGTGGGGCGAGGCCGAAAGTAGTACCGACGGGGCCCCTGGGGGGCGCGCTGAACTGGCCCGCGGCGGCGGCCTGGCGCACGCGCTGGCAGAGCTCCACCATGTGGGCGCCGTACACCGCCAGCGAGTCGTCGCCGCGCGACTCCAGCTCGCGCAGCTGCTGCCTCAGTTGCTCTTCAAAGATATTCGTTTAGTCACTACATAGTATAAAGAAATTCGTCCCTCTATCTGTATGTCCCTATGTATGCTAAGATCTTTAAAACTACGCAACGGATATTGATGCGGTTTATAATTATTTATGCAGTATTTTTTTTTCTTTGATATCAATTCAAAAGACCATTTTTTTTAAATGGATAAACGAGAAGTTAATATCGTTTAAAATATTCTTATTATCTTACAATACATGTAGGTTATTCAGGAATTTTTTATCATCGAAACTATAGGTTTATGGTAACTGAAATAAGAAAAAAAAGTTTGACACTAGATATCTTCTAAATATCATATCATCATGATTATGATAATATAATATTATAATATCCATCCGTGGGAGCTTCGTACAGTCGTACCACATACGTTAAGCGAACGCCCGGCCTAGGTGTTAGGTTTTATTTTCGTTACGGAATTTCTCGATTCGGTCGCCACGATAAAAGCTATGCAATAGCTTTAAAAAAAACTTATTACGGATTACAATATGAAACAAAATATGAATGCACTGACTGAGCGAGTCGCGCTGGCGCTGCACGCGCGCGTCCGCCGCGTCCGCCGGCTGGTGCGCGTGTGCGGCGTTGGCGCGCGCCTGTTCGGCCTCGTGCCGCGCCGTGTCGTAGCGCGCGCGCGCCGTTGCCGCCCCGCGCCGCGCCTTCTCCGCCGCCGCCTCCGCCTGCCGCCGCCGCGCCGCCGCGGCGTCGCCGCACCTGGCTCGTTTTTTTTTTAATGTGAAAGTTGCTTGAGCTCTGGCTGGTTAGTTGTGTGTGTGTTCATCGACGCAGATTATAGATAATCTTCGTCGATGAACGCAGACGTCGCGTGAATAGCTCAAAATTCACTTTGATAACAATCGTCTGCGAGTAGATTTTTATGATTATTTTCAATTCAAATAAATTTTTTTAAGCTATCTTTTCCAAATTACCTAAATTCGACCCTGGTGGAAACCCTATACAGAACGAGTGCCCACGTTACACCGGCACAGTGCCAATCTACCAGTTACGTGGAAACACGAGGTAGTAATGTTCCGCGAACACAGCGTTACTAAGCCGGCGGCAGCACCGCATCAAGCGACCAGCAACGCCCACGTGTGCGACCGCTATGCTATGACCATTTTGCAACGATCAAACCACGAACAGGCCTACATTAGTGTGGCTTTCGCCTATACAGACATACACACATATACGTACGCATACATATATTATTATAACCCCTTTTTACTTGTAATAGTATATCGTAATGACATTTCGGATATATAATGTGTAAAGTTATAAAGGGCACTAATTCTCTATAACAATTCTTATACATGTATATTATTATTATATTACTTATTTGTAAATGTGATTTCTTTTATTAAATATTACTCAGTCATATCATATACTCCATTCACTTTTTGTGTTGCATAAACAAATTATTATTATTTTATATTCAATATCTCATGGGCTATGCTCGGTATTTCAGTACGGCAGCAGAACAAAGGTAACCGACAGCTCTGAAGGTTAGCTGAAGTGGCGATGGGCTTATAGCTCGTAGAACCGATAACTACTGGGGAAGAAAGGTTCTCGAGTGGCAGCCTCGAACTGGCCATCGCAGTGTGGGACAACCTCTCACTAGATATAGTGTCGGACTCTTCAAATGTGAGGGAAGTCGATGGAAGCAGGTGGCTCAGGATCGTGCTTCGTGGCGGTCTGTGTGGGAGGCCTATGTTCAGCGGTGGACTCGAACGGGTCCACGTCCATGATGATGATTCAATATCTCACTGTATGTTCTCGATCTCCCTCTGCAGGTCTGCCACCTTCCTCTGCTCGCGTGCCAGCTGATCGCGCAGCCTGGCCGCGGCGTGCTGCTCGCCCCGCCACGTGCTACGCAGCCCGCGCGCCTCATCTTCCAGCTGCTGCAGCTCACGCTCCAGAGCGGTGCGCCTTGCCGTCTTCTCCTCCAGCTGTGCTTTCAGGGCCCTGCGAACAGCTTTCAGCTGGAGATACTCCGTTCTTCTCAAGAGACTAATGATGATGGTAAACAACCGGAATGTATTGTGACGTACACGCCCGGTTTCTGAAAGACTGATCATCGTAGGTGACCATCAGCTGTCAAATGGTCATTCGGATCATTTAGAAGATCATTCTGATCAATTCAGAGAGTTTAACAATCCTTTTGGCAGCTCAAATAACATTTGAAAAGCCGTTTCACAGCTGACTGGTTAACTTGTGTATCTTGTATTAACTGATGTTTTTGCTTTCAGTCCCGAGACTATTAAAGCTTCATCTGACGCAGAAGCGGTGGGCTAGCGGGTTTGGGCCCTTCGCTGTGGGTAGGGCCGCGCACGTGCTCATGCGTGCGTTTAACTACGACATGTCATCTAAGGGCCATCGAAGTTGCGGTGCGGACCGAGACCCCGATGGCCGTCGACTGTGTATTTAGCTAATCGGTGGCTGCGGGCGGTGAGAACCGCCCTGGAACGCGGGTGTACCTTGTGTACGCGTTGTGTTGGTCTCGCCGTGCTCGGAGGCGAGTGCGAACTATTGTGTTTGTTGGTACACTAGCTGTGGGTGTAGTGTTATCCGGCGGGACCCCCGGCGGTGGGTCCGGCGTATCTAAGTCCCCTTCCTCGACCGGGTCGATGAGGACGTTTCGCGGGCGACGCTTGTTGACGTTCGCGTTTGTGTCGGGTTGGTAATTTGCTGCGCTTACCACCAGAGGGTTGGGATGATGTTCGGCTCTATCGAAGAACCGTTTTGTCAGATCTTTGAAATATTCGCGAATCGTCGGGAGTCTACAATCGCTGTGCAGATCGACGTTGCGTTGATACCACTGTGCACCGGTTGCACGGCGGATGAACTTATTTTGTACTATTTGCAGCTTGTACAAGCGAGTAGGGTGCGTGTGGGCGAAGATCATGCATGCGTAGGACATAATAGGTCGTACGCAGGTCTTATATAATAATAATTTGTGCCTTAAGGGCATTTTACTTTTAGCGTTAGTTAAATTGTGTAGCCGGCCGGAGACGAACGCGGCTCTATTACGAACGTTATTAATGTGCGTAGTAAATGACATACGCGAGTCGAAAGTGACTCCTAAGTATTTGACCTTTTTCTCCCAGGTGAGCGGTTGGCCATAAAGGGATATTTACCCCAACTTTCTGCATTGGCGAGGGCCATTATAAAGATGTGACGGGTAAGTACTTCGTGTGAAGTGAATCGCCACACTTTTTTCGGGATTTATTTCTATTCTCTATTTGCGGAACCAATCGCCGAGGCGGTCGGCGGCGCTTTGGAGTCGAGTGGTTAGTATTCTAAGGTTGCGGTCTGAATAAAAGAGCGCGGTGTCATCCGCGAAAAGCGCGAGATTGAAGTGGGGGTCTTTGGGTATGTCGCTCGTGTAGAGCGTAAAGAGCAAAGGTGAGAGGCAGGAGCCTTGTGGTACGCCGGCCGTGAGGCGGCGGCTTGTGGAGAGGGTGCCCTCGACTCGATATCAAAAGGAGCGATTCAACAAAAAGGCCCGGATGGTGTGTACGAGCCTATCTGGCACTTTGAGTGTGTACAGCTTGTAAAGCAAGCCGTTGTGCCAGACCTTGTCGAATACCTTTGCGACATCGAAGAAAAGAGCCCCTGTACTGATATGTTTTTCGGGTGGTTAAGCCTTTTAGGATGTGCTCCGTTAGGCGGTATAACTGGTCGGGACAAGAGTGTCTAGCTCGAAAGCCGAATTGTTCCGTGGGCAGAAGGCCGTTGGAAAATACGTGCTCTTAGAGTCTGTTTAATAAGAGCCGCTCGTAGAGCTTCCCCAGGCAACTGAGGAGGCTGATGAGACGATAGCTAGAGGGCTGGTTGGCTGGTTTATTCGGCTTGCGAATGCCGATAACCGTGGCTTGTTTCCAGTCGTCCGGAAAGGAGCAACTGGAGAGTAGAGTGTTGAAAATGGTCGCCAGTAAACAGATAAGCGGCCCAGGGAGAGCTTTGAGAATTTTGTTACTGATCTTATCTGGGCCCGGGGCGGATTTCGGTTTTAAATTTTTAGTAATATCTTGGACCTCTTCGGGGGTCACTGAACTTAAAGGATCGCCTTCCGGTGGAAGCGCAGCCCTAGTCTCGATTACACGGTCCACCTCCGTTAGGTGGACTGTATCGGTGTGTTCGCGCGATGGCGTACATTGCTGCTCTAGGTTGTCCGCAAGGCATTCGGCTTTTTCGGAGTCATCTAGAGCTACTGAAGCGCTGTTAGGTCTAATTAATGGCGGTAGAGATTCGCGGGGGTCTGCTTTCAGACTGCGGGCCAACCGCCAGTAGGCGGTGTGCGATGGCTCGATGTCCTCTAGGAGAGTGTCCTACGTTGTATGTCGGTGTTCCGATACACGATCTTTGACTTCTAGCTGAAGGCGTCGAAGTAGGGTTCGGTTCGATTCCGATCGGTATCGGTCGAAGGCGCGTTTGGCTGCATTTTTCTGTCTAATTAGCAGTCTTAGGTCGGGCGGAAAGTTAAACCGTCGGTCGCCCGACAGTTTCACCGTCCGTTCCGAGTCTGTGACTTTAGACTTTGTTTTACTGCGCGGACTATTGTTTTTTACGGTTGGCTCGTAAAAGCCCAAAGGGCTTCCACAAGCGTTTTATGTTGGCTAATTGCCCTAAGACGCTCGTGGCCAGATGTGGCGGCCGCTATTTTAGCGGACAATACGGCGAGTTCCTGCCTATTGATCCTATCTAATAAGCTGCAAATATTAGCGATTTGCGCGAATGGGTCGTCCTTGTTTTCCGCGAAAACTGACGGAGTTGCCTGCGCCTTTTGAGAGGCGGGCAGCTGTTGTGCGATCGGTCGTGAGGCGACCGGGATTACCGGCGCGGTTACCTGCGCGGCCACCTGGGGTTTCGTCGAGGCGTTTGTGACGGGTACGGGCGCGGGAATGAATCTAACGGGCGCGGGTTTGGGCAACGTGGATTTCGCGGGAGATTTCCTCGCGGGAGTTTTCGGGGCTTTAGCGCAGCCTCTGTAGCTAGCCGGGTGGCCGGTGGCGTTACAGTTTACGCAGTCCGGTGGATCTGCGCAATCTTTCGGCCGCGTGCACTCGGTAGTGCCGTGGTCACCGGTGCATTTGACGCACCTTGGGTGAGCGAAGCAGTTATTGGCCGTGTGGCCAAATGCTGACAGTTGTGGCACTGTGCCACAACACCTGACTTACGCGGGGGCTCGATGACTAAGTCACTGAGCGCACAGACCCTCTTCAGGTTGAAGATGGCCTTACCTTCCGGGGTAGGATCAAGTTCAACCATCACCATGTCCATAGGGACACGGGTTCTGGGGTGTCTGAGGCGTCGGACGGCATGCACAGGGTATCCCTGAGTGCGGATGTCGGTTTTCGCCTTGTCGACATCCGACTCTTTGGGGACGCCCTTGATAACTACCCGAAGCTTGCGTTCTTCGGGCAACGAGTAGGTGTGAAAACCTATCTTATTTTCGCGCAAGTATTTCGTTACGCGGCGGAAATCGTCCGTTGTGTCAAGGTATACGCGGATACCCATTTGTGTATTTTTCGACCGGGGGTCGCGGATATTGTGGCGTTCAAACCACGAACAAATTTGGTGCCACTTAGCCTTCTCCTGAATGATGATGGGTGGAGGAGGCTTTATTTTTCGCTCGGAGGCGAATTCGGACATCGGATTAGCCGCCGCGGCCGCCTTTTTAGCGGGCGTCGCGGTTGGACGGATCGTTGAGGCGGCCTCGCATTCGGGGTCGCTGTCGGTAGCGGGGCGTTTCTTGCCCTTTTTACGCGATTTAACGACGGTGAAGCCGTCGGCGTTCGCGTTTTCAGCGGGGGTCGTTTCGACCTCCATGTCCGATCCACCGTCCGATTGTGAGTCGGGTACGACGGAGCGAAGAGAGGTCGGGTTTGGTTGCACGGAAGGTGCTACGGGCGGGTTCGCGTTAGCGGATGCCGACGCGACGGGGGCTTCTAAGGTCGCGGAGGGCGACGGGGGGTAACGGACGCAGACGGCGCGGGCAATGGCGGCGGCGCGAGTTCAGCTACTTGCCTATGCTCGGCTGCATAGGCAAGATAACGTTCCCACATAGCGGGGCATTCTCTGCGTACGAACTCCTCGAAAAGGGAGCCCATCGCGACGTAAGGGCCTTTGGGGCTTGTAGCCCCGCCGGCGTGTGTGAGCTAAATAAGCCTCCCCACCTAGCGGCAGGGATGAGTGTGCCTAAAAATAACAGCTAATTTGCCTGCGCTTTAGGTGCGCTAGGGTGGGTACCTAGCTGTCGCCTATTGCAACAAGCACACAGTAAATAATAATAAATGAAACAATGCCGCCTCTGAGGCGAGAAGTGTGTGTAGGATTCTACTTACAAAACAGGAACCTGCCTACGAGCACAACACTACACTAACACTAATCTACTGCACTATTTGCACAAGATTTAAATTGCAACCGAGGTTGCGAGTGGCGTCTAATTCGGGTGGCATGTGCCCTCCGTCTTAGAGAGACATCCGTTCCGTACGAGAGCACGAAGCGGAATGTTGGTTAACTTCTACGATGAACAGTCTTTCAGAAAACGGGCGTAAATCTATTTAAAGTTTCATAATAACATGCGCGGTTCGGGCCTTGAAAATAAATGTCTTAAAGGAAAAAACTACAAATGAATTTTATTTTATATACAACACCTGTTCAGTTACCAGAGAAACAGGAATGATGGCTAATCAAATCAACTCACTCGATGTTGCTGTTGTCGCCGCCGTAGCGCTCCTCCAGGGTCCTGAGGGTCGCCAGCAGCTTCTCGCACTTGGCGTTCTGCTTCTGGTGCTGGGCTTCCGCGCTAGCCGCCTCTCGCTCTAGTTCGGCTATCTCGCTCCAGTAGTACTCGTTCTGCAGCGCCTGCTTCTGCGCCTCGATCTCGTCGCGCGACTGCATCTGCTCATGGCTCTTCTTCCACTTCTCGTACTCTCTCTCCAGCTCCGCGCACGACTGGAATCGGAGAAGTACCTTATTTTTTTATTTTCCCCTTTAACAGAACATTATCCCTATTCAAGAATATAAGTAGAAAATAAGCATTTGGTTGAACAAGGTCGAACGCCGTAAATTCCAACAATTATAATAAGTTCATGCCCACCATCTCAATCACATATCCATGAGTAAATCAAGTCTGAATGAGCTGTGAATATTTATTTTATTACATTGTTATGTTCACTTCACAAAAAAACATTAATTAATTTATGTTTTCAAGATATGATATTGAATGTACTTCCTCCTATGAGATAACCGGTAAATATCAAGCTTTTAGCTTGCACCAAAAATATTTAATATTTGTCTTAACTCTCAAAATGATAATACTTTTTACAAAATTCATAACTTAAATCGTATTTTGATTAAAAGGTTATACTTATTAAAAATTAAATTTATATCTAATATATAAAATTCTCGTGTCACAGTTTTCGTTGCCATACTCCTCCGAAACGGCTTGACCGATTTTGATGAAATTTTTTGTGCTTATCCGGTATCTATGAGAATCAGCCAACATCTATTTTTCATCCCCTTAAATGTTAGGGGTAGTCCACCCCTAATTTTTTTTTATTTTTTAGACAAAATTTTTAATTTCTATTTTTTTATGATACATCATACAAAAATACATACAACCCTAAATTTTCACCCCTCTACGCAGACGTAGTCGCGGGCAGCAGCTAGTAACATATATAAATTGAATTCCTTCCAAATGAAACACGCCGCCAAGAAATGGTTAGAAGATCTAAACTATGATGAATGTGAAAACCTTATTAATAATTGAGGAATGAATATTTATTTTCAAACACACTCGCACATGCTAGTAAACGCACGCACACATTTTCTTTTGTCATAATTAGCTTTTTATTTTATGTTTATTGGCACAAAAGTGTATGTTAATTAGGGTATTGGCTCCTAAAATACAGGATATCCTAGTTTCAAGGCGCCATTAAATGTGTAACTAAGTGAACAATAAAACACATTTATTTATTTATTTTATTAAATCTTACCTCATTTTTTCTATTCCAGATAGAGATAGCCCTGTTGCAGTTTTCGAGTGCTTTAACATAATTTGCTTCTGTCTGATCAAGATTTGTAGCTTTGCGAAATAGAGAGTATATCTTTTCCTCATTTAATTTATGAAAAGTATGAACACCTTCTTGAGTTAGTACGGAAATAGGGTTGTCTACTTGTATATCATGGGCCAGGATTATTGAACTGACTTCTTCTAATTTGGTGGATATGACTTCTCCTGCATCAATATAAAAGTATTATAACTAAATTAACATTCACTAGGCTTTTATGATAATATCAGCCTCAACGAAATTGTAAACTCATTAATATATCATCAATGAAAATGTCAACTAATATAAAATAATACAATAAAAAATATAAAACAATCCATACTAGTATTATAAATACGAAAGTGACTCTGTCTCGATTTCATGCCAAAACTACTGAACCAATTTAAATGAAATTTCGTACACAGATAGTCTAGAGCCTCAGAAAGGATATAGGCTATTTTTATTTGGAAAAAGGGTTCTTAAAGGGGATAGATATTTATTTCAAGGCTTCAAAGCGAGCAAAGCTGCAGGTGAACAGCTAGTATATAATAATATCCAAAGAAGGAAAATGCATAGAAAACAGATTGCAATATAAATTATTTTATCCATGATGCTTTTGTTATTTATTGAAAATATTATTGTTTTTACCATTTCATTTTTGTTCAGGTTATGTGAGTCTATGCCTTAAGCCCATGCCATAAATGCTGTGAAAATATGTGAAGGCCTGTAGAAGGAGTGCCCTACTCTTTACCAGTAGCATTTATGCCACTTGTTGTATAATTATTTAAAAAGTAAAGTAACAACTTATATATATTCAACTGCTGGGAAAATGCCTCCTCTGTGTATAGAGTATTAGGGCATAGTACACCCACTGTGCAGAGGGTATTAGGTATTATTAGCACATGATAAGTCAACATTTAAAACCATCAATTTAATTGGTGCTAGCCAGCACTAGGATTATAACTCTGGTATTGAATGAAACCTAAAAATAATAGCGAGTGCCCAAACACTGAGGTATTTAATTAATATACATTGCATTACAACATTACCAAATCTGTCATAATTACCTGTTGCTGATTTAATTTTGTAATTTGAACCTCCTGATGCATTAATATTTCTTACAATTGTAATGTAGTCTCCATATATATCATGTTTGTATGCTTTTAAACTATTATTCTTAATTTTTATCTCAATTGTAGCAGAATTAGCACCTTTTTTTATGAATGCTAAAGGACGAGAACAAAATATTAGCAACAGGTTGTCTTAAATTGAATGAATGAATTGAAAAATATTCTCAAGACATCTACATATTAAGAGTTACACATAATCAGAAACCATTCTATAACAATTTGTTAGTAATAAGAGATATTCTTCTTCTGATTCTTTTCAGACAAAATAGATATTTATAAAGTTCAAAATCATAATAGACGTAAACATTTATGGGGCCACATGCAAAAAAAATAAGTAGCTAACTAAAAAATGAAATTATGCTTAAACCGTAAGAACTAAGAAGGTAAGATTAGTATTAATTCTATAACGACATATTTTTGTGACTAGGTAACTTACAAGATAAATTAGTTCCTCGATTTGTAGCAGACGCTCTACTGCCCAAGCCTACCACCAAAGCACTCAAAATAGCACTTTTACCGCTACCATTTCGTCCCACAATAAAGTTAACGTTTCTGTTTAAGTTAATCTCTAAATTCTCATGACAAAAAAAGTTGCGAACGTGAATACTTTTAATCGAGCCATCGATATCATCCTCAATTACTTCCTCCATATTTTAGTTTCAAGAGAAAACACAAAACACGAAATTCTCAGTTAATAAGTACTACCTAAAGCTACTTCAGTATACATGTCTTATCTATGAGTAATGAGTATATGTCTTTTCAGTATATATCTTATCTATGAGCTACTTGAAGCCAGGATAATATGTGTATCATAAGATATAAACATTACATCTGAACTTTAAAGGGTTTCAAATATTTGGGTAGTACGTATGTGGTTAATGTCAAAACTTCAAAAGTCAATTAAATTACAAATGTTTATAATAATATTAGTTGTATTTTTAATATCTTAGGTTTTCTTCATATTTGATTTTTGACATTAGTCAGTCTGCTGCAGTCATCACTCATCTCCTGATCTCCTCTACTATTGTCCATGGGTTCCGCAAAAAGTATCGATACTTGAGTAGTATCGTTACTTGCGTTGGGATACCTAGTATTTTCTTACTTGATACTTTTCTCCGATACTTAGTTATCGATACTTTCTGATGTTGTTTTAATTTAAGAACTAGGCTCTTGACGTTGCAGCATCCAGTGGCGGATTTGTAATCTTGGCAACCCTAGACCCCAGACAATATAGTAAGTTCCAACCACCCCTTTCTTAGAGCCCAATATGTATCTTGTTATCATTAGTGAATTTTTTGTCACGATTGGCCGCCCCTAATACGTGGCCACCCTATACCCGGGCCTATTTGGCCTTAGGGCAAATCCGTCATTGGCAGCATTCCAGTAGACATCCAATGTTTCTGCTGTTTTGAGGAATTGTATAGTGCAGTTGTTTCCTCCTTGCTTTCTGCAACGCAGTTCAGAAGGCGACGTGCCGCCTTCGGATGTTTGGTCAGGAGCCGTACCAGAATTATTCTTCGGCCTTCTGCCAATACTGACACTGCTGCTGCCCAGTATCGGGGGAATCCTTATTTGTGTGACGGTATAGAATCGTCACATCATAGGGCCGTTTTCGGGCTCGCACTTTCTGATGTATTCAATACTTTTTACTCTTCACTATATTTGATCCAGATAATCCAGATTCTATATTAGGGGAATCCCCAAATTTCCTAATCAGCGATTATGTGTGGCCAGTTGAATACTTTAATCGTATCTAGGTATTTTGAAATGGTCCGGTGTCTTCTTTAATGTCGGACCCATTCAGACAATGGAGCGAGTAGAGATCCGCAAAAAGTATCGATACTTGCGTTGCGATACTTAGTAATTTCGGCCTCGATACTTTTGTTCCGATACCTTATTAGGTATCGATACTTTCTGATTACTCGATACTTTTGGATTATCTGGATCAATAATAGTGAAGAGTTCGATACTTGAATGCTAAAAATATATATTAATACATATATTTATGTGTAATAAGTTATAGAAATATCTGTGTGCACTGAACACATTTCACGATATCTTCAATCACACATTTTTCACACCAGGTTAGCTGGCAAAGAAATCATGCATTGAGTTAATATCACCTTTTGTACATTACTTACATTTTTATTTTATTTATTGTATCCCGTGTTTTCTGTACAATAAATAAATTAATTAATTAGTTTCAAAGTCGCATCTAACTTAACAAAACACTGCGCGCCTTATAGCTGCAACGGCTTACTAATATTTCCCTATATATATCAGAGGAGATAATGTAATCACTACGTTTATACAGTACTTATGATATACATAAATCAAAGAATACTTTTATATATCTGGACATAAGTACTCTGTGCTAAGTAGCTGGTAACATTTTTAAACGCCATTTTCGAGTAGAAGAGTCACGAGAAAATATTTAATTTGTTGACGGATATTTCGTTTGTTTAAGTGGATTAATAAATTTCGATTGATGCTTTAACTGTATTAGATTTATTTTACCAATTTATTGTTAAACGAAAGGAGAAACAGGTATACGACTTCCTGTCCCCCACTTCTTTTGTTAAACTACACTCAAGCCTATTTTATAACCTTCCGTGGTTATTTTATGTACTCCATGTTATTAATGTCAATAAACGATTGGCTTTAACGATAACTTTTCATAAAATTGTTAATTTATAATATGATAGAAAAAAAAATTATGAGGGTAAACAGAGCTTTACATATACATTAAATGTGTATTACAATTGCCTACAATAAAACATTATTAATATGTACACACAAGTTAGTTTGTTTCCGTGAACAATTTGATCTTAAAAAGTAATTGTAACGAGATTTGTAGACTTCTTCGACTTTTAAATATGTTTGTAATACTGATTTAATGAGAAACTTTTTTTAGTTATAAACATGGGTGATTCGCCTGATCAGAACGATCCACCGAAAGATGTAAGTTTAATATGCATTATCAGTTAATTGTAAATTTACCTGTGTGCACTAATATAATTTCTGTCTGCTTTCCATAAGTTGTACTTCACTGTTGTATAATTTTCCTATTGTATGGTGCACCCACACCATACATTCCAAAATGCTATAGTTGTTCCCACCACCCATCAAGTTGAAGACTAGATAAACTTCTTGAAATACTTTGCGTTTACTATCTTATGTAATACATTACTCTTTCTATTTGATTTTACAGCCAAAAGAATTGGAAAAGTTAGAGGAAGCCAAGTTAAAAGCAAAGTTTCCAAATGCTATGCTAGGTAGAGGGCCAGGAGGACATTCAGCTTTTCTTCAAAAAAGACTTGCTAAAGGGGTATGTATTTAAACATAATTTTAAAGAGCCGTGATAGCTCAGTGTCCGGGCACTTGCCTTTATCTCAATTTAATTGAGCAAACTGAGTTCAGTCCCCAGTGCCGGCACCAATAAAATTGTTAATTTTAAGTGCTGACCTATCACATGCTCAGTGGTAAAAGCAAACATTGTGAGGAAACCTGCATTTTTTCGAAATAATAACAAAAAAAAATATTTCGAAAATATAATGTATGATAGATATACAATAGAAGATATAATAAAAAAAAATAGTCACAATCTTAACTGTCTTTCTATTCAACAGAGGCACAGCTCCAGAATTCTGTAATATTTAATCTTAATTCTACTTCATACCTTAAGGATACCTTCCAGTACCTTCACTCTGGTCCTGACAGAGTATCTCGTTCCATCTACCAACTTAAGATTTACATTCCTCCTCCTCTGGAATGCCCTCCCATATAAAATCAAAACAGCTTCAAATAAGTATATGTTTAAAAAATTTGTTCGAGATTACATATTAAATCATTGACTATTTTGCTTATTCCATTTGTCTTTCTATTATCCATATATGTATTTATTTCTACATACAGGGAGATTTTGTTGAGAAGTGCCCAGTGAATTTACACAGGAGGTTCAGACTCGGTAGTATAATCATTTATTAAAATAAAAAATAATTTTTTTTTCCAAAAAAAATTCCATTCTATTCCCTAAAAAACAGAATGTGTTGACGAGGAGGTAGTCATTCATAAATACCTAAACTTTACTGTGCACGAACTTGTGTGCTTGTTAGTTATGAATGATCGCGTGTAAGATATATGAGTTGCGTATAAATCACGCACTTTTTGAGATAAGTTCAAATGGATGTAATCAATAACTTATGAGTGATTTTAAATATTTATCATTTTTTATACAACATTATTTATTTCTCTAGAACTTAATTAAAAAAAAGCCACCCTGTATATTTATGTATCTATGTATATATTTATGTACCTATTTATACTTACATATATGTTATATTTTAGAGCAGATCTATTAACTTTCAGTTTTATAGTCTTCATTTAGCACCTGCCATCTACTTTTCACCATGATAAGGGTTGACTGGTTGAGAATTCCATGAGATAAGTCCGCCCATTGTTAGCTAAGTAATATTAGCTTAAGGTGTAGCCATGAAGCTTAAATAAATAAATATTTGTACTTTAATGTTGAAATTTGTATAAGATTCTTGGAAATTAAAATTTGTCTGCTCTATTAACTTTCAAGATAATATAAGAAGGTGACTATTATTGCGGCAACTAAAAATATATTAGATTGTTTTATCATTTTGTTCATTGTTTTCTCCATTGATTCGCCTTTCAAATATATATATATATATATATATATATATATATATATATATATGTAAATCTTTACATGTCCACAACATTTTATTAGTATTCTTGATTCCTAACATTAATTTTAATATGTTTACAGCAAAAGTTCTTTGATTCTGGTGATTACCAAATGGCAAAGCAGAGACCAAGTAATCTGGCAGCGCCATTTAAAGCCCCTGCAGTGCCAGCTAAGTGCCCTACTGGTGATGCCATTCCTACACCAGATACCGTCCCTTTGAGGAAAACGTCCATCATCCAACCCAAATACCAACCGCCCAGCCAGACCTCCTAGCCATGCCATCTACATTAGGCAGGAAACCACTTGATTCCAATTTTTATTTTGTTTTGCTATGTGTCACACTATGCAATTGCTTTTAGTTTTTTTATCAACATGTTTATAACATATGCAACAATCAGATTAGTATCTAATTGTGCTTATCACTTTAAAAATTAATGTCATCATTGTGATTTAACCATTATAGTAGTATATGTTAAAAATTAAACAAAAACTTTTATAAGAACAACTGTTATATTTATGTATACAATTTAGATAAAGTAATTTTGGTAGCGTTGAGAATGTATGTTTAATTGTGTTGTCTGCAATGTTCCAATGATTTAGGCATATCTTTTACTCTTCCTACAATATCATGTGTGATTTCTATAAATTTTTCAATAAGTCATCAAGGCAAAGTAATGCCAAGTAATAGTTCCTTATGACATGAGTCTGCTCCGATATTATTTCATAATTTTCAAATTATCAAAGTTATCACACATGGGTAATATTAATTTTTTTGCTCTTATAATGACAACTAATCAATGTCTTAGCCCCCACATTTTATTTTAACAGCCCTGATTAACTCATTACAAATATCATATTTTTGCCCCAATCATATCTTGCATACAAGGTCTGAATGATTATCTCACTATTTGATGGTAGTCCATGCAAAGCTTTGCATTAATGCTTATAACATTTATTTATTATAAGTTGTCTTTAACTTCAGTAATTCATCCATATGATTATAAGCCATTTGTCATGTTTTTTAAAAATAACACAAAATAATCTTAAGTGGTTAATTTTTATCTATTCAGTTGAAGGTTGTTTAAAATTGTAAATGTACATAAGGCCATAATTATTGAAAAAGTGATCTTAATATAAGGTAAAATAAATTTGGTGTAGGATGCTCTCTCTAGCATACAGTTTTGGGAATAAAAAAAACATTGATATTATGTAAGTTTTATTTTTGTGAAATCCATAACACATTTTTGGCTAATTAACAAGTTGCAGCTATCTGCATAATACTTACAAAATACTTATTTATATTGCATCTGAATAGCATTTGTCTTTTGTTTTTAAAAACTGCTGCTGGGGCAGTAAAATTAAATTTTGTAATAATACATAGGAGTGAAACATATGAAGGGAATGTTAGGAGTTAGCTATAATTAATTATAATAAATTCTTGGTATGAAAATTATGTGAATTTTCCTTTTCCTATACCAACAATTAAATTTTATGTTAATATTATGTTGAAATGAGAAAATGGGTTAGGAATAACTTAAAAGTATAGTAAACAATATTGAGATTACATTTATGAAATGGCACTTGTCAATAACTAATAACCAAGTTTTGTCTCCATTGTCTCTTTACCGTCCTTTTAAATGCCTGGAGACTGATAGAGCCACTAAACTTATCCAATTCTGCAAACAAGTTTTAACTCTTTCAACACACCTGCCCTTTGTTATATTTGACTGCTCTCTGTGAAAAGACAAGAATGGATGAAATATAGTGTATGTTATGTAAATAAGATAATATAGAGAGGAAAATAACTCTTCCACAACAAACTATTGCTAGTGAGATGTTTTCATTTATGGCACCATACCTTGGAGGAATAGTAATCAAATATTGTCCTGTTCATGTAAACCAGTGTTTCTCAAACTGTTCTTCACTGGTGCACCACCAACTTAAGGAAAAATTGAATACCCCATGCCCCTCATAAATTCTTCATCTAAATTTTTAACAGAAAATTGTAGGGAATGCAATAAGGTAGGGTGTATTATTAACCTCTCCTTGAGTATTAATATGAAATAGTTTGATAAAACTTTATAATTCGGTTGTTTCTCCATCATTGAAAAAGATGGTAAAATTAAATAATTTTCATTAAAAAAAGAGGCCCTTGAAACTTTTAATCTTACATTACCAGTGCTCCACTAACACTTAAATGGTGAAATGTCTATGTATTTGGATTTGGCCGCCCATGTGCAATTAAACTATTTTTTATTGATGCCAAAGAAGTATAACTTCTGACGCGCGTACATAAGTACACGCACCCATTTTTTTGTGAAGCAGCTGTTAGTTTTTAATTAAATAACTAACATAACAAAACAGTGGTAATTGACGCAACAGAGTAAAAAAAAAAAATAAAGGTATGTAATCTCTAATATTAAGTTTGAAATTAAAAGACATTTACCAGGGTTCCAATGCACATAGTCTGGTGTGGCGGCGGCTTGGTACTCCTGGACAAGGTCATCAACGACGCCGCGTGACTCGTCAAACTCCTCTAAGGACTCTTTAAACATTGGCTCCTTACGGAACACTTCCAAAAACGCCTCCCGTTTGCGCAGCTTATCAAATTGTTGCAGACAGCGGTCAAACAGCTGTGAAAAATATTTTTTTTTCTCTTTAGATATTTCCTCTTGCTCAAAGCTACCCTTTCTTGCATCTGAGCGCAATACTCACCGACGAAATGTTTGTGTGGTTAGCGAGCAGCAGCCCGGAGACCTTATGCGAGGCGTGCACGTAGGGAGAGCGTCGCGAGAGAGCCACCTGGATGGACGCGGGACCCCAAGGGATGAACGAGGCCAGTTTACGCTCTCTGATCCGCTGTAGGGACTTATGCACTTGAGAAGGATCCACCTCGCCCTGCCGAATCGAATGGGAAATTGCTGAACATAGTCATTCGCAACTTTAAAAGGATTACAAATGCATGAAGATTTTGAAGTTACTCCAATCATTTGACATTACACGGGAGCGGTGATATTTCAGTGGCGGGCGCTCGTCCTCTTTATTTTGCTGAAAATTGGCAATAAAATATTGAGCTCAATAAGAGTAAAGATCGTCGTATCAGCCGTAGGACGTCCACTGCTCACATAGGCGTCCCCTTTGACTTCCACTTCGACCGGTCGTTAGCGGCCTGCATCCAACGCGTCCCTGCGATCTTGGCTACGTCGTACGTCCACCTTGTGGGAAGCCCTCCTACGCTGCGCTTGCCGTCGCGTGGTCTCTACTCGAGAACCTTTTTGCCCCAACGGCCATCGGTTCTTCGAGCTATGTGCCCTGCCCACTGCCACTTCAGCCTGCTGACTCGCTCTGCTATGTCGGTAACTCTAGTTCTTCTACGGATCTCCTCTTTTCTGTTTCGATCTCGTAGAGAAACCCTTTACATAAAGCATTACCCCTACATAAAGAAAGCATTACCCTTTCCATAGCGCGTTGTGCGACCGCGAGCTTCCTTATGAGGCCCATAGTGTGAGACCACGTCTCGACACCGTAGGGCATCGCTACTTATGGATATAAATAATAAATGCGTTATATTCGTGAGACGTGTAAACGTGGGCAAGCAGAGATTTAAACGCGGTATGGTCATGAATAAAATTTTAAAGTGCAATTTTCAGTGTCTGATCTCCCTTGCGCTCAACGGTATAGGTGCATACGGTGAAATCCGACAGGTCGCAAAAGGGTTGTGTGGGTTATACAACATTCTGCATACAGAAGAAGTCTATGCCCAAACTGCATGTGTTGTATGCTTACACTATGTAACCCTATCAGGCAAGTCAGCTTTCGAAAAGAAATCTTTTGATATGTCTCTAAAATGATAATATAACAAAGGAAGAATGCAGTAGTTGTATCGGTTGTAGATTCAAATGTACCAAATTATTATTATAAAGTTTTACCTGTATAATATTGAGTATAGATATATAGCAATGCTGATTTGTCCGGTCAGGACTGAGTGAAACCATCATGTTCTTTGGTTGTAGCAATCTTTGCATGACATCTAATACTGTTGTTTTCCTGATCTTCGGTGCCTGCAAAAAGAAATATTTGATGTAAATAATTTTTACTAAAGTAAGAGGAATTTTATCTGATTTGATGTAAATTCATGGTTCAAATCTAATGAATAATAATTAATTACGGCTTTCTAAATGTACTGTTGATACTGAGTGAATTAAAAAGGAAAAACATTCACTAGAAACTTTCATACTAACAGTGTTTAGTTCATGGTCTGCTGTTAAAGGTGTGTATCCAGTCATGAGAAAATGTAGACGTGGTGTAGGGATCAATGGTGCCACTAAACTAATAAGATCATTGTTCATGTAAGAGGGATACCTGTAAAAGAGTTCAAAATATTATTATAATAATTAATAGATACATTTCAAGTATAATAGATAACTTGATTTATTTTTATACATACTTAACTATTATTTCTAATTTGTATGTTAATGTTTGTTTTATTTATTTCGGAATAGTCACTTTGTAACAATCATTGTTTTTAAAATTGTTGTAACCATTTATTATCACTGTTCTGTTGTTTAAAGATTTAGAGAGCAAAAGTATATCTAGATGAAGAATTAAATTGCAACAGAATGACATTAATACCTAAGTGTTGCTGTACTGGCACTCATGATTGTGGAGACAAGTGTGTTGATCTGTGCAAATGAAGGATTCTGAATGTGAAGGCGATCACTTGCAATTCTGTTTAGGGCAGTGTTGTCTAACACCATCACACAGTCTGCACTCTCGGTCAGACGTTTCAAGGTCAGCAGAGAATTATATGGCTGGACAACTACATCACTGAAAAAAATATCACAAAATATATGTATATGTAACGGGTATTACATGCTTATCATTAAATTTATCCACCAAATAGAATACAATATTCATCATGTTCACCTTATTTCATCGAGATTAGGAAAAACACTGTATGTCTGTACCAACTTCTTAGGAAACCTATCAGACAAATGTTCCAAGATGTAAGACCCCATTCCTGAACCAGTACCCCCAGCAATGGAATGACAGAGAACAAAACCCTGAAAATAAGTTAGAGATATTTCTCATTGTGACAAATTGGTCTTTACATATTGTGTATTAAAGCATGAACAAAAAAACAACTAAAAGGCCAACGGCCTGTAGCATTGTTTACCCAAAATACTAAATTAGATAATATTCATGTTATATCTTTTTAGAATCAATGATTCCTACATTATTATAGCACAAACAAATACACTATAAAATTAAACAATTTCTTACTTCTAAATTATCACTACCATCAGCTTCTCTGTTAATGATGTCAAATACTTCTTCATTAAGTTTTTCTCCTTGAGCATACCCAGATGCCCAATTGTTTCCAGCACCTCCTCCATGTTTAGATAAATAGACATTTTCAGGATTGTACAGCTGAAAAAAAGTAAAACAAGCTTTTTTCATAAGAACTTAAAGAGTTAACATTCACTTAACATATATCATACAGATTATGGATAATGCAGGAAAATCTGCCTTACGTAAGGCAGATTTTCCTCTTACATGTCTGTCAACAACAATGACTGTTTTTTTTTTCTCGGAACAAAACTTGGTAAACCTTGTATATGTATTAGCAAAAATCTTATTGAAATATTAGCAACATGGCATTTTGGCAAATACAGTTGCTGAATTTGTACATTTCATGTTTTTTTTTTTTTTTAATTTAATTTAATACTTTATAATTAACAATTCGGCCAGTTTTGTTGGGATTGCAAATAATATAAATTCCAAATTAATAGTTGAGCAGATTAAAATTGAAAAAAAGGTATATTAAGGATTATTCAACCCAATGTAGAAAATTAAACAACGGCGAATATTTGTATGTTACTGACTTGATTAAAAAGGTTTTAAATTTTTTTAAGTAGCCAAAACGTCTTATGAATAAAAAATTACGCACCTTTGCATATGGTGAATTCATGATTGTGTGTATAACTCGAGGTTCCAAGTCCAGCAATACAGCGCGAGGTATATAGTGATCATCGTCTGCTTGATAAAAGAATACGTCTTTGCGGTCAGAACCTGCCGATGCAAACTCCTCCAAAATACCCTCCGGAGAAATGCCATGTTCAATGCAAAGTTGTTTCCAAAACTCGAAACCAACTAAAATATGTATAAAACATTTGAAATTAACTGAATCGTAAACAAATAAATGACAACATAACAATTTACTTTGATTCCCGCATTGTCCTAGTTGTAATGTTATCATTTCACTTGGCATTTTTCTTAAGTTTTATTTTAGTGGAAAATGAGATAATTATGAATATATTATGATATTTTTATATTTCTTATTTGAACCACCAGTACCCTGTACTTTTCTAAAGACAGAAGTTAAATTTTTTGACATCACTCAGTAATGTTTAGTGTATATCAAAACATACTTGATTCTTATTGGCTAGGATCTTTCAATGTCTAATTAACGGCAATGTTGTAAGTTGTGAAAAATTAGGGATTTATCTAATGAAATGAATAGAGAAAAACCCAAGGCATTCAACTGTAATAACAATAATAAACATAAGTACGGGCGTCCGCCTGTATGGGTATTATTTATTTATGAATCATATACAATATTTATAGACGAGAAAACTAATAAATAGCCCCAAAAACCTAAGTAAAAAATTCATGCAACAAGCAAATGCCGCAAACAGATGACCCACGTTCTCAGGAGTATAACGTAAGTCGTTTCTGGTGGTATGTTATCCATATTAATGCATCTCCGTGACCCCTATTAAAAAATAAGATGAACAATTCGATTCGATTAACAAGGGAAAGTACAAGACGATCTATAGCCCCAGGACGCCCACGAGGTTTGAACCTCATATAGATAACAAGGCCAAGATTGAAATTTATTCACGAGACATAACTATTTATAAAATATAAACTAAGTATTAAATTATTTACGACAACCATTGAACCTTCAAAAGTTAATTAATTACGTAATAAAATATAAGATGGTATGCAAAATAAATAACAATAACAGCAATCGATTCAACATAGGTATATCTTGAGGCAGTAATTTCAACTTCTCAACAATGTGTAGAATATAGACTTCTATTATCGATTGCGGTTTAAACCGAGATTTGGTACCGATGGAGGTATCCATTTGAGGGAATTTCTTACATTGGATCGTGCCGTGTTCCAAAAAAGTGATGGAACTAATTTAGGTTGGTCATCAAAGTGAAAAAAATTATTTCGATTAAAAGTGTTTTAAGAAAGAAAAATAAGAACATAAAATAATTAAAGAAAAAATAAAGCAATGACTGCTATGTTTTTTTTCTATGTCCAACCTGAACTTAACGTAAATGTCAAAATAAAATAAGTTTTCAAAGAGATCACTAAACTTGTAGCTAGTAGATCTTGTAGTTTATTTGGTAATATTAAATTATATGTGATTAGTTTTTAATGACTGAAATAAAAGATAACAGATATTAATGGATCGAACACATTAACCACTGACTAAAATCAGTTTATTGTTTTATAGTTGTGGGACTTTATCGAACTAGGTGCAAATAACTTCTTGAACTTGATGGCCTTCACATAAAATATTTCCCAACTTTGTCCAACCTACGGATTATATGAGAAGTGGTTAGATAATGACATATTAGGCGTGAGTTTCGTAACTTTACCATTTTTTACTGAAGAATTCTTTTCGTAGATAAAAACTTTGAAGTACTTTCTATTTAAGGTTCGCTTCCGTGTAACGATCTCAGTTACGAAACTATTCAACGCACTACTCATCTTTATGCATTTGCATATATCAATCAATTGAATGTTAATTTTACCAACATTGTTGCATTTTTATTAATACTTCGTCTTCAGTAAGGTTTATTTATTAAGACAACAAAAATGCCGAGAAAACTATTAAAGTTTTTAATTGTATTTGATAATACTTCCCTATTATATTTTCCTGGTCAGTTTTTATCAGGTAAAGTGCTCATGGAACTGCAAGATGATACACCAGTATTAGGTATGTTGTAAATAGTTCATATTAAAATAGAATTTAGAATTTTTTTTAAATTAATTAAATTAATATTACATTACAGGTCTCCATTTTCATGTCATAGGGGAAGGTGTAGTTCGTGTAGGTTCTGGTAGACATGAGCGTCTCTTTGATAAAGAGAATTACATTGACTTCAGGATGCGTCTTCTTGGTGAACCAGGTTAAGAGTTAACTTGTGCTATCTTATAACTTTGTAATTTTTATATAAAAAATACTTATAAATAACTTAAGTATTAACTTATAAATACCAATATAATACTTTTACAAAAATTACCTTTGCCATTACCACATATTATGATAAAGTAAAATATTGTATTATACACATTAACAGTGTTTCAATGTTGATTAAACTGTGCTGTCCAAATAACTTTCAACTGTTTTATATCCAATTTATTCTTAGTCTATAGTCATTTAATTTGTTGTCATTATTATTACACATTAAATATATTTAAAAAAATAATTATGATTGAAAATGTTTTAGTACCTGATAACTTCATCATGATTTTTATAATATAATTTGATAATAAAAGGAAACCAATATGTTATAAAAATATATTAATTTGCAGGTCATACACCATCATTACTCTCACCGGGCATTCACAGCTTCCCATTCAAACTAGGTCTTCCTATGGGGTTGCCATCTACATTCTTAGGTACTCATGGCTGGGTTCAGTACTACTGCAAAGCAGCCTTGAGAGAACCAAATGGTTTAACTCATAAGAACCAGCAGGTTTTCATTGTTATGAATCCAATAGATCTGAATTTGGAACCACCAGTGTTATCGGTGAGTAATGAATTGATCTCTTCCAAAGTATTTCTTGGGGAATGTAAAACCAAATAACCTTATAGAGAATAAATATAATAATAATAGAACTAATTAACTATTCACTATTCACAAGGTACATTATAAATATGTATTTACCATTTATTTAAATTTGTGTAACAGAATTTGAGTGATATTAATCTCTTCTAAAGTTTTTAGCACATGTTTTACATAAAAAAAAGTAAAGTTAAGTATCAGCCTTTATAAGTCCCACTGCTGGGCAAAGGCCTCCTCTGTACAGAGGGTATTAGCGTATAGTCCACCACTCAACCCAACTTCAGATTGGCGGATTTCACATATCTTTGAAATATTTTTATTGTTATTATTTCGAAAATATGCAGATATACAGCGTGTCGTTACCATCGCGACAATAAATGAACACACGTCTAACGCTACTTACCAATAATCAAAAAAAAATATTAACGTTAAACAAAATCCATAATTAAAAAAAAATATTTTTCAAACAAACTAATTAAGTAGAAAAGAAACAAAATTTGTAACATCCTATACAACTCGCGCCACAGCGTCGCATTACAAGCCTCTCCTTCTAACAGTATGTTTTGTCTCTTTTAAATTCATTCTACCCATTCATATGCTTTGTGACCTTTACAAATGACACTTTACGTTACAGTTTTCTACGTAAGGGTGTTCTAAAATTCCTTGTTTTGGATAATTTTATAACTCGGTAAATATTGATGTTTAAAGAATGTAAATGTTTAATACAATTTTTAAAAGTTATCCTCTATATGTGTGTTCATTTATTGTCGCGATGGTAACGACACGCTATATATAGATATGATTTTATAGGTAGCTTCCAATTAATACCCTTAAAATTTTTTAATCCATCCTTTGCACTTGAGAGCTATTCATATGTACCAATATTGTTAATACTTGTTAGTTTTCTACCAAAGGCTTTTAATACTGCAGCCTATACCATTTATTTGAGATACAAGTGCTAACACAATGCGGGGATTTTAAAAGTTTTAACTTTCAGCAAGAGTTGGAGTGCAGCATCGAGCATCGCATGGGCGTGGGCTGCGTTGGCGGAGGCGCCGTAGCCTGCCGGGTGACCCTCGACCGTGGCGCCTACGTGCCAGGCGAGAGTATCGCCCTGTCTGCGCAGCTGGTCAACAACTCCCGCACCGCTATCAAGTGCACCCGCGCTGCTCTCACTGAGGTCAGTGAAGTCACCTTTGACATTAGTACCCCATTTTATTAGCCACTCCAGTATGTAGTCATGTAAATTTATTTGTTTGAAATACATTTATAGAAAATTGTATACAAGGAGTTTGAGTTTCAAAAATTTTTGAGCTCTTCGCTCAATCTCAATTGTTGAGGATGTTTCATATTTTTATGGGCATAATGGAGTATTCTAATTCATTATAAATTAATTTATAAGCATAGAAGGCTAAAAACAGCATAAAACACTAAACCCTCCACCACCATCATACATTTTAAATAGTTTTGCTGCCAATTTCTCAGTTACTACCTTAGCTATATTAACATAGTAGATAGGAATGGTTTCTATTAAGTATTTTAAATGATTTTTTTCCATGTTGTAACAATATTTATTGATTTAAAATCGAATTAATCAAATTATAATATTGTATAATAGAAATTTTAATAAATAAACTGACTTTGATTTACCTACACGAGCAAAAATTTCTAAACTAGTTACCCAATGTTTATAAATCAAAACAGCATATCTGCAAGGAACACATATACTCAGAGAAGAAGCGTAACTCCATACTTAAAAATTGACCCTTAACTAGGCGGGAATATAAATATTTCTATGTATTTTTTTCATTATTGCCAAATGAATAAACAATCTCTATCACAAAAACTTTAATCATCGTAAATTTCACAATTTTAATTTTTACTCAAATTTTATAGTTTTTTTATATGATTAAAATTGTTTCCTTTAATATGTTTTTAAATTTAAATTAAACTAGAAATTTAAATTTTTATTGTGCTAATCTCTGCACTTAAGATTAAACATTAAAATTTGTAGAAAAAGTACAAAAAGATTGTCGCCGCTGTGGGAATTGAACCCACGTCTTCGGCATTCGCGGCTTGACGCCTTAGCCACTAAGTTTAACGTCTGATTGCCACACTGACGAAAATCTTAAGGTCTTTTATCTATATTGTTTTTTTTTTATAGCATTTGAAGCATTGCTTGGCGCATCCATAGTTATATCCTTTCCAGCATACAAACAATTTCGAATATCGTTTTACAACGATAATTCGAACGAGAGATGTCGCCATTGCTTTTAGAAATTTAAATTTTTATTGTGCTAATCTCTACACTTAATATTAAACATAAATTTGTAGAAAAAATAATGAAATGAACAACAGATGTTGCATGAGGGTATTTAACTTAGAAAAGTTTAAATATCAGAATGAAGAAAAAAAGAGGGTTGACTGCGTCCTATAATTGGTGAGACAGTGCATTCTCAAGATTCAGTACATTACATTACATTACGTCAGTACATTATCAAGATATCGCATTGCGCAGACGATCCAGTACTCGGCCCACGGGAAAGTGGCGGCAAAGGAGGTACGCGAGCTGGCAACACTGACACACGGCAAGACCCGCCCCGGCGCCACGGATTGGTGGCGGCGAGAGTTGCTCTACGTGCCTCCCCTTCCACCGACCAACCTGCGCGGGTGCCACCTTATCGCCGTTCACTACGACGTCTACGTAAGCCACTCCACAATCATATCCAACAGAAACACGATGCTACCTAATCCTATACCCATCTGTCCCTCCTCTACCCCTATTGTATTTTGTATTTTTTGTGGAAGGGATTGCGTAGTAAGTCCCAATGACCATCACATGTAAAAATTTCACGTGGACCAACACCCAGAACAACTACCAGTGGGTCTCACACATCTCGTGTGGGGATTGAAACTGCGACCCCTGGCGACAAAGCCAGACACGTCCAGATTTACCTTCTTTATGTAAAGCAAGTAATGAATGATAAGCAGATCACAAACATATTACAATGACTATGTCCTGGCTCTCTTTCAATATATTTGAAACAGTAAGCGTTTATTGCACTGATTCATAGAAATTTATAAAAGAGTGACCTTTTAGGCATTTCTGAAGAATAATAGAATTTTCAAGTGTGCTATGTGTATTATTAATTATCTATAGTAATAGAAATTTTTAACAACTTTTAGCTGGCAGTGTATCTTGCATAAGTATATTCCAAAATTTTTTTTAAAATGGTTTACAACAACAACATTTTTAAATCCCAAATCTCTACTTCGCTTTTTATTTGTAATTGATGTAAATTCTTACTATATTTGTAATTTTAAGTTCATAATCGAGCCGAAGAACCTGGAGAAGGAGGTGAAACTTCGGCTGCCGATAGTGCTGGGCACATATCCGTTCCGCGAACAAGGCGAACAGCCGCCCACCCATTACCCCACCACGTTGCCGGTCTTCCGCGCCTGGCTGCACGACAAGCCTCGCTGACCTGTTCCAGTCCCATGATCGTACCACATTATATACTGGAAAATGTCCTCATTTAATCCACTACCCCTTAATATTTAAAATTTGGCTGAAGGTCTTGTGGCCACAATAATTAAAATATCGATAAATAATATATATTAAATGTGCATACAAACATATTGCATGTAATTTCTTGATTTTTAAATGAAATGAATATGTTTAATTTGTTTAGGAGCAGTCAGTTCAGGTTATCCTTGTATTTTAGTAGCATGAATTGATACATCAACCTTGAAGGTTATAAACATTCATTTATCTGTTTTTCCTATTTTTATTTTATGAATAAAAATAGGACTAACAGATTACAGACTTACTTTAGGATAGGGATTCCGAAAAAATATCTATATATCGAATTATTTCTTCACTTTCGGCATCCCTACAGTAGGATAACATTATCTTTTGTTATAAGGAGACTTTTTAAATGCACAATTTTTACATAGACATGGGACACAAAAAAATGTCATGTCATGTTATTAGCTAAAGAAATGCTTCATTTGAGCAATCAAAATTTTTATTACTATGAATGCTATAAAAAGTTTTGCGCACTGCCATTATTTTAATTTCTAATATAATATAGTATTTTAAAATGTTCTTAAATCATCAACAACAAAAGAGATAAAATGAAATTATTTTTAACTTGGAACATTAAGAGTTAGAAATTACCTATAAACTTTTTTATTCAATAGATCTGATTTTAAAGTCTTAAACATTCTCAAGTTCATAAAATTTATGATATGTCGTTTTTCTTTTAAAGGAATTTTATTGATGTAGATAGAACTAATTATGAAATGTTAGTATACCATTTTGGGTGCTTTTTACATTTGATGTTAAAATAACAAATGTGTTGTTAGTCTACAGACTTTAAATTATAAATACAGTATGTGCAAGTGTTACACAGTATATAAAATATTAAAAATTTTGATGATTTTATCAATTCAGCATTTTGTATTGTGACTAATATTTAACATTTTGTATAGTGCCAACTTAAATGTTTAACTGCTAGTATGGAATCTCAAAATGCTTAAAAAATGGTACTAAATAACTAAATTCTTAATTTTGGTGTGAACATTAAGTCAGGCACTTACTATTTTACCTACTGTTATTTACTCAAATGTTATTGCCGAAAATAATGTCAATGTATTATAAACTAACCTGTGATATAATGAATCCATCCATTTTTTAATTATCTAATTACTCTTTGTATAAGTATATAATAAAATGATATCTACATAACATATTATATTTCTTACACCTCTATTACCACATAATTGAAAAAAGGTATAAATGAAAATGCCTTTTCCAATAATATGCTGTTTATTTCGGTTAGCACTGGTCTTATTGATTTTCTAATGATACTTGATGAACACTTACTATATTATCTATATACAATGTGTTCTTAAATCTTATCTGGTTGGAGTCATGCTTTATGGGTATATTAGAAAAGCTAAAGTTAAAAAAAATGTATCTTTACCGTATTTGCTTAGCGTTTAATTTGAGCTAGCGCTGTGCAAAAGCACTTGGCATTTTAGGTTTAAATTTCAACATAGACATTGTGAAAATTATACTCATCAATTTTGGTAATTACTAACTTCATTAGTAAGTAAACACAAAATTCATAAATTCATATGTATTTTCTGATGGTTCAATCTTTAGGTATAATAGATTAGGGTAGCAAAACCACTGTTAAATTTTTAAGGTATGCTATATGTGCCTGCAAATTTCCTTCGCAAATTTATAGATATGATGTTACTTCTTTTCACATTTTGCAATAAAGTTGAATTCAAGCAGTCTTTAATTCAGCAAATAGGATACACAAGTGTTCATATCTCCATTACGAAATATGCAGTAATTAGTAGTTACATTATGTTTAACACATTTTAAAACCTTTTATAAGACAGTTCATCAGCAAATTTTATGGAAAGGATCTAGTGCTTTGATGTTGTTGGAGACAAGCACATTGGATGTGGGGCAATTTACAACATAGTGTTTGCCAAAACTGTGGACAATTATAGTTGTAAAAAACCGAGACACGTACAAATTACGATACTGGTCAAATGTATTTTACGAAACAAACATTGTGGGGGACGTAGCATAGTCTGTTTTACCACACTAGGAGGATGCAGTTTGTGAGTGGAACGCGCTAGTCCAGGGACCCTCGATAGCGGCCGGGCGCGGCTCCTCGCTCATGCCATCTTGTTGGCCAGCGCGTGGTGGAGCGCGGCCAGCTGGGTGGTCCACTTGTCCAGGGCGGAGTAGCGCGCCGCGCCACGGGCCCCACTCGCCAGCTCCAGCACCGCGTTCACCTGGTCGATGCGGCCACTGATCGTGCTAAGAACAACGCACCAAACGATGAAGCTCAACAACCAAATACTAAATTCAAGTTCGGTTTCATATAGACGTACTATAAAAAGATGTCCTTATACTCTGGACAACAAATTGGCCGATTAGAACAACGCGCCGTGTGTTGTTTACAATTCTTAGGCAAAATACCATCACTAAGAACGACGTACGGCCAAAGCGAAGGTAATGATAATGAACTGGAGGAGATTTATTTGTCTTGAAGTACCTCTGTGGTTATACAATGTAACTTTGATGGTGATTTCACTACTTTCAAACAATTGTGGTTTTAAAATTATCATTTCATCACATAAAACAAGCAACTGCAACATAGTAACTGACAGATATATAAAATTAATAGAATTTTTACTCACTTATCCAAAATACATGTGACAAGAAGATTCTCCACTTCCTTCTCGTCAATGTTCAGCTCCTTAGATATGAATGGTATGTGGATGCGGGTGTAGGGGCCAATCAGTTTGATCAGCACTTGGGTTCTGATGTTCCTCAACAAATCCTCAATGTGCTCTCTGATGAAGGGGTCATCCATTATATTGTTCCTGTTGTGTTTCAGTATGGATTCGAAGTCATTGATGTCATTGTTCTGGTACGCCATCACCAGGTTCGTCATGGCGAGAATCTCTGGATCGTTTTTATATGGCTTCGCCTCTTGGGAGTCGAAAGGGTTGATGCCGGACTTCATGAGCCTAGAACAAACAACATTAACCTCTAATTGTTTTGTTACACGTTAAGATTAATGGAATATGTTTCTATGTAAATGTGTGAACATTACATATTATTATTTTTTAACATTTATGTTAAATTTTAATCATCTATAGTTTGAAGTAATTTGCTACTCACATGTTAGCTAGGACGAGGTACTTGAGGCAAGTGGTTCGCCGTGGGCTGCCGGATTCGTCGTAGTTTTTGAACGCCTCAAAGAAATCCGTGTGCGCCTTCTCGAACTCGCCTTCGCGCAGATGCATCTTACCACCACACTCTGCAAAAACCCCACCACATCTTAGTTTTATAGTCTTGTAATTTTGCCTCTGCTATTGCACCAAAGGGCAGGCTGTTGTTTTATGTGAAATCATTACAGAATATTTTTTCAGTAGTGGGGACGAACCGAGCCCTTAGGCGTTAGAGGCAGGTTCACTTCAATCGGGTCGTCGAAACTTTAACGACTAACCGTTAAAGTTACGATTAGTGAAGTTAAGCGATTCTTTAAAAGTTGTATAAACTAATTTAAAAACATATATTAATGTGTAAATGGCTGTTATACAAAACCTCTAATGACGCCCATTATGAGTGGATGCGGTATTGCAGACTTGATATGCAGAGACTGCTCATATAATGCCTTCAACTTCTTGTTGTTCTTTTGGGCCGTGTACATTTGAATCTCCAGAGCGTAGATCTCCAACAGTTGGGTGCCTTTCTTAAGGTCATCCTCACCTTCATCAGTCTATAACAATGTTATATGGGATTAAAATATAAGCTCTTACTTGTGTATAATTACATACATACATATTATTTTCAATTGAAGACTTGTTTCAAAAGGGACCCAGTGTATGGATTTATTTGCAAGTAAGAGCTATAATACAGTAATACAGCAACTATGAGAGCTATAATTATGTATAGCTTGCATAATAGTTCTACAGTCAGAGGTATAAGAATCATATAAATAAGAGAAGAGGCAAAATCTATAATCTGCATAACTTTGATAAATCTAAAAAAAATTTTTCAGATTGTGGGTTCTGCAAAGTTGCACTCAGGTCTTTTCACAACAGTGGGACAGTGATGTATGGGCTACTCTTGCTCTACTCTTATACATTGAATTATGTATTTAATTTGCTTTACCTGACAACTCTGATGAAGCTGCTTTAATATCTTAGCTAACTTGTTGAAGTCTCCTCGGTCATAGTATAATTTTCCAAGCTTTGTATTTGTTTTGAACCACAACCTGTCATTCTTTGCATCTTTCAGTGCTTCTAATGTAGTTTCATAGAAATCTTGAAGTAACTCCATCTGCAAAAATTCCATGGACAATATTATTATAAGCATAATAGAATGAACGATAAGACTATGACAAAGAAAAATTATTTTATGTTATAAATTAAATTAGTTATAGACTATAGACACTCCACGTCCACACAACTCCAAATATATAACTATTGTTACCAATGTTTTCTGGAAATAACCTACTATACATAGTTAATTATTCTATTTCAAATAGCCATTGTGATACAGAATTGGCACTGCTAGGAATTCAAAAATAGAATAATTGTAATAATTGTAATAAATTGTCAGTGTCCATATTTAATTAATAATAAAAGTAACAGAGGTTATGAAAAAATTACAATGTTTATCTTTATAGCTAACATATTTTTTAAAAGTTCAGCCAAAGTTCAATTCAGGTCAATGCATTCGCTATTCTTTCATTATGTGAAAAGTTGGCAAACAAGCAACACCTACAACGCAGGGTGGCAGGTGTGTGGCCAACCTTTAACAGTGGACTTCAGTTACTACACTCACAAATGTATAATATTTTATGTCATTCTTCTGTGACGTAGTGGTACTACCCCAAATGAACCTGCCCATTAGAAAAACTGTGGAAGCTGTGTAGCCCTGCTGCAGTACCACACTTTGCCATAAATTATGAGGAAAAATACATACATTTCTTGATGTAGAGATGTAGTCCAAAATGGAATTGATTGATTTTTCTGAATGGTTCCTTGTGACAGCACTTTTAATATATGTGAGTAATTGTTTATAACGGGCCATCATTTCTGTGAAATTACCCTGAAAAAGCAAAACAGTAGTTAAAACTGATGCATTACACTGATTTCAGAAAGTAAGAACAATGCACTAAAAGACCAAGTCAAAACTTTCAATACTGTATTTAATTATTAATGTTTTCTAAAGTCCAACATACTCTTCAGGCAGGTAAAAAATCATAAAATACTGATCTAGTTCCACTGTGTTTCATCATGTTATAAAATAAAAACTGTTTGTATTGTTATAAAAAATTGGTTGTTAAAATGAAAAAGTATTTTATTAATTTTGAATAAGCTACTATGTATAAAATGTTTTTATGATTTACAACATTTTATTTGAAAGAATACCTAATCCTTAATACCTATTAACTTACCAGTTTAAAATTAATTTTTATCATTTGCTTCAGGGCTTTGAAGCCCCATTCTCCTTTATCACCACCTTCAAGTTCCAGGACTTTTTGGAAGCTCACTAAAGCAGCCTTTGGTTCGTCTTCTTTTAATGCTTTACTGTTATAGTACTGATTTTCAAGATCAACATCTGGTTCTGAATTACTGTCTTCTGAATATTCCTATGGAAGACCATCAAAAGAAATCACATAGTATCCAGATTATTCATTAGATTATACATTGGTTTTGGAGGTTCAATATATTTCCATTATGCTCTTTAAAAAAATAATATACGTTAAAAATGAATGGTAATGGAATGTATGAAAAATATTACCAACCAATTATTATATATTCAATTTTTTTTAACTGACCATCAATTAGATTAATTTGAATGTTCTTTGACACAAGTATTATAAAACATAAAATAAATTAATGGTAATTAAAATTTTAATAACAAGCTTTAATAAAATTTTCTTAAAAAGAAGAAAATAAACTTTAAATTAAAAATTAATATTTTTTGAACTAATTAACTATTATAAATTAATTCGAAAAATTATCAATTCTTTCTTTTTAAACTTTATTCATGATATTGTTCTTTTTATTATTATCACACTAAAAACCCAAATTAACACACAAATTAAATACCACAGAATGACAACTATCAACTGTTTGACAAGGGATGTTTGATGTAATATTGAATAAATTTATTAATGATTTGGTAAGTCTGTCCCTTAACCCGAAGTTGTTACTTAGAGCTTTGATTTTGTTTTTAAAATTGACAAAAGATACTCGTGACTTTTACTTGCCAATTATAATTACTTAAGAAGTAACTAACCAGTGGTTTACTTGTGGAAGAAGCCCTTAATCATATATTCAATTATTAACTATAATTTGAGCTATAAACTAATATCATTGTACAAATTGGTTACCTAGCCCTTGTAAAGATATGTGTTCCATTACGTTTTACATAGTCCAAAAGTTGGAAAGAGAAAATATTGTTCAGGAATAACAAAAACCATAACAATATTCCAGGCAAGTTTGTATTATATGTGATAAATAAAGTAAACTACAATTAGGTTATGAAATAGTGTAGATTACCAATAGTAATAAGTATAGTTATTTAATATCCGTAAGTTGCAAATTGTTTATGTGTTACATCTTTAAGTTATCTGAATTGCTTCATTTAAGCGTACTATCAGTTAATTGATATAATAAATGCATCAATATTCAAATACAAATAACACTTCATTAATATATTAGAGATGAAAACATACCAAACCATAGTCCTCCTCCTCTTCGCACATGTAATCATCATCGTTATCTGACATTGTGAAATTATTTTAAAACGTAATTGTAATTTCCAGAATCTATAAACCGTGAATATCAAAATATTGTTCGTATTCTGATACACATAGAGTTTTGTATTTTCCTTGACAGATGACACATGACAAGAAAATTGACAAATGTGAATAAATTCAATTCTGCCACACTAATCAATAGTAAGATAAACTTAAAAGTAATTGCTTATGGTTTAGTCATTAACTCTGAATGCATTTTTGCAGTGTAGTTGTGTACTGTAAGCCTAGCAGCTTTGGCAGATTCATCGGAAGATATGATACCGAAACTGAGGCACTCAAATTATTATACCAATTGGTATAATTAGATTGAAATTCTATAAATAGACTGCTATCTCTTTCCGTATCATACATTCTCTATCATCTGTTACATTCACGTATATCCCTAATAATACAGGCAGATTTTTTGAGAAGTGCCCAAATTTACACAGGAGGTTCAGACTCGGAAGTATAATCCTTTATTGAAATAAAAAAGAAAATTTTTTTCTTTCCAAAAAAATGCCATTCTATTCCCTAAAAACAGAACGTGTTAACAAGGCTGTAGTCATTCATTAATACCTAAATTTTACTGTGCACGAACTTGTGTGCGTGTTAGTTACGAATGATCGCGCGTAAAATAAATGAGTTGCGTATAAATCACGCAATGTGAGATAATTTGAGAAAAGTTCAAATGAAAGTTCATTATTTATGTCTACAATTGAATAAGAAAATGGATACACTTAGAAAAGCCATCCTGTGTTATAATTATAAATGTGAATGCAAACTTGTTTATTACGCTTTCACGCCAAACTACTCAATCGATTATCATGAAACTTTCTACACTTATTGTTAGAGGTATTAAAAAGGACATAGGATTCTTTTTAATAAAGAAAATATTTAAAAAAAAAAGATATTTATTTCTGGGCTTCAATGCGATCGAAGCCGCGGGCGTATAAAGCTAGTATGGCATAAAATGTAAAGTGGAACAATTTTTAAATTGATCGCCGCGAAATATGGATATGTGTGTTACATATCCGTTCCCATAGAAAAGTGCAAATAAGCAGCGTCTTCTTCGCAACTTTGTGACACAATCCCACGATCAAGTTTTGCCGAAACCATGTAATCGGATTACACATCCAGGCTCACGTTCGTGGGAGCGTTGTCAGGCGACACCGCTATTCTCCACGACGCACAATCCCACGATCAAGTTTTGCTTAAACCATGTAATCGGATTATACATCCAGGCTCACTTCCATGGAAACGCTGCTAGTCGACACCGCTGCATACCGTATTCAAAAACTTTGGTTAACGATTTTTTTTAGTAAGACATTCTGTATCTAGCATCGATCGGGATCAGACTTAGGTAAGGCTATAGTTTAAATTGTAACTTTTTAATAAATAATTTTAAAGAAAATTGTTTTTTTTTTTGAGTCCTACGACAGCGACTTCTATAATTGGCGCAGTCGGTGGGATACGTGAGACATCTCGAGGTAGCTAATTAGGGAATCTCACATCGAAAACCAATCGCACCGCCGCCGCGAGCGATCGCGCGTCCCGAGTTCCTGAGAAAAGAACCAGAAGTCCGCATCGGAGGGTATATCCAGACATCGATCTCAGAAGAACCAGTATGCAGTTTTTAGGCAGAATGCCCGAAGTACAACCATTGGTACATATGCGGCGAGAAGATGAAGACCACCACTTTCGACAGCAACCGGACTGCATACAAGAACTTGTCCTTAATCAATCTCTGAAAGGAAACTGCGAAATGACCACAGTAACCCTCTCAAGAATATCCTTAGAAGAACTCGACGAAAAACACTATGTAGTATCCTTCCCAAATGCTACCAAAATACATACGCAGTGCGGACGTGAAGACTACACCATCCTAATGGCACTTACCTTGATTCCTGTATACCACGGAGTTTACTATTGCTGACATCAATGATCGAGTGGAAGGACAACCCATGAGGATAATGAAGCTCCCCATGTCTTAAATATTCCCTACTTCGACGCCTTCAGCTAGAAGTCAAAGATCGTGTATCGGAACACCGACATACAACGTGGGACACTCTCCTAGAGGACATCGAGCCATCGCACACCGCCTACTGGCGGTTGGTCCGCAGTCTGAAAGCAGACCCCCGCGAATCTCTACCGCCGTTAGTTAGACCTAATAGCGCTTCAGTAGCCCTAGATGACTCCGAAAAAGCCGAATGCCTTGCGGACAACCTAGAGCAGCAATGTACGTCATCGCGCGAACACATCGATACAGCCCACCTAACGGAGGTGGACCGCGTAATCGAGATTAGGGCTGCGCTTCCACCGGAAGGCGATCCTTTGAATTCAGTGACCCCCCGAAGAGGTTCAAGATATTATTAAAAACTTAAAACCCAAATCCGCCCCGGGCCCAGATAATATTAGTAACAATATTCTTAAAGCTCTCCCTGGGCCGCTTATCTGTTTACTGGCGACCATTTACAATACTTTACTCTCCAGTTGCTCCTTTCCGGACTACTGGAAAGAAGCCAGGGTTATCGGCATTCGCAAGCCTAATAAACCAGCCAACCAGCCCTCTAGTTATCGTCCCATCAGCCTCCTCAGTTGCCTGGGGAAGCTCTACGAGCGGCTTTTATTAAACAGGCTCAATGAGCACGTGTTTTCCAATGGCCTTCTGCCGGCGGAACAATTCGGCTTTCGAGCTAGACATTCCTGTCCCGATCAGCTATTCCGCCTAACGGAACATATCCTAAAAGGCCTAAATCACCCTAAACATATTAGTACAGGGGCTCTTTTTCGATGTCGCAAAAGCATTCGACAAGGTCTGGCACAACGGCTTGCTTTACAAGCTGTACACACTCAAAGTGCCAGATAGGCTCGTACACACACCATCCAGGCCTTTCTGTCGAACCGCTCTTTTCGATATCGAGTTGAAAGCACCCTCTCCACAAGCCGCCGCCTCACCGCCGGCGTACCACAAGGCTCCTGTCTCTCACCTTTGCTCTTTACGCTCTACACGAGCGATATACCTAAAGACCCCCACGTCAATCTCGCGCTTTTCGCGGATGACACGGCGCTCTTTTATTCAGACCGCAACCTTAGACAACTAACCACTCGACTCCTAAGCGCTGCCGACCGCCTCGGCGATTGGTTCCGCAAATGGAGAATAGAAATAAATCTCGAAAAAAGTGTGGCGATTCACTTCACACGAAGTACTTACCCGTCACATCTTTGTAATGGCCCTCGTCAATGCAGAAAGTTGGGGCAAATATCCCTTTATGGCCAACCGCTCCCCTGGGAGAAAAAGGTCAAATACTTAGGAGTCACTTTCGACTCGCGTATGTCATTTACTACGCACATTAATAACGTTCGCAATAGAGCCGCGTTCGTCTCCGGCCGGCTACACAACTTAACTAACGCTAAAAGTAAAATAAAAAAAATTAATAAAAAAAAGCCCTTAAGGCACAAATTATTATTATATAAGACCTGCGTACGACCTATTATGTCTTACGCATGCATGACCTTCGCCCACACGCACCCTACTCGCTTGTACAAGTTGCAAATAATACAAAATAAGTTCATCCGCCGCGCAATCGGTGCGCAGTGGTATCAACGCAACGTCGACCTGCACAGCGATTGCAGACTGCCGACGATTCGCGAATATTTTAAAGACCTGACCAAACGGTTCTTCGATAGAGCCGAACATCATCCCAACCCTCTGGTGGTAAGCGCAGCAAATTACCAACCCGACACAAACGCGAACGTCAACAAGCGTCGCCCGCGAAACGTCCTAATCGACCCGGTCGAGGAAGGGGACTTAGACACGCCGGACCCACTGCCGGGGGTCCCGCCGGACAACACTACACCCACAGTTAGTGCTACAATAAACACACTAGTTCGCCCTCGCCTCCGAGCACGGCGAGACCAACACAACGCGTACACAAGGTACACTCGCGTTCCGGGGCGGTTCTCACCACCCCCAGCCACCGATTAGCTAATTGCACAGTCGACGGCCATCGGGGTTTCGGTCCGAACCACGACCTTGATGGCCCTTAGATGACACACCATAGTTAAACGCACGCATGAGCACATGCGTGGCCCTACCCACAGCGGAGGGCCCAAACCTGTGGGTTCTGGCTAGCCCATCGGTTCTGCGTCAGATGAAGCTTTAATAGTCTTGGGACTGAAAGCAAAAACATCAGTTAATACAAGATACAAGATCTTCGATACGGGCGAATATGATGTAAAATTCAAAATCGCTCGGGCAGACGGACAGCAAACGGCTATCATTCACAGATGATCTGTGAATGACCACCGCGGATGCCATGTTGCTCCAGTCTTAAATTATTGTGCGGTCAAATCGTTTTAAGTGTAATCTCTCAAACAACTTAGCGATATGGTAATTGATCGATAAGTTAATCGTATTGTGATTTCCTATCTTTCCCTGGTTTCCATAGCACGAATATCTTGCGGGATTTCAAGATATCTAGGAAATAACCTATGTGGAGAATGCCATAATGTAGACGCTTAATGGCAACTGTACTATGCCGTTGTTTTAAAATCGCATCGTAATCGGAGGCATTGCGATGGTGATATGTACGTGATAGTGTACTAGACTGCGGTGCGCAATGCCGACTGTGTCTTTGCTGTAAGACGGGTTCAGTTTAAACTGACTCACCAAATGTTTAGCTAAGAAATATCGCCCTAATATACATACCATCGGGTATCAAATATAGACGCTTAAGGCTTTGAGCCACAGTGGATCAATATTAGGTGAGCCAGGCCCCAATTGCAGCGATAATATCAGAACAGCGATTCCACGGATGAATTTCGATAACAACTCAGTCAACAGATGACTCGGCCGAGCTGTCGGGACCTCCCCCTGTGTGTGGCGTGTGTCTTGTCATGTATCTTGTATTAACTGATGTTTTTGCTTTCAGTTCCGACTATTAAAGCTTCATCTGACGCAGAACCAGTGGGCTAGCCAGAACCCACGGGTTAGGGCCCTCTGCTAATCGGTGGCTGGGAGCAGTGATAACCGCCCCGGAACGCGGGTGTACCTTGTGTCCGCGTTGAGTTGGTCTCGCCGTGCTCGGAGGCGAGAGCGAACTAGTGTGTGTGTTGTTGCACTAACTGTGGGTGAAGTGTTATCCGGCGGGACCCCCGGCGGTGGGTCCGACGTATCTAAGTCCCATTCCTTGACCGGGTCGATGAGGACGTTTCGCGGGCGACGCTTGTTGACGTTCGCGTTTGTGTCAGGTTGTGTCAATATGCTGCTTTTACCACCAGAGTGTTGGGATGATGTTCGGCTCTATCGAAGAACCGTTTGGTCAGGTCTTTAAAATATTCGGGAATCGTCGGGAGTCTGCAATCGCTGTGCAGGTTGACATTGCGGTGTGTGTCACTCTAAAGCTGTCCGGTCCATAAATAACCTCTTGTTCTTCGAGCGTAGTTGCAAATGGAAGTGGGGTAGTCGGCGGATTTATGTGTCCGACTCCACTTGCATATTTTGGTCTGTAAAATATACATTACGGAAATATTTTTTTTTTAAAAATTACCATTTATAAATATTACATTAATTGACTTAGAGGTCGCATAACGAAGGTTACGGAAAGTCTCGTAACGTAATAATAGCCTGACCATTTAGGCCCGGATACCTATATAGTAACTCTAAATAATTAGTATTTAGTTTGAAAATAAACGTCAACAAATTAAATGATAATAATTAAATAAAAATAGTTTACGGATTTCAACGCGTTTTAATTTTGATTTTTATAATTCGCGACGTTATAAACCCTTTCCAGCATTCATGGTCACTGGATAGAGACAAAGTTGTTACACGTCTTGATGTCAAAGTTAGCCCCGACTACCATCAAAACAAGGTCAGAAAAAGAAGTCAGTTACATATTATGTAATTATATGACATTTTTAATATGTTTTTAGTATGTATCATTTTATGGATGAATACCGAGTTCGTCAACTTTGAAAAAAAAAGAACTACTTGTGATTGGTGGAATAACATACCAATAAACATACTACAAACATCGTTAATTTGGCGGGAATATCTTATGATTTTTTTTCCCCATACGAAAATTAATTTACCATACTTTTACCTCATTGTCTAATTGGCCTGGAATTTTTTAATTATTTTGCATTTATTTATGTTCAATAAGAGACAGTAATCATTAATTAATTAAGCATTTAATTTTTATTGAGTGGGGGGTTAAAATTTTGTGCACATCAGTTGTCAAACGAAGCACCGTTCAAAATTTAAATTCTTTTTCTTTCGACAAAAATTAATATATTTTTTATTACCCCAAAATCACGAGAATTCATTAATCGATTTTAAGCTATGATTAATAATAATTTAAATTTTAATCATATTGAAATACGTGGTATTATTAAATGGAGTAACGGTTCGAAACATAAATTTAAGTAAAGTAAGTGGAAACACTATTTTTATATATAGTTTTAGAACGAACCTTGTTTTCCCGCCACTTTCATGAACTTAATCTATCGAAGAAGCATTTTACTAATAATAGCTTTCATAGCTTGTTTGGTAAATTGGAACTTCTTAATTTTATAACTGCTTCTAATTAAAAATAATTGTAATATACTCTTGATTGAAATACTTTACCCAACTTTATATTATTTTCGTATATATTAAAGTTGTGGACTATTTTTATTTTTCGTAATGTCTCAATTTACCGACAAGGAAAATCTTTACAATGGAATTAACAACGTTCATATTAAGGTAAGACATTTATATGCTATCAAATGAGTAAGTCTCAAAATGTAGTTTCTTATAATAGTTATGGTTATAGTCCCCAGTTAAAAACGTTTTGGCTGCCCGCAACGGAAATGTAACTGAGGACAAAATGGATGTTGAAAAAGAAGTAACAAAAGTAGCTACTTTTGATCCACAATTAGAGCCACTACTGCGAGAGAACCCTCGTCGTTTTGTTATATTTCCCATTCAATATCCAGACATCTGGCAAATGTATAAAAAGGCTGAAGCCTCATTTTGGACAGTGGAAGAAGTAGATTTGTCTAAGGTAAGGTTTAGCTATGTATTTTTTTAGTATAGTATCGACAATGTATAATTTGGTTGAAAAATTACATTTATATTCGTATAACCTAAAAATCTTAAAATTTATATTTTAATTGCTCTATTCAGGATTTATCTGATTGGGAAAATTTAAAAGATTGCGAGAAACATTTCATCAAACACGTCCTAGCATTTTTTGCTGCCTCGGATGGAATAGTTAACGAAAATCTAGTTGAACGTTTTTCGCAAGAAGTTCAAGTTACTGAGGCAAGATGCTTTTATGGATTTCAAATTGCAATGGAGAATGTGCACTCAGAAATGTATTCATTGCTAATTGACACATACATCAGAGACCCCAAAGAGAGGTATTCATTTAGATTTTTTAAGACATTTCTTACTTTGATATTTTATATCTAACATCAACCAATATATCACATTTGAAACCATATTTTAATACGGGCTTGTTGACATTTAAGGTATTTTTTGTTTTATGCATTACATGTATATATGTTGTCTGAGAACAAATGTAAAGCACATAATGGACTCATTTTTTTCCAGAGATTTCTTGTTCAATGCAATAGAGACTTTGCCCTGCATAAAAAAGAAGGCTGACTGGGCTCTGCAGTGGATTGCTAGCAAGTCTGCTACATTTGGTGAGAGGATAGTAGCATTTGCAGCTGTAGAAGGAATATTCTTTTCAGGCAGTTTTGCATCAATATTCTGGCTTAAAAAGCGTGGCTTGATGCCAGGCCTGACCTTCAGCAATGAGCTTATCTCTAGGGATGAGGTGAGATTTTTATATAAAAATGAAAGAAAAAAATTATAGCTTTGCTACTTTTTGATTCTTGTAATCTGAGAAAATAGTGTACTTAGAATGCTGCATAGTTATACCAGTTGGATAAAATTCACCTTTATGATAAATATTTTTCATTTAAATTTTTCTACTGTTCAAAAAATAATGTATTCAAATAATCCTTAAAAGTATCAATATGTCAGCTAAAAAACTGATTAACCATTAGTAAAATGGAGTTCTAAATTTAATAATAATAATTGTAGCATTTTCAATAAAATTGGAGGATACTATGAATGAAATGATTTATTATCATCAACATGGGACATGTTTGTATTATATAGATATTTTCTATCTGTTATGTTAATTTTCACATAGATTCATAATTTTTGTGCACATCACTAGCACTTCACCTATGTCTAAGGTGTTTTAAATAATTGACCTATAATTATGAGGTTTTGCAAAAAGAAAGTATTCACTGCGAAAATATCAAAAAACGATTTATTTATAATATAATGGTGTTCAATATGTTTGTGTTAACCTATTTTTTCATACCAGTTTATAAACTATGTTAATAATTGTGATTTTTTTTCGTTCTTCATTTTGACTTTAACATAATATGAATACAACAGTTCCTTTGGCACCATCATTTTAAGCAAATAACAAGCTTAATTCGTTATTATTTTTTAATATATTACAATTATTTAAATTTTGTCAACAGGGATTGCATACAGATTTCGCTTGCTTGATGTTCAAACATCTGGTTCAAAAACCGAGCAAGGATTGTGTACTGCAAATTATTAAAGATGCAGTTGTCATTGAGCAGGAGTTTCTTACAGACGCCTTACCAGTTAGACTGTTGGGAATGAATTGTGAACTTATGTCTGAATATATCGAGTTTGTTGCTGATCGACTACTGGTGGATCTGATAGGAGAAAAGGTAAGGTGTAGTGAAATATTAAAAGTATATAGACTAAACACCAAAGAAAAATATTTTAAATGAATTTATGTAATTATGATAGTTAAAACTGTAGTTTTAAAGTTTGTTCTTTTTTTTTGTTGCAGCATTACAATACAAAGAATCCATTTGATTTCATGAATCTGATTTCCCTGGAAGGCAAAACCAACTTCTTTGAAAAGAAAGTTGGAGAGTACCAGAAGTGGGGGGTGATGTCTAATCGCATGGATAATGTATTTACATTGGATGCAGAGTTCTAAATTTCTGGAACATAAAGCTTTTTTGACTGACAGTATTAGGAATAGCATTCAATTAATGGGAATTGTATAGTTACAATTTACAAATAAATGTCCATATGTCTATTACCGGTGGACCCGGTATAAAATAATATCACCAAAACAAATGCTTAATATGCACTTATTTGAAATATTCGACTTGAGCACTAAGTGTGCTTGCACAGTAAAATATGTACATTTTTATTTCTAGTTATAATCATTATTATTGATAATTCTAATATTACTTAATTGATCTAATATTTACAAGATTAAATCTATCTAAAATTACATATTATCTAATAAACCTAATCCACACGGCATGGTGCCAAGAACGCTAGCTGCATTTCCTCGCTGAATAGTTATGCTTAACCTTTGAGCGAGAAAAGAACCAGCTCTCTTGTCAACAGCCGCGGAGTTAAGCCTAGGATATAAACTTTAAAAAAATTTTGATGTGTGGGGACCCCACGGACCTTATGTTTCAACAGCAAATGGCACAAATACATAATCTAAACATAAAGACTCATATTTGCCCCATTTAATTACTTCAGCTGCCTCCAATGCTGCCCCGGCCCTGACCGAAGTACCCCTTAGATGAGAGGCAGCCAAAGTTGTCTACACAAGTGGCATCCCAAACCAGGGCATTGCCTCTCCCAAGGGATCAATGTTTGTAAATATTAGATCAATAAAGATTGTAAACAATTAAAATATTATATTACTTAATAGAATAAATAGTAAAATTGTATGAAAGTGTCAAACAGTGATTTTAACTGATCTTACAAGAAGTTTGTATTGCTGAATATGTATGAAATCAAAGAATTTGATAATGTTATAGATAATATATTTGTGATATAATATTAATTTTTATAAAATTAAAAGATGTATTCTTATGATAACCTGTTTTATTTAGACTACATTGTTTACAGAAAATATTAAACAAACAAAATTATTAACTAGCTGAAATAACAAATTGGCTTTGACTTTACTTAAGCAGAAGACCAAGTGAAACAATTTTTACGGACTGACCGTGCTGTAACCATCAAAGATGAAAAGGGTTAGAAATAAATGTGATAAATCCTTAAAAATAGTTTCATTTATAATATGTGTAATCGCGTAAATACAAGAAATTATTAAGCTTGAGTTCGTGAGTGCAGCATATGAATGTAATCGATGACTTCGTGGCGCAGTAGCCAAGGTATTGGCTTCGGCGTTGGGGGTCGTGGGTTCGATTCCCACACGGGACAACTATTTGTGTGACCCACAAATAATTGTTTCGCATCTGGGTGTTTATCCGGCATGAAATTTGTCTGTAAAACATCCTTACAACACAGGATAACGATATTCTAAAGTAAGGGCAATGTTTAAAAAAAAAATTTGCAAGGGCATACTGATTGGAACCAAACTGTGTGGAGAACTAATTGGAGAATTGCTCTCAGGTGCTCATATTTTTATTTTGATGTTACTAAACCGCTACTTAATTCGGCGCGACCTACACTTTCCAAAATAGGTATCTGAAGTAGTAGTACCTAGTTCTTGCTAAATACTTCAATCTGCGTAGAGATATCAGGCTCCCGAAGATACGCCATCGTTTGAGATAGGAGTAAATTTGTATATAGGAGAAAAAGAATTGTCTTACCATATAACAACCATCAATGATATTACATACAAAGATATGACACTAGCGTTAAACATCATTGACAACCGTTCTTGGGGGAGGTGAAAATCATTCCAATCATTTGTGCCCGCGTAGCGCCTTCATCGTTCCCCTGGTCGAGAAAGAGGACGAAAATATTCCATAAACTAGAATACTCTATGGAGTCCCGCCTGACAACACTAAGTTATAAAACATCCCAATTCATCGCGTCCAGGCCAGTTTTATCTCTCCCCGAATGAAATACTGTCGCCATCATGGGCCTGCATGCTGTATCTCAACGGCCCCTCGCCAATAATTCGTTTCGTTAATGCACGCATGTCGACTCACGTCGACTTAGGTAGGGTTGCTTTACAAGGAGCAGTAACACTTAAGAGGTGTGCCGGTTAGAAAAGCTTAGGGGTTCTATTGCGATGTGATAAACCATTTAAATATGCATGCGATAATTTGTTTAAACAAAAAAAAGTTAAATAAAACTCTTTTTCTTATAAATACTCAATGTTTAATTTCAGGAACGTTTCCCACTTAAAATTAATAACCTAGAAAGTCGTGTCGATACTGTCGCGATACAGCTAAGCAGAAAGTATGCAAAAAACATCTTGCGTGAACATCGGCTACTGATTTGGGCACACCTGGCATTCCAGTCCTGTATTAAAACAATGTTTATAATAATAGGTACAGCATATATTTTTAAAAATGTACAACTACCATTATCTAGAGCAGTTCAAACAATATAAATTTTAATAAAAAAACAATTGCTTACTACTATGGACTTTCGACTTGACTCGTAATCGAAACTTCTAAATGTAATGAGAAACACAGGCCTACTATTGTGGCTTATTTGAGAAAGGAGATGCACCGCAGCTGTATCGACGGAGTGAGCGCTGGTGTTAACGCGGCTGCGCCTTGTCGTGCGCGATGCGGCGCAGCAGACGGTGGCCCGAGAGGAAGGTGAGCAGCGCGAGGGGCGCCAGGTAGCGCAGCGTCTCGAACATCGACAGCTGCAGCCACAGCATCACGTACAGGGCCAGCGAGCCTGCGGACCAAATCGTTTATTACGAGCCCGCTCGAAAATCAAATCTTCAGGAATATCATGGTATGGACACAGCTGTGCTCCGCAATACTGACTCAGTCCAACGCAGCAGTAATTTCACTGTCTACTTGATCAAAAATTGGAGAGCTGTAATGAAGCTGGCACAGTGTAATGTCAGTCATTATATAAGTGAAAAGAAAAGGAGAGTATTATGTTTCCATTAATTAATTAGTCTTACTAATTGGACGAAAGTTGTGCTCAAAGACAAGATCTAATTTCCATTAGTCGGACATGAAGAAGGGTAGTGTTTGGTTCGAAAGAAAGAGCACCATGTGCAAAGAGACCGGAGGAATAGATGCGAAGATGAGAGCATTCGACGCACCCCCGAGCGCGAGATGAAAGACGAGGGCGCTGGGCGCGGCCGGCAGCTGGATGCGGGGCCGCAGGCGCGCCCACAGCAGCAGCAGCAGCGGCAGCGGCGCCGCGCAGCACGCCGCGAACACGTCCGACAGCAGCCGCGGCGGGCGCGCCTCTGCCACGCGGAACTGGTGCGCGATCTCGGGCAACGGGCCGCGCCGCCTGCCGGCAGCGCCATCTGCGCGAGGCGGTTTCACAGATAATCAAATATGTTAAGCGCGGGCCTATGTTGCCAACTGCTGTACAGATACAGAGAGGGCTTTTGCACAGCAGTTGCAGTTCTGTACAGGGAGGGCTTTTAGCCTCTGAGATATCAGGGCATAGTTCACCACGCGACCCCACCGTGGATCGGTAGAACATATCTTCGATTTCTTTTTTTACGAAAATATTCATGTTGAGCACGTGATGAATCAGCACTTAAAATTCCACTCAACAATGTAATTGGTGCCGACGAGGAGATTTGAACTTATTTAGAATTAAAAGCGAGCGTCCGGGATTATATGCTATCAACGCACTCTAGACTCTCTGCTTTATGTGGGCCTGTGGTACTTTTTTGGATGAGCCTGCCAATTTATGGGCCCGCCACTTTGAAGATATAATATATACAACAGTTTAGTAGTATGGGAAGGTTAGTAAATCCCTTCACATCGAGCTTCCGCTACATGCTGAACTTTACCAACTTCGTTTAGAAAGATTATCCGTATTATTTTTTAGTAATGAGTTGCTGAGGCTTTAGAATAAACTAGCGACCCGCCTCGGCTTCGTACGGGTGCAATGTATTTATTACACATATAAACCTTCCTCTTGAATCACTCTTATCTGTTAAAAAAACGCATCAAGATCAGTTTAATAACTTTAAAGATCGAAGCATACATAGGGACAGACAGACAGAGGGACGACTTTGTTTTATACTATGTGGTATAAAACAAAGTAAATATAAACAGTGGTATAACTGTGGTAAGGTCACGCAGCAGCCTCGGCTGTTGCACGAATGGGCAGGCTCGTCCGGGTAAGTCCACCACGTCCCCACAGAAGACCGGCGTAAAGTGGAAGTATTATACTTTCGCGTTTCGTCTGGTGAGTGAGGTGGCCGGAGCCGAATTTTCAAAAGTTTCTCAACGCATCTGGTCTAACAGAGGTCCATGGGCGGCGGTATTCACTTTACATCTGGTGAACTGCCTGCTCGTTTGGCAACTTGTCACATAAAAAAAAAATTAGTGAAAACACACCAAGTGCCTTGGCCTCCTTGCCGAAGTTTAGGGTGATCGTGCCGAGCTCCCAGGCAATGGGGTTTGAGATAGTGCTATCGCCAAGGTACAAGGTCAGCGTGTGAGCGCCAGACGCATGATTAAGGTGCTGCGCGATCGAAGCAACGTTCTGTAACAAGCAAATACAAAATATATCAACAAGAACATTATTTAATGACGGACACATGCAAACTTCCAAATTTAGTTTTTTTTTTTATTTGTAAAAAGCTTTTACTTGCAGCTTCGTCTATGAAATTTTTAATTAAAAAAGTCCTACGTAAACCTATATTTCATGTTTGAAATTGATTTCCACAAACATTTTAACATGATTTTTCGTAAAATTATAAACATAATACATTGAATTTAAAAAAAAAAAAACACTATGAAAAATGAATTTTAACACACCAATTCTACCCTGTATGTCTTGGCATTAGGCTCAGCCACGAAGATCGCCTCTAGGTTGTCATTTGAGACGGGTGCCACTCGGACGAAAGCCTGCTGCACTATCACTGGATTGTTGTTTTTATCCTTCACGCTGAACTTCAAGGTCACCCTGTATCACAAATAAGGTAGGTATAACTTTTTTATTTACTTGGTTTTGTATACACCTTTAACCTACCTATTTATTGCAAAACTGAGTTGTAGTTGGTGTAGAAGACTAGACGTTTTGGCGTTTATTGGCCATAGAATTCTCACGTTGAAAAAAGGACGAAGTTTTTCGCCGTCACCAGGATTCGAACCGACGTCCTCCGGGATACGCGCCCGACGCTCTAGCCACTGAGCTAAGCGTGAAAACCTCGGCGTCTTTTTATTACATTTTTAGGTAGTGTGTGGCGTCATCTAATGTTTTCTTTCTTTACACTTTTTCATATAACATTTGAAATCTAGAGATAACACCTTTGCTATTAAAATAGCATAGGACAATATTTTTTTCAGTGCTGTTCCCTGCACTTAAGAAAACATTTTTTCAAGTTACGGGTGGTGAGAACATCGCTTATGATATCCATGAATCTGTAAAAATCTATTTTTCTCATACTACATGGTTAGTACAGATACTAATGCAAGGATACACATTTGTCAGAAATACCGAAACTTACTTTTGCAAGTGATCAGCTTGGAATATCTGTGTCAGTCTGTTGGGATACGTGAGTGTGGTGATCTTCGGGCTGGTCGTTCCATCAACATCTCCGATGCCGAACTCTAGGCTGCCGACTTGAATCTCACCGAGCACCGCTACGTTCACGTTCATCGACTTAGAGCCGGCGCTGAGGGTAATCTTGTACATGCCGTATTGGGACTTGATCTTGGCCAGGTTAAGGACGAATGTAACGGGGTCGTTGGGTTTTTGGACCAGTGGTTGTTTGGAGAGCACCACTACGTCGTCTGCTAGCCTGGTAGCAGACTGGGCGATGACCTCGTCCGGCTTTAAGCCGCGCACCGCGCGACCCACCAGGTCCGTAACTGAGAACTCCACTGAATCCGACTCAGCGGTGACGTATTTCTTGCCCTTAATGGAGATGCTGATTGGGGACGGCTGTAATGGATTAAAAAGTATATGTATTAAAAATTTTACGGTGGTGGGGCCACGCAGCAGCCTCGGCTGTTGCACGAATGGGCAGGCCCGTCCGGGTGCGTATCACGACCTCACAGAAGACCCGCGTAAAGTGGAAGTATGACAAACACTTTCACGTTTCGTCTGGTGAGAGTGGTGAGTGAGGTAGCCGGAGCCCAATTTTCAATGTTGTCAACGCATCTGTAACCCTCGGGTGTGGCAGATGTCCATGGGCGGCGGTATTCACTTAATATCAGGTGAACCGTCTGCTCGTTTGACAACGTTTCGCATTAAAAAAAAATTATATAGTGTCAATAAGACGGACGGATAGAGCGAGCGAGCTAGCTTTTATGTTCTTAATTTTAATGCATTTCGAGACCAACTATCAAGTAAATAATGGTTCTAATTGATGTGAAAAAGAGTTATTATTGCATCCAGTGTAACGATTTGTTAAAAGAGCTTAAATATTTTTTAACATTTCTTTTATAAGTACAAATCATTTGTTATAATGTGTTAAATAAAATGTAATAGAACTTTTAAACTTGGTTACTTTTCTGAAGTTTCACTTCTGCCTTTTGATTTGTGATTTAAACACACACTTTTTTGTTTTAATTCAGTAATGAACTGTAGATCGAGCTTATCCTAAACTATAACTAGTTTAAGTCCACTAACCTCCTCATCGGCAATTGCAAAAGCTGCCTCCAACAGTAAAGCAGCTCCACGCGGAGTACTAACTGACCGACCGGTGATATAGTTCGCAAACTTGTAACGTTGTTCCTCTTTGAGTGGTGAAGGCTTCTTTAGATTTTTGTATGTTCTGTAAACATTAACTGCAATTTTAGAACTGTGCACATTATTTGGTAATTGAGAACATATAAAGTTAAGAAAAATTTAACACTACAATGCCATTTCTTACATTCATATGCGCATGACAATTGTTGGAACAAAAACTTTTGTTGAGTGTAAAATATATATAATGCCATCAATAAACTACTTTCAGTAGTCATGTTCGTAGCTTTGTAGTGCACAGATTACATAAAAAACTATCACCTGGAAATAGTTCCGAGGATGAGTGCAGTTGCTGGCAAACCACCTTCAAAGAACAATGCGCGGGAGTCACTTTCATCAGCTGTCAACAAGACGCCTTCGGCGTGTGATGAAGTCCATGTCCCTCCACATCCCATATGCTCACAAAGTGCGAATAAATATGCATAGCTATAACAAATTAAGTTAAATAATAGTGATTGTTTATTAATAAATCAACAAATGTGTTGATAATAAGTTGCTTGTAAGAGGTCCTTTTTATATGAGGAAGTGGCAAGCGAGCTGGTGGTTCACCTGATGTTAAGTAATAACCACCGCCCAAGGACATTTGCAACACCCGTAGGATTGCAGAAGCACCGCTACCTTTTATAAAATGGGCCTTGGCTACTTCACTCACCAGACAAAACGCAGAAGTATGGCACTTCCACGTCATGCGGGTTGTCTGTGAGGTTGTGGTACTTAGCCAGATGGACTTGCCCATTCATGCAACAGCCTGTTTCATGGTCCTACCGCAGTTGCCATTGGGCATTTTGTAAAACCTAAATTGTTTACTTTTAAAAAAAAATATTTTCTCAGCTCTTTTTAATTTAAAATCAATAAATGATGCCACAAAAAAGTTCACACTGTGACAATTAAAAAGAAATTAATGTAATTTTTTGCATGAGAAAGAATAATACAAGCAAGCAATTTTTATTAAAGGTCCCTTAACTGTGTTGATCTGGAAATACCGCTGCTTGAAAATTATGATGGTATACTACCAACCATCAAGTTGGTATTGATGGTAGGAAACTTTATGAGATGTATGCCAAAACACATTTATGCAAAATTATATGTAAAATTAATATTTTGAACTAAGTTTTTCAGGAATACTCATGATTTTATATATAAAATTGACAAACATATTAATCCATATGAAAGTTACTCACTTAACCGGCGAATCATCATTCTTTAACAACTGAATTAAATTTTTCAGAGCATCCTCTTTATCATAAATGGTGCCTTTACCAAGAGCTTTCAGAGAGTACACTGCATAGTACAATTCTTGCAAACTGACATCTTTCTTGTCAAGTGTTAGTGTTGGTGTCGACAACACATCAGGTGTCAAGATATTTTGACAGTTTGAAAGTGCTGCTGCATTTGTGAGATAAAAAACTTGCTCTAAATTAGAAACATCATATTTTGAAGTTTTCAGATTCTGAAAGATTCATTTGGAAATTAAAAATTACAATATATCAAATTTAATTTTATTTATGCTTTTAAATAGAGATTCATTTTAAACAACTTACTTCACAAACATTGGGAATCTTGGCATTTAGCTGCTTTAGGCCTTTGATAGCAAAATATAAACCTCCAATATCTTTGCTCTTAAGGCCTTCTTCTAAAATTCCTTGCAATTTCTGAACATTGACTGTGCTTTGTAGAATGTTGGCTTTACTTAGGGCCAGTAAACTTAAGAAGAGAAGGCATAAAACTGAAAAATAAAATAGGTATAATAAAAAAATACAAAAGTATTATGCCTAGACAACTGTATTCAATAACATTATAAAAAACGCTCCTAGTACGTCTACTAGGAGGATTTCTATGAATTAGACGTCTCTAATTCACATAATTTGAAATGGAATTAAATAACCTAACGCTAGACTGCATACCGGTAAATGAATATCTAACCATGACGTGGCCCTAAATGATGGAAAAAAATATAAACAGTTATTGTAAGTATCACTTTCTGTAATTAAATATTATCTAAAAAAATAAGCACATTATTTAAAAGATCATAATATTAAACTGTTTCGCTTTTTATAAGCCACGCCAATACATTTCCTTTTAATTTCTTTGATATATAAATGTAGCTACGGTACATACCATGAATATGCATATTTAATGCTACAACAACAGGAATATATCCTGTCACGTTTTTTAATAATCTTTGTATTAAATATAACTAGAAGTAAAATATTTATTTCAGTACATATTATTTGTTCACCGGCTCTGACAGTAAGTTTCAACGTTGCATTCAGTCAAATAATGTTGCCCCCTAAACCTAAAAGCCTAAAACCACTCCAAATAAAATAATATTATTAAATAAAAGTATAAATAGCGCAAAGATTTTTGCATTAATTTCCACATGAATGGAATAATTCAGTGAAATATATTGCAGTGAAAATGTTGGTCTTATAAAGTATTTAAAAAAAATTATAGGGAATTTAATTTTATAAAAAATGATTTCTATGATTTCTACAAACAATATTTTTACCGTAATTCCTAAATGAGGTTAATATTGAATGATAAAAAATTTTAACTACTTTTGCGCTTTTATATATATATATATATATATATATACGAGATATACGATAGATATACGAGAATTGCTCGTTTAAGGGATAAGATAAATTTCGTATTCACTATAAAGAAAACTGTAGTTGAATACAGCTCTCAAATGTAAAAACTGAAAATGATTCAAAGTATAGCTATATACATCTGATCTTTTTTTAATGTGAAAAGTTGGCAAGCGAGCAAGTGGTTTACCTGATTAAGTGATTACCACCGCCCATGGTCATCTGCCACACCCGAGGGTTTGCAGATGCATTGCCATTTTTTTGAAAATTGGGCTCCGGCTACGTCACTCACCAGACGAAACGTGAAAGTATTTGTCATACTTCCACTTTACGCTGGTCTTCTGTGAGTTCATGGTACTTACCCGGACGAGCCTGCGCTGTCTCACGAGGACACATAACTCTATTCTCAGTATCAATAATGTATTCTTTGATCTAAAGGCACCCCAGATGACGATTTCTTCCTAAGCTTGTCCACGATCGATAGAAAAACCTTTACCTCAACAAATTTTGATTGGTTAGTTACGAACATTAAATTATAAAAACAAATAACACACAAAAATAATTTGTATGCGAAAATTAAATGATTTACTACATGTTTACATTTTTGGATTATTATGTATGTGCAAAGATGGTGGATTTCACATTTGTCGTAGCGTGTCGGTTTTCTTCGAACGTTTTGCTACCATCTAGCTAAGTCAGAGAAGGAGACATTCTATGATTTAAGATACCTCACCAACTGCCAGAGAGCGTGTGAGTTATTCTCCTTTAGTGTCCCATTTCTCCCCCTTAGTTCTTGAATTAGCTCTTTACCTTTCTTTGGTGGAGGGTGCAGTGAGTGTTAATCCGATATTGACTATCTTATCCCAGTAGTTTATCTTAGTTGTAGGGACTATCATACCTGGCCGATTTAATCATAGCTTGATGGCGGGATAGACAAAGATAAACTCATTAAGTACTTTTAAAGAATGTTTCCGTAAAGAGACATTCTTTAGAATCGCAATATGTAAGGCAATAACATACTAGGGGCGGCCAATCGTAACGAAAAATTCACTGTTGATAACAAGATATATGATACTTGGTGCTGAGAAAGGGGCGGCTGGAACTTACTACATGGGCTAAGGCCTAGGGCGACCAAGATTTTAAATCCGTCACTGACCTTGGATGTCAAAAACAAGATTCGCTTAAGGCCCTTTTGCATAATTAATGTATATAGCTTAGCGTATCGTGATTCGCGCATACTAGGTTCGGGACGTGTGCTTTGCAGTATTTATTTTTACCGGATGGACAGAAAGATCCTATGATTATAATTGAGAGAATTGTCGATGAAGACGACCCACAGCGTTTCGGATTTTACCCGAATGCGGTAAAAAGAAATATTCACCAATATTCACTAAGTTTTTTGAAAACTTCTTTTAGAGCGGTACGCATATTTTTAGATGAGATAAAATCTCTGGACTCGCGACACCGTTACGAAACGCAACTATAGTGTGTGCTTATTTGAATTTTTGAATAGAGAATTTGATTTTACTATGTCCAATCAACGCAATATTAGCACAATGAGATATAAAAGTGCAATTGATGCGGTATTCACGAGATATTTAAATAAATTTGAATCAAAATTGTTTATTTATATCATTTTATTTTTCTAAAAAATGTCTAACATGCCAAAATAAGTTTTCAGTTTTCAGTTCTGTCGACACTCCCGGAGTGAAACCCGTAATTTTTTTTTTGTATCTAGAAACATCTTCATCAAATACGATTTTTTGACAAATGACATCTCGTTCGATCCTATTCCGACCAGTCGTTCCATTATTAAAAATTTAGACTAATAACTGATTATTTCATTTGTTTCAATTAATTAAACTAACATTATGGCTGGCGTAGTTGCAAAAGTGCCGTCGATGATTTCTTGTAAGTATCCTAATCGTATTTTACCTAATTTAATTTCTGTATAAGTCGCTAAGTTATGTAATTTATGTTGGAAAACATGAAGGTTATGAACTCCAAAAATTTAAAATTTCGTATTTTAAATTAGTGTTTTATTTAAGGAATACCGATGTTCAGTAATATATTGTTTTTGTTTTCAGCGGCCCTTACACAAGCTAAGCCTAAATTCAACATTTTCATGAAATATGCCAGAGTTGAATTAGCACCGCCTAAATTGAACGAGATTCCTCAGATCAAGGCCGGAATTGGAAAACTGCTAACTAGCTTTAAAAGCGGAGCGTGGAAACAGCAGACAGTAAAACAAGCTACACTGAACACACTGGTTGGTGCTGAAGTTATTTTCTGGTTCTATGTTGGTGAATGTATTGGAAAACGCCACTTCGTCGGCTACGACGTATAAGTTGTGAAAAAAATGTAGCTATGTAGATACTTCTCTTAATAAAATAAACTATGCAATCAATTATGTTTTCTTTTCTTATTGTTTATAAATTAAAATTTAAATAGGATATACAGTAAAACCTATACAAGTCGAACATCAAGGGACATCTCCCGTCATGTTCAACTTGTATAGGTTTTACCAAAAAATGAGACATTTTATCAACACAAAGTTTTTTTACTAATATCAAAATACTACAGCGGGGCACAGAGCTCCATGAATTTATAAGGGTTGCCAGCACTGGCTAGTTGCAGTTCAGCTTCCAACTCTTCTGGTCCTCTCAACCATAACCTATCTCTGTAATAGCTGGCACAGGACAGATATTCTTTCTCTGAGTATCTTTTCACTTCAACAGGAACAAAAGGGTCAAGATGTTCAAAACCCTATAACAATATAAAAAACATGTTAATGTTGCTGTATTCAACCCATGGTTATAAAATAGACTCAAAATAGTCAAACCATGTGCTATAAGTGATGGTTTTGTAACATTATTAGAAATTTGTATGTATAATGAGTAGCATCCAAACATTAACCAGAAAAGGTGTGTGTATATGAAATATTTATCGATTTTTAATACCTTTTTCTTAAGTAATTGTCTAGGGAAGTAGTTGCCTGGAAACTCAGCGGGTACAACAATTGTATCCACCGATAGCACAATAGCACCATTAGTCTGTGAAATGAAAACACATTGATAATATAATATTTTTATGTTTGAAATGATATCAACTTTGTTTTATTTGTAGTATTTAGTTTACTTGAATTCTACTTTATAAAAAAAAATCATAAATAAACAGTAAAATTTAAATATGTAACCAAGTTCAAAAGTGGGACAATTAAACAATGGTGATTATTTTCTACATTCCTTAACATGGTACTGCTTCTTGCTCCCTTAATGTCATATGATATACTTGCCAATTCCAGTTGGCAGAATGTAATAAACATTAGTTATTAATAATGAATTATGTATTAATCTCAGCATAATAAAAATTATAGATAAGAAATATTGGATAATTCAGTTCAATTTACCCAATTGTTTTTGGTGAGATCTAAAAATGAAGCAGTGAGAGTGACTTCTTCTGGCAGCACTTTCTTCTTTGTGGGAGTGTTGAGCTTTGTTTTGGGGTAGAAGAAACAATTATATCCATCAATAGCAACAAATGTTTTGCACCTAAAAAAATATTTTTATATTTATTTTAGATAAGAATATAAATTGAACATGAAAATATGTCAATAGAACTTTAAAGGAAGTGTTACTATTGTTGAATAATTTTTTATTATATTAGATATAACATCTGTTTATTATAGCATTTAAATTAAGAAATATAATTTAATATGGTTCCACTTATACTAATGTATGATAATTTTTTGGATAATCTAATACATGAATATGACAGAGTAAAACAGAAATAAATATCAAGCAAGATATACAAGATAGCAATTGGAAAATAAATAAAAAAAGTTATAACATATAACACTACTGACTTTTTGTTATTTGAGAGTACTTTCACTTCATACACAAGTGCATCAATGACATCACAAGCAAATTTCACACGAGATATGCCATGCTCTATGAGATCACCAAGTGGGGCACCAGCTGGTGTCTTTTCACGTTTGCTCCAAACATATTCCTTAGATATTGCCAGCTGTAATATCAATTTATATAATTCTTACAACATTACACAAGCTTCAAAGTCCTTGCATAATAATAAATAACCTGGAATAACTGTGATACTCATATGTCAACAAGTTTTCACTAATAATTATACACCTAAATTACATTTTATGTATATCAATGGTTTAGAAAAGGAGTTTTAATAAACCATTCTTAATACAAATACTGACTATGCTTCAAAATAAGCCTTTATAAATTTGAGACTTACATCACTACTCTTTAATAGAGTCTGATTTTGTGTCTTGAAATGTAACAGCCATGCAGCAGCATCAAGAGGCAGATCTACAAATCCTTCTCTAGTTGATGAATTTGACATCTCCTTATGACGAGGTACTCTCCATAACCATTCATAAACTGACCATAACCATAATGAAACAAAATTTTAAGTTAATTGCTATCATATTACTTTCAAGTTAAACATGTCAAAAAAATATCATTTGTTTATTAATGATTCAGATATTACCATAAAAATAACAAAGATGAGAAACAAGAAGTAATTGCTTTAAACTAATATAATTATATTAAATTACTTACCCCAAGGAACATGAACAATTAAAAAGCCTGCATCATGAGCATAATGTAATAGATGTGCTATTGTTAGTGATTTTCCAGTACCTTTTTCACCATCTACAGGAAGAGTTAAAGAAAAGCATGTGCAAATTGGATTCTTAAATGAACATAAAAATAGTGTATATTATTATAAATACTGCATATTATTAATAACTTATCAAATAATTTATTATTTTTAAAATTTTTATTTATTACAGACGTAAAATTCATTTAATTTAGTGCCTCAAGTACCATATGATATGTTTATTAGGATATTAGATGTTTATTTACATTTCATTTTCATCATCCTTAGATTTTATTTATTGTCTAACCTTGGTATTTACCTAAAACTTAAAAATTTGATAAAACAACCATATAAAATCAAACCATTTCAGTTTGTAATGTAAGTATTAAAACTCACACATCAACTAAGGAAGTCAATGATAATTGAATATAAGCAAACTAGCTGGAAACTGCTTTTTCATGTGCTTTGCTTATTAATTAACAACAACACCACTTGCCCCATTTCTCCACAGAAAACATCACTGAACACTTAGTCCTAGTATAAATTGTTGTTTCTTTAAACTTTATTTTATTCATTGATAAAGGATACATAATACATATCTAATTGCTGGTTTATTCAAATCACTTGATTTTATACAGTCTATAATATCAAGAGCTGGTTGGCGGACCATCAAAGTTGTTTCTGTAAATGTCTTGGTTTGTTTCATGTAATTTTTTGGTAGGCCTCCATGACCATATAACTTTGTACATACATTTTTATCTAAAGTATAAAATAAACCAACTTGATCATCGTTATGCTGAGTCTGAAAAATGCGTAATTATCTTAGTTTAGCTTATTATTAGTAAATTTTTAATGTTTAATTAATACCATTTATGAAATAATCAATATATTGTAGGTGCCTAATTATATCAAACTGGTAAATATAGTAAATGGCATCGATAATTTTCAATAAAATTAAATAAAAATACCAACTTTTAACACTAATTCAAAACAGAATACTTACTGGATTGGCCTCTGTAGTTCTGAAATTTACACTTTGAGAGTACCTTCGACAAATGTGTCGTAAATTTCGAGTAAACATATTGTATTTGGTCTCGTATAATATTATATTTATGAAATAATTTTTTACAGGCAGAACATATATATCATAACCTAAGACCTAAAATCTTAAATGTCAAGAATGTCAACAAGACAATATCCGCAGCAGTTGCGTAGCGGTAACAGGTTTGGATTTAGGAATGACGAAAAAGTTAGTAAAAAATTTTAGACAGATATTTTGAATAAGTTAAGTAATTTTGAATCTTAAATCATGTCAATAAGATCCGTTTCAATTAAATACTAATCATGGTATCAACGATTACTACAACGATATTATTAAGTATATTTTTATTGTTTTGTTTAGCCTTGAGCCGTAACGGGCGACAAAGCGCGCAGTTAAGTAATTTTGAATCTTAACAGCATGGAAAAAAAAACATTTTTAGTTGCATTTAAATACGAATTACGGTATTAACGATTGTCTTTAAATTTTGTTTAACCTTGAGCTGGATTGCATTGGTACTTATCACGTAATAGTAAGGGATGCCAACTTACTACTTAAGAATTTTCTGCCTAAACTAAGGAAGAAAAATATAAATGTAAATTTTTTAGGAGGTAAATTTTTTGTGAATATTTTTATTCGTTAAATTTTATTCTTATTTTTGGAAAAAAAAATAAAACTACACAAAAAGAAAAATATAATTTAATAGTGCTGTGCTGCTTGGGTGGAAATCAGACCAAGGCTTATGTGCTTTGTGTGTATATTTTAAATTCTTCCGCCCTAAGTTATAATACTGAATGTATTATTTCTTACACAAATTATAAAAATATTGTCACTCATGATTGCGTGTTCTAAGAATATGTTAAACTCAATTATTAAGCGATATATAAGATGTTGAAATAAATCATTTTTATATTACTTCAATTTCTATTTTTAATGAAATTTTTAATTTAATCAGGTAATGTTTTAATTTTACCTTAATAGTACAAAAAAAGTGGGATTTTAAATTCAGTAAGGTTTTTGAATTTAGTCAATTTTAGTGGGTTTTCGAATTTATTTAGAAGTATTCTTTTTGAACAGTTGGTATCACTGGTAATAGCTTTAGTTATGTATAGGTATAATGATCGTCGAATGAATGAATGAATGAAATGAATCAACTTTTAAATACGCCTTCACAATTTATACTTATTTTTTTATTATTATTATTATTATTATTTTTTTTTTTAGAATTCAAGGTGGATACGGGACCGTAAAATATCTAGATATTAAAATACATAGTTTCGAAATCTGATATTTGAAATCGAAATCTGATTCAGATACGGTACTCAGAAAAAGCGATACGACCCATCTCTAATACCAACCAGTACCGATCCGATATACTTGCCAGACTTGAAAGTATTTTTCCATTAAAGTATACTAGCCCTTATTAAGTAAGTATTATTACGTCGATCGAACTGGAACGTCGAACGAATCGAAATTCGAATGTATTTTTCTCGGAACTCGGCTTCCTCGTCGTTTGGCTATTCGGCTAGGCTCGGGGCGTGCGCCGTGCGATTGCGAAGCAATGAATATCGGTCTCGCCTGGTGTGTCGCATCACTCGATTAGATAATTTATGTTCATATACATAAGGATCCGATTGTGCTTATACGTGAAATAAATAACTTTCAAAGTATTTTACGTCTTGATTGGAATATTTTGAATCTTATTGTATGCAAGGTTTAAACTTGCAAGGACACAAGTATACGACTCCTTGCGTTGGACAGAAAATACTTTCAAAGTATTTTGATACCTGGTTTCTGTACCTGGTATGAGAAGATGGACGTACTTTTAAAACCCTGGTACGCGATTTATCAAGTATAACCCAGGGATGGGTTATACTTGATAATGGTGTAATGGATAAATATTGTCACTTATTGTCATTGGTCACTTATATCTGTACATTAAGCTACGATGTTGTAATTTTATTGTAAGTTCCTACTAATATAAGAAAGCGATTTGTCAAATTTCAACCGTCGGAAATTAAAGTTTCGGAGATATTCATTGTAGAATTATTGATTATATTACATTGAAAAAGGCATTTCATACCAAAAACTATTTTACATAGAGTATAACATACGTGTGGAATGTTCAGTGAGCAAAGAACACTTCCATACCTTTTAATATATATTAATGAACCTTATTTGACACTACAGATTTGATTTAAATGCGAGTTTAATTTAAAGTAAATGGTCTTACAACGAACTTCAATTCAGAAACCGACTTTGTCAACCCCGACCCGCCGTGGTCTTGGTGTGTCCTACCCTAGAGTGTTTTTTAGAGCTCGGAAGCGCGGAGGGAGGGCAGTCCCCGCCTGCCGTGACAAAGGCGCAGGCATCACGCGAACCAACAAGCAGAAGGTTCTAAGGGGAGCGTGTTCGCCTGTGACTTTGTAACGTAAAGGCGACGGGCCTGCCTTTCCTGCAGCGCCGATGATAAGTCAGAAGTACTGGTTAGTACTCCCCAACTCTTTCTTCGCTATGAAATAAATATGGACAGAAAGGCAAGGTTACAATTTAAGAAAAAAAAATGGTGACTCCGACCGAAACTACTGGGGGGGTTATTACTTTCCTCCGCCACCCTAAAAAAGGAAATAAGTATAAAATAACCGATATTAAAGCTTTTATTAGTATAACCCAATAAGAAATATATCCCATTTAAACAATCAGTACCCGGAGGACCGAGCTTTGCTCGGTTTGTTTTTTTTTTTTTGGGAAATCGTGTATTTTGGAAATTACATTTAGATACAAATTACTGAGTAATGAAATATGCATAATATTTTTCGATCTTACCGACGTAATAATAAGAAAATATGAACTGATGTTTTTCACAAAAGAAAGAACTTTAAAAAAAAGGGAAAAAAATAACAAAATAACAAATCGACAAAAAATTAAAAATAAAGAAAGCAATATTCTGGAATCGAAAAACAGTAAAAAAATAAATGTGACGCGAACCACGGCCGTCTGTTTTAGGGCCGCCCGATTACCGACCGAGCTATTTTGACATTTTCTCTTGCGGCGAAATTTACCGTCATATTCGAATTATATTTTTCATTCTCTGAAAACAGGGATAAAAGGACATTTTCTAAAAACTAAACCTAGCTAGATCGATTTTTCGCCCCCGAATCTATGCACATACTAAATTTCATGAAAATCGCTGGAGCCGTTTCCGAGATTCCGATAATATATATATATATATATATATATATATATATATATACAACGTGTCCCAAAATTCAACGATAAGCCAACACTGGAGGATAGACCTGCCCCGGACTAATCGGGAAAAAAAAGAAAAAAAATATATCCCAATTATGTTTTAAGTTATATAAAAAAAATGTCACAATGGGTTTTGAGTAGACCCTGTTTTTAAGACAACCCCAATAGAAGTCCAGGGGGTTCAAATCGGGTGAACGGGGTGGCCATAAGATAGGACCAAGTCGCCCGATCCAACGCCACTAGTGTTCATACTTTTTTTTTACACCACAATAAGTTAAATTTGGTTAAAAGTAAGTCTTCAAAATATTTAGGGAATAAAATAAGTTTCATTAATTTTCGTGATAAAACAAGAGTTATTCTGGAGTTTTAAAGAATTGTGGTAGATAGCAGTACTATTCAGGTTGCCTATAAAAAAAAAAAGAAAAAGTATTTAAAAAATTGTGGTCATAGTAGTGAAAAATATCATAAACGGTCTCAATTTCTGAAGAATTTAATTTTTTTTATATACCTTAAAATATAATTGGGATATATTTTTTTCTTTTTTTCCCCGATTAGTCCGGGGCAGGTCTATCCTCCGGTGTTGGCTTATCATTGAATTTTGGGACACTATGTATATATATATATATATATACAAGAATTGCTCGTTTAAAGGATAAGATGAAAAAAAAAAACTACCTATGTCCAATACACCCCCCCTCCCTCCCTCTTTTGGGGGTTCTATGCCCCCCCAACCCTCTACCTCCATGTACTTTTATAACTGACCTTCCAAATATTGTATGATGAACAATATTTGGAAGGCAGTGATTTTCCAGTGTCTAGGTGTTTATATATTTATAATAATTATGGATTTATTTACAAAAGAACAGTAGGTTTAACTATGTTCCCCAGTTATCAAGTACTCATAGTAAAAGCATTGCTTAGTTTGAGTATAGAGAAGGTCGTACTAAAATGTGTTGTGAAATACTTCTTTATTTAAAATAAAAGATATTTTTGGTTGAATCACAGATACAAAAAGAAGTTTGTGTTTTGTGTGTTAGTCAAAAACCCATTCATGGAAGTCCGAGGTTATTTTGATATCAGGAACAGTTATTTAGACAAGTGAGGAAGAAAATAAAATAATCTTAAATTTGTATCTTTAATCAAGAACAATGATTTATGATTTTTGCTGACGGCGTTTTTTAAATATACTTATGGGTCTATTTTCCTTACTATTTAAAACAGGTTCATTAATCGCTTTGTTCTCTAATACATCTTTAACTATTATTATATTTCTAGAATTATCTAAATTATTATAATGAATACCTGATTTTATGGAGGAATTTTTAGCTAGTTTAGGTTCTGCTTTATCAGATTCATAATTAGTTTTTCTAAGAATAGGAGTAGTTTCAGTAAACATGTGAGAATATGCAGTATACACATCACTTGGCTTCATGATACCTTTTTCTGGATTATATGGTTCCATGCTTGGTTCTATGTCAGAATGTTTGAAAGACAATTCTAGTGTTTCACTTTCATCTTCATCAGCAAATGAAACACTCTTTTTTATTTCATTATTGCTTTCAATTTCCTCTGAATCATCTTTATCACTATCTTCATGAATAATTTCATTTAATCTGAAAAGCAGAAGAAACATGGAACTAGATTATTTTTATTAAGGAATTGCAGTTCTATGCGCATAATTGCGCATTACAAAAATTAAATATAAAAATGATTATGCAATCGAAACAATATGGTTAACATTGCTCTAGCTCAATAGAAGCAGTTAAAGCTCAGAAACATAGTTTTTTTATCAACTGATGTTAATTTATTTTCATATCACCTGTCCATTTCATCTTCCAATTCTTCTAATTGCTCTATTTCGTCTAATCTAGTCAATAGGTCACCTTCCGTTTTACTAAAAGTTCTATCACTGTTCTTTAGATCCAATAATTTCTTCTCTAATTCATTTTGCTTATTTAAAACTTTTTGTAAGAGATCTAATTGTAAATTTTGATTGTGCTCAGTACCTAATTTTGAAAATTCACTTTTTATTTCTTGTTTAACAAAATCTTTGTTAAAAGAATATTCCCTTATATTTGGATCTTCTTCAATATGTACATTATTATAATTTTGTCTTTCTATATCATCTCCTTTGCTTTCAGCGTGATCAATATGTAATAACTCATTCTCTAATTCTTCTTGTAGTTCTAATTCCTCAAGCCTAATCCATAAAGCCTCATCAGATATTTCATTTCTATGCATTTCTTCTTTTTTGTCATTTCGTTGTATGTATTTTTTTACATTTTCTTTGTGTTTTTCCCTCCAAGCCTTATCTTCTTCTTCAGTATGTACTTCCATAATATCTTGTCCAATATTTCCAAAGATATTTTCCCTGCTAAAATTAATTTGACTTTCTAAATATTCTTTTTCTTTCTTAAAAGAGTCCAACTTTGTTTCAGCATCTTAAAATTTGAAATTGAATGATTATTTCAGTAATTAAATTAAAAAGAACACACTTTTTAATAAATAGCATTATTTACTTGTGATGGTAGGAAGTAGACATCTGCAAAACAGTTAATAACTTAAAATTACATCATATTCCTCCAAGTTAATTATCAAATTAGTAACGTCAAAATCACTTGATGTTGTAAGGACCGCCGCCAGTGTGCATTGTGTAGCACTGTGATAATGGAATGTTTTTTATTGGTATGAATAACTTTTACGGACACAAAGTTAATGAGGGGCAACTAAAAAAAATACCTTGTATTCTATGTTGTCGTAATATCTCAGCCTGTTGAGAGGAACACTTAGCAAAGTAATCAGTACCAAGTGAAACTGTAAATTCGTTGGTATGTTTTAAAGCGCCTCTAAAAAAGATTCTGCTGCCGATTGGTACGAGGATAGGTACTGTTAAATTATTAGAAAAAATGGTGAAGTCGAGTGTTTTCAAATTTTTTAAATAGTCTTCCCAAAATCGAATTTTCCCTTCATTCTCCGCCAATTTCTGAAAGTTTATGATATTATGTAAATAGAATTAAATTAATTTTTATATATTGTGCATAATTATTATGTATTCATGTAATGGTTTTTACAATATTACCTTGTCATAAATATCTTTTAATATGTTCATTATTAAAAAAGTTATTGAAAGTAATTACTATTAAAATTTGTTGTTTTTTTCATCATAATAAAAAAAAATATATTAAATTGAACAACTTAATCAACAATATTTGTATTGTGGCCACTGGCCAGGTCGAATTTGTTAATGTCAGCCAGTGACAGCTTGACCAGATTTCATTTGACGAATCTACTGCTTGTCGAGGTTAAAAACTACTGAATTCTACCAAAAGAGAACGAGAAAAAACTAAAAATCTAGTATATTTTTTGCTGTCGTGATAAAACCTATTTTAGGTATTTAAGAATTTTTAAGAATTTTCTTAATTAAACGATAAAGACATGGAATCTCACAAAAGATACAGTGCACAGAATGCGAGTCGCACAGCGAGCTATGGAGCGTTCCATGCTGGGCATCAGGTTAAGAGATCGCATCCGCAATACCGAAATCCGTCGTAGGACGAAGGTCTGTCACTTAGGTGAACGGATAATGCGGCTCAAATGGCGCTGGGCAGGGCACATTGCTAGACATGGTGATAGCAGGTGGAGTAAAACGTTAACCGAATGGACACCTCGAGAAGGAAGGCGTGGTGTCGGCAGACCACCTGCCCGATGGGTCGACGATATCAAAGCGATCGCAGGAAAAACATGGATGCGATACGCTCAAGACAGGGAATAATGGCGCAAGAGGGAGGAGGCCCATGCCTAGCAGTTGGCTGAAACGGGCTGACGATGATGATGATGATGAAACGATAAAGAATAAAAATAACAAAGAAACCACCATAAGTAAACAAACCAATGTTTTTTTAAAGTTAAATTCTAAATAAAAATATAATTAAAAAAATAAAATTAAACTTAAAATTAAGATTCTTCGTCTTTATGTCTAATAACATTGTCATTAAACTGTTTTGAGTCCATATGATCATACTTCTGTCACGATCAAATCTCCTACATCCTCCTTCCAACTGACCCCTCGTAACCCTTCTTTTCCATGCATTATTGCATGCAAAATTATTATTATTAAATCGATTTCGGTCTTGATTTTTAATCCTATTAATATCGGAAAATATTCTTTCTACTTTATCTCTACTGTATCGTCATTTGCTTCACAAATCGGGACAAATTGCCGTACTTTGGTTTGCTATTAGCATCACAGATCTGGCTGACTTCACTTCACCAAAAGCTTCAGACATCTAACCAGCAGTTGATAGTGATTTTTTTTAACCTATTACGGGTTCGAAGTACTGTGTAAGTTGAAAGTATTAAAAAAAGTCTTATTTTTTTTTTAATGGGAAAAGTTGTCAAATGAGCAGACGGTTCAACTGATGGTAAGTGAATACCGCCACCCATGGATATCTGCTACACCCGAGGGTTACAAATGCGTTGACAACCTTTTGAAAATTGGGCTCCGGCTACCTCACTCACCAGACGAAACGCGAAAGTATTTGTCATACTACCACTTTACGCCGGTCTTCTGTGAGGTCGTGGTACTTACCCGGACGGACCTGCCCATTCATGCAACAGCCGAGGCTGCTGCGTGGCCCTACCACAGTAAAAACGTCTTAACGGAGGCATCTTTAACCGAGAAAAAGCCGCGAGTCGGGCCAACAACACATGCAGCCTCCTTCTACCGACGAGGACTAAGACGAGTCGCCTAGGTCATCATTACTAAGCCTATCACCCAACAAGCGCTCTTATAGGGAGATAGACCTGGAACACATCGGTGGCGAATCGAAAGAAGGCGAAGTGAAAGGCCACATTTCCCGCGGTGACGGTACACCCCTTGAGACAATGCTCGAGTTATTCCCCGACGCCCGTACTTGCACCGGCTCGACTGCTACGGCAATGTAGACGACTCCTCTGTGCCAGTGTGTGTGTGTATGTTCTTTGAGTTCGAAGTACTTACCGGACGGGCCCGCGCATTCATGTAACCGAGAATTGTTGCGTGACCTTACAACAGTTAAACAGACAGTTTATATACGAGTACACTAAACACTCAACAGTGTTCTTAAAAACTTTATAGCTCGTATTAATTTATTTACTTTGTTTTGTTTAAGTTGTTAATGTTAAAATTAATCTACTAAAAAGGAGTTTTATATTACTATATATTTTCCATTTATTATACTCTCTCTAAGAGTCATTTCATGCAAAATGTGAATAAACTCAGTTAAAACAAGTACATAATTTTTAACAAAAAAAAAACCGACTTCAAACCGAAGACTAAAAAACAATGTTAAAACCTATAACATTTGAGGATTGACATCCATTTCTCTGAGATGTCATCATCAGGTTTGGGTTTCCTTATCATGGTACCACCCTCGAGATATCGCCTTTCCAACAAAAAAAGAATCATCAAAATCGGTTCATAAACGATGAAGTTTTTGAAGAAGTCGGTTAATAATATGATCGACCTTACCTCCCTAGCAAATATAGAAGCGTCCGTCATGTAGAATCACTATGACATGGCATCAGCCCATTGTCTTCTTCCTTTAATGTTTCAGTTTCCATATCGCCAAACAAAAATATATTTCTTCCAATTGACCGCGGAACTGGACGTTGCTCGAGATTTTGACGCCAAGTATTCCGATACTAGCTGTGGCATATAGGGGAGTGTTCTCGAAATGAGGAGTCACGACAAATGGGGATTTTTTAGCGGTTAGCGCAAACTTGTGTCTTTTGAGGTTGAATTGGACTAAGTTTAGTCGACCCCAGTCTGAGACTTTGGTTAACAAAGTCTCGACTTCAGACACAAGCTTGTTCCGGCTCTCGTAGACGTTTTCTCGAGAAATGTTAGCTCGGCCAGTATACGAGACATCCACAGTGCTATCGTCTGCATAACAATGGACGTTGTTGATTTGCAACATGTCATTGATATGCCGTAGAAACAGAGTAGGAGACAGTACGCAGCCTTGTGGAACACCAGCATTGACAAATTTAGGTTCGGAGCATGCACCGTCGACGACAACCTTGATGCTCCGATCTGCCAAAAAGCTGGTGATCCAATTGCATAATTTCTTGGGAAGCCTATAGGAAGGCAGCTTAAAAAGAAGTGCTTTGTGCCATACCCGATCAAAGCCTTCGCTATGTCCAGACTAGCTGCAAGCGCCCCTTGCTCTCAACTGCTCATCCATCATTCATCTCAGCGCATTCTACCGGTATTGAAATGAGGCAAACCACATTAGGATGTGCCGCCTGCACATAATGATCCGTGGGTGATGGTGAAATATCTTCCATTAGAATATTCTTCTCGTTCCCATCTGGCCCCCATTAGCTCCATGAGCTCTTTGAACCTTCTTTCGACGCGGTGCATCCTAGCATGGTGTCGGCTACTGCGACATCGGTTGAAAGTTAGGGTTGCTGCGTTTTTCTTTCCTTCCAAAAATTTGAAATTTTACAGGATTCCTAGCATATTTGCTAAAACGATCAGCTCGGAAAAGTTTCCGGTGACTGCTTCGGTGTAGAAAATAACTGTACTTACATAATTTTTTTTTTTCTATTCATTCATTCTAATTTTTTTGATCGAGATTGTGGTAATTTTAAAAAATTTTTATTTGTCAAAGATTTGTCTAAATGTATTGCAAATTAATGCGTGTAATGTATAACAGACTCTGGTATAATGATTACAAAACGTCAATATTTTCGCCAACAAGAAATTTGTCAAACTCATACAAAATCTGGACATAAGCTGATACTGTGTGTCTGACTGATAATGAGTTTGTAACTAAACAATTAATTTTTTATTTCCCAGTTTGGGTTTTTTAGCAATGGCTGAAATTAAATCTATTTTACACGAACTGTATGTGTTTTCGGAATGGAAGCCCGAGCCAGAATATTTAGTTAGTTACAAAATGTTTTGTGTCCTATTGATATACATTATTCTTTAACTTTAAATAAATTTGTAAAATTGCAGCAAAAGTCTGACAGCATATTACCGGAAAATATATCGGCGGTTTGGCGTTGGTTTAAATTTTTTGGCCCCAAAAAAAGTTTAATTGACAGCGTAAGCACGTAAGTGCAACAAAATTCTATTCATGTATCTTACACTAACACACAAGTAGATTATCCATTTATCGGGTAAAAATTGTTGTTTCACCATTGATAAGCTTTCCGAAACTATGATTATATATAACCATTGTTATTGTTGGGCTTATTGTTCTTTGATAAATTACTATAGCAACAAGTGACAATAAAAAAGATTATGGTTTTCTCAACTCTGCTTGTTCTTTGTACTGCACCTTAAATATTCAATCTTGCCAGCTCACAAAAGTACAAGACTTCATTATCTCAATTAATCTTCAATATACATCATTAATTAATTATTATATTGGAAAAAGTAAAGAGTTTTAACTATCATTTATTGAATCTTTGATAAGAGATAATCTTATTTGTTTACTTTTTTAAGCTGATTTAAGATGACTTTTTTCAGACATAAAGAAAAGCAACAGAAATGGCACATTGCTCTGGGTGATGAGGGGAAAGTGTTAGCTGTGCTCACTGATAATATTTTAGAAATAAGAACAAAACGTTCAGAGTATGCTACAATAGCAGCTAGAACCACAGGTATTGATTTAGACAACGCACAATTTGAAAAGACCATGATTTCTCATTTTGTTACTGTAAAATGTTAAAAGACTGTAACATTACTAAAATAGTATTTTAAGTTTGCCCCTGATTCATGTTGGCCACATATTAATTTACTATAATAAAAAAAATATTTCAGTTAGCCGGGATCCATATGCGCAATGGCGTAAGCTGGTATGGAGTCCAGACTGTTCGTTTTTGGTACTGGCATATGGTAATGGTGTGGTCAGCTTCTTTGACCTGACTGCTTCAAACCTTTTCAATATTCCAGCAGTAAGTATGGTTAGGTCAAGCAATAAATAGTCTAATTTTTATTTTATTTTACGGTAATAACTTAATGCCCAGGTACTTCCTTTTAATTCAAGGTTCTCAAGCAACTTGAGTTCAAATCTTGGTGCCAGCCACAAAGTACTGATTTATCACATGCTTATCAGCTGGCTTGCCAGAAACCCCCCCGAGTAAACCCGTCAGTCCTTGGTGGGATATTGTATTGCATTTATACTCCTTTAAAATTTTAAAAGAAACCCTTCCCTTGTAGGCTGTTACTTTATTTTAAAATTTTTAAAAAATGTATTAATAATTTTCATTTTAAAATTTTTTTTTAAATTATAAAAATACACTCCACTTTTAGGATTGTTCAAGACCTGGAGGTTTGGAATGCACGGATAACACACATGCAGTGTGTGATATCATATTTATGCCCCTTAGGGTAAAGGATACCAAATGGTATGAACATTTAAACTGCTTCATAGAAATATTTAAAACTGCTTCATAGATATAGAAATAAGCGGGTTTTGAACGACGACCCATTCTATAAGCTGTCTGTGGTGTCCGACCAGTTGGAGGCGCGATTAGCCAACGAGAAGTTTCAGCTCTACATACCGTACATTACCACCAGAACATTGGTGAGCAATAATAGACCTCATACTTTTCAGTTAGCTATATGTAAAGATTTAATTAATTTTAAGAATAAAGTTTTCAGAATTAATTCTAATATAAATTGATTAATTTTAAAATTTATCAAATATAATTTAAAATTTTAATAATAATCGGAAATATTATATACGTTAATAATAATAAAAGAATTATTTATCAACAATTATGTATCGTATTAAGAATATTGTATGTATTATATACAATATTTATATCTATATGTTTATTTTTATTTATAAACCCAACCAGACGAGAAAACAAATAAATATCCCCCCAATAAAAGACTTAAATTAATAAAAATTATAGTTTATAATAATAAAAGAATCTTCATAACAATATAATATTTTTCATGTTTATTCTTCCGGCCGTGTCTCCCGTTTACGATACGATTACACGGTCGTGCGTGTATTAGGGTGAATATTTGCGTATTCCGCGTGCGTGCGTGCGTGCGTGCGTGCGTGCGTGCGTGCGTGCGTGCGTGCGTGCGTGCGTGCGTGCGTGCGTGTGTGCGTGCGTGCGTGCGTGCGTGCGTGCGTGCGTGCGTGCGTGCGTGCGTGTGCGTGCGTGCGTGTGCGTGCGTGCGTGCGTGTGTGTGTGTGTGTGTGTGTGTGTGTGTGTGTGTGTTAATTCATGACGTCTTTTGCAAATTCACCACCGCAGAACTTCGTGGTGCGAATGGAGGTGTCCGCCGACGGCGCTAAGCTCGTCTGCGTGCATTGCAACGGGGACGTGTCGCTGTGGCGGCTGCCTCTGCTGCGGCTGGAGAGGCGCTGGCCGCTCCAGCGCCAGCCCCACCACCGCCTGGAGAGCCCGCTGCGGCCCCAGGCGGCGAACAACAACCCCACCCACCACTACCACCCGGCCGACGTCAACTGGTGGAGCGAGGAGGTGAGGTTTCACTCCGTGGCGCAGTTGCCGAGCTAGTGGCCTCGACGACGGCCGGGGTAGTAAACGACTATTTGTGTGAACCACAGATAGTTGTTTCGCATCTGGGTGTGTGGACACGGGAAATTTATGTTTGTAAAACGCCCGTATAACGCAGGGTAATGTTATCGTAAAGTAAGGGCAATATTTAAAATATAAAAAACAAAAAAATGCCCGCGATGTTTACTTTACCAAAAAAAAATCAAAATCATTTATTCATCGACTTAAGAAACACACATTTCATCTATCGTTAGTCATTTTTTTTAATCTGCCACTGTTTCATAATGAGGCTCCTCTAACGGAGTATCTTAAACAGAAATACGTATGTGGTCGATATATTCTTATTTATTGATGTTGTGAAGTTCAGGGTTGAAAGGCTGAACATAATTAAAATAGGGTCTATTTTGTATTGCTAATAATTTTTCTCCTGACTATTTTTTTTTCACGAGAATTGACACTAAAAAAGAAATTATTCATAAAAATACAATAAGATGGTAAGTAAACGTATTGACGCAGGTTGAAATCATCGCAGCGCAAATTATTCGCAACTTATCGTTCGTGAAACAAAACACATCTTTTCTATAAATTTTTAAACTTATAGGAACAGAGGATTCTGCACTCAGGATGAAGCTCAGCACTATAAAAATGAAGATCCTTTAAAAAGAAAAACATTCTCATTGGGACTGCAGACAGAAGTCAAAATAAAAAGAAGTTAAATTATATAATATTTAATTGTACTTACTTTTAAGGCACTCCGAACGATAATAACAGTATTTATATAATATCCACAACTGCAAATATATTTTTGCGTATTCCGTTTTTAAAAATAACTCATGGAAAGCGTCCGGTGACGATGACGCTCAACAATCAAAAAAAGCGCTCAACGCGCCGTAAGAAGTTTAAACTTCAAAAACACGGTCATTCATATTGAAACTTATTAGAAGTTATTCATTTTGCAGGAGATAATCTTGGCGCGATTCAGCGGCGCCGTGAGCGTGTGCGATCTAGAAGAGCTGAACAATATCCTCGGAAAAGGGCCCGAGTTCTTCCAAGGCACACCTCAGGTGGATGTACATTCATGTATTTTTCTTAATTTATGAAACGTGATTAATGGAAATAAGAATACTTTTAGTGCGTTGCCTTTTACGCGTTTCGTCTGATACGTGAGTGATGTGTTGCATGTAAGACTTTGGCGCATGTGCCGGTTTCTTACTAAATATTAAAAATAATAATCTCTCTGAATTTATTACGAGTACCTGTTACACCTTTCGTGTTTCAGGTGACACGCGCACACGAGGGGGCCTTTATGGTCTTGGAGTGCGAGTCCAACATACTGCCAGCCAAGAAGTCTCGAAGCGATGAAAGTGTAAGATTTAGAAAGATTTTTATTTATTATATTCCATACCAAAGCATCCCTAACTTTGCATATTAGCAAAGTTATGGATTGATTTACAAAATAATATAAAACATTTACTCATACCTACCTCATCGGATGTACTTTCTCTGCTTTAACTAAATCTTTGATGATGACAATTTTGATTGTATGGAATAGCTAATAGGTGAAACCTCTTAAAACAGCGGTTAAAACAGGCTCTGACAAAAGTTAATCTCGTCTGTGCTTGTTTTTATTTTAATAATTAATAAGTAAGTGTAATATTTCTTTATTGGATGAAGATATTCGACTATGATGTGGCGCTTGCAGATGGAAGTGGTGAAAGTGGAGGAGGCAGCAGATGACTCGACGCTGGAACTGACCAAGGAGCTGCTGAAGACGGTGCTGTACGCCATCACGGACATGGAGACCTTCCAGCCGAAGCCCAAGAAGATCACCGTCGTGTCGCGGATATACCGGCTCTTGGGCGTCAAGAGCACCACCCCCGACGAGCTCTTCTCCAGGAAGGTGGGCTCCACATGGCACTTTGTTGTACCACCAAACTAACGGCCGGTCTCGATACTCTGTCTACAGGTAGATTTGGTTACTAGCGATAGCTACTTTATTATATTGACATTAGGTCCATACTTACGTCAAAATTATATCTCCAGTAATTACTAAGTAAGTACTTCTACGTACTTACTATCTTCGCACAATTAATTATACATGATAGTGTGTGTACTCTTTTTTCTTATTGATTTATTGTATTTTTTATACATTTTTAAAAAAATATTAGCATTCTGCACTCCTCTATATAAACTGTAAGTTTGGGAAATTTCAATTTTCGTAAAAAGGGGAACAAAGTTTTTGCTTCACGTATTAATATATAGATTAAAGTTATCTCTGTTGAACTTTCCTAACGTTTCGCGACACTAATCCACGCGGAGGCGTTTCCAGTCTACGGTCAAAGTATGGGGAGTCCAGATGGACCAGATGGTACAAAGCATCCTGACGCTTAAATGGTCGTGTTAAATATTTGAACTCGACTCATACCAATGCCTAAGCATGTCTCGTGGATCAGTATCATGTGTCGAACAGCACTAATGCTATCTTTATATGTCGCTGTTGAAGCACGTCCCTCACGAAGATTAGCATTAAGATTGTTAAACCCACACTTTACGGTGGTAGGAGTCATGCAGCAGCCTCGGCTGTTGCACGAATGGGCAGGCTCGTGCCTGGACGAGAGACGAGTACCACGACCTCACAGAAGACCGGCGTGAAGTGGAAGTATAATACTTTCGCTTTTCGTCTGCTGAGTGAGGTGGCCGGAGCCCAATTTTCAAAAGGTTGTCAACACATCTGCAACCCTCGGGTATAGCAGATGTCCATGAGCGACGGTATTCTCTTAACATCAGGTGAACCGTCTGCTCGTTTGGCAACTTTTCACATTAAAAAAAAACTCATTAAACTAATTATTGTATACAGTGTCTGGGAATGAGTCTTCTTATTAAATGCTAATCGAAGTCTATCATAGCTTTGTTGTTGAGTAAGAACACTAAGAAATTCGTAATATATCATGGACCGAAAATTTTCTCGCATTTAATTCATTTTGAGGTGTAACAAGACTTTTCGCTAATTTACAAAAAAAAATAATAATTGAATGCAATATATAGATTGAAAGAAAGAAAGGTGTTTATTTGGCGCATTACATAACAGGAAAAAAATAATTAACAAGAATAGCACTGAAATCGTAAAAATTTATGCACCAAAACTGCTCATTATGTAGCCGTGGCAGAATGCACCATGACACTGGTTTTCTGCAAATGCCTTAAAAGAATATATCTCATTAAGCTACCAAAGAGTTCTATATTCAAAATTTCCAGTTCTAATAACTTTCAGTATTACCTTATATATATTTATTTTTAATATTGTTTTACATACAAAAGAAGAGTATGTTTAAGAATGTTTATGCAATACCCACATCACTCATAAGTAGTTCAAGCTATGCCTAGTTTGGATTAGATAATTTTGTGTACTTCATCAGGACAAACCTCAATGTTATTCAGTGTTATTATTTTCTCTTTTTTTATGTGACAATGGCAAATGACCTGGCGTTTCACCTGATTTTTAGGTGAAAACCGCTGACCATTAACATTTAGGAACAGCCCTTGGGTTGCAGATGCGTTTGCCGCACGAACAACTCTTTACTTCCCGAACTTACCGAGCCCGTCTTACCGAACTTTTTCAATTTAGCAACTGATTCATTGTGAAATATTCCTTGGATTTTGTTGTAAAAACACGAATAGATTGTCCCATAAAATATTTAATTATTCTACGCGATGTACGTCGTGTGAGTCAGATAGTGTGCGCGATTGCTTACAGATCGAGAGCGGGCACTATGCGGAGGCCCTAGCCCTGGCCGACAGATTCGGCCTAGACAGCGACCTTGTTTACCAGCAGCAATGGAGGAAGAACCCCGTCTCCACGCACGCCATCCACAACTACCTGGTGAGCGGACCATTTAATAGCATTTAATACCATTTAATAGCACAGAAATATAGTTCCATCTAAATATCGTAAATAAGTTCGCGGTGTGTGTAGTGTGTGATTTTTTTTTATTTTAACTTTATAATATATTCTATATATAATTCTTTGCTTCTTTATCCTATTAGAGACCGTCTATTAATCGCGATATGTTTTTTTTAGCATTTTTAACCCCCCCTCCCCAACAACTTCTCCCCCCACCCAAAAACAGGTGAATTTTTTTAGTATTTACAAAGAATCTTGAAATTTTTAGAATATTATCTTTTACATAAAAGAATTATAAGCATTGGTAAGCGCGGCGCGCGGAGGCGTCGTGTTTTTTGGTTTAGAAATCATTCTTCGCTTTTGTCGAAAATATAAATACACATGATATTACGTGATTTTTGGCCAGCCCCCTTTCTAGCTTGACATGATCAATGCACAGCCCCATATGTGCTTGCGTTGCAGAGTAAAGTTTCGAAGAAGATTTGGGCGGTGCACCAGTGCGTGGACCGCCTGCCCGAGACTCTGTCGGCCGCCAAGGAGCTGTTGCAGTTCGGACTGCAACTCACAAACGAGAGGATTCTCGATGGTACGCATATAATCAAATACATTCGCTTTTGTTCACTAGTAAACAAAGGTCGATGTTTCAGCGAGCTGTTAAAGTTCTAAAATGGGACATTTTGTAAATTTCCCCCTATTGGTGGGATTTGTTCCCGTGGCCTCTTTTACATTTATATTTTTAATGTCTCTAAATGTTAGTAAATAATTGATATGCACATGAAGTCTATAAAAGTAGGTTAAAATCGGTGAAGCAGTTTTCTTTTACCACCACAGATCAGCAAATTCCTTTTCTTGTTTAATTAGTAGCAGTTCTGAATTATATTTTACATAATTTTCTGATGGTTTAAATTACTTTATTATAGATTACAAGTTGAAATTCGCAACGGATCAACACCTTTCATTTCATAGAGGAAATATGTCTAAAACTATCATGAAAATTTTCATTATTGTTTTTATTATGTTAGAGAGATTTAAATGATGTTTAAAAAATATTGTAGAAATCAACAAGGACCGTGATGAAGATGAGCATAAGGATCCAAACGACATCACTCTGGAGGATTTGAACGCGTACACCAGCGAGCTGCTGCGATGCCGGCACGTCATGCTGTACTATAGGGAGAGGCTCAGTCTCTATGAAGTGAGTCACGCTAACTGTCATGGCTTGTGATCGAAGAACCGACACCATTTTATCATTGGGTCACGCAATAATTTGTGTTTGCTGTTGTACAAATGGGCGGTTTCATCCGGGTAAGCATCACAACCTCAAAGAAGACTGGTGTGAAGTGGAAGTGTTATACTTCTGCCTTCTGTCTGGTGAGTAGGGTAACTTGGGTCCACTTTATTAAATGGTGGCAACGCATCTGCAATCCTGCGGGTGTTGCAGAGGTCCATGGGTGGTGGTTGTCACTTATCATCAGTTGAACAACTGGCTCATTTTAAAAAAAATCTATGAGATGATTTATTCAACTATTTATATCTACTTCAGTTATTTTAATAATGTACAATAAAATATATGTATTAAGTACATATTATACTATGAATTTTATTGCTTGAAAGAATTATAATTGTTGTTTCTATATATTCAAGTAAAGTTAAATATTTCTTATATTATATGAAATTTTATTATATATTAAAATTATATTATATAAAAATTATTTAAATTATTATTTTATTATATATAATAAAATTATATTATATAAAAATTTCTTTGACGCCGTTACCGACAACTGATTACGGATCGATCAATGTTCTTTTCTACTGTACATAACATGGTACATAACATGGATCAGCTCCTCCTAGACAGTCGCACTGAACGGCGGCGTTCCGTCCGCAGTCGATCCTGTCGAGCGAGAAGTGTGCGTACAACAAGGAGGAGTACGCGCGGCTGCGCAGCGGCAGCGTGGTGCGCAGCGCCGTGGAGCTGGCCAAGGAGGGGCGCGTGGAGGCGCTCACGTGCCTCTGGCCGCTGCTGCGCGGGCCGAGGCCGCGGCTGGCCGTGCTGGACTGGCTGCCGGAGACGCTCAACCCCGTGCTCTTCCAGCACCTGCTGCCCTCGCCGCGCCCGCTGCACACCTTCGCCGAGTGCACGCCCGTGCACTTCCCCACGCCGCACTACACGCACGACTGGTGCAGGAAGCGCACATTCAGGTATGCACGAACCCCCGCGACCGTATCCCCTGCCTGTCGCGGAAGGAAACAACATAAACCGCTCGTTTCGGGCGCAGATCGATCTGGAGCTCGGACTGGTCGGAGGAGGGCGAGTGGGAGGGCGGCGCGGAGGGTGCGCTGGGTGCGGCGGAGGGCGAGGAGAGCGAGGGGAGGGAGGAGAGCGAGACGGGGGCGGACGAGGAGGGGGAGGAGGAGGAGGACGCGTTCGGGGCGTGGTGCGAGCGGCGCGCCAGGCAGGTGGTGAAGCGCACCGGCCTGGCGTCGCACGCGCTGGCGCTGGTGTCGCTGGCGGCGCTGGGCGGCGGCGTGCAGGGCCTCGACCACCTCATCTTCCACCTGCTCACGCTCACCACGCTGCTCTACGACCTCAACGTGGAGGAGTACACGCTGCGCGACGTCGAGGCCATGTCCACGCTCGACACCTGCACCGCGCTCATGAAAGTGGTACGTCCTCTTTCGGTCCTCCAGAGATGCTTCATTTATAGATGCAACACATGTTACATGTGATGTGTGCGATTAAAAATCAAAAACAAAATAGTAAAATAAAAGTAATAAAAAAGATAAGATAATGTAAAAAATATATAAAAGTAGTTCATGAAAAACAATACAGAAAATTTTATGTGAACACTAAGAATGTTCCGACTCCACACAGCACCAATTATTTTAGTCACATTGTTAAATGTCTGCTATAATGTCTGCAATTTTGTAGCAACAAAACTACTGCCCTTTAAATTCATGGGAAAATTAAAATTTTCTTCAACAAATCCTCCTTCACTTTTTCCATCAGTACTTCCTTTAAACGTGCAGTAGTAAGCACTAAGTCAATTCAACCTGTTTCAAATTCCTTGCCTCGTTCCTGTTTTTAATTTAAGAAGATTGCAAGCCAGCTGGTTGTTCACCTAATTTTTTTTTTATTTTTTTTTTTAAACATTGCCCTTACTTAAGGATAATATTATCCTGTGTTGTAAGGACGTTTTACAAACATAAATTTTACGCGGACAAACACCCAGATGCGAAACAACTATCTGTGGGTCACACAAATAGTTGTCCCGTATGGGAATCGAACCCACGACCCCCGACGCTGAAGCCAATACCTTGGCAACTGCGCCACGGAGTCATCATAAGTAATAACCAGCCCATGGACCTCAATAACGCCCGTAGGATTGCAGATGCGTTGCTACCATTTAATAAAATGGGTCCCAGCTACCTCTCTCACTAAACTATCCACTTCACGCTGATCTGTGAGGTCGAGGTACTTCTGCCCATTCGTGCAACAGCGTCAACTGCCACTTCGCCCTACCACGTTAATTTTTAACCATTACAATAAAATATCATAATAATAATAAAATAATAAAATATCTTTATTCACATAGACGCTTGCGCGTTCTTATGAAACATCAAAATTTTACAAGAAATTAACACGTTCGTAAGTTACCACCGGTTCGGAAAGCAGTTTCTGTTGAGAAGAAACCGGCAAGAAACTCAACAGTTGCTCTTTTTTTAAAAATCAGTTTACAATATAATAGTACAGGTACAATAGTCTTGTTTTAGCCTACGTGAGTATCAACAGTATTAACCCCACACATTGGCGTCGTCAAGATATTCGGCAATAGTATAATAGGCTTTAGCCATAAGTGTACTTTTAATTTTTCGTTTAAATTCATCAAGTGGCAGACTTAACATCGACTGTGGGATTTTATTATACATGCGCATCAGCCTATTGCCGTCCACTGCTGATCGTAAGCCTCCCCCAAAGTGCGCCAACTATCCCGGCCCTGGGCAGCCCGCATCCATCCGCTGCCCGCCACCTTTCTTAATTCGTCAGTCCGTCGTGCTGCAGGCCGTCCCACTCTACGTTTTCCTGACAGTGGTGTACCTCTAATACCGTCGGCTCCAGCGACCATCAGTACATCAATACGCCTTGAGACATGCTAACCATTAACCATTGAGATATACAATTCCAGTCGACGCCGGAGAGTTTCGTGGCCGACCTCAAGGAGTTCGTGGTGCCCTACCTGAAGCGGTACGAGAGGCTGATGAACCGCCCCGAAGCCTGTCTCTACGGCCTCATGGACTTCCTGGAGAGCAAAAGCGTCACGGACCTCTCCCATATATTGCTGGTGAGAATAATATCGCCCCGTTGCTTGTCTTTTCAAATATCAAAGCAAATTGTAATTCTAATCCTAATTCAAATATCTTTATTCAATATAGAAGCATTACGCTTACTTATTGATTGTCAACAAACACTACTACCGGTTTGGAAAAAAGACCACTGACCTAAGAACAACCGGCGAAAGAAATTCGGAAAGGGATTAATTTTTTGAACATAATTTGACAAAAAGAAAACATGTTTACAATATGTTGAATTCTGTTTTAAAGAGCCTCATATATTGCATAACATGCGGTGAAACCTTAGTTGTATCTAAGAAATGGGAAATTCATTGACTAATTCCTCCAAGACTCAGTATAGAATATATCAATATAGAATTGTTAAACATTTTATTACTTGAGCCGATTACGAGTTTGTTTATATTCTTATAAAAATATGTTTTAGGAAACAATAGCATCTTAATTTACATAGGAGTAGACCACAAAATTAAATCGCAAATAGTTCTACATTCAAAATTGAGGAATTATTTGAGGAAAAATAAATAGATCAAATGGAATAATGAATAGATTGAATGAATCACACCGTTCGTTAATTTGGAATAATAAACCGAAAATTAAATGAAGCAATAAAAGCGAATTGCGCACGCTAGGCTTTTTGTACTCAGTTACAGCTGCAAAAGTGACGTTAATATTGTCCAGGTGTTGCAATCCCCGACGGAGTTCGAGCTGGACATCCGCACCCACCTGGAGCTGGCTGAGCGGTGCCTCTTCGCGCACAACAGCACCGACCAGCTGGACATGGCCTGCGATTTGCTCAACACTATACTCAAGGAGAGGTCAGTAGCGATTGCGTTATTCGTCGTCTGTGCCTTCGGCTTCGGTCTCTCCATTTTTAAGATGGAAAGGGGGAAGGCACTTCACATAGGTGTAGTGAAAAAATTGTATTTAATAATATTATGATTAATATGGGAGAATTTGCGTTTTCTTTCTGAAAAAAAAAAATTAATTAAATAGTATAGAAGTTGATTCAGAAGATAATGGTAGGGGATAGAAGAAAGGATAATGACTACTTTTGTATGGTTACAAAAGTAATCATTAAAAAATGTTACTTGCGAATAAAGTGTTAGGTATACAGCATGGCGTTAAAACCGCGACAATTAATGAACACACTTATAACGCTAATGCCAATTATCAATAAAAAATATAAACGTTAAAAAAATCTATAATGGAAAAAAAATATTTTCAAACAAACTAAACGAAATTTGAAACATCCTATACAACTACAACTGACTAATTCATACATTCAGAGAGTTTTTTATTCGTTGCCACAACGTCGTATTACAAGTTTCTCCTTTTAACAGAATGTTTTATCTCTTTTAAATTCATTCAACCCATTCATATGCTTTGTGACCTTTGCAAATGAACTTTACGTTACAGTTTTACAGCATTTTAAACAACCCTTACGTTGTTTAAAATAATTTGTTTTAGAAAATTTAATTACTCAGTAAATATTGATGTTTAAAGAAAGTAATTGTTTAATACAATTTTAAAAGGTTATCCTCTATATGTGTGTAGATTTATGGTCGCGTTAGTAGCACTACGCTATTAATTATTATTGATAGTGAGAGTGATATTAAGAATGGATTTAAATAGGGAGAATTTAATTATCGTAAGTCGACTGCAAAAACTGAGTCTTAATTCACCTTTTTGTGAGATTGTGCAATGAGTCTATTACAGTTTTTAATCGAGGCATATACATAGGCTAAAAGACAGTTTTTTTTTATTAAATTCTAGTATACTTTTTTTTAATTAGTTCGTTCTTGGTATAGCTTATTTTTTTTAAGGATACATTTTTAGGACACATTTTTTTACACAACAGTTTACAATTCTCTAGTCCCAAACTAAGCATCGCTTGTACTATGGGTACTAGAAAACTGATAGACACATTATACATAAATAAACACCCAGACACTAGAAAAACACTATATGCTCATCAAACAATATTTTTCCAGTAGTGGGGATCGAACCCACACCCTCTGGCGCAGAAAGTAGGTACAATACCGACTACGCCATTCGGGTCGTCGTTCATTTATATTTTATATTTCTATATATTTGTAGATTTCTTGTTCTATTCTGGTCCTCCTCAAACAATGTCCTTTATGTGGGTTTACTAAGTAAGTCAAAAGGTAAAAATATTGCGTGCGTGCATGCGTGTCCGCAGCCGCGGCAGCATTCCAAATGGCGAGCTAGTGTTTATTTGTTAGTGTCTGTATGATGAGTAATATAAAAGGAGTATGAATAGTGTAAAGACGTGTGCGCCTGTGCGGGTGCATGGTCGCAGCTGCGGCAGCATATCTCGAAAGCCGAGCTTTGTGCGTGTGTGCATGCGCGCGCGCAGCGATGGCGGCGTCTCTTACGGCGAGCTGATGTACATTGGTTGTGTGTGTGTATAGTGGCGTATAGACAGAGGTGTGAAAAAGTGTGTAACGTGACGGTGTGTGCGTGTGCTTAGCGACGGCAGCATCTCGACGGGCGAGCTGGTGCGGCGCGTGGCGGCGCTGGAGCGGCTGGTGGGCGGCGCGTCGCGGCTGGCGTGGCGCGGGCTGCGCGTGCCGCTGCGCGAGCTGCGCGACCTGCGCGCCGACGCGGACGCCGCGAGGCGCCTGCTCGCCCGCCTCGCGCGCGACCTCGCCAAGGGGTGCGATACTGCTGGCGCTGGGAGTTTTCTTTCAAACGTTTCTTTAGACGGCCAGTCGGGCGCAGCGCTGCTCAAGGGTGCGTCCTTAAGGGAGACATCGAGTGCCTGCGCCGAGCGGCTGTTAGGTTCAATATGTCGTACCGATGATGTTGAGGGGCGAGGCGCAGGAGGTACGGCTCGCGTGCTCGCTGCCAAAGGGGCGCGTGCTCGCAACTCGCATCACTATTACGAAAGTATAATCCGCTCGCCTTACGGGTGGATGACGTAGGGGGGCGTAGAATGCTAGACAGGGCGCAGCACCTGCTCGTTCCCGTGCCCAAGGAGTGCATCTCTAAGCGCGCAGTGGCACCCGTCGAACGTAAGCGCTTCCCTTAGGCAGCTGTTGGGGAAGGTATGACGTAGCGATGCCGTAGAAAGGCACAGTAGGCCAGATTGGGCGCACGCACACTCCCTGCCCAAAGGGTGCGTGCTGCGAAGCTACCTACTAATAAGAAAGTATAATCCATAGGGTGCTACACGGCTTAAGACAACGCTGAGAATGATAAATGATACCACAGGAAACAATTTTAATCATTTCTTTTCTCTTTCTCAGTGAGAAAAAGCCGACACCACAGGACTGGGAGAATCTTCTGAAAGACATGCTGGAGCTCCAGAGCACTCTATTCGATTGCGTTACTAAGGAGAAGTGTTACGAGGTATTTCAAAGATATAAAATCATATCATTTGTCTGAATTATATTATACATTATCGATAGCAATAATGCGCAACACTGCTCCCTTCCGTAAGACAAATCAGTGGGAGAGAGAGCGATATACTCTCTGCGCCGCTCCCATGTTTCACAAGCCAGTGTGACGTGAGTGCAGAACAGCACTATAGTTTTAAGAATAAAAAAACGGCAGCACTGCGCACGCCTATGAGACCCTTGAGTGGGAGCGAGAGTGAAATAATCTTCGCCGCTCCCACGTTTCACGAACCAGTAAAAAATGGATATATATGAATAATACACTTAGAAAAGCCTCCCTGGGCTTTTCTACATATAACGTTATATAAAAAATTTTAAATATTTTAAATCACTCGTTTTGAACTTATCTTAAAAAGTGCGTGAATCCTACGCAACTCATTCATTTTACGCGCGATCATTCATAACTGAACGCGTACAAGTTCGTTTCTCTTCGTTTATCTTAATTCCCGATTATACCGCCGAGTCTGAACCTCCTGTGTAAATTCGGGCAGCTTTAAGAAAGTCTCCCTGTGTACAGTACACAGTACAGTGTTGAGGATAGGGAAACGAACGTTCAGATCTACGCGGCGGCGCTGCTGGCGTCCGGCGACGTCGGCGCCATCCGGCTCGCGGGCGGCGTGCTGAGCGTGTCGGCCGCGCAGCGCCGGCCGCCGCCCGCGCTGCCCTACGAGCGCTCGCTGCAGCTGGTGCTGGCCGCCTCGGCCGAGTACTTCAACTCGGCCTCCTCCATCGCCGACCCCGCCCTGGACCTCGCCAGGTGCGCCGAACCTTTTTCCCTTTTTTCACCCAGGTGCACCGAACCTTTTTTTATTTTTTTTCCCCCCAGATGCACCGAACCTTTTTTCTTTTTTTTCCCCCAGGTGCACCGAACCTTTTTTATTTTTTTTCCCCCCAGATGCACCGAACCTTTTTTCTTTTTTTTCCCCCAGGTGCACCGAACCTTTTTTATTTTTTTTTCCCCCCAGATGCACCGAACCTTTTTTCTTTTTTTTTCCCCCAGGTGCACCGAACCTTTTTTATTTTTTTTTCCCCCCAGATGCACCGAACCTTTTTTCTTTTTTTTCCCCCAGGTGCACCGAACCTTTTTCCATTTTGTTTTAAAGGTTGCACTCGCTAGTCTCGTTGGCCGTGGAAATGGGTCGCTAGACGAAACGCCCAAATGTAACACTTCCAGTTCACGGTTCTCTTTGGAGCAGTGGCACCACTCCGCACGGACACGCCAAAAAATTCATATTCGATAACAAATATAAGATTAATAAATCACATGAGTCGGTTTTTCCACTAATGTAATTAATGGGCATTTGTAGCAATGTTTGACGTCATCAAGGTAGCGTCAAGCATTGATGTAATGAAACTGGATAAACTTGGAATGCTGTAAAACTTGGTTTGATAAAAAGTTAAAAAAACAAAATGAAACGGTGAGATTTTCGCGGGGTGGGCATATCGACCGCTTAACGTAATGATTGCACCGTCTGGACACATTATTTGAAAGGCGCAGATTTTCGACATTTCGACAAATACACGCTGTATTCATTAAGAATATATTTTTTTAACCATGGATTTTTTTAAGTTTTGTGTTTTTTTATGATAATTGGCAATTAGCGTTAGATGTGTGTTCATTTATTGTCGCGGTTGTAACGACACGCTGTATAGAGCTTTCTAATGGGGAAAGAATTTTTAAAATCGGTCGAGTAGTTTTTGAGCTATATCGTAACAAACAAACAAACAAAACATCTTTGCTCTTTATAATATTAGTTTAGATAAAACATAGATTTTAACTTAAGTGAAAAGACTAGCACTAAAAATAATATGAATCATATCATATAAATATATTGTATATTTCAGATGCTGTCTCATCTTGATAGAGGACGAACATGAGGACATTCGGAGAGAGTTGGACTTCAATGATGCCCTGAAAATACTCACCACATTCAATTTGAAAATTCTTCCAATTCAATGTAAAACTCTTGCGATTTTTCTTTATTTATCTAATATTTTTTTTATTTTTTTTATTTTAAAAGATGCCAAACGAGCAGATGGTTCACCTGATGGTAAGTGAATACCGCCGCCCATGGACATCTGCTACACCCGAGGGTTTGCAGATGTGTTGACAACCTTTTTGAAAATTGGGCTCCGGCTACCTCGATCACAAGACGAAACGCGAAAGTACTAGACTTCCACTTTACGCCGGTCCTGTGAGGTCGTAGTACTTACCCGGACGAGCCTGCCCATTCGTGCAACAGCCGAGGCTGCTGCGTCTCCCTACCACCGTTACTTACTTGTAACAAGGACAATGCCACCGTGAAAAAGGAATAATATATGAATCTTCAAAAAAATTCTGCATACAAAAATATAATTGATTCTACTATAAGAGTTTTCGTCGGTATAGTAAATAGATATAATATATAGTAAAAAATAGAGCGCTTTTCATTTTTCAAGTTACAAAAAATGAGGTTTAAATTATTTCGACACCTTACTGGACGATTATATTGAACTTTTGGACCTGAAGCTGGTTTTTAAACACAGCAATATTTGAGGAGCGAATTCCCGAAAAATGTCGATTTCGGGTGTTTTCCGCCAAGCGCTGGCAATGATCACGCTCATGAACAATGTTTTTGCCATACCACATTCTTGGGAACGTTACAATCGAAAACTCAAATTTAGTTTATTTACATTACAAATGATCAACCCAAAAATAAGGCAAAAGTTTGTTGGTGGTTGCGTTATAATTTATTAGCTAAAATAAACAAAATATAATAATTCGAAGATGTGGAAGCCTATATGCTAGAGGTCACAATTCGTCGCTTGAATCGACAACGAGGTCTCGACCTCAATATCATAGTGCATGTCTGACCTAAAGGAAAAGAAACCTAAAGGATGTGATAACCGCGACACGAGAACGTGTTCCGGAAGGAACCTTGGGGGACATAACGCGTTAATTTCTTTAAAAAGTAACATGTATTTGCAACGATTTTTTTTAATTTCTATCTATGTCAATAGATAGGCCTAAAAACGAAGCCACATATGGAAATTAATTTGTTTTTTAAATAAAAATATTTTTATTTAAAAACACAAATTAACAGTAAACAGCGTGTCGTTACCACCGCGACAATAAATGAACACACGTCTAACACTACTTGCCAATAATCATAAAAAATATTAACGTTAAACAAAATCCATAATTAAAAAGAAATATTTTTCAAACAAACTAATTAAGTAAAAAAGAAACAAAATTTGTAACATCCTATATAACTCGCGCCACTGCGTCGCATTACAAGCCTCTCCTTCTAACAGTATGTTTTGTCTCTTTTAAATTCATTCAACCCATTCATAATTATGCTTTGTAACCTTTACAAATGAACTTTACGTTACGTTTTTATAGGTAAGGGTGTTCTAAAATTCTTTGTTTTGGAAAATTTAATAACTCTATAAATATTGATGTTTAAAGAATTTAAATGTTTAATACAACTTTAAAAAGTTATCCCCTATATGTGTGTTCATTTATTGTCGCGATGGCAACGACACGCTGTATACATTGTATACCATACAATATTGTTGTATAATATTCTATATGATATAAAGTTGCTTATACTACAAGCTACTACATTGAATGAACGGTTACGTGCTTTAATATAGTAAATTTTGAATATTACATGTAGTCGTTATTTAATCGTTTCAGTTCGGCTCTGCGGGAACAAGATGAGCCTGATCGAGGAGTGTTTGAAATTAAACCAGAACGCCTATCTTGCCAGTCATAAGCTACTGAAACTAGCTAAACTGCTGAGGATCGCGGGAGACGACGAGCAGACACGGTGATTAGTTATTTCTGTACAATATCAAATAATTTATAATTTGTATATAAGTAATGATGATGCAAACAAAATTCCAATTGTATTGGCAAAGAAAATATCTCGATCAAGTAAGCTTTCAAGCATAAATACCGCAACGTAATCGGTCAATTCGTTAAGAAGCTATGATGCCACAGACAGACACCCAGACAACCACGTCAAAATATTTTTTTACGTTGGGTATTAATAAATTAGAGTTCAAATTGGACAAAAGGGCCGACTTCAAAAACTATTAGTAAAAAAACTATAAGTTTAAAATAATACTAAATCTAATATAATTAAATATTGAAAATCTAACCTGTATAACCTAACTTACCTAACCTATTATAAAATTTAAGACTTTTTAGAATTGTGGAATCCTGTAGATTTTTAAAAAAGGAAGAAAAAAAAGAAATAAAGATAATCTATTTACGAAGAAAGGACACACACAACAAAAAATTTTACGAAAATTAAAAAAAATTAAAATAATACACACGAGTAAAGAAAAATGAAATATTTATTCAAACTAATTCAAGATTTTAAGAAATTAAAATTTTTTATTGTGCTAATCTCTGCACTTAATATATTTTCTACAAATTTTAATGTTCAAGATTTTCACTTATTTTATATATATCCGACTCAGAATCTAAAGTACCATAGAGATTTATGACAAAAGACACCTAAATGTCATAGTGATTGTTTTTTATTGTCCCTTTATGTATGTGTTGGCTTAACGTCACTGTTTATTTGTAGGCACTATAAAGAATATTTCTAAGGGAGAAAGGCTGAATGCTTTAGAACTATGATATTTTAATATTTAATAATTTTATCTTTCTAAAAGTTTTCTTTATTTAAAAAAAAATCGTACATCAGTTCAATTTTTAATTTGCTACAAAAGTATATTTTTGCTAGATACAATTAAAAATTAAAAGCTTAATAATAAGTGGAGTGATTTTCCACTCGAGGTGGAATCGTAGTGACTTAAGCCGATACACCAACAGCGAACAACCCAGCGGTAAACCCGAAACTGATTGTCGGCCTGGTTCAGCGTTGTCAACTGTTCTTAGAAAATATTCATAAAGCAATTTGAAAACCCACTCATTAAAACATTCTAAATGTTCATTTAGGTTGTTTTTTTTTATGTGTATTGAGTTGACAAGCGAGCAGGCGGTTCGCCTGACGTTAAGTGAATACCGCCGCCCGTGGACATCTGCATTGGACAACCTTTTGAAAATTGGGCTCCGGCCACCTCACTCGCCAGACGACTCGCGAAAGTATTATACTTACTTCCACTTGACGCCGGTCTCCTGTGAGGTCGTGGTACTTACCCGGACGGGCCTGCCCATTCGTGCGACAGCCGAGGCTGCCGCGTGGCCCTATCACAGTAATAATAAGTTTTAAATTTACGTCCTTAAAAACCTGCATTGTAAATTCTATGAAGAAAACTCCTCCGTGTCGTCACAAAAAGTGGCGGGGCGTGTTGACGGTTGGGCGTGCGATTTGTCGCAGCGAGGGCATGGTGCTGCAGCGCGTGTGCGAGGAGGCGCTGGACGCGGGCCCGCGCGGCGCGGCGGCCGCTGTGGGCGCGGCGCGCCGGCTGGCGGCGCTGCGGCACGCGCCCGCCGCGCCGCTGCTCGCCGCAGTCGCGCGCCACCCGCCGGCGCGCGCGCACGCCGACCGGCACGCGCGGCGCGCGCTGCTCGCCGCCTCCGCCGCGCACTGCCACGCCGCTCAGCTCGACGGCGTGCTGCGCGCCAGGCACGCTTTCTTTTACTTTAGCTAATGCTTTGCTTGCACTTCTCACCTAATGTACCGCGACAATCAATCAATTCGCGTTCGCTCATCAAACCTAACTATCATATTATCAGTATCATTTCAACTATATCAATTTTGTAATACGTGTTCTAATAAATTCTGTTATCACTTACATCGTCAAAACGGGTGTTAGGAGTTAGCCCCGAAAAGCTTAGGAGAAAAAAAATTCAGTTTTAGCCGAAAACCGAGCATCGCATCTAACAATAATAAAAGTATATATAATACATGGTAGACAAAGTGGCAGCCTCGTACTGGCCTTAGCAGTGTAGGACGACCTCCCACTAAATGGAGTGACACCCTGTGCAACTGTGCGAGAAGTCAATAAAGTGGCTAAGAATCGTACTTCGTGGCAGTCTACGGGGGAGGCCTATTTTCAGCAGTGAACTCAAACAGGCTAAAATAATGATGATAAAACAAAAAAAAAAATGCTGTTTTGAACACTTAAAATATGTCGCTTTCTATATATACATATATGTATAATATATACATATATTTATTTTTTGCAAATATTTAAATTCGTGGGTTTTCATTGACAAATTAACAATCAAGAAGTCGCTGTTCGCGTAACGCTAGCAAACTCGTAAACTAACTACTGATTGAAATATATATGTCAGAGAGAGGTGGATAACATGGACAGCTCGTTGTCAGATACCTCATTGGAAATGTGGTACGCGCAAAATAAAAGTTATCACGTAGTACTGTAGTTTACTTGTTCGATTAAAATCAACAATAACGAAAATAACTAGTCACCACGACGATGTAAATGAATGGAAACGCAGCAAGTTGGATAGAGGTAGATGACCGCTCGCACCGCCACGCCCTTTGTCCAAGTGACATGCCCGAACACACCCCCGTGTCCAATGTCAATTGACTTCCACAACTCATAACCGTCAAGCCCGCTCTCTCACTTCCTGTATGGACGTTACTCCAAGCGCACTACTTGACGTTTCCGAGAGCTACCAATAGATGGTGTTGTAATCCAATTATGGCACCATATCCTGATTCTGCGACATATCTTTCATACACTGACTATGAGAGAAAGAAAAAAAAGTGTGCTCGCACTTCCCTCTTTTGCCCCTTATTAATATACGATACGTAACTCTCTCTCTCTTTCTATCTGCATTAACTTAACCCTCTCAACTTCCGTTCGCCTCGTCCGATCACATTTTCGTAACGCTCATATCACGCATTCACCAGCTTACTCCCCAAGTAAAGCGTGCGTAAAGAAGTTTTACTTCAAACACAGGTGACATCCCCTGCTCACTTGATGTGGGTAACGTGTAAAGTTGTGAACAGGCTAGCGCTGGAGATCGAGGACATGGAGCAGTTGAGCACGTTGGTGAAGACACAACGGCACCTGGTGGCTTCGCGGTACCCTTCCGTCGAGGAAGAGTTCTCCGACGCCATTACCACCGTCAGTAAAACGTCTATTAGCAAGAGATTAAAGTAATCGAAACTTTAGACCTGAAATCCACTAGAAGAGAAAAATGCTAATTTTACATATAAATGTTGTCAATGTCACGTACACAATCGGCACGAGTGAACATATTTTTTTATGTGCGAGCAAGAGCTTCAAGTGGTGTTAAGTGGTTACCGCCGTCTTTGGAGATGAACAATACCTGATGAAGGCGTTGCCAACCGAAAAAAGTGGGCCCCGGCTACCTCACTCACCAGACGAAACGCGAATGTATACTTCCTCTTGACGCCGGTGTTCTGTGAGGCCGCGGTCCTACTATTGCTCATAAAATCGCAATTTTTTCCTATTTTGTTGTAAGTCGATCTAATTATCATTCTTATAAGCGATACCAGCTCCTGAAACTTGATTCATTGTTTGATATAATTACTTGTTTACTTTTAAACATGTTCCTACTGGTAACAATTTCAGCTACTTCAGCATAATTGTAGTTATTTGTGTCATATGATATCAATGTTTGTGATTTCAGCCAGTCATCGAGAATAAGGACCTCGTGGTACCAACTCAAAAAGTTCCAATATTCAATTACCTGATTGAAACATTCCAGAGCAATTTCCATTTCGAGTGAGTTTTTTTGTATTGCTGTAGGTGTTTACTTATTTTTCTTTTCAGGTTGTATTACTGATAATGTACACAGTTTCTGTTTACAGACAAAGTACAGTCGGCAAAAAGTTGCCGACTGTAGCTAAAGAGGTAAACCTGTATCGTTTAATGTGGTAGGGCCACGTAGTAGCCTCGGCTGTTGCACGAATGAGCAGGCTCGTCCGGGTAATAAAATGATACACATTACAACAAATTAAAGATATACCGTTTTTTTTCTTTTTGTTTTATTCGAATAAGAGGTTATACATTCAATGTTGGTATCTCAGCATTAACTCCCTTTCTGAATAAAAAAAATATTTATCGAGACTTTCTTTGTATTTTGTAAAACTAAATATCAACACGAATTGTAATATAAACGTACTGGTTTATCGGACAACGAGGTAAAAGTGACACGTAGCAGCGAGTCGGCTGTGCGGGTTGGGAGCAGGAGAGGCGCGGGTGGCGGTGCGCTCCCAGGAGTTCTACTCAAACGTATTTAACGCTCAATAAGTTAATTATGTTTATGATGCGTCGCTGCGAGTCGGCCGAGGGGAGAGGGGGAGGCGCGGGCGGTGGTCCGTTGCCAGGAGCTATACTTAAACGTATTTAACGTACAATGAGTTAGTTATGTTTGTGATGAGTCGGCCGAGGGGGAGAGGGGGAGGTGCGGGTGGCGGTGCGCTGCTAGCATTGCAAAAGTCGGTCGCGATGCGTTGCAGTGAGTCGGCCGTGCGGGCGCCGGACGAGGGGGCCGATGCGGGTGAGGGGGAGGCGCGGGCGGCGGTGCGCTGCCCGGAGTTCTACCGCAGCCTGTACCCGCAGCACGGCGCGTGGGGCCACGGCTACGACCGCTTCTCGGCGAGCGGTGCGCCGCGCGGCGTGGCGGGCGCGCTGCTCTCCTGGTACTGCGTGCAGGCGAGCTTGGACGACGCGCACGCCTCGGCCGCCGCTCCCCTCGAGGCGCTCGGTACTTACGCACCCACATTAAGACTTGTCTGCTCCCTAACCGAGCAAAGCACTGATTGCGCTAGATATATAAAAAGCATTTTTAAACTTACGCCCCTTCGTTCGTAACGTACGTAATGTCCACGAGCCGGATGAAAAGTTATCTATTAAACAATGTATTTAAACTTACACCTGTTCATATCTGTTACATGAGAATAAATTGAAAAGTTGTGCACTTGGATTCGACAATGCATTAAGACTTCTCCGACCGGTTCGTATGCGCAACAACACGAGAGACAGTCGAGCGTTGTGCACAGTGATGCAGCGGTGCGCGGAGGAGGCGCTGCACCGCGACACGCCGCTGGGCGTGGCGTGCCTGCTGCGCTCGGTGCGCGAGTGCGGCGAGTGCGGCGGGACGGGCGAGACTGGCGAGACGGGCGAGACGGGTGAGGCGGGCGAGATTGGCGAGCTGGTGCGGCGGCTGCACTCGGCGGCCGCACTCAGCGCGCTGCTCTACGCGCTCCTCATCGGGTGCAACGCGCCGCAGATGCGCGATCTCGTCTACCTGGCGCCGCCCATGCTGGTGCGCTCTATTTATTCATTCGTTCATTTAATCGTTCATTCATTCTTTCATTTATTACTTACGTATAAAACCGTAAAGTAAAGTTCATTTGTAAAGGTCACAAAGCATATGAATGGGTTGAATGGATTTAAAAAAGACAAACATACTGTTAGAAGGAGAGGCTTGTAATGCGAGGCTGTGGCAACGAATGAAAAAGTCTCTAAATGTATGAATCAGTTGGTTGTAGTTGTATCGGATGTTACAAATTTTGTTTCTTTTTCACTTATTAGTTTGTTTGAAAAATATTTCTTTTTTAATCATGGATCTTTTTTAACGTTTATTTTTTTTTATGGCAAGTAGCGTTAGACGTGTGTTCATTTATTGTCGCGGTTGTAACGACACGCTGCATATTGGTGTGGAAACGTACGATCGGTGCGACGCAGCTGGCGCACGCCACGCTCGGGCCGAGCGGCGCGTCGGGCGCGTCGGGCGCGTCGGGCGCGTCGGGCGCGTCGGAGCGGCGACTGGCGGCGGTGCGTCGGTGCGTGCGCGGGCTGGCGTGCGCGGGCGACGTGCTGCGGCTGCGCGTGGCCGGGCTCGAGGCCAGCGGCGCGCTCTTCGCCGCCGACGAGGACTACCGGCGCGAGCTCGTCTACGCCCTGGCCAGGTGCGCCCCAGCCAGCGTTACCATCATTTCCACATCATCATCATTATCACATCGTCATCGTCATCACGTCATCGTCATCACATCATAATCATCATCATCACATCATAATCATCATCATCACATCGGCCTGTTCGAATCCACCGCTGAACACAGCCCTCCCCCGCAGACTGCCACGAAGCACGACCCTGAGCTACCTACGTCAATTTACTTTTCCCTGTTTGTGAGCTGAAGTGGCGATGGGCCAGCTTATAGCTCGTAGAACCGAAAACAGCCTCGAACTGTGGCAATCGCAGTGAGGAAGACCCTCCACTGGAAGGAGTGACGACCTGTGCAAATGTGCGGGAAGTGTGGAAAAATCTTGAATGCAATTAAAAAACCCGCTAAAATTCACTAAATTCAAATGAAAACTTAACTAATTGATTTCTTACTACTAACATTAATTTTTTTCTTTCTAAATTTGGGAAGACAATTCCTTAGTTGTCATCCGTGGTGGCTCCTGCACTCACTACGACACAATTTTTTAATGTATTTTATCTACTTTGTTTTGACGTATTTTAAGTAATGCCTGGCGCCATCTGTCCTTTAGAGCATACAAAACAATTATCAAACAACTTATTAGAACGATTTGAACGATGCAGAACAAACAATAATAACTATATGAAATAAATGATACATAAAAAATATTGTACATGTCAGTTTTTACACTACTAATCTCTGCACTAAAGATGAATAATTAATATAACTGATTTTATTATCTAAGCCTCTATAGAATTGGATAAATCAATAAAATTCCTCTATCCATTTTTTAAACATCAACCTATTTTCCACAACTTTTATTTGGAACTTTTTATTTTCTAATTTTTTGAAGTATATAAAAACTCTAATAAATCAAGTTTGACTTTATATAAGCGAATGTTTAAATAATCACAGTATTGTCTACAAATCTTAAATTTTTTTTTTTGAATAATAGATATTAATTTGATGTGAAATAGTCATGGTATAAAACCTAAAATACACTTACCTTACTTAAAATACAATACCTAAATTACTGTGCGACTAATAGTCAATTAATCACTATGACCTATCTTTACATATCGTATGTACCTATTATATATATTTTTTAATTTTAAAATTTGGGAAAGATTATTTAGACCTATCAGAATCTATTAATTTGATAAAATTTTATGTTAAAACCATTTCCTATATTTTTTCAAGTCAAAAAGCGACAAAAAGATATGCCGAAACCAGGGATTGAACCAGGGACCTTTAGATCTTCAGTCTAACGCTCTCCCAACTGAGCTATTTCGGCTGTAATAATAACATTGAATTTTTATATTGTATGCGAGAACTATGTATTGTATTATTAATAAATTTGAATTCTCTAGACTTAAATTCAAAATACAATTATAAATAAACTTCAAAATTTAATTGGAGTCTATTGCCAATTATATGGAGATATTTAACAGTAAATATTTTTTAATCTTTTTTCATAGTTTTAATATTCGATAATCGATGTACTATCATCATTCCAGTGATGTTATTACACTATTTTATCATAATGTAATTCGTAAATGTATTCCACTGCTATAAAAAAAAATTAGAGGTTTTGGTTTTGTAGTTTTTTTTTACAATTTTTTTGAAGAGGTCTTCAAATTGAAATAAACTATAACTAAACTATATATCCTAAACAGTAAACATATTGCAGTTTTACTCAAGAACTGAGTTCTTATTATTTTGAACTGAGTTATAGATACAATTAATATGAGAAAAATTGTAATATGAGTACAATTATAGATGAACAAAACATTTTCCACCTTTCAAATAAAAAAAAAAAAATGTATTTTTTTTTGGTGTAAGGAGATAAATAAAACTTACAAGACGATAAATATGGCCGTGTTTTATGTCAATAAATAGTTCTACTGGCTTTATTTACAAACATTTTTTATGACGCTTAAAGCTAAATCAAGTAAGTTATTTATTTTGTCCAAGATTATCTTTGAATCTGATAATCAGGTTGCTCTTCTCTATCCCCTAAGAACTTTAAGGGCAACGAAAACTAACCGCTGCCCATTCGCATTTACAACATCGTACAATACAGTGGGTCCCGGTTACCTCACTCACCAGACGAAACGTAGAAGTATATTGGACCTGCCCATTCTTGCATAAGTGGCCTAAAAATTGAGCGGTTGACTGACATCGGGGCCTTGCGCTTCGTCTATTGGTCGTTTTTGCTGGTGGGCTTTGCGGATGGGCTCACCGATAAAAATGCTGCCCCCCATTGGTCGGAAACGCTTGGGCGCAGGAGCGAGGAGGCGGAGCGCGTGCGAGCGGCGTGCGCGATGGGCCGCCGCCACGGGCTGGACGAGCTGGACGTGTGGCTGGCGCACGCGGCGCACGTGCCGCACGCCAGGCGGGCGCTCGACGCGCTGCCGCCGCCGCAGCGCCAACGCGACGCACACGCACGGTGCGTAGGCGCGGGCTAGGGATGTATCATATCATATCATATATCGATGTTTTCTATCTTTCTATGATATATTTTACAAATATCGATATTTTGAAAATTAAGTGAGTGGCCCACTTATTGTGGGAGCATTTACCACACTGCTTGAGCCGCTGGCCCATCAGAATACTCTGATGGGATAAGTATACACTTACGCGGGAGATCCACATATGTTGGAAGCTTTGACTGTGCACTATGCTTGAGCCGCCGGCCCGTCAGGGTACTCTCTCGCGGGATACCCACATACAGTGGGACCATTTACCACGCTGCTTGAGCCGCCTGCCGTTCAGAGCACGCTCTCACGGGAGACCCACGTACAGTGGAAGCATTGACCACTGCTTGAGCCGTCGGTCGCCCAAAGCACGCCCTCGCGGGAAACCCACATACAGTGGTACATTTGACCACGGTGCTTGAGCCGCCGGCCCTTCAGAGAGCGCTCTCGAGGGAGACCCACGTACAATGGGCGCGTTCGCCTCTGTGCTCTTGGTGACAGGATCAAGGAGGCGCTGTGGACGGCCACCCCGGGCACCGCCCACGGCGAGCTGCTGAGCGTGCTGGCGCTGCTGCAGCGCGTCGACGAGCGGCCGCTGCTGCACGGCCTCAGCGCGGCGGACCACGTCAAGCTGCTCAAGAAGGCCAAGGCCGCCTCGCCGGGTACGTCATCCTAACTGCCCCCACCAAAGTGGTCATCTTGACCCATCCCAAAATATGTGTCGTTAAGATTTTATGTTAGGTTTTATATTTAATTTTTAATGGATTATTTTGTTATTAAATGTGCTTTCGATGTTTAAGCAGAAATCACCTGTCGTGTTTAATAAAACGAAATACAATTCATTTTAATAAAAGTTTTTGAGTTCAAAATTAGTTTTAGTACGTTATTCAACAATTGTAAAATAAAAGCTGAAAAATGCAATAAGCTCAAATTGGTGTCCATTTTTATGCTCTCCTATTAATCTTATATAAATCATATCAATTATAGTCTTCACTTCTCTGTCACGAACTGCGACTGCGTTGACATTCTTCGTGACAATTATTAAGCAAACAAAGCATTTTAAACACGCGCTCTTCAGAAAGCCCTCAAGCATTTCCCACCTCTTTCTGCATTGCGACCGTTGTACAGAAGAGCGAGATAGAAACAAGTCTAAAGATGTCTTACTCCGCAGAGCTGGACTACAAGCTGCTGCTAGAGCAGCCCTCGGCGGAGAGGCTGACGGAGCACCTGCTGGCCATCATGAGGCCGGAGAGCGCTGGCACGCTGGCCAAGTTCCTGCGCACGCTGCCGCCCGCCCTCAAGATGCCGCTCTCCGTCAACGCGCTCTACACCCAGTGGCTGACCAAGTACTTCTTCAGCGTACGTCACGTTAACACTCTTCGGCTTAGATGGGGGAGTCTATTGGCTGCTGCACGGATGGGCAGACCCGTCCGGGTATGCACAGACGACCGGCGTTAAGTGGAAGTGTTACACTCCTGCGTTTCGTCCGGTTGCGACGTTTGTGGTTAAAACATTAACGTAAGGTGAACCGCAAGCGCGCTTGTCAATTAAAAAAATCAAACAATTAGCCATTAAAAGTTATAGACATGTGTAAGTACTAAAACATATTATAAAAATACACACATACACATGCGCACACATCCATACGCACGCACAAATCCACACGCATGCACACGTGCACACGTACACTTTAATATTTTTGACAACAAATGTAATCTACTGGACCACGAGTACACTTATTAGGCAATTAATTGTGCATCACAGGTGCCAGCAAACGCGACCAACAAGAAGTGGATGCAGCAATACAGGCAGTGCTCTAGCTACTTCACCAAGCTGTCCAAAGACGACCTGCTGCGCTTCGTAGAGAACACTTGCTTCAGCCCCGAAGCGCTACAACGGTACACACGCCACAGCTGCCACTAAACGTTTACCGAGTATTACTAATAAGACACTGCTTAATATATTAAAGCATTGCTTAGTATTGCCTGCCTGAAAATCATCTCCGAAAACTCATTTATTCACTATTAATAACTGACTTACTAATTGCTAAGGAATAGATGGCAGAAACAAGAGTTATAACTATTTGTTTGTATAAATGACAAGACAAGAGCCATGAAAGCTCATTGCCCGGGCTAGCTTTTAATCCAATATACCTGAGCAATCTAAATTCGATCCCCGGGGTACGGCACCAAGGACATTGTTAATTTTAAGTATGCATACTCATCACGTGTTCAGCAGTGAAGGTTTTTAAGATGTGTTAAGTCCTCCAAACCGCAGTGGGGTCGCTTGATAGACTATGCCCTAATACCCTATGTACAGAAGAGACCTTTGCCCAGCAGTGGCATATACATAGGCTGTTACTTTTATTTCACTATAAATGACACATAGTCTTCAGATTATCAGATAGGTACATATTTATTAAAATATGTATAGTGTTAAAGACATACTTCTTTCATTATTCTTCCGATTCTGTGAGTAATTTTAATATACAAGTACAATAGTAGTACAATAACTATAACAAGCTTGCTCTTTTTGATAAATTGGTACTATCTTTTGTAAATGTGTTTTTAGAATCTATATCTATATCTGTGGAGAATTGAAAAAAAAGTTATAAGACATGTAGTCGGAATACAATAATTTTATGGCATAATGCATATTCGAACTAATTCATCTATGAAAAATCGTCACGCATTTATTATTTCTTTAATAATATTTTGTTGTAATATTTCACAGGGTTCCGCCCGGAACTAGAAGTTTGATGATAATGCAAGCTGTCGACTACTGCCAACAGGAGCAGGAGAATGATTACAAATTTAATAAAAAGTGGGTGGTTTGTGCTACAGTTTGATATTTTAAATATCTTTGTAACAACTAATTGGAGATTTTACACAAACAATGGTTATATTTAGTAATAGGCAAACTATTGCCGTGATAATTAAAAAGGATTGACAATTGCATGCGGAAGTCAGCTGAATATGTTGCACCTAATTATTTTAAGATCACAATGTACATTCAACAATTTATGTTCTTGCAATAAAGACTCATTCATTCATTCATTCAATTGTCGACACTTTCCTTGGTCGCCTCGTCGGTGGCTTTAGTATGGGGATTCAGTTGTAACCAGCCTTGGTTACAAAGCCAAAAGCCAAGTCAGGTTCAGTATTTTAGCTTTAAGACTATAATATACTGAAATATATCTCACACGTCACATCTGGTAATATACTCGGGGCCATCTAAATAAACTAGTTGGAACTACTTCTGGGTTTTTATACTGTGTAATGTGTCGTTATCTATATATTATTTAAAACGAGACCATTTTTAAGGGTATATTAATATACTCGTTTTGTTTCAAACACTTGTGAACGTATTTCTTAGCTTTTATTTGAAAGTAATCCTCGCCTTGCCTTAAAGTGAACGGCCTTCTTTTACTAAAGGACATTATACTGTTACGTGTTCGGGGTTCGAAGGATTTGTAGAGAAAGACCTGCTGACTCTTTTGAAGACTTTACTTACTAGCGCTAGGTCTAACACAAAGCACTAGGTCCAATCACTAAGCACTAACGATGTCCTAGATTGTAGCCAAGTCGTAGGTTTCACTGGTATCGCTCTTGATCCGGTACTAGTTTTCACTTCCGAAGTCGCCTCGAAGGTATCAAACTGAACTGTCCCATCGCTCGCCTCCCTGCGCTTTTTATATGGGCCAGACCGGTTCCGGACTAATCCAGAAAGATCATTCTGGAACGTCCCGACACGCACGAACATTTCGTGATTCCGGAAAGTTCGCGAATGTACCCGGTGGTATAGTTCCACAGAGTTCCTCTAACGCCACTAGTGTTTGAATAGGGGGTTTTATGTCGTCTTTGTTCTTTAGTGGTTTTAATAGTTGACGCTAGATGGCGTTCGTTCCTTTGTGTGTTCATAACACTACTCCCCATGAGATGAGATGAAACCCTCTTAGAGATGCTCGTCCCGAGCATCATTGTTACTGCCATGGTAACGCGCCAGACGGTCTATGTGTACCACTTTGAATGTCCCTCTTGGTTGCTTTTGAATCCTATAGTCACATCATTCAGTCGGGTAACCACTTTGTATGGACCGTCCCACTTCTGCAACTTTGGGGATTTCCCTTTCCGACGAGTTGGGTTATGCAGCCACACCAGTGACCCTTCGTCGAAGCCGTCCGTGTTCGATTTCCGGTCGTATCTGGTTTTCATGTTCTCACTTGACTGTAACCCATTTTCCCGAACCAAGGCGCGTATATAGCGCATTTTTTTTCTTAAATTGCAGACAACGTCTTGTACGGTCTCTGGTCCCTCCGGTGACCCTCCTGTCAATAGGTCTACTGGTAATCGTAGTTCTCTACCGTAATTGACATACGCCGGGGTAGCTTTTATGCTCTCATGTTCGGCGGTTCGGTACGACAGAAGGAAGAGTGGTATATACTTGTCCCAATCCTTTTGTTTGTCGTCTACCAATTTCGCCAGATGCCTCTCAAGGGTCTGGTTAAAGCACGCTCAACCATTCCATCAGACTGTGGGTGGCACGCGGTGGTCCTCGTCTTATGCATGCCCAAAATTCTACACACTTCCTGGAATACTTGCGATTCGAAGTTCCTGCCCTGATCGGAATGGATTTCTAGAGGCACACCAAAGCGACATATCACTTCTTCGACTAACTTAGAAGCGACTGTTGTAGCTTCTTGGTTTGGTATGGCGAACACTTCGGGCCATTTGGTGAAGTAGTCCATGACGACCATAAAATACTTGTTTCCCGACTCCGTTACAGGAAATGGCCCAGCTACGTCAACTGCAATTCGTTCCCACAGTGCACCGACGTTATACAACCGCAGGTTCCCACGGCTTCTGGTCTGTGGTCCTTTTGCAGCAGCGCAAGTAGTACATTTGCGGCACCAATCCTGTACATCATCTCGACAATGCAACCAGTAGAATCGTTCTCGCACTTTTGTTAACGTTCTCTTGACACCTAGATGACCTCCTGATACGCCATCATGTATTTCACGGAGAACATCTGGTACTCTCGTTCTCGGGACAATTATCTGAAGATGGAACTCTCTGCCGTTAGTCTTCTCCCATTTCCGGTAGAGTATTCCGTTTTGAAGTATCAGACTGTCCCATTGCGCCCAGTACGCCTTTGTGACGGCGCCAGTGGGAGCAACCTCACTCCAGATTGGTTTTACGTCACCCCGTTTCTTCCATGTGATGATGTGCTGAAGGTCGTCATCTCTTTCTTGAGCCTCCCTCATAGCATCATTCTCCCAGAGACCCAAAGGACTTGTTCTCGTTAGCTTTAATGTTACTTCATTAGATTCCTGTTTGACGCAATGGTTGCAGTCTTCTGAACACGGCCTTCGTGAGAGTGCGTCGGCATTACCATGCGTCTTTCCACTGCGGTGTTCCGTCTTGCACTTCTTCTACTTGACCTTCTGGGTTCTTGAATTGCAGTAGCCACTTCAAGGCTGCGTGATCAGTTCGCAGTAAAAACTGTCTGCTGATGAGATATTTGTTGATATGTTGTAGTGTCTTTACAACAGCCAAGAGTTCTCTTCTTGTCACACAGTAGTTTCTCTCTGGCTTGGATAAAGATTTGCTGAAATATGCGATAACAACTTCTCTTTCACCCTGTTTTTGAGATAACACCCCTCCAATGGCCGTGTTGCTTGCATCCGTGTCGACTATAAACTGACCTTCAGATTGTGGATACCCCAGGATTGGTGTTTCACATAGATGTTTCTTCAATTTCTGAAAAGAATCTTCACAAGTCCCATCCCAACTAAATTGTCGTTTATCTTCTGTCAGTCGATGTAATGGCTTGGCTATCTCTGAGAATCCTTTAACAAAACGCCTGTAGTATGAGCATAGGCCGAGGAATGCTCGCACTTCGGTTTTGTCCTTAGGGGTAGGCCATTTTTGACACTGCTTCCAGTTTCTCCGGGTCTGTCTGGATTCCATCATTGGAGATAACATGGCCGAGATAGTTGACCTTGCTCCTGAATAAACGACACTTTTTTGGGTTCAACTTTAATTTAGCTCCCTCTATTTTGGGGAAAACTCGCTCCAAGTTTCGCAAATGGTCCTCGAAGTCACGGCCGACAATGATGATGTCATCTAAGTAAACTAAACAAGCCTCTCCAACTAAGCCTGCAAGTACACACTCCATGAGTCGCTCAAATGTGGCAGGTGCGTTGCACAATCCGAAGGGCATGACGTTAAATTGCCATAAACCTTTACCGGTCGAGAAAGCTGACTTTTCCTTGTCTTTTGGATGAATTTCCACCTCCCAGTATCCAGATTTCAGTTCTAGGGTCGAGAACCATTTCATGCCACTTAAGGTATCCAAAGTGTCGTCGATTCGAGGTAACGGGTAACTGTCCTTCTTAGTGACATCATTGAGACGCCTATAGTCCACACAAAATCTCGTGCTACCATCTTTCTTCTTCACTAACACAACAGGTGAGCACCGCGGACTTGTAGACGGTTCAATAATCTTATTCCTTCTCATGTCCTCCAAAAGGCCTTCAACTTCTTTTTCCTTTGCAATTGGTATCCGTCTTGCTCGTTGACGAATTGGTCTTTCGCTTCCGGTATCTATCCTATGCTTGTGTGCTGAACCATCGAAGTTCTTCCAATGTCCCCTTCTTGACTGGAGAAGATATTCGCGTAGCGCTGTAAAAACTTCCTAGCTTTCATGCCCTGTGAATAAGTCTGATTACTCTTGCAGTCATCGAGTAGCTCAGTCACTAATCCGTAGTTGTTGCTGTTTGCTGGGTCTGCGCCTGTCGTCGAACTACACTTTTTCATCCAGACAACTTCCTCGCACTTTCCAATGACGTCACCTTTGTTCAAGCAGACCTCGCGATCACAGAGATTCAAAAGCTTGACCACAGCGTTACTGCTTCCACTAACAAGGTTTCTTGCCGTCATCAGTTTTTGTGCCGATGTCTTGGTAGGTGTGTCTTCGATTAACACGCATCTGTTTGACTTTTTCTTTCCATTTGGCGGCAGTTTCACCAGCACCCGAGCTTCCGCTCGTCCAGGTATAATGACTTTCTTTACACATGAAACTTTCCCGCAGGCGCCTCCAAGAATGAAGATTTCTTCTTCACCAGACTTGAAAACTCCGTCAGCGACATTAACTCTGCAGTTGTGTTTCCTCATGAAATCCAAACCCAAGATGCAATCATCCATTATCTCAGCCACGATGACGTTATGAGAGTATGAGGACCCCCTTACATACATCGTGACTGACATTTCTCCCAGGACGGGTATTGGCTGACCGGAGGGAGTAAGAAGCCGGCAGTTAATTCTCCTTTTGAGTCCCCTTGCGGCTTTTACCAGATTAGGGTTCACTATTGTTCTAGAGGCTCCTGTGTCTAGAGTCATTTTGCAATCCGTCCCACTAATAGTACCCAGAATCACAAGGCTATTCACGCTGCATGCCTGGGAGATAACAGTTATCGGGTCCTCCTCCGCGTCAGCCAGTACTCGCCCCTTAGTACTGGCTTTTATTAGTTTCCCTGATCCCGGGCAGGGGACGAAGCCTCTCGCTTCTTCAGCTCCGCTATTTGTTCCTCGATCCATTTCATCCTTGCCATCTGGGTCTCCTTCTGCGGGCAGTTGAGCTGCAGATGGCCCCTCTCGTCGCACTTGTAACACATAGCTCCAAAACTTTTCTTTGTAGGAGCCTTAACCTCCTTGACTTCCTCAGAGACCAAGCGGATCTTATGGGTCTGCCGTATGTCATGGCGAATAGCCTCGACCTCTAAAGCATGCGCCAGTGCTTCCTTTAGCGAGGTATGGTGACGAAGCCTCACTGCAGCTCTGACCTCCAGGTCTTTGATTCCGTCCACAAATGCTTGAACAATATTCGTGTCTACCATCTTGGTGTCGGCTCCTGGGTGTGCCTTCCTGACGAGTTTTTCAATTTCCAACGCCCATTGTTGTAGTCCTTCTCCTGAGCGTTGGACTCGGTCACGCAGTTGGGCACGGAACACGTGCTCCAGGTGTCGCTCCCCGTATCTGGATTCAAGTGCCTCCATCAGGTCTTGGAACCCATTTCCTGTACGTGGCAGTGCTTCCAGGACCGACAAAGCTTGCCCTCTGAGCGCAACAGTGAGAGCGGTCAGGCATTGCTCTTCCGTCCATCCGTTGGCAGTAGCAACAGTCTGGAATTGCCGACGATAAGCGTGCCAAGAAGTAGTGCCGTCGTATGGCGGCATTTTCACTTTTGGTCTTTGTGCCACTCCAGTAGTGCCACTAGACATCGCGATTCCCGTGGTTTCAAGGCGCACTACTTTCTTCTGTAGTTCCTATCTAACCAATCCTAACCCGGTAACTCGTTCTTCCACTACGTCGACATCTTTTCGAAGTTTAATCACCGTGTTACTAACATCATTTATAGCCCATAGCGCCTTTTCTTGGAGGTCTTTTTGTTGCTCTTGTGATTCTCGAATCGCTCTGATTTCAGCCTTTTGAAACTCTTGAATCGTAGTCAGCATCATTTGGGTGTTTGTCCAATTGTCCAATTGAAATTTATGTCTGTACAACGTCCTTACAACACAGGATAATGTTATCCTAAAGTGAGGGCAATGTTTTTAAAAATAAAAAATAAAAAAGAGGACTGTAAAATTTCAGTTAAGACATTTTTCTCATTCTGATTGTCTATGTGGACTTCTATTCGACTTCTATCCGTCTTGTCATGGAATCGAGCTCGAATAAGAATATATTACCACCGTAAGTCTCGCTCTTGGTCAACGCATTGATGAGTCTCTTTTTTTTATTTTATGTGAAATGGTGGCAAACAAGCTGGCGGTTCACTCACCAGACGAAACACACAAGTATAACACTTCCATTTCACGCCCGTCTTCTGTGAGGTATCTACCCGGACGGACCTGCCCATTGGTGCGATAGGGAAGACTATTGCTTTCTTTTAGCGTTGATAGCCAGATATGGAACGTGTTTTGTTACAATTTCAAATAATGTACCAGATTTGTGTTATAAATAGTAGGTATAGTCCTTGAATTAATGTACTCGCTTTGTGTTAATCTTAGTCTAGTCTGTTATTTATAATTTAAATAAATTTTTGGTATTTACTGATAAATCATCGAGCATCTATTTTGTTTCATGTCCTAGATTATCCTTTTAGTTGTTAACTAAATAAATAGTAATAAATGAATTGAATCGTTGCAGCGAGCCGTCGTGGGCGAGCGTGGGCCAGCAGCTCTCGCGCTGGGCGACGTTCCTGGACGCGCTGTACGACACCACAGCTGATCCCTCCACCCTCGCCTGCCCGTCAGTATCTTCTTACAGACGTCGATACACTCGCTCTACTATTTCGCCCAGTTGCTTGCTCTACTACTCACTACCAATTGAGCTTTCGGTGAATTTCCTAAGAAAATTGGTTCACTTATTTAGATAGGTACAGAGAAACACTCTGCGTTGTTATGTTCATATTATGTTTTATGAGCCGGTTTTGTCGCCACTAATATACACGAATAATTTACGACATTACATAATAAAATATTCTCGCTCTGTCGTTCATAACGTTAATTTCGAAATCATAGTTCATTCGTTTGGAAATTTCATTGCCGTTTTGGCCGGCACGTGCAAAAATCGAAGCGTGTTTTCGCAGCGAGCTGGAGATGAGCCACGGCGACGTGGAGAAGGCGAGGGCGGCGTGCGCGCGGCTGCTGATGCGCGCGGAGGGCGAGGGGGAGGGGGAGGGGGAGGGCGAGGGCGAGGGCGTCAGCTTCGCCGCGCTGCGCTCGCTGCTGCAGCGGCTGCAGATGCAGGAGCAGCTGCCCGCCCACAGCGTCCTGCAGCACGCGCTCGACCACTGCGTGCAGGACGTGCAGTGAGTGCTGTGCCGCTTTCTCTATGAGCGAACGTGAAAGCGAGCCGGCGGTTCGGACTCGACTGAGTGATTGCCCCCGCCTGCGGTTGCTGTTTTGTTGCTGATGTTTTAGAGAATTGGCCCTCGACACTGTGATTTATTACATTTTGCGTCTCCTCACTTTACCGTATGACTGTGCCGATTCGCGGTGATTGAGCTCAGACGCTATTCTACCAAGGTTGAGTGCGTTCTTCTCGCCCACTGAAGACTCATTAAGATTTGAAATGTACCACCGGCTCACACGGACGACGCCCCTTCAGCGCCATGGAGCGGCTGGTGGAGCGCGTGAGCGAGGCGCACAAGGCGGGCGAGCGCTTCCCCGAGGAGGTGGCGGAGGCGATGCTGCGGCGCGCGGCTGAGCTGCAGCTGGCGCCGCACCGGCAGCTCGGGCTGCTGGCGCTGGCGCAGCCGCAGCGGCCGCACCAGCCGCCGGGCGAGCACCACCTGCAACGCCGCGCCGCCTCCACCGCGGACCTGCTGCGCACGCAGTGGCGCGACCACCCCGACGCGCCCCAACTCACGGGTACGCCCAACTTTCAACTAATCTCGCCGTATCTCACCCAATCTCAAAGTATCTCACACGATCTCATAGTATCTCACCCAATCTCTCCGTATCTCACCCAATCTCCGTATCTCACAGTATCTCACCCAATCTCTCCGTATCTCACACAATCTCGTAGGATCTCGTTCGCAACGAACGAGGTCGAATGAACGACACGGACTTGTTTCGCAGACGAGATGCTCCTTACCGAGGAGGGCAGGCGGGAGGCGTTCGGCAAGTTCACGGCGCTGGCCGACAGCTGGCAGAAGAAGAAGGCGCTGGTGGACGTGCTGTTGTGCTGGCCTCCGACGAAGACCGAGTAAGTTCACCGAGATGAACGTATTGTTATGTATGTACCAATTGTATATAACAAAAAGGCAGCACTAATTAATTATACACGTGTAATTTTTTTCTATTGTAAATTTTTGTAGATAAATGAACAAAAACTTTCAGCGAAAATCCCGATATCTATCTACATCCTTACTATTGAATTTTTAGCAATGCTTGGAGCAACCTATTGTTCTTTTATTTTTATTTACAACAATGACCTCGAGATTTTCTTGCATTGTTGATATCGGCATTTTATCGATAGTTGTTGATATCACCTTTATAGCGTCTGAGTGCGTCACCTTGAAGACGAGAGTTCGGAATCCTCGCGAATAAATATTTCGACAATTTATCTACACATTTTGATGTGAATCTAATTTAATATCAGTATATTGAGTAACGACCCCCCTCTAGATTGAGTGACGATCTGTGCAAATGTGCGGGAAGTCGATGGATGCAGGTGGTTCAGGATTGTATTTCGCGACAGTCTGTGGGGGCCTATGTTCAACAGTGGACTCAAACTGGTTGAAATGATGATGATGATGATGATGATGAAAAATTAATCATAAAGTTAGGCCAAGTATTAAAACGAAGTTATGCAGTTTCTCTTCAGCCTAAGTCTCCATAACTCTACAGCTATAAAATTAAACAATATTTTACAATCAAACAGAGTTTATTTTAAATAGGTTTTATAATATTCTGTTTTACTTTTTAGCCTTTATTCACTAATAGAGTAGATAAAGCCTTCTTTATGCAGACTGGGCACAAACATATTATACTTTTTTTATTATATTTTGAAATTATACTTTGGCATGTATAAAATCCGAAATGACCATACTGTGATGATAACATTAGGTCTTATACAATATGTAATTCTGTGCTCAGGGACTCAAGAAGTTTGCATTGTGAGTACTTGGGTACACTTTTGACCACAGCCTCCGATCAAAACGAGGCTCTGGTGCTCATGAAGTTGCTTCTGAGACAACCTTTGCTGGAAGAAGACGTAAGTAGAGTGCTTATGCACTCATATCCAACCTCAAATAATCATAAATATTTACTTCGATTTCTATGATATAAATATTTAAATATATTGAGGCGGCTGTCGTAAAAAGAGGCACTTACATCATAATTCACAAATTGGTAACCAACACAAACTCACCTAGTGGATATGTTGTAATTAACATTGATTTTATTTAAGCGTATTTATTTCATCATTTATTTTCAAGTATTTCTTTGTTTCATTATCTTTTTCAATTTCAGGAAGTAAAATGGCTATGTGAGAATACACCCCCACAATCTGTTATTAACGCTGTTTGGGTGGTGCTCCTCAACAAATGTGAACATTCCAAAGAACTAATCGTGCAATTGGTGACAAAATACAAGGTATTATAGAAGAAGGAATTTAATATATACTCAATTAAAGTTCTACTTTATTCTGCATTGAGGTTAGCTAGTTTCAATGTATGTCTCAATTCCACTGTAATCTCTAATTAACCACTAATCCCCACTTTAATCTCTAATTTTGCCTCATAACATATTTACACATTGGCGATCCGATTGGCGAGGGTTGGAGTGGTGAACCTGTCTTTTACGCCAGAGGGTGTGGGTTCGATCCCCACTATGTATTATATATGTATTTATTTACAAAAGAAAAGTGCGTTTAAGTAAGTGAATCAGTTTTCTTGTACCCATAGTAAAAGCGTTGCTTTGTTTTGGACTAGAGAGGTCCATATAAAAATTTGTCTGAGAATATCTGGTATTGTTATTTATTTAATGTCCTCTTAAGTTAGCTCGGACGTAAGCTATCACTAAAAACCCCTCTGCAGGAGTCCGTGCAGACGCAGCAGATAGAGGAGGAGCTGATCAAGGAGCTTCTGGACGGCGGGCTGTTCGTGCCGCTGGTGGCGAGCGCCCTCTACCCGGCCATCCTGAACTACGTGCTGGGCGAGGTCTCCGCGCAGTACTCTGTGGACTGGGCCGTGGGCGAGTTGCAGAGGGCGCGGCATCTCGCCGAGGCGGGCCAACTGCGGATGCTGCACGTCGGCGTCCCGAGCCCCCTGCGCGGCTTCACTCAGTCCGTGCTGTATTCCAAGAGAGCGCTTAACCAATAAAACGTCAATGTAGCGTCGTTGAATTCTCAATATGTCTTAAGTTATTAAATTATACACTAATGTCGATGTGTTTACGGCTTTTATTGCTTTTCACTTTTTCACCGAGTTTCAATGTGATAGCCCCATGTGATACTATTTAGGAATGCTTATTGACAGTTTCGATATGTCCATCCTGATAAAGTTTAATTTATGCGTAAGCGGTGAAGAATTGTATTGAGCGTATATTTCTCATCCTTTTTTTAAATTCGGTTTTTTTATAGATCCGCGAATTTTTCATATAAACAATTCGAACAGATTTCGAAGTCTAAAAAATAACTCGGGCCAATGTTTATGTATAGATTTATATTATTTTTACGCCAAAATACGTTGTCTAAGCCGAAAAAATAGTAAAATATTTATGCGTCTTTATTTAAATTATGAGATCGAAAAAGGTTTTTTAGACAACAGACAGAAATGCCTCCTTCGTGTCGTGCTAACGTAGGGTTTTAAATAATATCTATAGCGAATATTAGATATACTGGAGACTCGGAAATATGAGAGAGCAGGGCATATTCCGCGCTAAGTTTTCGTATCCCGTCTCACCATTATTGTATTCTTCTGTGCAACTGCTCGTATAATGTTTTTTTTAACCTGGGGTAAATACCCTACGCTTACCCGCTCAAAAGAGACAAGGACAGGCTATGTCGGATTTGCACCCACGATGTTCCAGCCAGGCGCATATCGGCAGGGCAACGGAAACGCTTTCGTACACGTCCGCGATCCTGCCAGCGCTGGCCGCTACTCCGCTCTCCTCCAGATAAGGCACGCTGGAACATACAGCCTTTCTACTCCGGCCCCTTTTTCAGTTTGTGACTCCGCCGCTCATCACGTTTAAGCCGCGGAGGGTAGAGGAAATGGCGAATCACAATACTGACATCCCTCTCCCCTCGCGGCCCTACCCCTATTGCATCAGAATAGCAGCCCCTACTACCCTCGACTTGTCCTCTATACCTTCCCAACACGTGCCCAGAGTGGGCTCAATGAGCCCACAACGGGTCCTAATCCATCTTTCAGCAGAGGGGGTCAAGAAGACGAAACGGAATGGACGGCTCTGTGCCAGCGGATCTATTCTGATATAGCCGCCGGGCATCGCCGACAAAAGTTGCATTTAATAAAAAATCATAAAAATAATAAAAGAGATTTCTATCGTATAATGAAACATTTGCAATAAAATATTAATCATAACCTAAAGTTCCTCGATACCGGTCCATAAAATGGAAAAAAAGTTAAAATTGACAGCTGATAGACAGTCTGACACTGACACTGATATATTTCGCCTATCCGAGCTCTACGATACATACGGATACAATTATTTATAATATTGCCTAATTAGTTTTCTTTTGAGTCTGAATAGGTTATGCATATTTACAGGTTTACCGCATAACATAAGCAATAAGAAACAATGTTGAATCGTTTAAGGAATGTTATAAGGATAACAACAAATTCAGCGGTGCGCTCCATATACACGACCACTCCGCGGACGACTGAAAAATTCGATCATAAAAGAATTCCGGCCGATGATGAAGGCGTTCAGGGAGAAAAAATTGTTGATTTAGACTCCGTAATTAAAATGTATTTTCTTCGAATATCGTTTTATCATAATATTAATAACAAATGTTTTTATGTTAAGCTTCTCTTAATAATGGAAGTTTTTCTTTAGGAAACAAAATATATTTCCAACATTGGAATCAGATGATTTACTGTTTGACGGAACGAAATACAAAGATCTTCCAATCTGCAACATTAGAGTCACCCATAACAACACAATCTTTACTGTGACAGACGCTACAGGAGCAGTTAAGGTTATCAGGTCATGTGGAATGGAAGGTTTTAAAAACACAAAGAAAGGAACAAACATTGCAGCGCAGACTACTGGAATTGGCATAGCTACAGTAAGAATTTTATTAATCATAATTTTATGTTGCAACCGTAGCTCACAATGAAATTTATCCAACCTGCACGGTAACACCATATAACGAACAAGGTTAGGCGTGGATCTATGAGAATCTCCTCCTTCTCTGTAAAGTTAGATTGAAAGAGAATAAAGGTATAACTTTGTGTCACAATTATATTTAAAGCCCTTTGAATTGTATAAAGTCATTTTTTAAGGTTTCGTACCCATAGGTCCCTTTGGGATGCTATTACTAAGACTCCCCTGTCTGTCCATATGTCAACATGCTGTATCTCATGAACAGTGATACTTAGAAGTAAAGTTTCACAGATGATGTATTTCTGTTCCAGCTATAGCAACAAATACTAAAAAAAAACAGAATAAGAAAATATTTAAGTGAGGCTCACATACAGTAGGCAATTTTTTGCTTTTTTCATAAATAATTGTACGGAACCCATCATGCGCGAATCCGATTCTCACTTGGCCGTTTTTTTTCCTTTATGGCTTTATAGTTACTCTCCAGTGTTATAGTGTATATGAAGTCTGTGTTTGATGTAGGCTAAATATTTATAAGAACCAATGACCAATGTTTAAGCAACCTTATGTTTCAATGAAATCAATATTGGTATCTCAGCACCATATTTTTATCAGTATGTTTAAACTTAAATTATATCGTCGCAGTCGTAGAACAAAGACGGTTTTGAAATTTCAAAATTTTTTTTTATTGCTTATAAATCATTAAAATGTCCTTTTTTATATACCTAGTAATTTTCTTTTAATTTTTTTGAGTATATCTGCACTTTTTAATTAAAAAACGACGGTTTTTATTTTTCGAACGTATTAAAAGGACGTGTGTTTGTTGCCGCCATTGTAAGTTGTTTACCCCCGCCCCCCGCACCCCACATCCATGCGCCGGATTGTACTAGTCGTCTATGTTCTAGGTAATATAACAACTCGGTGCAAATTAACGTTTTCGGAATATTTTTTTACTATAATTACTTTTCTAAATGATTATTGAGTGTTTACCTGGTCTCGCTAATGAGTTAATGACTTATTAGAGACTACTTTTATGTATCTTTGTAACAAAATGAGTAACAAGAGATCAAAAAGGATTTTGGCGCTTCTTAATACCAAAACAAACGAAAAGCAAACAAATCAACCAAGTAACAAGAAACAAAAAAATACCATTGCTTCCGTAACACGTAAGTATTTGTTGTTTACTTATTTAACATATAATTAATTTCTTAGTGAAAAAATCTTACATTTTAAGAGTGTTTTGTAATAATCGTTTTCTTATCCATAAAACAATGTCGTTTGATCGAATCCGTCTTTGTACTAGGGGCGTTCAAGTAGGTGACTTTATTATGGTGCTTAAAGGATTTTAGCACCATAATAAAGTCACTATGTGGTTGGATATGCATAACCTACGTTTTTTTCCGAACGCATTTTCATATAAGTAATTTTATTTAAAAGTACAGTGTTATATTTTTATTTTTTTCCGTATTTTTGGCTTAATATAATAAAACGGAAGAGTTAGTTTGATTGTTTGTCAAAAAATCATGTACTTTTCCAATATAAAAAATGATTTTTTTAGGCTGGTTAGGTAAGTATATAGGGATGTAGTAAGGTAGGTTAGTACGTTGTGTAGTTTTTTGTTTACGTATTTTATTTCGTTATTTCAGTGAGCCGTTGCTCATCGCCGCTAGCACCTGAGACAGAAGCACTGTTAAGTGACCACATAATGCGTGACGTCTGGAATGATGCGTTCGGCGGCGATACTCTTGATAAGGGTGACTCATGTGTTCCTCCAGTTTGCAATGAAGATATGCCTATCGGTCATTTGTCAAGCCCGATTTGTGAGATCCTTAAAATTTCAAGTAATGCACTACTTAGTAAAGATGATGATCAAGCTTCAAAAGAGGTATGTCCTAGTGACATATATTAGAAATGATGCGTTTATACCCATGGATCCTGCCACTCCAATACCCTCAACAGACCGTCCGAAATCAGAAACTTCTTATTTACAATTCAATGTCAACCCCTCTTCACCATTGACTCCTATTTTCAATGAATTGAACTATCAGCCGTCACCACTAACAGAAAATGCCATAGATAATTTAGCCGTATCGAGCACTCCAGTCCCATCCCCGATGAACAGACATGGGAAATGTGATGATACTTTTTGCTGTCAACATGAACCTAATGAATTGGTCTGTCCATCCGTAAGTAGCGTTTGTCCGGATTCTAATCTCCTGCGGCAACTTTGGTCAGAAATAGGGGACGTAAACGGCCTCGGAATCATGAAGAATGGGGTGATGTGAAGAGAAAGAGACTGAAGAATTTAGGTAAGAAATATTGTTCAAAAAGAGGTACTACTTTTGAAGCAAAGGAAATGGGGCCACCATGTCGATGCAGGTTTAATTGTACCTCAAAAATAACCATAGATGATCGGAGACAGATTTTAAAACACGAAAAAATTGGTGTTTGCAAAACCATGTTTTTAAACACCTTAAAGATTACTGAGCGTATGACGCGAACAGCTTCTGAAAAGTATGATGGCAGTACTACTGTCGAAAAAGACATGGGAGGACGTCATAGCAATCACAAAAAAGTTCTCGACTCTGGTTTTATCTGTATGTGCTCACGTAAATGCTTTTGTGACAGTTGAGTCTCATTATTGTAGGAAAAATCAAAAAGACTATACTTAGATAGTAGCTTAAGTATCGTTCGAATGTTTGAATTGTACAAAACTTGGCCCGATTTGGATAATTACACAACTAAAGCAATATCACTGCGACAATACCGAGACATTGTTAACAGCTATTTTAATCTTTTCATAACCCCAAGAAGGATACTTGTGACCAGTGTCATATTTTTAAACACACTGATGCTCCGTCTGAGTAAATGAAACTAGCTTATGAGGAGCACCAAAACAACAAAAATATTGCACGCAATCTAAAACAAAATGATAAAACCGAGGCAATCGAATGGATTGGTACCATCTTGTGTGCAACATTTGATTTTCAAAAGGTTTTAAACTGTCCGCACGCTAAAATAAGCTGTATTACAAACGTAAACTCTCGTGTTACACTTTCACTATTTTTGATTTAGCGTCCAAAGGTGGCTATTGCTACGTGTGGGATAAGAGTATCGCAAAGCGCTTATTCAATTTTATCAAAGAATTTTCCTTGAAAGGAATTAAGGAGTTTAAATTTTGGTTTGATAACTGCTTTGGCCAAAATAAAAATTGAACCGTTTTTGCAATGTACAGTCGTGCAGCTAAGGAGTTTGGAGTCACCAAAATTCGTCGTTTTCTCGAAAAAGGGCACACTCAAAATGAAGGTGACTCTCTTCACTCTGTGATTGAAAGAGCTGGGGAACACAAAGTAATTTACACACCTGAAGAGTGGATGCTGGTTATGAAATGGGCAAAATCTGAAAATGCTAAGTTAACGTTGCAATAATTTAATATTTTTATTATTGAACAATTTGCCAGCAACCTATTTGAGCTGATGATTTTTATTTTTTTTACTGTTTTTAAACCCTCAGATAGCGCTAACAGACAGATAACATTCTGTGACGCTTGCACACTTTTATCTGTTTAATTAGCGCCATATGAGGATTGAAACAGGCCAAAATGTAGGTAACTGTTTATTTGCTAATCCAGTTGATTTTTTAATTGTTTACTTGAGGCTCATATTTAAAATTTAGAGGATTTTTTGGTTTTCGTATTCAGTATACTTTGATTTGTTTTTATGAATAAAACTATTTGACAATTGTATATTAATCTTTTTATTTTAATCAATAAGTAGAATCCGTCGCTAGATTTTTGGCATATGGGCATTTTTCCCCAAAAAAATGACGTAAATGAACATACGTCAAGTTATTGTCCCTACAATAACGACGTTTGTGATAATTCTTCACATACATGCCCATAGTAAAGTGACGTATCTGACTTTTCTTAAAAACTAGCCATATTAAGGATATATTTTGTATGTCATAATTAACAACTTTACACATTTACTAACATATCCAAATTTCAAGTTGATTGAGTTAGCCGTTCGGAAAATATAAACAAAAACATATATCAGAACCTTTAATGAGGTCTCCTGTAAAGTAGCTGTTTTGTAGATCCGTCATTGTTCTACGACTGCGACGATATGTATAAGCTAGGAAGCGAAATTATGCTTCACCTAATGTTAAATGATATACGTACGAATGTAAAAAAAAAAACAATTAAATTATTATCAATTTTAGAACTTACAAAATATGCATTATAAATTTAAAAGTAAAATTACACTGAAACTTGTTTTCTTTTGTAACAAAGTCCAAATGTTTGTATTACGAATCAAACTGATGCCTAGATTCATCATCATCATCATATCAGCTGTAGGACGTCCACTGCTGAACATAGGCCTCCCCCATTGATCCAACATGCCCTGCAATCTTGGCTAGGTCGTCCGTCCATCTTGTGGGAGGCCTTCCTACGCTGCGCTTGCCGTCACATAGTCACCACTCGAGAACCTTTTTGCCCCAACGGCCATCGGTTCTTCGAGCTATGTGCCCTGCCCACTGCCACTTCAGCCTGCTGACTCGCTCTGGAAAGGGTAATGCTTGGGGTTTCTCTATGAGATCGAATCAGAAATGAGGAGATCCGTAGAAGAACTAGAGTCACTGACATAGCCTAGATTACATTTGTATAAATAGCTTCTTAGAGCAAACTCTAAAGTCAAAGTATATCTTTTCAGAGAGCAATAGACAGAGGAATAAAAACTATTCGAGTTAGAGTTAGAGGATTAGGACCTGGAAGACTGGTAAGCTTAGTTTACTATGCACTGTATGCTTGAAACAAAATAGGCCATTACAATATTTTACCGTATTTTAAAGTACATGTAAACGATTAATATGATAAGTAACGATACATTTGCATTTAATGGATTTTTTCAATTTACATAAATATCTCTTGTAAATAAAACTATTTTAATTTTACATATTTTTTATTAAAAATTAAACAATTTTTTTTTTTTTACAAAATGTAGCATTCAATTTACTTTGTTTTCTTATTTCTAGCTTTCAAATTTTTTATGATTTTGTTTTTGTATCTATTCTCAACAATTATAAGTTCATGAGCTCTTATGCATTCCTAAGTCAGTGATACATCAATTGGACTAAGATCTGACCTTATCATAGCCCAGTTTAATGAAAGCACTGAGGTAATGAATTCTAGAAAAATTGTAAAGAAATACTTTATTAAACTATTGATTGTGTTATAATTTTACTTTGTACATGCTGTTGCATACAGCTAAATCAGTTTTCTCAAAATATTGTGACAATACCAGGAACAAAATATTTTTGTATCTATTTACTAGCAAATAATTTTGATATTGATTTTGGGCTCTAATTAGTAGTAGAAGCTTTATATAATAAACAAGATGTGCCCTTTTTTGTTTCATATTATAATTTTTAATCACATGTTTCGTGTTTATTTCAGTCTGCGGTTAAGGGCTTACAGATGGGAGGTTTAGATATAGTCTCCGTGACTGACAACACACATGTTTCTTGGAACCCACCAAGACCAAGAAAAGCAAAGAGATTGTAATTAACATTAAATAATAGTTTGTAGAGCTTAGAGAATTTTATTAAAAGTTCAAATTGAAATATGTTTTCATTTAAATGATAAAACTTAATTACCATTTACAAATGAATGCCCCATCAATTTAAAATCCATATTTGGACTGACTTTGTCTTTTTGACATTCTGTTGTTTGCCCATTTGTTCTGTAATTCAATTTCATTAGCTTTTGCCTGAAATGAAAAATATTCATGTAAAACACTGTTTTATTAGTATATTTTTTTATGTAATTTTATTACTGCAAAAAAATATTGGAAGAAAATTGGATAAATATACATATAAAAACTTTTCTACTCTGTAAAGTAAATTATGCTTAGCTGTGCAAAATTTCTTTAATTTAAGAAGTTTTTTAACATTTGGATAAATAAATAATTGTATAATGCCCACCCGATGAGCCAAGTATGTAATCTGGTGTTTCCTTTTCTGCATATGTGTAGGTTCATCCCCTCTCTTTTTACTAGCTGAAACTCTTTTACTAGTATCTTCCATAAGGCCTTTGAGTAACAATTCCCTTGCTTCAGCAAGGACTTCTTGTTGATTAAAGTCAACTATTTGTATCTCTTCCATCTTGCGCTTTCCACGAGCTCCAACAAGTTTTAATATCTTAAAAACATTGATTCATAAGAAAAATAGGTAATAAAATCTTTTTCTATATATCTTTAATAAAAAAAAGTAAAGACTTTATTCACTTTAATATCTTTTTACTAATATTAAGAAATGTATTTAATGCAAATAAAAATACATAAAGTACTTACTGCCTCATCATCAAGGATTACATCATTTGCAGGGGGTAGTTCTAGATCATTTTCTGAACCTGCTGCACTGGATGTTGTTTCAAAATTATTTTGTTCAGTATATGCTAGCTCTGAGGGTTCTGGATTTTCAATATCTTTTTTGAAATAAGACTCAATACTTCTCACTTCTTTCTTACTTGTAGTTGGTCTAATCTCTTGCACTGTATCCACTTCAGTGTCTGAAGTTAAATGATCTTGAATATCAACAGTTTGGTTTATTGAGAAGAAATCATTTTCTACTACATCCTCGTTATCACTGTCATCAGAGTTTTCTTTTAACAATTTTTTTGTTTCGATTTTCGGTTTTTTTGGATGAGATTGAGAATGATCGCTTTTCTTTATGCTACTAACACCTGACTTCTGTGATAGGACATGGGGTATTAAAGAGTTTTTTGTTAAGGACATGCTTCCATTTTTAGGTTGTGGCAATATACTCAGTAGACCAGACTTTTTCTAAAATAACAGAAATTAACAACTCAGTTATGGAAAATGTGTAATAGCAAAGAGACATACAAATGTTACCAACTTACACCATTTACAACCCTGGGTTTTGCCGAAGGTACAGTATCAGCTACATCTTTAAACTGAAAAGAAATATTCTTTTTTTATATTATAAATTTATTTAAATACAAATGAAATCTCATGCAACGGCTGTAACTTGCACCAATCAGGAAAGTTAATCAGTTTAAAATTTAGAGTATGTTAAAAACTTAATATTGAAAATGTTTTGTTTGTTATAAGAGTTACGATATGTTGATAGATTAGATAACGATTGATGTTAACACAATTGATGGGACAAATATTTTTATAAAAATATTTTTTTTTAATAGTTTTTTGTATGAGGTGGCATGCGAGCTAACGGTTCACTTGATGGTAAGTGATAACCGTCACCCATGGACATTTGCAACACCCAAAGAGTTGCGGATGTGGTTTTTGTTTTCCGAATGTAAGTGCAAACAAACAATAAATCAACATGTTATGCTTTTTAAAGTGCCAATAACAAAAAATGTTTTGTTAATCAAAAGCTTGTGTGATTGAATGACCAAATGAGATTTTACCTTCACACTTGATTTTTTTTTCTTTTTGATCATAGTACAGTTTATAGCCAAAGTATAACTAAGGAATTAACAGGACTTACTACTTATTACGTAATCCTTACTTAATAGTTCTACAAAAAAACGTCTTAAAATGATGACAACACTCATATTTCTATGGATGATATGAAAATTGATTTAGTATATGAACTTTCCAGACTTACATCACTGAGTGAAGGTACAGTTATCTTAGATTTGGGTTTAACAATATTGGCCTCTTTTTTATGAAGAAATTCATCTTCTTCCTCAATAACTCTAGAGGCCTTGTGCGCAGGCTTTGGTAAAGCATTAAACAAACTTCCATCTATTCCAGTATCATACTCATCATGCACTGGGCTATTTGAAGTTGATGGTTCAGGTTTCAACCCAACTAGAAACAAATGTAAATATGATACATAAGATAATTATCGTATACTAAAATGCATCACAATTGTTACCTTCTACTGATTTATTTGTCGGGACATGTGACTTGTCTTGATCATCATCTTCATATTCACTAGAGCCACTATCATCGTAAGCAACTAAAGACATTGTTTGTTTATTTACTACTATAAATGATCTTATCCGTAGCACTTCATTTGGAATTTGTATTGAATACGAAGAAAAAGTAGGTACCTAATGATGGATAAAATAATAACGACGGAATCTATAGACGTAAATATGGAATCTAATATCTGATCTGTTTTAATTTAACCCTCGTGGCTTATTTTAATGTATACCGTAATTCTGTCTTAACAATTACACAAAACAATCAATTAATCGACTCATCAAAATCAGTCCACAACTCCACACTCCACAGTTTATATATGTAATAGAGATGTCGAAAAATTATCGATACAAAATATTCAATACCAAAATTCAGTAGAATTTTTAATACATAACTTGATATACCTTTTTTTTGGACAACGGGACAAATAGAAAATAACGGAGTTGGATTTAGGAATTAGGAAAAAGATAGTACATAATATTGAAAAGGATAGTATTTGTAAAAAAAATATATTACATTTTATAATTTTTATTTTAACAGGCATTAATTTACTCCTCTTCCAAGTTTATCAATTCTTCAATCTTTTTTTTTTTTTTTTTTTTTTTTTTTTTTTTTTTTTTTTTTTTTTTTTTTTTTTTTTTATTGTGGCATTTTGTTATCCTTTATGCCAATGACAAGTAAAAGGAAGGAAACAGTGGTTTTGTTGAAATATAAATTTATTTCAACAGGACTAGGAAGCGGAATTTGGAAAAAGGAAAATAATCAAGAAGATTTACGATACATAAATTCAATGTGATAAAGTATTATTAATTACAGAATATTTAGTTTTATTAATATCGTATTTACACAAATACACATAATATATATACATATATACACACATATATATGTATATATATATATATATATATATATACTCATATATACACACATACATACGCATACATTTATATATATAAACCTATTAACCAAATTATACTATAGTTTTATAGCATTTTTCTGAATAAATGAAGCTAATGTTTTATATACACAAGGGTCGTTATATGCTAAAAGGAATGGTATATTAATAGGAAAAGGTATCCGGAGCAATAGAAGATCAGTAAAAAGAGAGGAGCGGTCATATAATGGGCAAGAAAGGAAAATATGGTTCAAATTTCCTTCTTCCGTTCCACAAGCACATAAAGAAGTATCTACAACATGAATCTTAAACAGAAAAGACGGAGAACAGCAGTGACCTAATCGCAAACGAATTAAAGAACTAGTACAATATTTATTTAAATTGACTTGAGTGTACCAAGGCTTATTTGGAATTGTCGGTTGAATTGAGGAGTAGAATTTTCCTTTCACTAGGCTAGGAGATGTCCAGTAATGTTCCCAGGACTCTTTCAAATATCGCTTCGACAAGGAAAGAAGATCGTGACAATAATTAGTGTAAGGATATATATCACCGCTTAACACGGCTTCATTTGCTAACTCGTCTGCCTTTTCATTTCCTTTAATGCCGCTATGCCCGGGAATCCATGCAAAAACTACTGTAATGTTTTTTAACTTGGCATTTGTATAACAATTTTCTTATTTCTAAAATTATAGGATATTGGCATTTTGATTTAAGCGGAAAATGTGCTAATGTTTGTAAAGAACTTAGAGAGTCCGTAAAAAATTATAGCTTTACATAAGTTTGTTAATAATATATATTCTACTGCGCGAAATAGACCAAAACATTCCCCAGTAAATACTGATGATTCAGGAGGTAATTTAATTTTTTGTACAATATTATACTGAGAATGAAATACTCCAACCCCAACACAACTATTATTGGTATGTTTAGAAGCATCACTATATATATAGTGCCAATTCTCCCAGTTATTTTCAATAATGAATTTAAAAGCTGTATGAATTTCTATTTCATCTCTTTTTTTATTCCAACATTGAGTTTTATGGAGGGTGTAAGAGTCAAGATTTTATAATCGGTTTCAAACAGTGGAAGAGTTTTGGAACGATACATGGGGGCTTCAATAGCAAGATATTTTTGGTAACTTTTAACAAGACATGGCAATTCCTTGAGTTTCCAATACGAAGATGAATTAATGACTTGACATAAGGTTTGTAGTTTTGTTTATTAGAGGATGGTTTAAAATTTGTAAACAACGAAACAGGAATCTATCAGCTAAATATTGTCTTCTTAAGTGGAGCGGCGGATCTCCACATTCTAATTGAAGAGCATTAATGGGACTGGATTTCATTGCACCAGATATTATTCGTAAAGCTTTTGATTGAATTAAATCGATTTTTTTAAGACCAGATGCGTTACAAGGTTCCAATAAAAATGTACCATAATCTACAATGCTTCTAATGATAGCGTTGTAAACTAACTTTAAGGAGATGGGGTGCGCACCCCACCATACACCAGAAAGGCATCTTAACATATTTAGTTGACGTTCACATTTTGCTACTACATAATCGAAATGCGGAATGCCAGTAAGTTTTGAGTCCAATATTAGACCTAAAAATTTTGCATTATTCTTAACTGGAATTGGACTATTTTTATAAGAAATGTGGATTTTTGGAAGAACACGTTTTCTGGAAAATATTACAGTGGTACTTTTAGAGGCAGACAATTCAAGACCATTTGATTCACTCCAAATACTCAATAGACGCAAAGAGTAATTTAAGCACTCACAAGCTTTATGAGCAGATTCATCCGAAACATACAGAAGTAAATCATCTGCATACTGTAGAATATTTGCAGACCCATTAAGGAAATGTTCTAAATCATAAGTGTATATATTATAGAGTAACGGACTAAGAACAGAGCCCTGGGGTAATCCTTTCCAAGTCGTCCTGGATATTTTATGTCCATTTTCTAAAAAAATATGTATAGTCCTCTCATATAACATGTTATAAATGAAGTTAATGAATATTTTTGGAACTTTTAAATCAATTAATTTCTGCCGTAACAGATGCGGAAGAACACTATCATATGCAGAATTTATGTCTAAAAACGCAGATAGAAGGAAATTATTATTTGTGAACGCCAGTCTTATATCAGTAGTTAAAATACTCAAGCTATCTATCGTACCTCTTCCTTTCCTAAAACCAAATTGACTGCTTGCTATTATATTTTTATTTTCAGCAAGCCATTCAAGCCGGTTTTTCACTAAATGTTCTGCAAGCTTACCTATTACAGATGATAATGCTATTGGCCTGTAAGATGTGGCCTCAGTAGAAAGTTTCCCGGGTTTAAGAATAGCAATGATTTCCTGTGTTTGCCAAGACTTTGGTATATTGCTAGTTGCTATTATGGAATTTAAAAGATTTAAAAAGTAAGACAAAATTTTTTTCGTCTAAATTTGAAATAAAAGAGTATATAATACCATCCTCCCCAGGGGCAGAATCCTTAAGATATGATAATATGCCTTTTAATTCTGACATAGAAAACTGCGAGGCTAATTCGGAGTGATCGTTTAAATTACACTCTAAATTTGGGTGGCGAAATTCTGGAGCAAAAGGGGGGGCAAGTCGGTCTGTAAAATCTTCAGCAAGATCTATTGGAAGAGATATTGAGGGAGAACTAATTTTACTACATCTGAATCGTCTGATATTTTGCCAGAGAACTGAAGGATTAGTATTAGGAGAGATCGATGAACAGTAATTTTTCCACCCTTCGATTTTCTTCATCTTTAAAATTTTGTGTGTGTTGGTACTTATAACTTGAAAACTTTCAAAATTTTCTGATGTCATAGATGAACAATATTGTCTTTCTGCAGTCTTTCTTTTTTTAACAGCTTCAGAGCATTCTTTATCCCACCATGGCGGGGGTGAAGCTTTTTGGTAGGTATTTTCTTTTAAAGGAAAAGCTTGTTCCGCAGCGTTATTAAGAAAATTTACAAAAGCATTATAGGAGTCAATTTCATAAAATTTTTGGACATCTGGCAAGGTAGAAACGTTCTGTAGTGTGTTGCTTTTGTAAGTATCCCAGCCTTTAGTACTTAATCTGTATTTCATACGTGAACGCGGAACTTTTTGATTTGGAAGGTTATAGAAAGGAAACGAAATAATTATTGGAAAATGATCACTGCCATAAGTAGAAGACAAAATGTCCCACTCTAGAACAGAAGAAAGATTGGGAGTACATATAGATAAATCTACAGCACTCACACTCTCATTCGGTTCTGTACGTCTTGTCGGCTTTGAAGTATTTAGAACACATAAATTATGATGATCAAGGATATCTAACATTAGATCTCCATTAGGATTAGAAAAAGAGCTACCCCAGGATTGATGATGACAGTTAAAATCACCCCCCATAACCAAAAATGGCTTTTTCAGTGAAGATAGGAGATGATTAACTTCATTTAAAACTTGTTGAGATGGGTGAGGAACATAAATAGATACATAACAAACATTATTGTATGAAATCGCAATTGCCGAAAAGTTATCAGAGTGTGGAGGCAGTGGAACATACGTGAAAATAACAGTTTTTTTAATTAAGATTGCTACACCCACCATATCCATCCAATCTGTCTTTTCTATGGCAAATGTATCCTTGCATATTAAATGATAAATTTGGCCGCAGCCAAGTCTCCGAAAGAGAGATAAGGAAAGGATTAAATTTGTTAATCAAATATATCAATTCACTTTTTTTATTAACTATGCTCCTGCAATTCCATTGTATAACTTTGGCTTGATTGTCCATTGTTAAGAATTTGTTTAAGAATATCAAATGTTTGAGCAACGTTGTTCGGTGAAATTATTTTACTTAGTAACAAAGAATTAATTAAAGGAATTACAACATCTGTAAATATGTCTTGTTTTTCATTCCCATTGGGTGTTAATGCACATCCGTTAGACGACATTGGGATTTCAAAGTCCTTAATTAGAGCTTGATGAGCTGCTTTGTCATAGCCTTTGTTGAAATGGGGAAGAGGGCGAGTTTTTAAAGAAACTGTCTTTTTATATGAGTTTTTCAATGGTTGGTTAATATGTGATGACAAAGAATGTTGTGGCCTCATAGACTCAGCTGAATATGTGCTAGAGGGAACAGATTTAAGAATATCAACATAAGACTTAGTGACAGGGGGGAGCATTTTGGAAGCCTCTGCATATGAGATGCAGTTTTGTGCCATGGTCAATTTTATTTGTTTTTGTCTAGCCCATTCAGGACATGATTTGCTAATAGCAAAATGTGACCCAGAACAAAGGAAACAGAAAGCACAGTCATCATCTTTATTGCAAGAGTCACTTGTATGAACATCTCCACACTTAAAGCAGCGTGGTTTGGACCTACATTGAATTTTAGTGTGACCATATCGACAGCAGTTGTAACATTGTATAGTAGGATATGTGTAAAGTTCGACAGATAAAGCATTATAGCACATATAAATGTGTTTTGGAAGAACCTGACCATCAAATGTTATAACTACTGTCTGTGAAGGTTTCCAAACTGGAGACCCATCAACAGTTGTTTTATAATTTAATCGTCTTATTTTTAAAATTTCACCACAACCCATTGGCACAGTTATGTTATTTTTAATTTCATCTGGGGACCATTCAGCTGGCACTCCTCTTACAATACCCATCCTAGTTATGTTGAAGGTTGGAATAAAGGCTTTTAATTTCTGTGTAGACAAAGAAGGATGATTAATAAAAGTGTTAGCATCAGTAAAATTGGAAAATGCAAGGGAAATCTTGTTCCTACCAATTTTTTTTATACTGCCATTGATGATATTCCTAAATGCATTTTTTTTTAGAAAATTGCCAAAGGACACAGGGTGGAATGAAGTACCATCATTAAATGAAGATACTTCTTTTTGAACATGTATAATATAAGGTGATAAGTCACTGTTTTGGTAAATCTTTCTATATTCGACACTAAGTTGCTCGGGCTCTTTTGATTCTGTTGTTACTGGTGATGCAACATTATTTAGAATGGTGCTGTTCTCATCACTATCGCAATGACAGGCATGCTTAGTTTGGTCATTCTTAGTACCAGAATGACTGCTCCTCCTTTTTTTTTATTGCAATGTTTGCAAATTTTCTGCAAACGTGAGCGTTTTCTAATGATAAGAGTATTCGACGCATCAGTGTCCATACAAGACTCGCCATTAGAAACTTCTACATTGTACGCAACCTCGGGGACTCCACCCCCGGGATCAGGGGGTTCATTCATTATAATAAAATATATAAAACTTACCTAGGTATAGAAATTAAACTATTACTATTAATAATTAACTACACAAAGTAAAAAAATTACATATATACACAAAACTTCTCTGATTATTATCACTAAAATTAAATAAATGTGATTTAGAGAAAAAAAACGCGCGCTTAGCTTTCAAAGTTTCCCGCCTTTTTTTTCTTCTTCAATCTTAGTTTCATCCTTCGAATTAAATTTTTTCAAACATAACCTCACTAGGAATAAAATCTATACAAATTCTACTTTTATACCACCTATGGATTATGTTTATTTCATATCTTAGCGGAAATAGTAAATTAACCGTACTATTAGACATCAATGAACTCCATTAACTATCTCATGGTGCAATATGCAAAGTAACTCTTCAACAAGCTGAGTATAGAAAAAAATTTCAAAAGTCCAAAAAAACCTTTTTATATCATAAGAATAGTTATAATTTTAGTATCAACAATCATTTTCGTCCATAGGATACTTATTTTATTTGTTCTTTACGGAAGTTTTGAAAAGGAGTTCTTTAAAAAAGTGGATAAACGCAATTGGCAAAATCGATTGGATGATCTCTTGATTGATCTCAGTCAAGCTTGATTTGTTCTTACTGCTTAAAAATTATATAAAAAGAATAAAGATATTTGAAAGTACAATTAAATTAAAACGAATAGTACAATTAAAACGAATGTATCAAAGTAAGGTTTGTCCTTACAAACTTTTTGGAACCAAATCACAGGCACTGCACTCGAGAGAAATACTGCGCCAGCTCATAGAGTGAAGAACGTACAAAACTGGCTGATGCCGCATGAAATTGACTTCAAACTGATAAAAAAACTGGTCCTCCTCCAGTCCAAACATAAATCCATTGGGTCATGTAATATGACAATACTTGGAGAAAAGGGCATGGTCAAAACCTCATCCTGATTTGGAGCCACTCTGCCACTCCAGGGCATCCCCGTTCAAAGCAATCACAGTCGCTGATTTTAATATGAACCTCAATCGCTGCCATAGATGATTGGCCGCGCAGGTTGAAAGCTTATCTTCAAATCGCGAGAGTCATATTAAATATGCTTAGTGAGTATTAATAAAGAAACAAAAATGAAATAGAAACCTTTGAGGGGAAAAAAAGTAAAGTGTAGATCCAAAAAGGAATGTAAGGACTAAGTATGTTGAAAGTGAAGAAATATATCTTTAAGAAATGTGTTTTAAAGAATATTAGCCTCGGTTATCCTAAATAAATGTATGTCAAGTATTAAATATTGTTTACATCTCCGGACTTTGTGCAGGATTTGATTTGAAAAAATATTGGATAATTAAATATTATTTGAAAAAATATCGTTTTTGATAAGATTTCGATATTGTAAATTTTATATCGATTTATAGATTCCAAGTATATTGCCTACAAATATTTATAAATTTACAATCTTTATTGATCTAATATTTACAAGATTAAATCTATCTAAAATTACATATTATCTAATAAACCAAATCCACGCGGCATGGTGCAAACAACGTTAGCTGCACTTCCTCGCTGAATAGTAATGCTTAACCTTTGAGCGAGAAAAGAACCAGCTCTCTTGTCACCAGCCGCGGCGTTAAGCCTAGGACATAAACTTTTAATAATATTTATATAAAATCAAAAAATATTGATATTTTTTGGACATCCCTACTGAATAATGACATGTCTTGACAGTTGTCATTCAATCTTCCTGATTTTCCTATGTAAATGTATCTGTGATACAATCATCGCACCGCTGTAATTTGTTATTATATTATTGGTGTAACTATTTCATTTAGTAAGTTAATTAATACGAAGATTATATGGGAAAGCATACAATACGTCACAACTGATTCGTTATAATTTGTGTAGTTGTTTTACCGTAACCTACACAGGTACCATAACCAAATACCGAATTAATATTTATAATATCCAGAATCTTATAATTATAAATGATTCCTCGTCTCGTAAATTTTTTTCCTTTTTAGATAATAGTCAAAATGCCGAAAAAGTTTGCTGGAGAAAACAGCAAAGCCGTTGCTGCACGTGAACGGAAGGAACTGGCAAAACAAGAAAAAGATCTTAAACTTCAAAAGACTGTAGAAGATGCTGCATGGCAAGATGATGATGACAAATTGAAAAAGAAACAGCAAAAGAAGGTAGTTTGGATTTGCTTTAGTTTACGGTATCACGATTTTCGTGAAAATTTTGATTTTAATAGGCTTTAAAAAAAGACTGAAATAGAAAATATAACAGAGGTAAATTATATTTTAGTGGTCTTTCAAGTTAAGTTTTTTTGTATCATCATTATAGTTGACAGTGATTCAGAGCAATCCGACTCGGATAGATTAGATTAGAAGGTTGAGGCGGGAGCTCAGCTCCTAAAAATAGCCTTATGGTTATTTTTTTTTACCACCGAGAAATAGAGCAGCTAAGGAAGAGCCTCCACCCACCACCTGATTCTAAATAAATACCATCATATTAACTGCATAGGTTAGGGTAGTTTTTTAATATATTTCAGAAACTATACATCTCTGCACCCTGCCCTCTTACAGGGAAGTTCACCACATCCCCCCCGCCAAATCCCCCCACCCTACGCGTGCTATCGAATACTAAAGCAATACCGGTAGTTTTCATTATCTAAAAAAATCAAAAATATATATCTTTCTGTAAAATAATGCTTTTAGGAGGAACAAGAAAGAAAACGTCTTGAACAATTAAAGAAGAAAGCAGATGCAAAAGCTCTGCTAGAAAAGGAGATGGAATCAATTAAAGGCGCTGTTAAAGCTGCCCCACAGCCAAAGATAACAAGAGCTCAAATAGAACAAATTAAGGAACGGTCCCTCAAAGTTGAACCAGAAAAACATGTGGTAATATTTGCTATTTTAATATATTGCATTTCTTTTTAATGTATACTAAATAGTGTGTTACATTAAATTTTATGCAATGGGACTACTTTGGCAATTAATAAGCAGCATAAATGACAATATTTATTTTTCATTGGGTAATTTTTATCATATTTGCTTTTTGCAGCCTGCAAGAGTTGTGGTTGAGGAGCCTCCATTGGAAGAAAATCTTAATAGGTTGCAATTGGACGGTGAAGTTGCACAGTCTGTAGATGAAGCTATCTCTTTGTTAAGGTAAAGTAATTAAGTTTTTAATATATTAAGATATTGGAAATAATTGAGCTAAATAATATTAGCTTTCTTTTCATTGATGTATTTCTGTTAACTATTTCTGTTTATTATTTTATAATAAAATAGGTGACATCCACAAACAACTAAGTGTACACAATGTTAAACAATTTGTAAAAGCTACCTTAATGGCAAGGGCCTACCATAATGTCCAAGAATACATTGAGGACAAGGATGTGTGGTAGCCGGAGCCAACTTTATTAAAAGGTGGCAACGCATTCGCAACTCTGCGGGTGTTGCAAATGTCCATGGGCGGTTATCACTTAACATCATTTGAACCGCCAGCTCATTTGCCACTTTCTCACATAAAAAAATACTAGATTATTTCAAAAATGTTATCAAAATTCATATTCCATCCAATTATCTTTTCCAGTGACAAGGCGGACACAGACAAACACCCTGAGAAGCGTTTAAAAGCAGCATATACAGCTTTTGAAGAAATTAACCTACCAAGATTAAAGGCCGAAAATCCCACACTCAGGCTATCACAGCTTAAACAAATGCTAAGGAAAGAATGGACCAAGTCTCCGCAGAATCCACTAAATCAGAAAATTTGAAGTTTTTTTTATTGTACTGTATTGCCACAACACCTAGACTTCAAAAATAATTGAATTCTTGTTTAGTTGTGGCCAATACAAATCAAGGTTCTTTCAAAAAGTAATAAATGACACACTTCATATTATTTGTGTTATATTCAGTCTCATTTTAATTTATTGGCAAATTGTATGAGAATTTGTACATAATAAACACTTTTGTTTGAAATTATTATGGCTCATTGCTGTATTGTAATGGCAACCCTTTACGTCCTTCTTCAGCTGCCTTCACATCTGTTTCACCCAATTGTTGTTCTAAACCTTTCCAAGATCGTCCTTGCAGATTTTGGCCAATAGTTTCCAATGCCAAATTTTGTTTTTCAGCTAATTCCATTGAGCCACCAGTACCACAGTGAACTTTGGTTTCTCGTATCTTGCCTGTGATTAGACTCACATCTGTAGATTCTTTAGCCTCATTGATATCACAGTAATGTCTCTTGCCTGGAAGTAGCTCATCAAGTCGGTAATGTGAGTTGTGAAAAATGGTTCTCTGTTGGAATTAAGTGCTACTTCCAGTTCAAATGGATATACAATTGGTTTATAAAAATCTCTGTTATTATATAGCTCATTTTCTGGACAAGCAACCATGACATAAATGTCAATCTGGAAATTTATTAAAATATTATTGGACAAACAATTAACTAAAGCGGAATAATACCATGTTCCTCAAGTAGGTAAATTATTTTACTAAAAAGAAGAACACTGTAAAATTTGTGCAAAAATTTTGTTAACAAATATAAATTTTGTTTTCAGTATTAAATTTTTACATATCTTTTTGAAGTACCTACTTCTGGGAAGTTTGCTAGCTTTGCAACATTAGGTTTGCCAACTGAAATAATATAGCTTTTCTTTCCATTAGATTGGCAAAGTTTCTTTAACCTTTTGATAATATCCTTAGTCTGTTCTCCAGCAAGTTTGCATATCAAAATTCCAACAACATTAGCATCTTTACATTTTTCAATTAAGAATCGTCTTCGTTTAAACCACTTGCTTTCTTCTCTACTTTCAATTTTAATTGTTTCTGGATCAAGTAAAAACCATTTCTTGGCTGCAACACCAAATATGTATACTGTACCTAGTGTATATTCACAATATGTAACTTTATCTTGCAAATAACCTGGAACTATTTTACTTGCCATAACACATTAATTTATTTATGTGAAAATGATGATAACTGACCAAGTAATGCAAAGGCAATTGATGATTTTAGATATTCTCACCTTCAATTGATATTGTATAATTAAATACAGTCTGGCCATTTAACCCAACATAAATACAAATGCAGTCCTTAAGTACATCCACAAAATATTCATCCTCATGTTTGTCTTTGATAACACGTCCCAAGAACCTCTTATTTTTGTCATCTATTGCAATAAATGCTATGTAACTCTTCCAATATTGTAGAAACCAAAATTTTACTAACTCGTCTGAAAATTAAATATTACCCTTACACATATTATTAAACAAATTTGTGAAACAAATAATGTTTTGATACAAATGATTAAAAGTCACCTTTACAATGTTCAAATTCAGCATCATAAAAAAGGCAGAGCTTAATATCCTTATCTGAATTAAAATTTTTCAGTAAAATATTTTTGACTCTAAGAAGATTAAGTTCTTTCTTGGGTAGAACAGTAAAAACAGGTATCTCTGATTTTGTAAAACAGCTTCGACCATAATGGACTACTGCGTCACCTTGTACATGCATGGCAGCAACAGCATCTACACAACAACTGCAAAATTATAGAATGCCAAATAATTTTACAATTTTAAAACATGGGAAAAAAAGTTATTACAAAGTAGTTTAAAGTAACCTGGCATATGAAGTATCTCCTAAAATGTATAGATCTACATCATTCCTTTTCTTTATCTCTTCATAAATTTTTGCGCTCACTGGTAAAAGGTCATCAGGAAATTGGAGGCACACCTACACAGATTAATTTTACAACATGTCAGGCTTTAAACATAATCTGTGAGACACAAAACAATAGTAGTTAATGTTAATCGTAGTTAGTTAGACGAATCAATTTATTTAAATTAAACTAAAGGTTAAGTTACTTTAGTGCTCTTTTTAATATTTCAAGGAGTGTTATTCAGGCATTATGTTTTATAAACTGTACTGACTTACCCGATATGTTTAAAGGAAAAAAATCGCCCTGGATTAGGAGAGGAAAAGTAATAAATATGATAATCGTCTTACCTTTGAATAGTTATTATTGATTATCCATTCGCACGTTTCTTCTATGTCAAATTCATGAACTATGTCTTTATATTCTTTAGTATTAGTCACTTCAAGTTCTCGTTGAATACATATTTTTCCATCTGTAGTCAAATTTGCCATTTTCGGTAAGAAATATTAAATTATGGAAAACGTAAACATTAACCTTAAAACGACAATCTGATTCTGTCAGTCAATAAAGTATTGACTATAGATAAGACATATATACTGAAAGACATGACATATAGACTGACTTAGAGCAAATTTATAATATGCTCATTTCCATATTCCTCTTTCCTTACAGAGGAACAAAATATATACATATACATAATATATAAAATGAACTGAACATTCCAGACATACTTAATACCCTATGTAAAATAGTTTGTGGTATGAAATGTCTTTTTCAATGTAATTTAATCAATAATTCTACAATATATTAGTAGGAACCTACAATAAAAATTACAACATCCTAGCTTAATGTACAGATATAAGTGACTAGCCTTATAATTTGTGTTTTTATCACATTGAATGTCAAGGATTTTTTTTATGTATTAAAAACTTCAATAGTAGAGTTTTAATTTGAATGGTTTAATTTTAGGTCCATTACATCATTTTCCTAAGCCTGATTGGAAAATGGACGCGAACTGAGGACGCAATGTCACCACTGTGGAGGGGAACGGGACTCCACGCAACATACACTCACTGAGTGTCCTGAATGGGAGTCCAAGTGACGGATCCTGGTCCATAAGATAGGGGAGGATCTTTCTCCTTCAGCAGCAGTAGCAGCTGCGCTGACGTGCTGCCCCTTTAACCCTATAATCCCGGGCTCTAGAATAGGACTAAGGTATCTCCTGCCTGTCAAAAAGAAGACTAAAATAGGACATGGATTGACAACAGCATGAATTGATCTCGAGCTGCTGCTAGACGCGAGACGTGCTCACGCCCAGTACAGTGGCAGATCGGTGTTCCGTAGGAGACCCCGGAGTCCCTCCAAAGGTACAAAAGGTGGCCACCGAGGGTTTTTTTTTGTGGGTAAGAACCCCACATAACCCTTTCACAGAATGATAGGGTATCTTACGAAGATTTCTCCTTCGAAACCAAAAAAAGGCTGGATCAAGTAGAATAATTATAACCACTACGACTTTATCTCATGAACCGTGTTAGAGAAACTGTTAAAATTTTCATAGACTAACTCACTACCGTTAGTTCGGTGGGCACTTTCTGTTTCAAGAATTTGTTTTTGTTGTCTATATCAAGCCTCCGTGATTGATTTCCTGAGTGAGATGAGATTTGTTCACACTTGAAGTAAAGTGAGAATCATTTGCCATTCTCTTTTTTCTTATTCCTTTAATTACACTCCCTTTTTTATGCAAATCAACATTCGTGAAAGCTATAATGATCCATGAACGAAACATGCGAATGTGTGCTGTAACACTTTTATCCGGTGGTTATATAAGCGTATATCATATCTTTAATAAAAAATATGAATGTCTATGACGATGTGTATCGATTATTTATACAAATATCATTTTGCTTTATGTCAATATTTGTTACATCCCTACTATTGTTAAGTGTCAATACCAATTTTCAACAAAAAAAAGAGTCATCAAAATCGGTTTATAAATCAAAGAGAATGTAATCACTACGTTTGTGATAAATGGCGAAGTTATCCCCGGACACACATAAAAAAATATATATACGGTCGAATTGAGAAACCTCCTCCTTTTTTGAAGTCGGTTACAAAGTACTCTGGACATTATGAAGTTAATTGCGAAGCGTCCAACTTTAAGTTGTTACCATGAAACAATAACAACAACTTTTAATCCAAGTTATTCAATCCAACTTCGAGAAGGAGGTCAATCGACGAATCCAGCTCGGCTGGGCGTTTGGGAAATTGCGCAGCGTCTTTACGTCCAAAATACCACAGTCCTTAAGGACGAAATTCTTTAACCAGCGCGTGCTACCAGCGATGACCTACGGTGCCGACACGTGGTCTCTCACTATGGACCTCATAAGGAAGCTCGCGGTCGCACATCGCGCTATGGAAAGGGTAATGCTTGGGGTTTCTCTACGAGATCGAATCAGGAATGAGGAGATCCGTAGAAGAACTAGAGTTACCGACATAGCAGAGCGAGTCACCTCTATTTATCGTCCCATCAGCCTCCTCAGTTGCCTAGGGAAGCTCTACGAGCGGCTTTTATTAAACAGGCTCAAAGAGGACGTGTTTTCCAACGGCCTTCTGCCGGCGTAACAATTCGGCTTTCGAGCTAGACATTCCTGTCCCGATCAACTATTCCGCCTAACGGAACATATCCTAAAAGGCCTAAATCACCCTAAACATATTAGTACAGGGCTTCTTTGATGTCGCAAAAGTATTCGACAAGGTCTGGCACAACGGCTTGCTTTACAAGCTGTACACACTCAAAGTGCCAGATAGGCTCGTACACACCATCCGGGCCTTCCTGTCGAACCGCTCTTTTCGATATCGAATTGAAGGCAGCCTCTCCACAAACCGGCGTACCACAAGGCTCCTGCCTCTCACCTTTGCTCTTTACGCTCTACACGAGCGATATACCTAGAGACCCCCACGTCAATCTCGCGCTTTTCGCGGATGACACGGCGATCTTTTATTCAGATCGCAACCTTAGTCAACTAACCACTCGACTACAAAGCGCCGCCGACCGCCTCGGCGATTGGTTCCGCAAATGGAGAATACAAATAAATCCCGAAAAGAGTGTGGCGATTCACTTCACAAGAAGTACTTACCCGTCACATCTATATAATGGCCCTCGTCAATGCAGAAAGTTGGGGCAAATATCCCTTTATGGCCAACCGCTCCCCTGGGAGAAAAAGGTCAAATACTTAGGAGTCATTTCCGACTCGCGTATGTCATTTACTATGCACATTAATAACGTTCGCAACAGAGCCGCGTTCGTTTTCGGCCACACAATTTAACTAACTCTAAAAGTAAAATGCCCTTAAGGTACAAATTATTATTATACGGCCATTGGGGCAAAGAGGTTCTCGAGTGCGAGTGGTACCACGTCGAAACAACGGCAAGCGCAGCGTATTTTAAAGGACCAAACGGTTCCTCCGAACATAAGGCAAATGAACGGAACGATCAAGCGTCGCCCGCCATCGAGATCGAGCAGGAGACTTAGATACGTCGGAATGCGTTGGATGCAGCCGGCCTACACCCACAGTTAGTGCTACAACAAACACACTAGTTCGCCCTAAAGACTAGTTGAAGTGGAAGTCAATGGGGGAGGTCTATGTTCAGCAGTGGACTTCCTATGGCTGATATGATGATGATGATGAATCCAAGTTATTAAATTAAACCATTGTATATTTTTGTTGCTTTTAATTAAGCTTGTGTTTTTATTGCTTTTAATTGCTCTAGCCTTTTTATACCATTCGGCATGTGTGAGAAAGTTAGGTTGAACGAAACATGTGAATGTGTATTCTATCTTTATTGATGTGTTTGGTACATACAAGCCCGATTTTTGAAACACTGATCATTGTAAAAGTTAACTAATCAGCTGTCAAATGGCTTTTCAAATGTTATTTAAGTTGCCAAAAGGATGGTTAAATTCTCTGATTATGATCAATTCATTCAATGATCTTTTTAATGATCAGACTGCCATCTCCCACCTGATGGTAAGTGGCGATGCAGCCATTGATTTACCATCACTTACCAGCACTCTAGCTCAGTAAAAACCTATGCACTCTTGCGGACGGAAATATGGAAATATGTTCCATTCCAGTATTAGGAATTAAAATTAAAGTTACATGTTGAATGAATAAATGATGAATAAATAAGCCATAAAAATACTAAATTTAGTAAAAATATTGTAATTACATCAAAAATATTGTCAGCAGAATAATAGACAACTGAAGTAACAAAACTTTTATATAAATTTTATATTTAGTATGTGACCAAACTTCCGAAATATGTATGTTACATCAAGAAATAAGGATTTTTTTATATTTATACAATTTATTTTTATATTTATATAAAAACAAAACTTGTGTTATACATTCAAACTTTAATATCCTTCATCACTGATAGTGATTGTGTATTTAGGATAAGAATCTTTAATGATTTTTGCAGTCACTTCATGGTCGGCTTTCCCATAGCCCTGGGAATAGCCATATATTTTAATTCTCTTAAAGTCTGAGTCATGGGAGATACGGCCTCCACCAAGAACTTCACATTCAAGTGGGGATAATTTTTCTTGTACCTATAAATTTAACCACATATAAAAACTTTTTATAATTGTTAGTTATCAGATGATTTCATTTGATTATTACATTTTATTATATTTTTGGAAATATCTTCCATTTCCAAACATACTGTAGAAATAAATTAATTCAGTTTATTAATAATATAGCAGATGGTTTATATGATGTTAAGTGAAGACTGCTACCACTACAACACCATAGGCCTTGCAGATGCTTTTACAACCTTTAAAAATGTGGCTTCAGTTACCACACCCACAAGATGAAACAAGAAAGTTTAATATTTCGCCAGACGAGCTTGACAAGGCCCACAGTAGATGTAATAAATATTTAGATTTAATAAAATAGTTTAGCAAAATGAGTACCTCATCATATATATCCGAATGATAGTTGCAATGTGCATATCCTCTTACGATTGTGACAGAAGCTTCTTGATCATTTTTATTGTATACTTTTAATAAAATGTACTTAAAAATTCCGGCTTTATCAATGTCCACTTTCGGGATCGAATCCAAAGGTCCGGCATGTGACATTTTTCTTCGACTATGTTTTAAGGTTGCTCCTGAGGATACATGATTATTTATATCTCATTAAATTTATTAAGAAGCAATCATTACAATTCGGTTTATTCGTAAATATAAAAAAAGTTTTGGATGGAATAGAAGATAAAACATTAAGCTCAACACAGGTGATAAACATTTACCTAATATGGATGATAAATTGAAAAAGGATTCAAAATTTCGTAAACAGTACGTAGAACCTTTTATCATTTGCAACGGAAAATGGAAATAGTAAAATATTAAATTATGATCATATTATATCCCTAAAACAAATAAGCAATGTTAATTGTCAATGTCAAAATCATAGATAAGACAACAAAAAAAGATCTTAACTTTTATAGGGATGCGGCGTATATACTGGCACAGGTATAAATACCCAGTATGAACATACCAGTACGCACACGTACGGCAGAGGCCCGTTCCATACCCGATAGGTATGGCCGCCTCGTCCGACGGTGGCAGTATATACGCTCGCGACAACCCGCCCGCACACCGGGTATGTACGGCAGAGGCCCGTTCCATACCCGATAGGTATGGATGGCCGCCTCGTCCGACGGTGGCGGTATATACGCTCGCGACAACCCGCCGGCCGAATAGGTACGAAGTTCCCCGAACGCTTACGGCGGCTCTTCCCGATCATGCCCGAATTAAAACGTATGATTTAGGCATTTTATACCAAATAATTCCTTGAGATAAATTTATTCTTTGTTTCTATGACCATAACTTAAATAATAAATTGCGTAATAAGGTTACAGTAAACAGTAATATTTATTTTGAATTACTTTTTTTTTTTATAATAGGGTTCTTTACTTTAGTAAAGATGGAGCTTATTTTAGACTGATTAAATCTCAATTAAAAAAAAACTGATTGCTAAAAAAACATTTAAATGTTCCAATTCCAACCAAAGGTTCAATTCGTTTGATTCGACCGCGTCTCCAAAAGGTATTTTGATACTGGGTTTTAGCACCGGGTATACGGCGATACCCGTACGTTTGAGGCCGGGTATAGAATGTTGCAGGTATATCTCATGCCTAATCTTTTACCTATGAAATAAGAAGTAAGTGTAAGGAAGGACTTTGGCCGAAAGTCATGAAATATATCAATATATCGATATTTATAAAGATAATTATTAATATCGACCTCGTATTGAAAAAAACTGTCGATATATTGGACAAATTTTTGGTTTAAAAAAATGTATGCAGTTCAGTCTGATCCAATATTAAGTAATAGTAATTTTCGAAGTTATATTTCTTGAGGCGGGTTATGAAAAAAATGATAGAAATGAAATTTTAAGATGTTACACGAAAGTCACACCTTTGAAGCTAACCGCTAAACCGCTAGATGGCAGCATTTTTTAAAAAAATAGGGGTGGAACACCCTTAATATTTAAGGGGATGAAAAAAAGGTGTTTTCCGATTCTCCCCTCTGGCCGATATGTGTACAAAATTTCACGAAAATTGGTCGAGCCGTTTCGGAGGAGTTCAATTACAAAACCGTGACACGAGAATTTTATACAGCGTGTCTTTACAATCGCGACAATAAATGAACACACATATAGAGGAGAACTTTTTAAAATTGTATTAAACATTTACATTCTTTAAACATCAATATTTACAGAGTTATTAGATTTTATAAAGCAAAGAGTTTTAGAACACCTTACCTATAAAACTGTAACTTAAAGTTCATTTGTAAAGGTCACAAAGCATATGAATGGGTTGAATTAATTTAAAAGGGACACAACATACTGTTAGAAGAAGGCTTGTAATACGGCGCTGTGGCGCGAGTTGTATAGGATGTTACAAATTTTGTTTCTTCTTTACTTAATTAGTTTGTTTGAAAAATATTTTTTTTTTAATTATGGATTTTGTTTAACGTTAATATTTTTTTATGATTATTGGCAAGTAGCGTTAGACGTGTGTTCATTTATTGTCGCGATGGTAATGACACGCTGTATATTAGAGTAACTGCCTCGGCAAACGTTGTTCTGCTATATAAATTATTTCTAGGGAATTTGTAGGGTAGAAAAAACTGTTTAGGGTGAACCACCCTTAACATTGGGGAATTAGGAACTTAACTTTAGGGTGATGAACAATAGATGTTGACCGATTCTCCACCCTGGCCAATATGCACACAAAATTTCACGAAAATCGGTCAAGCCGTTTCGGAGGAGTTCAATTACAAACACCGTGACACGAGAATTTTATATATTAGACTGATATTGGATGAAAATGTAACGGCTAAAAATATCTATTTATTTAATAAAATATCGATTAATCGAAGTTTTTCCGCATCCCTAACGAATGTCATTCATTGTCAAATAATAATAACATGTTCTGAAATTTGATATTTTTGTTTAATTTTGGATCATAATATCGAAATCATCAAAAATGGAATCAAACCTTACAAGTTAGTATAAATATTTTATTAGTATTAATTAAGCTATATGCAAAGCAGTAACTTTCTTTAAATAACTATGTCTTAGTTATATATAACTTGTATACATGTTTGGTATTAAATATTTAGCAGATGCGGCTCTAAAATTTCTTTTAGTGACTTATTGTACATCACATCCGTAATTCAAATAATTCTATTTCTTGTACCCTTTTCAATAAATCACAATTTTGTTTTTTTAAAAATTATATTTAAAAGTGAAAACCTGATGTACAAGAAACATGAAAGGAAAACATGTTGATTAGCCTGTATTAATGTTTGTCGAGTATTTTGCAATTTGTTTAATTTATTTTCATAGGTAAGTACAATTCTGTGTTATTTTCTGATGCAGGTATGTGGGTCAATTTCTTCACAACTGCAGGTATTCCATCAGATGTCGCCGCAACATATGCCTTAACCTTTACAGAGAATCGTATACAAAATGATATGTTACTCGATCTTAATAAGGAATACCTCAGGGACATGGGTATAATTAGGATGGGAGATGTAATTGCAATTTTGCGGTTAGTGTGAAATTACATATTTTAATTATTGTCGAGTAGGTCATTCTGTAATTATTATGATAGCTATGTTTATATTGTTTATTTATGAATGATGTCAAGGAAATGTTTTCTTGACAAATGCGTGGACCTAAAGTAGTTATTTTAATTTGAGCTTAAATAATTGTTTTACAAGTAACAGGTAGTTAAACTCTCTTGAACTCTTTATATATATTAATTTTATATAAAAAACTGGATGGCTGGTATAATTTTCTTTCATTGCAACACTTTTGTTCCTTGGGAAATAATTGAAATATGCTATAAACATGTAATAAATTTTCAGGCATGCCAAACAAGTGCATGAGAATACAGCTAGAGATAGGGTGCTTAGTACAACAACAACTGCAGTTGTCACTAAAGTTCCAGTGGCAGCTGTTACAGGACGTGCTACAGTTACACAGCCTTCTTCGCGTAAGTCTCATTGTCTGAGTGTATTTTTGTTTTGTAAGATTTGTGTAAGTCTCCAACTTTTTTCTATAAATTGTAAATTTCTCTTCATATATTAAAAAATAAAACCTACTCTGCTCGGTTTTAATATATGTTTTTACCTTAGTATATTTTAGCATTGCTTCTAGGTTAGATTAGTTTTAAAAAAAATTGATTTGTTTCACTCATTTTATAAATTATAACTTAAACTTTAGTTTATGTAATAATTGCATAGGACTAATTAACAAGGTGGAATTGTATGTTGAAGAATTTGTCTGTTTATTATCAATTTTAAATTTAATAGTATGGATTAATGACACAGACATTTCATTTCTTGCTTGTTCTATTTACTTATTTATTCTAAATTGCATTTTACTCAAAATTATAAAATTGGAAGATGGACTCGATGTTTTTACAACCATTTAACGAATTCATCTTGTATATTTAATATCATATTGAGGTCCTTTTATCTGTTATTTCTACAATTACTAATTGTTAACAATATTTACAGCAGCTAGTCGTATTCTAGAACGCTACACACGTAACCCGCAGGTGCAAGACGCTTCTCCAAAAAATGTTTCAACTCAAAAGAGGAAATCTACAGACAGTGGGTTCGTACCTTTTGATATTAAAGTGGTATAATGTATTTCAAACACCTAAGTGGAAATTTCAGTTCAATATCATCTGGAAGGGGGACCTGATGGCCTAAAATACAGGCTTTTCCTAGTTTAGGCATCAGTCTCCCACATTTTTGCTTTGAATTTTAAATTTAGTTGTACATTCTATAAGTTGTACAAACCGATGTGGTGAGAAATAAAGTTTATTATTATTGGGGGATATTCATTTGTTTTCTCGTCTGGTTGGGTTTATAAATAAAAATAAAAATATAGATATATTATTATTATTATTATTATTTTAACATGAAGAATAAATATTTTACTATATTAAAATTTGATTTCCACTTGAACCATTTATTTAGTCAAGTTAGGCACATCACCTTTGCACATGTTTCTGTTATTGCATATACTGAGCATAATTGTTTTTTTTTTTACTTTTCATAGCAGTTGCATTATTAGTCCTGAAAATTTAAATTAAATTCTAAGGAATAACAAGAGACATGTTGTAGAACTAAACATGTAGTATTATTTGCAGCATTGATAATGAAGCTGTTATAAAGAAGTCTCGTCTTATTCGGTTTGGTTCCCCAACACCGAATTCAGCAACTCTTGTTAAAGATGGTAAGGATTATTATATGTACAATTTTAATAATGCATCCGAATCTGAATAAAATGATATATTACACATTTCATAAGACTTTGCTTTGCATGAACTGCATGTAATTAAATTCACAAAAGAGAATATCAATTTTATTCGCAAATATAATATAAAGTGAGCGAGTTATGAAGCTACTTTCGGTATATATTTTCTATATTATATAGTTTCGTTATCTATCCACATACAGAATACATGATTATGTTAAATACGAACATATGTTGTTCCTATTATATTTCTATATTATTTCTTTTTCAGGTGCATCAACAAACTCAAACAAACAAACTGTTTTCGCACGTTTAGGTAGCTCGGAGTCCGTCAAAGCCCTCCCACAGAACTCTGTCTCTAAACTGATATTTTCCAGGCTTGGCACAAAGTCGGACGATATGCTAGAAGAACCGGTAGTGCCTTTACAGAAAGACGCCTTGAAGTACGAGGGAATATTGAAAGCCAACCCACTAGCCAAAAGGGTCTTCACCGTCACCACATCTAAGAATAACATTAGGAAGATAGCAGTAGGCACGATGCGGGCTGACGAAGCCCCAGTTAGTGTAAAAGAAAAGTTAGCTATATCAAAAGCTAAATCAGTAAAATTCTCCAATCACATAGAATATAAAGAAATAGAGTCAAACAAAAATGAAATAAACATCGGGAAAAAAATTATCGCGCCAAAGCCAACGTCCCCTCTTAATGTCAGACAGAAGGTATTCGCGCCAAAATTCACTCACATCTTCAACAAACCAGAGAGACGGTTGTCTATGCCCGAAGGAGTTAACAGCGGGGTCAAGTCTAGGTTAGGTAATAAAAATGCCAATGATCTGACAATAACAAAAAATGTTTTTAATAGGTTAGGTGTTTGATTCGGTTTGGAAGTCACTAACGAGTCATTGAAATTTTTAAGCTAAGAATGATGATGGTGGCTTTTCTATGGTGGATTTTTTACGAAGCCGCCTGGTGCATGACTATGATATTTTATATAAGTAATAATTTCATTTATGTGACTTATAAATATTTCTTTTCTAGGAAGAATATAATACCAGCCATGTTACCTCAGTTTCATATGACATTTATATAAACTAAATTTATTATAAAATACACGATTACATATTTTAAAATGTATGTATATGTACTTAACAATGTACAAAACATAACTTTTAAGACAAATTTGAGTATGCGTTGTTGGTACTTCTATCAGACGATTAAATATTTGTAACTTTAGTTTCAAACCCATTAGTCGAAATGGTTAATCATTTTTAAGGAATGTTTGCACTTTAGCTTGAATTTGTTATGTAGCATAGCACTCCTTGTGAATATATTAACTTGAAAGATATTATTTCAATAGTGACCATAAAAAATGATGGATTGTACAAATGTAATATGTACCTAACTTTTTTCATTAAAAACTACCAAAGCAGGGCCTTATTTCTATCGTATGGTATTTGAAAGCTTTATTTTTCTATACTATGCAATAGAAGAGAAAAACGTGCACACTAGTTCAATATTAGGCAATTAATGCGGTCATTAAACAGGTTAGTGTAACAACACTACACACATTACAATATATTAGTGTAACAAACATGTCAGTGATAAAATTACCTACATTAATGGTTAGGGGCGACTACTAAAAAAAATCCCACCTAGTTTTGCCGCCCTAGGCCCGGGTCTACTTGGCCTATAGTGAAATTCGCCCTGCAATCATGTTCCATGTAAAATATTCAGTTTAAATCTTCACATCTGAATTATACAGTATGTAAAGTTAAATGATAGACGTACTATTTCGGCATTCGATTAACGTTTTTAATAAAAATATATTATTAGCTTCCAGTACAAACAGGCCTGGGATACTACGTGTCGGCCGGTCCATAATTAAAGCGTACAAATTCGAGACTATTTAGATAATAATCTTGAAGAATCGTAGACGTAGGTCGCTTTCGGACGTTGGTAGGACCTTCGATAGTTTGATTTCACTGTTTTAAACCTATGCGCTGTTAAAGCCTAGAATTACCATTGTTTCAGATTCACTTACGTAAAGTCTGTTGCCATTGGAAGCACTCTATATAGTCAGTCTTAAGGAGGAGTATTTTTTTTAATTATTTCATTAGAGAAAATTATTTTATATATTATTTGTAATTATTTACATTCAATTCACTACAACTGATGTCGAGATGATGTCATTGTGATGAGATGTCGATATCGTGTATAAGTAATAAAACTTAACCATAGCGTAAAAATAATATACTTAAATAATAAATAGTTGTTCAGCGCAACTCAATCATATAGCAGACAACAGAAAAGTAAATATACAAAGAACTAAGAGCGAAATCATCCACGACCTAGTTCGCCTAAAAGAGCGCTCTTCCCACTCACGTCGTTCGTGAGCTACCCAAGACTACTCCGATTGTCTAAGAATTTTATTCCCCATCCCTTCGCACTTCATGGACCGCGTTTATCGTCAGGTGATCCGCTTAGTGTGCCAACTACTATGATATAAAATGTGCGCGATTCGAGAAATATTAAAATTAGTATATTTTATGAATATTTTCACCAAGTCAATTACAGTAAAAACTTAAAAAGCTATAATTTCGTTTTAAAGTACGCTCAAATAATAGGTTGTAGTACCAGAAGTATGCGCTCGTCCACAATTCTCTTCAATATTTATGTTATTATTGTTTTTAATCAATGGGCCAATTTAAATTTAAAATTTATTTGGCGGGGCGCACATAATAATTTACGAAACTTTAATTATAATAAATATTAGAATAATAAAGTATAAAATTAAAAAAAAGTTAAGATTTCTTATACAAATGTAAAACAAGAAAAGAACAGAAAAACGAACAAAAAATATTTCGGTTCAGTATGTACTACCTTTTTATTATAATAAATTTTATAATAATATATTGATGTTAGAAATTCGATAAAATAAAATCAATTTTAGAAATGCTTGGCGGGCCGCAAGCTCATCCTTGACCTAGATGTTTCCATGTCATACGGAAGTTCGTAGGTTGGCTTCTTATTTTACAACCGCTATCCCAAAATAACCTACGCCATTCAGACCCAGATATTTGGTAGTCTTTCTGTATAATGTATGAAAATTCAATATGAACGTAGCTTGATTAACAATGTATGTTTGCTACCATTAAAGATTCATTGTAAATCGCAACCGAAACTAATTACTTACGTTATATTTAGTTTCTTGTTCTTGTTTATAATAATTAAACGTTTCTGTTTGACATTTTGTTATAAGTAATATTTTTTGTGTTAACGCTGCTACTACACATTGTTAAATAAAACGAATCCACGGATGTCTTCGCGTTTAATTTTGATTTTAATTTCGGACGTTTCGGCTCCAGAATAAATGTGGAAAAATCCGGTAAATTTGTTTTATTTAACAATTTTTTACGAAGTTGTAAATAATAAAGATAAACAAATAAAGTTTTTTTTTTGTATTTTGATTTATTTTCATCGATAATTATAAATGTCGTTTTAATTTTTTTTCATTGAAAATCTGTATTTAAATAAATTCAAGGACCGGCTGAGATACTTAATAGCCTCGTAATGTAATTCTAATTAAACGTAATTATACTCGAGAAACTTGCAACGTTGCAATATGTGGCCAAATTTAAATACACAAAATCGCTGGAAACTAAATTAAACTTTAGATCCAATTAATAGTAAAATTAATTTTAGGCTCCAAACGAATCACTATTTCTAAACAAGACTAAATTAATTGTCACCTTCTGCTTAGGCCGGAACCAAAATTAATAACTTTCAGACCTGACGGTAGTCCTACTTAATAATAAAATTACTCAGCCATTTAAATTGTAACTTTTTTTTAGGTGAACGATAACTCGGTGCTTTGGATTAGAGTCTGCGTCTTCTAGTTTCGCGCCCAGACGCCTTACCAACTAAGCTAGGAGGCCGATGACATCACTGCGCAAAAATTTAGTTTAATTAATTCTTGGCGCCATCTAGTGTGCTTTCTTTACAGCATACAACACTTAAAAGAATCTCTGTTGGTCCCGTTATCGTCAACGCTGAATAGCGACCGAAAAGTCTGGAATTAAAAATAAACGCGATAAATCCGTAAAAGTAGTTTTATTCAGTATTTGAAATCTTAAGGTTTCTAATTCTTGTTGTTAATAACAATAAAGTGACGATATTGCTAAAATATTCGTTGAAGCTATGTGCAATAATTGCATGTACACTAAATATTGTTCACCCAAACTATTTTTATGGATTTTTCCTGTTTATTTTACACTTAAATTTCCGAAAAGTCGGGACAGATCGAGTCGTTAGACGTAAAAATGTCGTTAACACGGGCTGCCGTGAGTATTTAAAATTATTAACGACAAGAAATTTCGTCGAACTTCAGTGCCGAAGTCTAACCTTGCTAAAGGCGAATTTACGCGCTACACAATAAAAAAGTGTACTCTGAGTACTGTACTCTGAGCTGATAACTGTACGCTACGGCACTCATGAAAACGGATAAGCACTTTAAAATAGGTGCATTGTTAGGGGATGTAAGCACCTATATAAAAGGTTTTCACCTTTAACAACAAACTTAACTAACAAAACGCTTAAATCAACTAACGAAGTCATCAAAAATATTCCGAAAAATTGCCTGTGTCCTAGGTACTTTATCGACTCACATACATAAGGACTTTCCGTTTACGTGGGGGGTTACGGGTTCGCACCGACTAAAACCCATGCAGCGCGCTATCCTTCTCGGCCCCTTTTGCATGGACAGCGAATCCCCCTCAGTTCGCTGACCAGAGGCCATGAGAGCCAGGAGAGGCAATGCTAATAAGCGGTAAGTCTGCCAGCCCCCAGCGGTGGACCTGGTTTGTGGCTCCGCCGTTCACCACGCAGAGGGTATGAAATCCTTTCCCCGTGGTCCCACCACCGCTGCTGCAGAGGTGCAGCCCCGATGAGTCGCAGAGGATAGGGAGAGTGACTAAATGCAATATCAGCGCTCCTCTCCTCCTTCGGTTACCTCGCTCACCAGATGAAACGCGAAAGTTATACTTCCACTTCACGCCGCTCTTCTGTGAGGTCGTTGTACTAACCCGGAGGAGTCTGCCCATTCGTGCAACAGCCGAGACTGCTGCCACTGTGAGGTCAATATACTGTGAGCGTTTTCTTCGTGGATCGGAATAAAATTAATAATTTTCAAACTAGCCAACAATGACACCAGGACGCTTAACATTTCAGTTCAGGTCGTAGACATTATGCGGTAAAGCATTCGTAAGTCGGATATTTTAAAATTATTTTAAATAAACCATGATAAAATCCGTAAATTAGTTTCATTAAAACTTAGAAAGATTTCACAAGCTCAACTTTATACACCAGCTTCACAAATTATTATATTTGAAACAGGGTCAATGAACCTAAATAATTTTTAATTGACTTCAAATGGTGACTTTTAATGTATTTCACCAGCATTGCGTCGTTTGTCTAGACATCAGATAATTGCGTTGATTACATCTGAAAAACTTTTTCTTTATTGCAAATTATCGAGTGGTCGGCCTGCTCCATTACGAAAAGCGCGACCGTAGTTGTAAGCTTTTCCTTTTTCTTTCGTTATGGAATTCTGCGCTGACAATTTCTACTCATCATGACGCAATCTTTTACTTGATGAATTTATTTGTTATGCGCCAAAGAAGTATACTCGAATAAGATCAAATCACATAACAGAAAAGCACTTATATTGTTATTTGGCTGCATAATCGAATGACATAATATGGCGCGGAATTGAAGGAAACGGAAAATGGCGTGCCCAGTGGTTCGCGGGCTTTTCGATATAAGAGCATTCCCAATGACGCCCCACCGCAGTGCCGCTCCCGCGTTCTCACAACGAACATCGCTCGCTATGGGGAGTAAGGTAATGAAATGAATTATCAAAAAATATCGTAGTAAATCAAATTATTGTGGTTTAAAAATAAATTATCATTGCGGTTTGCCAGAGGTCCAAAAGTTTCTGTTTCAGTATCCATTTTTCACAAATCAGTTTTGTTGCATTGACAATATTTATCATGGTAGCTTCGTTCTGTTTTGTAAATATACAAGATGTCAACAGTATCGTGTGTCGTAGACGCATTGGCCTGGCAACAATTTAATGTTGATAAACATATGCTATTATAATTGTTAATTTTGAGATGCGACACGTATGTACGTATTTACTACCAAACTATGTTTCGCTTGTTTTGCTATAATATTTGCATTTTTTATTACAGGCGATATTGATATTGACGTGGTGTCTAAGTTTGAACGATGCTTTCGGAGAAGATGTATCCAAGGGCACGAGTGGGTTGAAAGACAGTTCAGTTAAGACAAGTGCCTCCCGGCTCTATAGAAATATACCTGTCAGCGTGTACGCCAGTTCTTCGCCGTATGCCGCGTACTCGTTTCACGTACCGAACATTATTTCTGCTCCGAAAAACACGCGAGTCATACCAGTTAACGAAGGTTCTTTTGTCATACAAACGCCAAATGGGGACTTAAAAGACTCTTACGGCAACAAATTCGCGGGATCGCCACAGGGGTTGGACTTTAAGACGACATTCCCACAACAGTTCGTACAGCTGCAAGACCTGCCGGCGCATCTTTCCCAGCCACTTGTGTCGAATCTCCATTATCAACAAACGACACCACACTTCTTTGCACCAGCACAGTTTAGTGTGCAGAGATTTCAAGCGTCAAGTCCAGCGCCATTCGCAAGGTACGCTGAACCTCAACTGATTGCAGAAAATGCAAACATTAGAGATTTCGCCGCATCGCCGTTTCAGCATACTAATTATAATCCGCATCCAGTCAGCCAACAGCAACAGCAAAGCCGGAATAAAGCCATTTTTGTCAATACCCGAGCTCACCAGCAGAATAACAGGTTGAGAAATGAGCCTAAGCTCCAACGATTACAAGAAACGCCGAAAGAAAATGTTGCATCAAACCATCAAAACCCACAGGCTGTCAGTGAGAATTCAAATTATAATGATCTTCAGCATTTCCGGGTTGCGAAACAGGAGCATCAAGTTGCGCCGGCCAAAGTGACAGCTTACGTGAATGGTAAAAAAACGGAAGTAACCTTACAAACTAACCCGCCATTACCCTTGTTGGATATTAGTTTGCTGGAACCGCTGACCTTCGACAATCCGCTTGTACCACAAGTGCAGCATTTCTTGCCGAGAATAAACGATGCTACGTATCACAAACTACCGGATTACAATGTACATGTAGTAAACAAAAAACAACACGATACTGGGGAGCAACAAACTAGGTCGTACCATGGCGAACTCGTTAAGGACAAAGCGAAGACAAAAAATAAATCACCGAAAAGAAAAGAAAAGAAACCACAGCTGCAAAATGACAATGAGAACAAACACATACCGCCCTCAATTACGGTGAAAGGGGTTCCCAATGTCAGTCCTGAGTACTCTTACGAGATTAATTCGCCAAACTACAAGGAGACGTATAAAGAACAAGTGGTGAGCTACAATAAGGAGACCCAGTCAGAGCCAGTAACACACAGTTACAACAAGGTGGAGCAGGCAGATCCCATCCATTACAGTTATAAGAAAGAAACCCAATCTGAGCCCGTTAACTACACTTACGAGAAGCAAGTACACAACGAACCTGTACATTACAGTTACGCGCATAATTCGAATTCAGCGCCAAAAGAAGAGAAGCAGATTTACTATCAAAACGAAGGTCAGGGTCCTAAGCATTTAGTATACACAATAAAATCTGCCGATAAGAATACCGAACAAAATAGCGATCCCCATAGGTCGCCTCAAAGCACTTCCGGAGAGTCGCAAGAATACTCTTCAGAAGACGATACAACTGGAAGAGAAAAACCCATTAATCATAATATAGAACATGAAAATTATGCAGATGCACCTCATCAACTTATACCAGAACACAGGCAAGAAGAACACCATCAACATGTAATCCACGATGATGTGAAGGTTAATAACGACTTTCCAAAATCTTTTATGGATATAATTAATGCTCAGGCCAACTATGGACAATTCCAACCCATAACTCCTGATTATAATAAAGATGAAAGTGTTTTACCTACGCACAAACCTAACGAGCGTATAAGAGTGGACCCCAATCAACATATAAAACGACCTCAGCTAGGGCGTCCTTCTAATGCGAGAGATGATGGCTCACCCAATCAGCATATACATGAAAAGATGAAACGCGTTATAATCAGGGACGAAACTCCCGAAGGCGTTCATTCTCATAATGAAAAACAATCTACAGAAACAGTGGATCAAGAAGAAAACAACGAGGAGAACTTCGAGAAGGCTTACAAAAACGCGGCTTTTGGTTTTCCGGCTTACGAATATCGTTCAGAAGATATCGAAAAAGACATCTACAACCCGGAGACGTACGGCGTACATCGCGATGATAATAATTTCGATAATGAGCACATTCCATTTGAACAATATTACGCGGAGGGCGACAAGTTTCCGAAGTTTACACACTCTAATTACAAAGATGGCAGAGATAAAGTGAAGGAAGATTACTACTTGGATTTCTCCATTAATAAGCCGGAAAGTGTGCTTGAAAGGCATAAGAACAAGGTAGCATATTACAAGATGTATAACGCTCATAGGCCGGAAAAGATTTTCAGCTTCAATCAGAATGGGGAGAAGGAAGGCAAAAACGCCAAATTCACAGTCGCCCCTGCATACTTGTTCAATTACGCGACAGAACAAAAACCGAAGCATCAACAATTCGCAAGGATACAAATACCCCCGTTTGAAGAGTTCGATTATGAGAAAGAAGCTCCCCGTGATAGTACAGCGTACGGAAGTCATTTGCTCCAAAGATCAAGAACAAAAACTCAGTTTGTCGAACCTCAATTCCAATACGGTTTCGAGCCCTTGTCGAATCCTCATTTGCTGGACAGCGAACTAGCTACGATGGCCAGCAACGACAGTCCCGAGAGCGAAAAGCCCGGCTCGAGAAAAAAGCTTTACAAAGAGAATTGGTATATAAAAAAGACAACTACATCGGGAGGGAACGCGGGTAGTTGATAGTATTATTTATTAAACCAAATGTTAATTTAAGTTAATAATAGTGTTTATTTTATTTTTGTCTCTATTTGTAAAATATAAATATGCATTGGTATAAAAACCTTAAAACGTTTACTTATGCAATAAACTTTCGCTGTCAGTAAGTTACGTGACCAGATCTATTTCTTGCACCCATTTTTCAGTTTGAATGAAAATAAAAATAAACTACGAATTACGTTGCTCTTCATTGGAATCAGTCACCGTAGTAAAGGAAACAAAAAATATTCGAAATCGATTTTATACGCTTGCACAACTACGAAATAGTTTCTTTTGTGAATGAAGAAATAGCGGCAAGCCTAGGAGCATCTTGAAAAAGGACATTAATAAAATAAATTTACATTATCTTCATAAAAATTCTTTTAGTATAGTTTATATCATATTTTATTTGTATTTAGAATATTTGGGATTTCATTGAGCATTTTTGTCTTTTTTTCATCTATATAACAAACATAATTTGACTTTAGAGTTTAATGTTTTAAAATATTTTTGTCTTCATCGTTTTGTAATAAGACTCCACCCTATTTCCCAAGACTTTTATTACAAAATATTGTTGATTAAACACGCTGAAACGAGTAGAAATTTATTGAAGAAATCTTAAGTTTTTTTGCTTACTAACATTGTAATTGCTTCTGTGCATTTTCCACTATTGGCTAATTCTCTCTTAGTTTTCAAAAATAGCCGAGTCGGATTGATTAGTGAACAAAGTTCTACAGGAGTTAGCAGTATAATTAGTTACTTAATACATAATGTACATTATAGCGAAAGATAAATTATAATGAAAACTAATTTCTCAAATATTATGCGCACTGGTCACGCAGAAAAGACTTGTATGAGGCACTTTATTTAACAAGCAAAAGTACGAATGAACGTTTTCAAATTTTTCCTTCATATTTTTAACATATAAAAATTGAAATATAGGGATTTATTAAAAGTTACTCTGTGAAGAGGTTGTTTTAACCATTTCAAACGTCACCTTAAACCGGATGAACCGTATAGATGTGTAATTTGTTAAAAAATTATGAATTTAAACCATTCTCGAATCGACCTGAAGACACAACAAATTTCTTTAATATCGGTCTAGCCGTTTAGTAGTTCAGTGACACACAAGTACGAGGAGGTATGAGGAGGATTTCTATACGCTGTTTTTGTAATCCATTGGTCGATTAACTTTAATAAGGCAGTAAGACATGGTTGTTCGCTGTAATATTAATTGAATTTAATTGGCTCATTCATGTCTCGGCTTGTTTACGAAATGATTGCAGGTGGTAAATTTTGGATAGGTCAATACGACCCTGATATTATGTGGCGCACTAAGGGTTGAAAACAATCTATTATACACGTTTATGATTCGCATTAATTTTTAGATATGGGGTGCTATTTTCTCCTATTCCTGAGCCTTAAGCTATGAGACGATAGGCCTGACGGGATGGTACTTATGTTCATTTCTTCCGACTCGATGCCGACGAATGGGAACAGCCCACTCTCGAGGCATTCAAGATAGTTTTTCAATTGTGAAATACCGACGCTGCTCTTTACTGTGACTCTACCACACGAAATGTTTAGGGTACATACTTAGACTACGATATTTCTTTCTATTATTATTGAAATTAATCTTAAAAATTATCATTAATTTAATAAAATTATAATATTTCAAAATTTCAAAGCCTTTAGCCCTACACTCATCAAAGCTAATTCCTATCAAAGCTAGTTAAAAAAAGCCCAATCGGGTCAATCTATGAAAAATAGGACGGGTTATCCAACAATTTCTATGCCTAAATACATAATTAATAATGTTATTAAAAATTATTAGAATGGGGCTGGGCGGAAAAATTTGTACGAACTCCCAATTTTTATTTAGGGTCATAGGTACTAATGAAGATGTCAATTATGAATATTTGTTTGACGGGATCGCAAAAATAGTTAGTCTAGGATTAGAAAATAAAATAAAGGCAACAAGATAAGTGGATAGGTTTATTAGTAAAATCAATACTGAAAAAATATTAAAATAAGTTTAAATAACTCTTTTTTTATTTCTTATTAACTATGTTTACATATATCTGAGAATCATAACCTCGCTATAGGCCTTGACTAGTGAACATACAAAACTACAATTTTTAAGAATCTAAAATCTATTCAGGCATTGTTTTTATTACTTAGCAATTATGGCAATACTTCAGAAAGACAATCTTCTTTTAAAAAAAATCTTTAATATAAATATGTGTAAAAACATTTTTCGGAAAGATTTCATCACACATCTAAATCACTAATATGTTTCCTTTCACTTTGCTATCTAAACTTCCTTTGTTCCGTGTCGCCCATAGCGAGCCGCTTTTTGCGGAACAGCCTCATGGTCATCACCAAAGTGGCCAGACCTAGGACTAGCGCAATGACCACAAGTAGGGTCGCCGTGGGTACGATTCCATTGGAGCTGTCGAACAATTCAGACACCAAAGCCACCGGCCTCAATATCTTCACTACGGGTTCGCAGCCCGACTCTCTGACATACTTGGCCCAGGTTCTGTAAGCGTAGTTTAGTTCTCTGGGCTTCACGAAGGGCCGCCTACCCGGAACTGTCTTGTTCGTCGTGAGCGTCATGTTGCGGAGCTGCGTCTCGTTGTAATGGCAGTACAGGTTCTTCTTCTTCTTGTTGCCTTTAACGACGATGTCCTTTTCGACGCTCTGCGCCCCCGCCAACATGTGCAAATCACCTTTTATCATGTTCGCCCAGTCCCACATTTCGGCGATTTTGCAATCGCACATGAACGGGTTGCCGATCAAATTCAACGACCGCAGCTTCGGATTGTTTATGAAAACCTCCGGCTCGATCGTTGTCAAGTTGTTGTTGCTGAGGTCTATTTTCTCCAAATGGTGCAGGCGTTCCAAAAACGACAGACTGCCTTCGCCAGATTTGATCTGGTTACCGGCTAGATTCAAGTCGGTTATATTCTCGGTGTTCTTGAAAGCGTCCCTATTGAGAGACCCGATGTTGCAGTTGCTGAGATCGAGTATCGATACTTGGGATAGCTGTCTTGGGAATACGGGTCCAGACTCCGGAATAACGAGTGGATTCCCACTAAGTCTTATTTCTCTCAAATCCATGTAGGTAAGATTTTTAAAGAATGCGTTTGCGTTGAGAGGCCTCTTTAATCCGCAGAACTCTAGTTCCAACGTAGTTAATTGCGTCAAATTCCCGAAAAGGCCGGCTTCCAGCGATAGTAGATCATTACCAGAGAGCACAAGACGCCTCATTGAAGTCATCTTGGCAAATGTATCTGGTCCGATGTAAGACAAGTTGCTGTAGCCCATGTTCAGATATTCCAAATTCTCGAGAGGTGCGAGTAGTCTCGTGAAAACGTTAGAGAGAGGATTATGAGATATATCCAACTCGATGAGATAGTCGAAAACATTGAAATTGTCCGGAAGATTATGAAGACCGCAGTTACTTAAGAACAGTCTCTCTAGTTTAGGAAGTGGTGCAAGCGCTTCCTGCAAATCTGGTGCGAATAATGGATTACCGGAAAGGTAAAGCACTTTTAATTTGGTTGCGTTGGCGAAAGCCTCTCCAGAAATAGGACCTTTAATGTGACAATTAGACAGGTCCAACAACTCCAAATGAGTCACGCTTTTGCCTAATATAGCCGCAACGTCCAAGTCACGCAATTCGTTATCAGCCAAAATAAGTGTGACCAGGTTTGTGCAATTGGAAAATATGTCTTCGGATAGTGACGTCAAGCCCGATTTCCTCAAGTTGAGATATTCGAGTCTGATTAGATTGCCTAGTGTTTCTGACCAATTGGTGTTGACCAAGAAGTTCCCGGCGAGTTCTAACTTTTTCAGGTTGATCAGGGAAGAGAATGCCCCTTCTGAGATGGTGGTAAGTTGGCAGTCGTTCAGGTTCAACGTGTCGAGACTGGTGAGGACGTCGAAGACGCCGGAGTCCAGAACGCTTAGTGGATTATTTGATAGATCCACTGTTGTCAGTGATGTGATGTTATCGAAGAAATGAGGATTTATTACTGACAGGTTGCAAGAGCTGATGTCGAGGTACTGGAGGGTGCTCGAAATCAGGAACGGGCCCTCCACTGTTGTTATAGGGTTGTCTTGCAACTCTACGTTGAGGAGGCCACGCGAGTCTCTGGAATGTTCATTAAAACATAATTAGAAATCTTAATGTGAATATTCAGATTCACCTGAACCTACTACGAGTAAACTATGTCATAGACAAGAAACAACAACCTCAAGATTATTTAATAGCGTGTTTGCTTCCCACAGTCGTGTAATATTAATCTCGTATGCATGTTTTATAAACGCAATCGCTGCAAAGATCTTTTGCTTTGATACAACTGTTTTAACCGTAACCAATACGCAATTCCTTATATTTATGGACAATCAGGAATTAACCTAATATAATATATATCTATATTCTAAAAATCGTTATTACGGAGTAACAGTACAGTATACATATTGCCTGAACTTGACCTTAAATTCATGATGTGACATAGGTGTTGAAACGTACAAAGCGAAGTTCGAGGGGCCGTGAATAAGACGTAAAGAGTGTCTAGCGAATTCAATTCGCCTTCTTTGTACGTCCATTATCTAATATTGGCCCGAGTTAAGTCAATTTGCCACCGTACCACTGCAAGCTCAGCAGCAATTGGCACAATTTTATCATCAGCTTTTGTGCTGAACCGCTCACCAGCCACCTTGACAGACCAGCAATTGAGTAATGTTGAGAATACAATGGTAACTGGATGTATCTAGGCATACATATGTATATATTACGATTCGAGAATGTATAATAATAATTAAAATAAGTAAGTTTATGACGCTAATCTGCATCCTAGTTTGTTCTTTAATGTCACGAGAATAACACATAGTTCTAGTCTCTGCCAAGTGTCAACAACCAAGCTAATTTATTTCATTTTAATAAACCTTCTTTCGACAAACTTGTTTAAGAAACTGCAATGTACGTAATGACTAATAAACAGATCTAAAGGAGAGACAACTAAGATATAACTTTCAGTTTCCTGTCTTGAAGGTGGATTGAGTTGTAGGTATGTACAAATAATGAATGCAAGTGACACAATAATGCTTCCAATAGAGGCTATTGGAATATATCAATGTTCCTTAGAAAACTGAAAATATCCGCTCGAAATAGTGACCCGTTGTTAAATAATATACTTATGCTTATTTATACTTAGATACTCTTTCTGAACTTATGTATTCTAAATCCGAAATAAGTTTTAGATCTAACTATAGATGTATGAATGAGTGGATAATGTAGATAAAATCTGCTAGATTTAGAAATTTCAATGTTAGTTCTCATACTTATTTCAATATTTATATTTGATGCGATCTTTCGGAAAATGATATTTTTTCCTCTTACTAAACAGAATTATATCCCGCTCAAAGGCAAAGATTGCACGAACGAATAGACATGACTCAGAGTCGCAATTCTTCGATTTCCTGTCTAATGTTGCAACGAGTATTGAAATAATTGTACTAATCGAGGAAAATAATGCAAAAAAAAACGCTCAAACGCATCGTACATCTAAATGGTTTTCAAAACATCATCAAGAAAAAAATTGTAATCACTTTAAATTAAAACACAATTTTTTTTCGGTATGATGTTAACTAATCATCCACGCCATAAGGCATCATCACGTTTAACATGTCCACCACGAGACCCTTATAGGTATGCCACCATAACCACGGCAGCAGAAGCCGTCGCGTGGCTACATCACAGGAGAATCAAACTGCATCAGATACCAGAAGGTGAAAAAAAATATAGATAAACTCACAAGAACGCCTCCGGATCCACGTAGGTGATGTTGTTGCCGGACAAGTCGACGTCGATCAGGTACTCCAAACCCTTGAAGGCCTCTTTCTCCACTCTAGCGAGCCTGTTGTAGGCTATCTGGAGCCTGCGCATCTTTATGTCGGGCGGGAAGGAGCGCAGGCTCGTGATGTTGTTCCCGTTCAGGTCCAGTATGTAGACGCTCATGCTGAGCTCGTCGTAAGGCACCTCGGTGAGGTTGCTCTCGGAGCAGTCGGTGACCCAGTTGATCCTGAAGTAGTGACAGTCGCACTCGTCAGGGCACTCCAGCTCGAAGCTGTCCCCATTGAAGCCGAGCGCCGTTCCCGCGATGACGCACATCACCAGGGCCGTGAGCGCGGCCATTTCTATCGTCTCTCTGGTTACTCGATAGCGCAGTTCAGAACGCCGCAGCACCCATATTAGATGGAACTGCCACTGCAATAGGAGAATTTATATCGAACAAATTAAGCTGACATCTAATTTTCCGGGCCGTAATAGTTAACGAGGTCCGATTTAACTAGGGCATTGACTTTTCTCTTTACTCCAAATCCTTGTGATGTTAAAATGAAATCTGTTATATGAACTTATTAAAATTTTGTAACTAATTGAACTTGATTTTACTTCTCGTTTTCTTATTGGATCATTATTTGTAAAACACCTTGGACCGTTACTAATACTACTTATAAAGTTAAATGATACTATATTTAGACAATACGATCCCTTATACCCGATTACCGCGTGCTTAGACGATGAATGAGAACACGCGAGGAAATCGATATGAAGCTATGAATAAAAAAAATATATTTCAAAGGTTATGTACCTTTTATTCATGTTAGGGCCGTTTAATGTGCTCTAATACACCCATACAAAAGACGTGATTACACATACAATTCTGTTACGTGACTAATAAATTAGAAGTCCAAGTTTAGTCGGGCGACGATTATTATTTTTACAAACAATCGCAGCAACATGCGAACGAACCGATTATAATCTGTGGTCTTTATTGGTTTAACACACAAGTTAATCTTATATTGCACTTACAAATAGGTGTTGCCAATAAAATTAACGTAATAACCATTGCTAAAATTGAAGCTTAATTTAAATATCTACGTTGTAAGCTCCTTATATGAATCTAAAACATTTGTTCATGACAAGTGAAATTGCTACAATAATAAAATGTTTATAGGAAGAGCATACTCTTTCTTAAAAGGCCGGAAACGCATCTGTAAGCCCTCTAGTGTTGCAGGTGACCATGGGTGGCGGTTATCGCTTACCATCAGGTGAGCCTCCTGCTCGTTTGCCGCTTTTTTCCCATAAAAATAAAGTTAGACCGCTCCTAGAATCGATCCGCTCTTATATAGAAGCTTTGATTAATTCTTTGATACGAAATTTGTATAACATGATGGTGATTGGTAAGTGAACACCGCCCGCATCATTTAGAACACATTTTTACACACAGGTTACATACAAAATACTTAAAGTTCACTTCAATCATTTATAAGTCTGTGAGACTTCAATAACTAAGAGAGAAACATACTGCACGAACCTGCTAGACTACCATATCAGTGTATTTACTAAATGAAATTATGATTACGGAGTTATCGAGTTTATTTTGAATTTTCACAACGTTTCGATTCCTCTCCAGCGATCATGGTCACGGGACAGCGTCGGTTCAGTGTCCATGTCAAATCATTTTAGTAATGTGTAATCGTGTAAATATAAGAAATATCAGTGCATTTGTTTAAGTTACTGTAAGGAGGTCCGATGACACTTATCGGTGAATAAGGTCGTGAACAAAGTGAATGGGTTTTAATGCTTAAGGCAATATTTCACTGCAAGCGGTTCAAAGCAGGTAGTGAATAGATACACAGCTTCTGGTCCGCCACCCCTTGAAATAAATAGGTCCTTGACACGAGTTACTACCGCCCTTATCTAATAAATACAAGTTTATTTACCGTAGTACATACATAAAGTGATGTATGTCATATCAAATGATATATAAGTTTTGCCCCTTATAATTAAGTTATGCATGTTTAGGAAACTGCGAAGAAATATAATCGATGGAATTCATTAACTCTCTTATTGATACAACTACACACAATTGTGTTATATAATGTATATGATCGTATTATTATACGTAGCCATTACAGATGTAGCTCTCGAACAAATGGATGGAGTGATCGAGAAATAATTTGTCAATTGATTCGCGATATCGTGCCATAAAAAAAGCACCTAGAATTAATCTAATAATTGTCTTATTTGCGAAAAGTATATTTATCAAAACAGTAAATGAATAACCATTTACCCATTACTTCAAATCGTGAGAGAGCGTCCCTGTATGAACTTGTAATAATCTAATTCTAATAAGAATTTATTTACTTATAAAAATAAAAATGATGGTTGAATATAAAATAATTCGGCAGATGTTATATCAATCAACTAAATTTACAAAGCTATACATATTGGTTGTTGAAGAAGATTGCATTCATTACATATTTATCTATAATATATTATTATGCTTACTCCGTTGTAGCTAATAAAAGCTTGTTAGATGAATCATTCACTCTTTTTTTTCGACAAACGGTCCTTAAATAATAACATACTTAGGTATATTTAAAAATGATGTATTACTAATCATAGACTACCTATACAGATAAATAAAATTTGAGTGTCGGTACATATACCAAAATAAATTTTTTTACAATTTTTGTCTGTCTGTCTGTCTGTTTGTTCCGGCTAATCTCGGAAACGGCTGGATCGATTTGGACGGGACTTCACTGACAGATAGCTGATGTAATAAGGAGTAACTAAGGCAATTTTTATTTTAGACTTTTTAAATTTTAAATTCCACGCGTCAAAAAAGCAAAAAAGTCTTTTGAAAATTCTGTAATAACCTAGTTTCTTCTTTTTTATTCTTAGTGGCAAATTAAACGATGAGTTATCGCGCATAGATTTGTCCTAAAATCAAAATATCGTGCTCCTATTATTTATTTTGCCCTTCGACCATCAATTGTTCGAGGTCAGCCCTTTGTTATGCCCTTGCGCGGTGCCCGTATTGTATGCGCCATTGTGACATTATGCGTAATCCGTAATGGCGGGACAATCGTCGTAATGGCCGCCATCCTGCGCCGGCTGCCACCAGTCGTTTCCCGCCAGAATTTTCCAGAAGCAACGTTTACCGTGATTAGGTCATGCATTCATTAAACACTCTCACGTGATATCAATATAGTGTACGCGTAAGCTGTAATCCCATAATCCTTATATTGCCACATTTACACGATTATGCCCGAGCGTGTTCCAATATGGGAAGGGATCATAATCTATAATATTACGGTACGTTGCATAAACTACACAAGTGTTGAAGCACCTCTGAATGAGTAACATATACGACATCTTACATTAATTTAAAATAATTCGAATGGTTCACTATTCTTTTCCAGTTTTTGACTTTGCAATTTACTATGGTCATGACTCACGATAACAAACAGGGATTCGAAACTTCGGGAGTACTACTTATATAAGGAAAATGACTTATCCTAGTTTCTCACTACAGATGGCCGCAGATATAACGTAAACGATGTATCAAAGTCGTCTGCACCCGTAAACTGACACAGCAATTAAAATATTTTTTTATAAAATGATTGTAAGTAATAAAGATGCTATAAGAAGAAACTATACAGAGTCAAATATATTACAGGTTTTTACAGAACAAAAATAGATTATGTAGGCATGAGTTAAAGATGCTCCCTTCGTAAGTAAACCAGTAAATGAACGACACAAACAGGTTGGGTTAGGACGAATAAGGCTTTTGCAGCTAATTTTAGCACGTTGGCGTAGATCGTATTGTAATAAAACTAGTCTTCATTATTGTTTGGTTATTTCAGTTCTCAACATGCCAGTTTTGAATTTCAAATAAATGATTGGAAAAAGTTTAAGGTCATATATTTACGGCTTCGCATAAACATATCCAAGGGCGAGCCAATAACTTTAGTCCTGATCGATAGTGATCGCTATTTCACCCACTGTTTTTTGTTCCCTGCGTAGACATATATTTTATATCACTTTCCTAATGGGATTAGACCTATGAATATTCAAGAAGATAGGAAGAATATATAGATAAGAAGATTGTATAAATGTCAATGTCTAAATGTATAAAAAAAAAGCAGTTTATTATTACACATGGATGAGATTATTAAATTTTAAACAGTAAATGAATAGAAGAAATCTGTTTGACATGTGTAAAAAAATGATAATAAATTTGTATAAAAGTCAGTTCTTTAATTATTTTAACGGAAACAATAGCAGGTTCAGGATTGATTAGTGACAAAAAATATCTAAATATACAAATGATAATATCCGTTCAGCTTTTTAGGAGTACAGGGAAAAATGTTTAGATGGCGATAAGTGGATAACACAGTGAACTATGATTATTGGAAGTGTGTGAATGAGTTGGAACTCATTTACACACTTCGAATAAGTACCATAGAAAAAATCGCATAAAATACACAAGTTGAAACCTCTATAAAGATTTTTATGTGTTAGAGGGAGGTGATTATTTAAATGATAACACACTCCGGAAATGAATTGCTCGCTCCAGGCACTTTCAAGTGGACTTCATATTGTAAATTTTACATATTGTTTTTTTTTTTTCAAATATTGGTTAAAAAAAGTCCCACTGAGATTCTTTCGCCGATTCTTCTCAGGTGGCTTTCTCTCCGAACCGGTAGCAGTATTTTGACAATCAATAAGTAAGTGTAATGCTTCTATATTAATAAAGATATTTGAATATCACTACATAGTATAAAACAAAGTCGTCTCGCTACCTGTCAGTCCATATGTATGCTTAGATCTTTAAAACTACGCAACGGATCTTGATGCGGTTTTTTACTAGATAGAGTGATTCAAGAGGAAGGTTTATATGTATAATACATTGCACTCGCGTAAAGCCGGGGCGGGTCGCTAGTGAATATATAAGAACGTGTTAACGAACGTCTACTGCAAACTTTGAGAAAATGATAGTGCAGTGACCACTGTTAGCCTTATTGTCGCCCTCATTAAATATGATTCAAACTGTTATACGAAATACGTCATGTAGGTACCTTCAACAAGGCCGCTCACTCACTCCAGTGTTTACCTTTTCGTGTTATTTAAACGGAAATATTACGTTCACCGTAGTGTTTATTATAAATTGATACTTTGAAATTGAAGTAGTAATACGGACAGGTAGCGAAATCGTACACGAACAAATATGCTATTGTGCATATTTAATCTGTAATTCGCACAATTTTTCTAACACAGCATTATATATTTTATCACACTTAGCAATGAATTTCGGTTAATACCAAATATTATTGTTCTTTAGTTTAATGCCCGTGCCCTGATTGTTTTTATCACCCGTCTGTATTTTTTTCGAGAGCTATAGATCGAAGAAACGCTCAACAATCGACCGAACCGAAAGGCTTTCAAAGACATGCATCGCAGACATTCGAATGTGCGCAGTAAAGTTACTATTATTTTACTTCTACGTCTTATAATCTCTAGACATGTCACGTATACTGGCTACGTGAAAGAAAAACCATTTGTGTTTCACGCTCACTTTCATCAACGTATAAATGCAATATCAGCATATTTCAAATATAACAATAGTTTTATTTAAAAAAAGTAAACGCGTAGCATTACGACTATCAAACACACCTAGGTGTGATTGCGCACCGCATAAAATTTACCGCCGACGACAATATATATATACAAAACAATTTCACTCTTACAACAACAGACAATCCTGTTTTCTATTGAATTTGAAATAAGCATGAATTAATTTATAAAACGTTGTAGGTACTGGATCTTTTTCATTACTATATGCATTGTACAAGTAACTGCACTTGGTTTCGAGGTCGTGTCTGTTGTTTTTTCCGGCTGGCTGCGAAAAAGACTTATTAAACTTACATGACGCCGTAGCCGACAGACGCGTAGTCTTCTCGCCACGCAACTCCCTACTGGATGGATGGATGGAATTGGAAACATGTTATAGTGCTGCGACTGCACCTGTGCACAGTACGAGAGATATCGATAGCGATGGTCAAATGTATGTTTGTACGGAGTGTTATATCCGTACCAAATATATTTATTTCGATCAGGTTTCTCATAACTTTAGTCTTTATAGTAGATTTTTTGGTGGAGATAATATTCGTCTTATGCACGTTCTCTACAATTCACATGTCTTTTGCTAACTACATAATCTCCCTGTGAAAAGTTTGAAGATGAACTGTAAACCACAAACATCTTATCAACATCATGCTTACAGATAGTTTCTTATTGATATTTTGATGTAGTATACATATAACAAGAAGTTTCTTTCACATAAAAGTCTTTAGACAGCGTTAGGTAGTAGGTACTGGAGCCTTAAATCGAGTTGGAGCAATACAAACATTTGAAAAATGTACACTTATTGTATTTGTAATAATTTTTTTTATTTATGCAAATAATTAGTTACATTTTCTATTTAAATGGCACTTTTGTAAGTATTGATAATATATTAAGGCGCAAGCTTGTTTGACTGTTTATTACCTCTTCACAAGGCAAATCATTTTGATTTAAGTAAAAGTAGAGTTTCAGAAAGTAGAGTTAAAACGAGTCATTCTTATATTATATAAATATATTTATATGTATATTAAAATAGCTGTAACAAGTCCTATGTAATTTTGTCTTTACTGTAAAAATTTACGAAAAAAGACTTGTTCCGTTACGAATTACTCCCACATTAAAAATGTACTAGAGCGCCGTCTCGAATAAATTAAGTGAGATTAGAAGTAGGTACTTAAACCGTTGCTATTGGGTGCTAGCCTACTGATAAATCAAAAGTTTGAAAGATGGCGCTAAATGATATCCGAATACAAATAGCCTTAGGTGAATCGCTTGTACTTAAGTTTAAAATGTCATGTGACTTCATTTTCCAAAAGCTAGAATTACGCCCGGTTTCTGAAACGCTGATCATCGTATCGGCCGTTAATCTTTTATATCTAACATAACGAGAATATTATGTTAGTACAACAAATTAAATTTCAGCGATTCACAGAGAAAACTTTTTTTTCGCTACATCACTGAAAGCTTGGTACAATCATATTGAACCATACACGACGGAGAAGGCTATACATATGTTGATTTCTCTAAGTCTGCTTGAACGTTTTATAAGCTGTTACATTGCTTTAATTTGGTTTTCATTTGTTATCTCCTTTCATGATTCATAGCTTGACTTAGGCTAAGCTCCCCATTTCATTTTGCTATGACTCTATTTAATATTGTAAACCGTATCTTTGTACATAATATCATTGTATACCTTTTGAACAACTCAAGAGGTAAATTATTCGAATGATAATAAAAGCCTAGCCTGTTTCGAATCCTCGAGAATTGAATTCCTCAATTCTCTCTGTCCCAGTGGATTAGTCTCCAACATATAATTATGTCAGCTACTATGATCCTCCTGCCTTTATCCCACCTTGGCGGGGTCGGAACAATACGTGAATTATGTTGGTCTCATGGTCTCGTAAATATATTAATGTTAAAGGATACATTTTAAGTTTCAATGTTTTAGTGGTTAGAAAAAGTAAAATTATGGTGACTAGTTCTTCCCCTTTGTGACTTTCTATGGATACAAATGTCATAAAACGTTCTGCATCTTCTACACATGACGTAATATATATCATCACTACAGTCAACTAATCAGTAGAATAATGTCTGCTGGGAAATGGAAGCTATTAGCTGTAATAGCTATGTAAGATACATAGAAAGATATTTGCGTAATAATGAATTTAAATATTATTTTCTTAATTCCTTCGGAAAAACTGGTCTGGGAATATTCTTTACGGATTTTCTATGTATGAAATTGTAGTAAAAGTCTTTGGTTGTATTGTTTATGCCAGATATAAGTTTTAGTACCATTAAATATGTGAAATTTTAAAATATAAAATAACAATTTCACCCATTTTCAATTTATTTCTGTCCGCCAAAATAAGTGAATCTAACGAATAAATTGCCTAAATTTTGAAGCTTTATTAGTAATTTACTTTATAAAGACATGAAGTCAAGTTAATCTAGCCTAAAAAGCCAGATTTGTTGATTTGTTGCATTTTTAGTCCAGGAATTTTGATGTCAAAGATGCAGCTCGCTATGGATCGCCCTGTTTCTTATTCCCATTACTGAAAAATAAGAGCAAGATTAGTATATTAGTAGTTAAGACGTAGTTGAAGAAATGGGGAATGCACATATATTATAATAAAATGTATTTAAAGCTTTATAAAAATGTATTGAATTTGTACATAAAATATTATTACGTTCCTCACAGATAAAGAAAGGTAATGAAGGTAAATATAATTGTTTTCCCTAATAAAATTTGATCGAATCTGGTCGTACTCTACTATAAATTCTAGTGTTCCCATTACATTCAGAACCAAGAATTTCATTATATCCACGGGATGATAAAAATTTTATCAATGGGGAAAATGTCTCAATTTTCAATCAATAATGTTAGGCTCAGTACCTAAGTCCGATCCGACCCGGTATCAATGATGTTTTAATAAAGTTGCCACATGCCCATACTGCGCGGCGTTTAAAAGTTGTTCCGCTTTACATAATACGACATTTTAGGAGAATATAACAAATGGTACAGAACGTTTGATACGGAAAGAGATAACAGTCTACAATTGCAATCTAATTACACCAATTGACGTAGTTTGAGAGCCTCAGTGTCGGTGCGTTAGTATCATATCTACCTCGTTTTGTATGTAATATCATTTCCCGTTAGACCATCAGGTCCTGGGTCTTGTGTGTTTTAAACGGTTAATAGTTCGATCCATCTCCTTTAATGTCACTCTACATCCACTCCTCGTTGATTCTTGTACCGTTTTGGAATTTTGGATAGATAGAGATAACCGAATTTCTGGGAAAATTCTGGGGAAATTATTATACCCTCGTAAAACCTACGGCTCCTTTAAAAGGATTATATATTTTAAGTCATTTCGTCCTGAACTTTTGATCACCTAGACTTGAATGAACGCCGGAGGTCCCTTTAAAGGAACCATAACTTTGCTATTCATCCCTGTTAAAAATTTAGCGCTGATTTAAAAAATACTTATATTATCTGTTACTACGAAGTATAAACTATCAGAAGAATGCGTTAAGATTTTCGTCGGTGTGGTAATCAGCCGTTTAGCTCAGTGGCTAGAGCGTCAGGCCGCGAATGCCGAAGACGTGGGTTCGATTCCCACAGCGGCGACAATCTTTTCGCACTTTTTCTACATATTTTAATAAACTATCATTTAGAAAGCATTGTGGTGTTTGACATAAGTGACATTTGAAATAATTTGTCATTTGTTCTGGAAAGATGATGCGCCCACGAGGAAAGAGTAAGCAAATCCTTTATTACTTGTGTGATCTTCGAGTTTACCGGCATAATTTTATACTGAACTTATACACAAAATAATAATCTGTATGCTGATGAAAACATTTATAAATTTCATGTGAAAGATTAGATTTTGTGGACACTTCAAAATAATAGTCCCTTGCAAAGGACCCTCGGTCTTATTTAGACTAGAAGTGTTCCTAACGGATTTTTTAAAAATATTTGAAATTATTAAAATTAAATTATAAAAAACAGGATTGCCCCCTCCCATAATTGTTTTGTTTTTAGTTATCACTGAAAAAGAGTTTGAGGAAAATTTAGAACAATATTGAAATGATTCGGATATCGAGCAAGAGAGTGAACAGAGCGATGTCGTAGCATTATCAAGTACAAAAGATACAAATTTAGAAAAAGAAACTACTCGAAGAGATTCTACGGCCTCGGAAAGTTTACTGACTAATTACGATGTGATACACGAGCAAAGCTTATCACACCAAACTGCGGATGTTTGTCGTAGTCAATCACAAGAAGAACACACTACATCATGTTCTGATTCCGACGATTATACAATAGGAAGGAGTAGAACTCAGTTCCGTGGTCGACGAAGAGGTAGACGTTGATATGCTGGCCGAAGAATATGGGAAACCCGCCCAAACAGAATGGTCTACTGATAACTTGATACCGAACAAAATTCCTTTCATTGAACCAGCTTACTTACCTTTGAACAGTGAAGGGTTTACTGAAATTCATTATTTTACACGGTATCTAACTGAAGAACTAGTTCATCTCGTCGTTGCTTCATCCAACATGAATTACGCTAGAGAAACTGGATGCCAGATACATTTATGTATCGTGAGGGAGAGAAACTGTTTCAGAGACTTTCATACCTGAACATATATGTGATGATTCTATTCATTACTTTAAATTTTTTTTGTCCATTTTTGAGTTTTCAGTTATTTGTTATTACTAAGTAAAATTTCTATACGATTTTAAAAAGACGACTTTTTAGTTAATAATTTAATCAAACTTGAAGTTAGGGGCTATTACGTTACCAAAAGCGGTCAATTTATTAGATTTTGTAAAAGATAACAATGTTTCTATCACATTTTATTACAATAAAAGTATAAAGAAGCAATAAATCTTCTTCTTTATTTTCTACAATTTACTGTTTTTTCCCCGATAGCATTTACAAAAATTTTCGACTTATTTGTAAATGCTCTTTTCTTAAATAATCATACCTAAAGTACTCATGGAAGGACTAACTAAAAACATTTAATTTTAGCAAAAATTGGTAATACTTGTTAACTTACAGGTTCACTACGTATAAAATAACAGTAAAGCTATAAATGTATATAACTGATTTAAACTAGAACGCATAAATGGTTAATAAAAACGATTTCAAAGTTATTACCTTCTTTAGTAAGTTAAGCCGTAAGTACTTTTAAAAGGACTATATTTTTTATTTTTTTTTATAATAAATCACTTCTATCTAATGTTATATACAACTCTTATAAATATGAAAGCAATCGCACACCTCTTACACATTCAAATACTTGCCTAAAGTGCTCGGACTTAAAGAGTATAAAAAGTTAATCCTTTTTGAAGGACTTTAGGTATTAACTTAAGCTCGCGTAAAAGAACTCTTCGGTCTTACGAGGATACATGCGCACACTTTGCCCCATGAACGATCTATTTACTTTTTGTGGTAAAGATTCCGAATTTGCAAAAGTGTGTAAATTCGTAAATTTATACATGTTGTCAAACACAAAATGGCGGATTTATTTAGTGAAAATACAAGTTTTAAATATTTTTTTTTAATTAAAAGTAAGTGTTTGCATTGGTTTTCACGTATGTAATATTTAATTATTAACATTTCTCTATAGATTAAAATTTTTTTCTAGCTTGAAAAACGACACGTACTATTCGGAATATTAGCCTTTTTTCTTGACGAAACAATGGCGTAGTAAGTTGTCCTTATTTCTGGTGTTTATTTTATGTCTGTCGCTATTCTTTAGCTAATAATTAAGGTTATGACTTATATACAAAATATTACAATAAATGTATTGAGAAGCAACTGTGAGTATATTCATATAAAAAAATCTCTGAGTGAATTCCCGGCTCCGATATTGTAGATTGCTCGGACAGCTCTTTTTTGAAGAATAAATATAGAATTTATATCTGATGCACTACCCCACAACAAAATGCCGTACGACAAGATGCTGTGAAAATAACTGATGTAAACAAGTCTTGCAGTGTCGATGTCTGATAGCTGCCTAACCCTTCTAAACAGCGAAGCTTAGCCTATTCGCAAAAGATGATATATGGGGACTCCACTGGATTAATGGGTACGTTATTTAATATTAAACTAAAATTTTTCCTTCCTATAATGGGAAGTGTAAAAAGAATACATCTAGTTTTTTTGACATTTAATACCATAGTACCTGTAGGACCGAGCTTTGCTCGGTTTTTTTTGGTAAATCATGCATTTTTGAAATAAAAAAAATAAAAAATAAAGAAAATAATCTGGTATAGAAAAAAAAAGTCAAAAAAATAAGTGTGTAAATCCGACCGAGCTATTATAACATTTTTTTTGCGGCGAAATTTTCTGTCATATTCGACTGATATTTTTCATTCCCTGAAAACAGAGATAAAGGGACATTTTCTAAACATGAAACCTAGCTAGATCGATTTTTCGTCCTCGAATCTACGCACATACTCAATTTCATGAAAATCGCTGGAGCCGTTTCCGAGATTTCGATTATATATATACAAGAATTGCTCGTTTAAAGGATAAGATTATTAATAGTAAACCAGTGGAGGATATGTGAAAGTGCACTATTCATGTCATCATAATTTAATACGTTTCGGTCAATCTTAAAAATTAGCGATGTATCGTCAGCAATATATATATTTCTCTGCCTGATAGAGTTCGTAACGAAGGCATCCGCAGAAGAACCAAGGTAACTGACATAAGTCAGAGGATTAGCAAGCTGGAATGGGCCGGCCATATAGCTCGTAGAACCGATACTTGTTGGGAAAGAAAGGTCGAGTGGCAGCCTCGTACTGGCCATCGCAGTGTAGGACGACCCCCACTAGATGGTGTGACGACATGTGTAAATGTGCGGTAAGTCGATGGAAGCAGATGGCTTAGTATCGTACTTCGTGGCACTCTATGGGGGACGCCTATGTTCAGCAGTGGACTCAACTTGATCTCCATTTTAGTTCTAATCGCATCTTCTTCTTCTTCTTAGTCGTTCCCTAACTGCTGAGGATCGTGACTCATATTCAATTGTCAACATCATAATCAACAAGCTGTTTCCATTGGATTCGCTCTGTCGCCTGGTGGAGTGCGGTGCTTATGGGGATTTTATTTTATTTTTATTTTATTGGGGACAAACAGCTACAATATATAACATGAACAGATCTGTTGCGTTGACGTAGTAATAAGGATTACGGCCTCCAGGTATTTTACCCTCTATTTTCCCCGTCACCATCAAACGCTCAAGGCCGTCTGCTCCTCTGCGTGCAATATGGCCAAAGTTTTGCACTAAGCGCTGTAAGCAGACTGTGTACAGACGTTGAGCATTTTCTGTTTTAAACTGCTCTAAGATGGAGATGTTTGTTGAGCATTTTTTATTTTAAGCTGCTCTGAGACGGGCCATCCATGGTATTCGGAGTATAGTTGGAGTGCCAACACCACATTTCAAGGGCGTTAATTTTTTGTCTATCTGCGGCCTTGAAAGTCCATGCGCCTCTAATCACATATGGCAATATTAATGTTAACTGTCACATAACTGTCATTTGTAAATGTCATAATTGGGTATATTTGTTTTCCTTCTTCGCAATAAAATTTTAACGACTTGAAATATTATTAAAGGAAATTCTATTTTAATGGCGCAATTTAATACAGCTCAGTCATCAAATAATGAAAGTCTTAAGGATCTATTTGATGATGCTATGAAGTTATTTAACAACATAGAAAATGGCAAAGAAGCCACCAATAGTGATCCGGTTCAGGTTTGCTTTTATTTACTTCACTTGTAAATAAACCGCTAACTTCAAGCAATCAGTATTTTTATCGCCCTGTGTTCGTATCCTGTACATTTATATATTTTTATTTGAAAGTTATAACAATATTTACAATAACCTAAACTTGTGCATTTCCACTATAATTTTCATTTTCATATGTAAAGTTCACTGGGGCAAGGGATGAGAATGCATAAATTATTTATTTGTCTTCTTTCTTGTAATTCTTCTAGATGAGCATAAGATCAGCAATATCAAAGTTAGAGAAGGCTACAAATTTAGTTTCTCTGACTGAAATGTTCAGCAAGAATGAAAGTTTTGACGAATTGCCAACAGAGTCATTGCAGTACTTACTGCTGCCAGCACTACTTGGCACTTTAACATTGAAGATGTGTGGTAGGCCCAGAAAAGATGTTGTTGATGTTGCTGAGATTTACTTTAAGTGAGTTTATTAATGGTCATTTTTAAATTAGTATAGCTAGAACAGGTTGTCAAGAAAAAGCCATGTTTTTGTTTTCTTCTTTTGTTTGGAGTAAATGTTGAAGTGCTCGGCTTAGCTTTCCATTGACGTCCATCAAGTTTGCGGTTTTACTGACGTTCCTTGTTTTTCCCCAGTAGTCTTCAAATAAAACAGGTTAGGTTTAACTTATATCAAAAAATCGAATTGATTGACCCCGACTCCACTCAGTATGAGTTTGTCCTACCCCTAGAGTATTTTTAAAGAGCCAGAGACATTTCAGTCTCAAAATAGATATGAAAGTCTCTTTCAATCAGTCCCCCTATTTATTTTTTGGTAAAGGGCATTCCTCCCTCCATAGGGAGGGGGGACCTCCCCTCCAAGTAGTTCCCCTTGTTTTGTACACTTATTATTTTTAATCCATAAAAGGTGGAAAATTTCCGCAGAATAAAAAATTTGAAAAACTGGTAAAGGAGGAAAAATAAAAGCTTCTGATATTATAATTAGAAGATACTGTGTTAATTTTCTCAAATAGGTAACCTAATGTACCTATGAAAAATAATAAAATGTAAATAGTCAAGATTTTAATTAATCTTGTTATAGGGATTTTTTAACAAGATGCAAGAACTATGGCCTTACTGACTTGGAGATACCACAGTGCAGTGAAGACAGCCAGACAATAATAAGCAGACCACAAAGTGAACAAGCAAAGATAGTCAGCATGGTTGGTACATTAGCAACATTTTATTGACTGTTTTCTACCTATTTGTTACTTAGAGGGTAAACTATACTATATATGATCTAAATTTAAATAACACCCTACTAGGTTCAAACACGAGAAGCTAAGATCAAGCGGTACAAGGAGGCAAAAGAACTAAAGGACAAACTGGCAAACTTGACCAAAGCAATGTCATTGCCTAGTGTTGATGAGGAGACCAAACGAGAGTACTCTAAGACAATGTTGCTAAACTATGTAAATCAAGCATTTGACGAGCTGGCTAGCATTGAACAAGAGAAGCCGATCTTAGAATATATGGCAAAGCACAGTGGAGGTTAGTTAAAAAGGAATCTATGTGAATTTATTTAATGTATATCTGTACAAATTTTATGTATTTTTAATACTTTTTATTATAGACTTAGGTTAAATTTAATCCATTTTTTTTAATACAGAACCAAAGCCAAAACAAAAGGAGAGATCAACTCCTCTGAAGCCTGTGATCATAACTCGAGATGCAATACAAAAAGCGGTATTTGGAGCTGGGTATCCTTCGCTGCCTACAATGACTGTGGAGGAGTTCTACGATAAAAGGGTTAAAGAGGGAACGTGTGTAATTTTTGCATTCTTATTATGATTTTATTTTTATTGTCACTCGGGGCTTATAGTGTATTCCATACACTAAACTTTGTCACAGTATATTATTGGTAGACGCAGCAAAGGAAAAGTTTTATTACTACTTAATTTTTTTTATGGGAAAAAAGCAGCAATCGAGCAAGAGGCTCACCTGATGGTAAGTGATCACCGCCGCCCATGGACATCTGCAACACCCGAGGGAACATCAACAACAAATCACAACATCACTTAATTGAAACAGGAATGATATTTATATAATATTTACGCCAAAAATTATTCAAAATAGTAAACAAAACCAAAAATTTCCAAGTGTGCATCAAAATATCCCTGTTGCGTGTGATCTTAGAAATTCAAAGACTAGCGCAAGCTGCCACTGTATGACATAGTTTACTCCTCTAGCTATCGTCCCCTCTAGCTATCGTCCCATCAGCCTCAGTTGCCTGGGGAAGCTCTACGAGCGGCTCTTATTAAACAGGCTCAAAGAGCACGTATTTTCCAACGGCCTTCTGCCGACGGAAAAATTCGACTTTCGAGCTAGACACTCTTGTCCCGACCAGTTATACCGCCTAACGGAGCACATCCTGAAAGGCCTAAACCACCCGAAACATATCAGTACAAGGGCTCTTTTCTTCGATGTCGCAAAGGCATTCGACAAGGTCTGGCACAACGGCTTACTTTACAAGCTATACACACTCAAAGTGCCAGATAGGCTCGTACACACCATCCGGACCTTTTTGTTGAATCGCCGTTTTCGATATCGAGTCGAGGGCACCCTCTCCACAAGCCGCCGCCTCACGGCCGGCGTACCACAAGGCTCCTGCCTCTCACCTTTGCTCTTTACGCTCTACACGAGCGACATACCCAAAGACCGCCACGTCAATCTCGCGCTTTTCGCGGATGACACCGCGCTCTTTTATTCAGACCGCAACCTTAGAATACTAACCACTCGACTCCAAAGCGCCGCCGACCGCCTCGGCGATTGGTTCCGCAAATGGAGAATAGAAATAAATCCCCAAAAGAGTGTGGCGATTCACTTCACACGAAGTACTTACCCGTCACATCTTTATAATGGTCCTCGCCAATGCAGAAAGTTGGGGCAAATATCCCTTTATGGCCAACCGCTCCCCTGGGAGGAAAAGGTCAAATACTTAGGAGTCACTTTCGACTCGCGTATGTCATTTACTACGCACATTAATAACGTTTCTAATAGAGCCGCGTTCGTCTCCGGCCGGCTACACAATTTAACTAACGCTAAAGTAAAATGCCCTTAAGGCACAAATTATTATTATATAAGACCTGCGTACGACCTATTATGTGCTACGCATGCATGATCTTCGCCCACACGCACCCTAATCTCTTGTACAAGCTGCAAATAGTACAAAATAAATTCATCGGCCGTGCAACCGGTGCGCAGTGGCATGAACGCAACGTCGATCTGCACAGCGATTGCAGACTCCCGACGATTCGCGAATATTTTAAAGACCTGACCAAACGGTTCTTCGATAGAGTCGAACATCATCCCAACCCTCTGGTGGTAAGCGCAGCAAATTACCAACCCGACACAAACGCGAACGTCAACAAGCGTCGCCCGCGAAACGTCCTCATCGACCCGGTCGAAGAACGGGACTTAGATACGCCGGACCCACCGCCGGGGGTCCCGCCGGATAACACTACACCCACAGCTAGTGTAACAACAAACACAATAGTTCGCCCTCGCCTCCGAGCACGGCGAGACCAACACAACGCGTACACAAGGTACACCCGCGTTCCAGGGCGGTTCTCACCGCCCCCAGCCACCGATTAGCTAAAAACACAGTCGACGGCCATCGGGGTCTCGGTCCGCACCGCAACTTCGATGGCCCTTAGATGACATGTCGTAGTTAACGCACGCAGGAGCACATGCGCGGCCCTACCCACAGCGGAGGGCCCAAACCCGTGGGTTCTGGCTAGCCCACCGGTTCTGCGTCAGATGAAGCTTTAATAGTCTCGGGACTGAAAGCAAAAACATCAGTTAATACAAGATACAAGACAGTTTCCTGTTATTTTTTAAATTAGGTTCCCAGGCCCCGCTATACCACATACCAGGATAGAAACTGCAGAGCATGATGCAGACGAGGCGGAGGAGATTCGGAAGGTAATATGTTCACTTTATTTCTGGTATCAATTAATTATTATTCTTATTTATTACAAGAAGTCTCAAGTTTTTTTCATAACAAAAACGTTTTTATGTTATTATAAATATTCTTTTCTTTATTTTATAGGAAAGGCTGATAGAAGAGGACGACCCAGAAGAGTTGGCTAGACAACGTAATATGGACGAATATAAAGATGATCATCGCCGCGGCTGGGGCAACAGATATAACAGGAGTTAATATAAATAAGCGCCATCTGTCGGTCTATGGATGCAACGACAAAATTAAAGATGATATTTCGTGTAATTATCGCAGTAACTTCGTTAGTGACATCTATTGGCACTTGTTAGTAATATTATAAAACTGACAACTATTATTGTCGTTTGTATCTTTGTATACAGAATTAAATAAAAAGCCTCTTAAAAAAAGGTAAAAACTAATACCTAAATATTATAACAATACTTGTGCTGAGTGCTCACGATGTGCTAACTTGTAAAAATATATTATCTTTGAAACATAACTAGTTTGTGTCATTAAACATTGTTAATGTTGAACATAGCAATCTGTAAACAACTAGGCGTCCTTTCTCGCGTTCAAAGTTCTGGTATAATGATTTTCCGATGAAATAATGCTGTAGTTTTCGCATCATACCATGAGGTACAGGAATCTAATGTAGAGCGTGTATTTTATCTGTACATATGTTTATCATAAATACTACTCTAATTTGACTGGCTTCTATAAAACCGATAGTTTGTAATGGTCTCAGTTATTGAAGCAATCCTTCCCCAATATGAGTAATTTAAAAATAAGTACAAGCAAATAGGAACAGTAAGTTATCGTTATATAATTCTTATGTATAAATTTTTCATAGTTTATTCCAACCATACCTAAGTAGTTATTGCTGGCTTATAGTCAACTATGTATGGGTAAATACATTTTTTACTCTGTCGATATTGACTCTTAGTTTAGTCTGCCTGTCGCCTGGAACCTTATAACATATTATATGATGGCTTATAACATATTATATAACATATTATGTGGTGTCGGCGTAAGAATAAGCCACCCCATCTCATCCCGTGGGTGTCGTAAGAGGCGACTAAGGGATAAGCCACAAACATCCAGTGGCCTCCGATAGATGGCGGGATAACCATCTTAACTCTCCAGACCCAAATATCCAGGCCAATAACGGGCAGCAGCGTTGAAGGTGCGAGGTGTCTGGAAGAACTGCGGTTGCCAACCCGCTCGCCAAGCGTGGCAACTATGGCAAAACCCCCTCATGTATGGAAGTCCAAGGTGTACGGCCCCCCCAGTCCCCGGCGGCCCTGCTATTCCTGGCTACGGTAGCGGTCATGGTAACGGCAGGGCAGGGGGTGCTAAGAATCCCCGGCTAGGATTCGGCTACCAACAACGGCGACTGGACCTGGCAACATACAACGCAAGAACATTGAGGACTGACGAGAAGATTACAGAGCTGGAAGAAGAGGTGAACAGGCTGCGCTGGGATATAACAGGATTATCTGAAGTCCGAAGACAGGGGGAGGACACGATAATCCTCGAATCCGGCAACCTGTTTTACCACCGGGAGGGCGACCAACTGTCCCAAGGAGGTGTCGGATTTATCGTCCACAAGTCTCTCATTAACAACGTTGTTAAAATCGAGGGTGTGTCGTCGAGGGTTGCGTACCTTATACTCAGAATATCCAAACGGTATTCGCTGACGGTCATACAGGTCTACGCACCAAACGTCGACACATCCCGATGATGAGGTGGAGGCAATGTATGAGGATATATCACGAGCCATACATTCCTCCAAAACTCAATACATGGTGTTAATGGGAGACTTCAACGCAAAACTAGGCAAAAGGAAAGACGATGAGCTGAGAGTAGGAAGTTTTGGTATAGGGCAACGGAACCCAAGGGGGCAACAGCTGGCTGACTTTATGGAGAAGGAGGGACTCTTTATGATGAACTCTTTCTTCAAAAAGCAGCCCCACAGGAAGTGGACCTGGATTAGCCCCGATGGTTCTGTAAAAAACGAGATAGACTTCATTATGACGAACAAACGGGGCAAATATTCAATGATGTCTCTGTGATCACAAGGGTGAAGACCGGCAGTGATCACCGATTGGTGAGAGGCACATTGAATATTAATATCAGGCTGGAAAGATCTCGTCTAATGAAGTCCACACTCCGACCATCTCGTGCCCATATCCAGATCTCCGAAAGCTTTCGGCTCGAGCTACATAATCGCTTCAAATGCCTAGAAAATTGCAGCACTGTGGACGATATTAACGCTAAGCTCGTGGAAACTGTCCATGCCGTGGGCCTTAAATTTTATAAGGCCCGCCGCACAAATAGAACGCAAAAACTCTCCGATCACACTCTTAACCTCTTGGGAAAAAGACGTGAGATGCGACTGCAGTCTTTAGCTGACATGTCAGACTACAGGCGGCTTAATAGGCAGATCTCCAAATGCATGCGTCGAGACTTACGCATCTTCAATACAGCTCGTATTGAGGGAGCTATAGAGCGGAACCTAGGCTCAAAAGTCTTCGCCAGAGATCTGTCTATCGGACAAAGCCAACTGACCAAGTTGAAGACTGACAGCGGGGCTGTCATCTCCAGTAGACTAGAGGTTTTGAGTGAGATTGAGAGGTTCTATGGACAGCTGTACACATCGTCGTTGGAGCCACACACATGTGTGAGTTACGACCCAAGAGCAAAGCTTATGCGACACTATTCCGAGAATATCCCGGACGTCAGTCTGAGCGAGATTAGAATGGCTCTCGACCATCTTAAGAATGGCAAAGCATCGGGAGAGGACGGAATTACAGCAGAGCTTCTGAAAGCGGGTGGAGAACCGGTACTCCTTCAGAGGCTCTTTAATTTCGTCCTTCAGGGTGGTGCTACACCAGAGGCGCGGAGCAGAAGTGTGGTGGTGCTGTTCTTCAAGAAAGGCGATAACGCTCTCTTGAAGAACTATAGACCGATATCCCTTCTGAGCCGCGTCTATGTGCTGTTCTCAAGAGTTATCTTGAATCGTCTCGCTTCCAGACTCGACGACATCCAGCCTCCCGAACAAGCCGGATTCCGAAAAGGCTTCAGTACCATAGACCACATACACACCTTGCGGCAGGTTATACAGAAGACGGAAGAGTATAATCTGCCTTTGTGCCTAGCGTATGTGGACTATGAGAAAGCCTTCGATTCTGTCGAAATTTGGGCGGTACTCCAGGCTCTTCAGCGGTGCCAAATTGACTATCGGTATATCGAAGTGCTGAGGTGTTTGTATAACAAGGCTACGATGTCCGTCCAAGTACAGTCCAGTAGTACAAAACCTATCCATCTGCAGAAGGGTGTAAGACAGGGTGATGTCATATCCCCGAAACTCTTCACCGCTGCGTTGGAAGATGTTTTCAAGCTGGAAAGGACGAGGTATTAACATCAATGGCGAATACATCACCCACCTTCGATTTGCCGACGATATAGTCATCATGGCAGAATCGCTGGAGGACCTGGGTGCTATGCTCAATGACCTCAACAGTGTCTCCCAACGGGTGGGCCTTAAGATGAACATGGACAAGACGAAGATCATGTCTAATGTCCATGTCACGTCTATACCGGTTGTCGTTGGGAGCACTGAGCTCGAAGTTGTTGACGAGTACGTTTACCTAGGACAGTTAGTCCGGCTAGGTAAGTCCAACTTCGACGCAGAGGTCAATCGGCGAATCCAACTCGGATGGGCAGCGTTCGGGAAACTTAGGCAAATCTTCTCGTCGAATATACCTCAATGTTTGAAGACTAAAGTCTTCAATCAATGTGTGTTGCCAGTGATGACCTACGGAACCGAGACGTGGTCCTTCACTGCTGGCCGTATGAGGAAGCTCAAAGTCGCTCAGCGAGCTATGGAGCGGGCTATGCTCGGTATTTCTCTGCGTGATAGAGTTCGTAATGAAGACATCCGCAGTAGAACCAAGGTAACCGACATAGCTCAGAGGATTAGCAAGCTGAAGTAGCGATGGGCCGGCCATATAACTCGTAGAACCGATAACCGTTGGGGAAGAAAGGTTCTCGAGCAGCCTCGTACTGGCCATCGCAGTGTAGGACGACCCCCCACTAGATGGAGTGACGACCTGTGCAAATGTGCGGGAAGTCGATGGATGCAGGTGGCTCAGGATCGTACTTCGTGGTAGTCTGTGGGGGAGGCCTATGTTCAGCAGTGGACTCAAACAGGCTGAAATGATGATGATGATGATGATGATGATGGCTCCGTGGCGCAGTTGCCAAGGTATTGGCTTCGGCGCCGGGGTGTTGGGTTCATTCCCACACGGGACAGCTATTTGTGCGACCCACAGATAGAGTTTTTACTCATATATTAAAGCGATATAAACGAGCGACATAGATGCGGTGCGAACTAAATTCGCCTTCTGCCATTAGGTAACATTACAATGCACACGTAACAAGGTAGCTTCGACGTTCATTGACACTTTCGATTTCATGGAGATGGGGGGAGAAAGCGCGCTTGTCAAACAACAACTGTTGACCTTGATCAACGTGCCTCCGGCTTAGCGGCTACATGTCGGAAATTCCACTCGAATGCGATGCACCAACCTAAAAATTTCTAAATCGACACTCGTACGCAATTTAAAATACATCGATTCTTAACAATTACAACATTGGCCCGACTAATAACACTAAGAAGCTGAAAAATCATGAAATTTAGAGAAGATTCATATAAAAATATACAAAGTAAGCAAAGAATTTTTTCATTTTTTATGGAAAAGTTGGCAGACGACCAAGGGATCACCTGATGGTAAGTGATAACCGTCGCCAATAGCCATTTGCAACATCGGAGGAGTCACAACTGCTTTGCCGGCCTTTGAGGCTCTCTTCATGCTTCAAGGAGTCTAAAATTTTTTTCATTATCAGCATAGGAACTCTGTACCCGTGACTTGGAAAACTCAGAAATGGTATTCATACAAGAATGTTATGTGTACGCCATAAAATGTAATACCGGTTACGGCGCAAAGTAACTTGATGCAAATCCGTGCATAACACACGGTACTAGCGTCATGTATCAATAGGTTAGAAGGTTTCGTTCTTGTTGAGTAAAAGTGTACCTATCGGCCTATTGACGGGAGGCGATCGAATACTTCCGCGCCTTTTAAGGCGGGTGGGGCACGGAAGCCGCTAGGAGACGCGACGCGCGTTTTCCGCTCATTTTGTTGTCTATGGAC